GATGACTGCTTCCGCTTTTACTCTCTGTCGGGAAAACTGGCTTTCCGCTCTTATAATTGAGTTTCCGGTCCGCCTGGTGGCATCTCGAAAACCAAAGATTCAAACTCGCGAGATTATGCAAATCCAGATTATAGTTTTCAAGGTTCTGATTTTCGAGTTTCTGGCGGTCCCAAATCTCCTTTCTCTTAAATTGCTATTTTTTATATCTGCATTATTACCCCAAAGCACAAAAAAATTCGAATTTTGAACCTTAAATCCCGTCTTCGCAGTGTTTTTGTTTTCCCTCCGCCCTCCCTTCCCTTTCCCCACCACTCATCAACCCAGACACCGTAGCGCATAAAAAATGTGTCGCAAAAGGAGACGGAAGCACCAAGCTTTTCTCCAGCTCAAAACGGACGACAGACAGCAGTCAGGTTGCCAAGCGTCGCCAGATAGACATATGCCCATCCATAGGGCGGCAAAAGGTCCACCTCTAAACCCCATTCTTTTCGCCGTTTCTCCTATTCTGTTTTTGCTTGACCACCACCAGCACCAATCCCGGGGCTAATGAGGGCTGTTCAGTTGAAGTTTTTTCCCGGATTTTACGCCAAATTCGGTGGTTCAAAATCAAAGATGAATTTGCTGTTGGACAGTATTTTTCATGGCGCATGGATACCTTTAAGGACATTACGAGGTTCCCTATAAGCATTGGCACATATTTTTGATCTACTAGAACTTAAAATATCTAAAGCTTTTGATAATATCGCTTAATGGTTCCATATTTCGTGATTGTTTAGGGTTAGACCCTTGGTTTCGATTGTGTCTACTCCCTGCACATACAGATAGGTATCAGCGTTAAAGAATCGCAGTTTCTCAACCGGCGATGCATACATACACAATCAGATCCTACGCTTTCCCCAAAAATGCAGGGAATTCCGGTGTAATGCCACCGCTCTAGTCACAATATCCTGTTTTTCATTCCAACCAGTTCCAGTTTTTTTGCAATTGCTTCAATTTCGCTTCATTGATCTCAACCCATTTCCTAGCGTAAAACCCCTAAAAATAGTCAGAAAACCGATTCGCGTTTAGTTACCATGTTGTGTTTCCGCATCTAAACGGAAAGCCGTTTATAGAACAGCTCGTAGTCCCATATCTCCGGGCGTCTAAAATGGGCTGTTTTGTGGGTTGTGTGGGGAGAATGGGGGGAGGGATAGTAGATGCGTGGATGCCCATGAAACTCCTCCCCGGAGACAACCCTCAAATGGCGCAATATAAAGTTGGTTGAGACATGTGTTCCACATACTTTTTCTCAACATTCTGCCTGACATACCGGAAAGAAGGGGGATAACGGCCGGGGATTTGCAAGAGCAAGGGTTATGATAGATGAATTTGGGTTTTAAAAGGGAAAAGTGTCAAAAAAAAGTTAAGTGACCGATTGACGGTTTGAGGCTTTTCCTTCAGGGGGCATTTCTTCAAATAAGCGGCTTAATGGGTTTGGTTATTGGAAGGAGTGGGCGGAATACAGTTACCGATAAGGTGTTGCAAACCGGATTTTGATAATGAAAGTTTGAATTCAGGGGGAATACACAATCGATGTCAAAATTTTAGGGTTAAAAACTATAAATACTAATAAATAAGTTCGTCGTCAAGTCATAAAATTAAAGTTGTGTTTTTCAACCCCTGTAAAATGCACGACTTTTTTCATACCCTTTAATAACCGTAGAGTTAAATATAATTCATTTCGAACAAATAGTCTTCTAAATAACTTCAAATAAATGTAAGTTGGCCATAACTCACGCATTCTAATGCCAGAATTGCCATAAAACTGACCGCCTTCGCTGTCCGACTGCTCCTGATCGTGCCGACCGATGCGGTGCCTTATCGAAAAAGGACCGTCTTCTCGCATTTCCGCTGCACACTTCCATCTTCTTGCCCCCCCCCCCATCACCACCCCCGTCAGCCCTACCCCCTCAACAATTCCCTTCCCATCCCCCCCTTTCTCATTCCTACCTTCAAAAAAGACTAGCCCTCTAGTTTTGGGCTTAGACGCGCAAAATTGCTCGCTTCGGAAAGGTGGAGGGTTCGGGGGACTGCCACACTCCATGCCCGCCCATTCATTGATTCGTCGATCCGTTTGTGAAGATGGTGGGTGTTTGCGATTTGAAGATGTATTAGACGGTTTGGTCGGATTCTACTTTGCCTGGATTACGCATATAAAACCAATAACGGAATAACGCGCTAATTAGTAGGCAAACTACAGAACTTGGAAAATTAGCTTCTTACTTAAACAAATAAATTCCGAATTCGCCCTGCATCCTAATTAGCTCGTTATCCCGACGACTACTTTACACCCCACAGCCCAAAAGTTTTTGGATTTTCTTCCGTGATTTCACAGTTTCGCTGCCATTTCAGGATAGGGCTCCGGCAACACTATTTTTACAGCCTCAAAATTATACTAAGAATATTGATTCTTGCGATTAAATGATATAATTTAAATGTGTTACAGCAAGAAAAAACAAATCCGCAAATAGGTTGTACACTGTTTTATTAAGACAATTTTTAATATATTTTTCGCAATAAAAATTTTGGGTTCTTGCGGCTAGCGTTAACGTAACGTCTTAACGACAATTTTCCCTCCTTCTTTTTTGATGAAAAATTAATTAGTAACGATTCAAAATCACCTACTAATCAAAAATTCAGCTCCACCACACAGCACTTTTTTTCTGGGGAACGTATAACTTTGGTAACTGTGCATGGCCGGGGACATAAAGCGCCCCCGTTCCCTTCCCCGGGTTGGAGGTGGGTGGGACCCGTTGACGAGCATTTTTGGAGGCTTCACCCCTTGCCCGCCCGATCACCACCAAATCTATCTATTCGCTTTGCATCCCAAAAATGTCTTTGGAGATGGGGAGCTTTGAGACGGACATTGACGATCCTGAGGTATTTTGGGTTTTTTTAAGGTTGATTGGGTCACCGTGGATTTGATTCTTCATTTCGGAAGTTGGCTAAGAATATGCGCCAATTTGACGCTAGCTGAACTTGGATTTTTTTGAATAACTCTAGTACTATTTACAGTTCTCAATAAAATGTCAGTTTTAAATAACGGTTTCCTCTTCTCGTACAATCCATTTTTGGGACCAGCTACCAACAGTTTTGTTCGTGTCCTTGCCGGGCATCAATCTGTTTTCCCACGGGCTCCTCGTATTCGATCAGAAACGGGAAGGCAAGAGGCGAGACACCGGCCAATTTGCATTTTGACCGATCTCGAAAACTTTTAAAACGATACACCTTGCCCTGGATTTACACCAATTCAAATTTTCAAGAAATCAAAAACTGTCAAGTGCAAAATCCCGTTAGATTTAAATTCATCATAGCCAATCTTTGGTTAAATCGATCACTTTCAAGGGGGAGCTCATCCTTGCCGGAAAATCTTTATGGCCCATATAGCATTTGGGCCATTCGCCGAGATGGACGCCGCCGGGCCCGGCGTGGCTCAAAATAGTCACGGAATTTGGGCAGAGGAAAGAGGGGCAAAATATGGGTGATAAGAGGCTGGTCAATGTCCGGTCGGTTGCAGAACGGCTGGAATCGGGGAATAATTCGGAGGAAATTAGCATTTGCAAGTATGGGCGTGGATTATCGAGTTGAGAAAAGGTGATGAAAAGGGTTTTTTTAAGGGGGGAATTTGGCAAAGTAAAAATGGCTGCAACCAAACGGATTTTATAATTTATTTTTGCAAAATACGTGGTTTAATTTGGTTAATCTTCGAATGAATGAAAACCTAACATTTTTGATGCGCATTAATAGGAGCTGGGGTAGCCTCTAACAAGGGAAGTGCACGACCGGCCCACGAGAAATCGACACGAGACATAGTCAATCTGATAGAATCGGACACGGGGATTCCGAATCTGCAATCAGAATTTGCTAAATAAAACGGAGAAAAAAGTTATGAAGCTTCAAAGTTGGCCAAATCGCCAAAAACCGTACCGTACCCGTAAAAACCGGGGGAACGGAATTGAGGAGAAAAGAATTAGTACATCTTGTTCAGCAGAAAAAGAGCTTTCGAATGAGCTGTAATACGTACCATTTGCAAACAATTCACTGAAAAAAGTTTTTTGGATTCACGGGCAAGGGGCCTGTCAAGTTCATAGAAGAGATTTTCGCGAAATCATCGTAAACTTGAAGTAAGATAGCTCATTCGAAAGCGCTTTTTCTGCTGAACAAGATGCACTAACGGGTTGTGGCAAATTTCCATTCACTGGGCCTTTACAGGCCCATAAAAGTCCGATTTTGGGCGATTTTGCCAACTTTGAAGCTTCATAACTTTTTTCTCCGTTTTATTTAGTGAATTCTGATTACAGATTCGGAATCCCCGTGTCCGATTCTATCAGATCCACTATGTCTCGTGTCGATTTCTCGTGGGCCGGTCGTGCACTTCCCTTGTAAGCGACCGAACCTCAAATTTGAATAAAATATTGTCGACCCGTTCTTCTTGGATTAGATACAACTTATATATTTGATAAATACTTACATTCCTATATTACAAATTTTGCGCTCCAACGCTTAGGCTTAGGCTTAGGTTGGTAGGTGTCGCATTTAAATTTTAGCCGAAGGGAATGACGGCTTCTTTCCTACTTTTTCAAACAACCCTTAATAAGCAGTTCTTAAAGCCGTACACAGATTGGCTTTGCCAAGCCCATAATTGTTACCTTTCATCCCCACACCCACATTTCTAAATTGTTGGCCGTACCTGACTCGCGCCCAAACCCCGATTTCACCCATTTTCATCCAAAAAAACTATTTATAACCCTGGCCGCCGGGCGTTCTGTGTCTTCATCGCCTGTAAACGCGCGCCACGCAAAATCCCCCGTCATAAAACTTCCGGGGCCGATTTTGGCCAAAGCACCCCCCGCGAAGCGTTGACCAAAATATAACTAGACTTTGAGAGTTTGATGTAGTTAATGGGCTCTGAAATAATTGTGGAAAGGACAAAAAATAAATTTGAATTTCAGAGCGTCGAGATGGTACTGGGCCGGGATGCGGCCTTGGAACCATTGAAAGGTATCAGAATGGATTTGGAAGAAAATTAATATTTTTTAAGGAAACTGGGGCAACGAGAACGTGCAGTTCAGTTCACAGTTGTTGGCGGCGCTCGATGACACCCAGGAGGATGAGTCTTCTTTTACACGAGAGGTAGGAGAAGGCATAAAACCATAGAAAAAAAACTCTAGTCTTAATACATAACCAGGGTTGAAAAGCCGCTTCGCGACTTTTCAACCCAGGCCCCGTCTTCCCCCCCCATGCTTCATCACTTTGCATAATCCCTGAATTCTTGGGCAAAAAAATGAAAGACGTCTCCCCCTCCACCATTATATAGGCTCTCCCCATTTCCGGTGCATGCTAATTGATTCCTAACAAAGAGGCCGAGCGAGATTTTCACAAAAACTTAATTTTAATATCGAAAACGGCTGATTTTTAAAAATCTCATATGCGTGCAGTCGTGTCATGACGATTATGCACCTAATGACGTATCATACGTAGCTTTAACTTCCTCCCCTATCGAGATACGACTGGAACATACGGACGGAAGTTGCATGCAAATGCACACACACACAGACACTATTTTTTTATATATAGTTGGATACGACGTGTATAGACATGCTAGGGGAACGGGTATTTACTTATTTTCTCTGCCCTAGGATCTTACCCGCATATTGCGCGTCAGGAATAAGGCAAAACTGGATCGTTTTTACCTAAACGTCACCAAAGTGGCAAAAAATATTTAAATATATTTAGCATCTAATATTCATGCCAAATTATATGACAATAATTCCACTATATTTTTCACACTATTATTTTAAATTATTTTTATCGAAATATTACATTCCTCTTTTATTCCTTCCTTTTCCAGGCTTGTGTCTCCGATAAATTGTACAACATTTATTTTGATCACATTAATGCTGGCCGATTACAGGTGATTTTTTTAATTAGCATCATTTTACAACAACCATTTTCCAGTTTGCAATGTTCCTCCTCGGGACCCTGTGCTTCACCCAAGGGGCCCTGCACGGATTTCACGGGGACTGGATTCTATTTGGCATATTATTTTTGATTTGCGGCGTTCTTGTTACGCTGTCAATAGTCTACAAAGGGAATCCGCAGCTATTATCGTGGATTTTAATTTTCTGCTCTGCGGTATCTTAACTAATTACGATACTAAAATCAATATTTATTTCAGCTTTTCGTGGGCTGTGCGCCAGTTCATCTTCGCACCTCTTTGACGATACTTGTCATTTTTCTTACTTATACATTATTACCTCTGCCATTATTGCCAACGGTAAAACCTATTCAATTATATTTAGGCTTTGCGTTTGTTATCAATGGCCACCTCCATTTTTAATCGTCAATTTTAGTTAGCAGCGGCGTTTGTTGTGACAATCACTGGCCTAGCCATCCATTTCTTTGCAATTGGCGGTTACGATCCGGTCAACAGCGTAAGTATACTCGCTTCACGCCCTTTATATTAATCACAATTCAGATTCTATCAGATGCGCTTCTATTTTTTGGGTGCAACGTTGTTGGCTTTTTTGCGTATTACCCAACAGAGTTGCTACAACGAAAAACGTTTCGAGAAACCCGGTAATGGCCAACTTACAAATAGATAAACGCTATTTTCCAGAAAATGCGTTGAGATGCGAATGCTATTAAGTCGAGAATACAATAAGCAAGAACAAGTGTTGCTTTCGGTGCTACCACGTCATATTGCGGCTGAGGTATATTTGGACAAAAAAAGATTTGATAAATTCTAATTTAAGGTGAAAAAAGATCTCGATGAAGAGCATGGGGAGCAGCGGATGTTTCACAAAATCTACATCCGAAAACACGACAAAATTAGCATCTTATTTGCCGATATTTGTGGATTTACCAATCTTGCATCGGAATGTACGGCAAATGAATTGGTGTTGTTGTTGAATGAGCTGTTCGCGCGGTTCGATACGTTGGGCCATCGGAATCACTGTATGCGCATTAAGGCGAGTGCTTACGTTAACCCAATCTATATGAACACATTTTTAGATCCTGGGCGATTGCTACTATTGCGTATCTGGCTTGCCGGAATCTCGCGCCGACCACGCCGTTTGTGCAGTACAAATGGGCATTGAAATGATTGAGGCCATCAAGTAACTCGTTTTTAAGATATGTATTTTATGTAAAAATAATAGGCTCGTCCGAGACGTAACCAACGTCAATGTCAACATGCGTGTTGGTATCCATTCCGGGAAGGTATGACAAGAAATTAAAATACGCTTTTAGCTGGTGTTTTTAGGCTCATTGTGGTGTGCTTGGGTTGAAAAAGTGGCAATTCGACGTGTGGAGTGATGATGTGACGCTGGCAAATCATATGGAAAGTGGTGGATTGCCGGGGTAGGTTATTTAATATTATTTTTAATTTTTCAAAACAATCTAATACTCATATGCATTATTATTTACATTTTTTTCTATAGTCGTGTCCATATCACCAAAGCTACTCTCGATGCTCTCGGCGGCACTTTTGAAGTGGAACCCGGAAATGGAAAGGATAGAAGCAAATATCTGGCAGATCACAACGTTGAAACATTCCTTATTGTGGAGAATGATAGCCAAGCTGTAAGTTTTTTACAAAAAAATTCTAATCGTCCCGTTGCAGGCAATCCCCCATCAACAAGGGCTCCGGCCAGCCAATGACAAAAGCCTACGCACGATGGGTGTAAATAATGGACTGAAGCGTGCTCAGAGCATTAAGTAAGTTCCAAAATACTATCGAAAATGGCTTCCCCAAAAATCGTAACTAATATTAATAATCTAGGCGTGCTGCCGAAGTAGAACCCCTCGAACAAGTCGTCGAAAGCTATCTAATGCAAGGAATCCAGGCAATCAACAAGGAAACCTGGCGAAGGCAGTACTGCAAAGGAATTACACTCCGATTTCGACAAAAAGCCGCTGAAGACAAGGTCTAATTTTAATCATCTTTCAAATTACCACAGCTTTTAGTTCCTAGAACAAAAAGAAGGGGCAATGTTTGTCCAAGTTGGGTGCTATCTGTTGATCTTCATCCTATGCGCCACCGTATTCATCATCAGCGGAATGGGGTAATAATAAAATCGCTGTTCAGTTAACCAAATTTAGAGCTACTTTCCTCTTGACGGCCATTGGATGCGCATCGGTAGCATTTCTTGGAATCGTTCTCTTCACGGCTGCACGCACAATTACGGTATTACAATTATCCAGAAAACATCCGAGTAGAAATATCAGCGTCGGAACCGAAAAAACCCGGAACTTGTGAAGAAAACGAAGGTACCACGAATGTTGCGGATAGCATTTGTGTATGGACTCGTTCTGCTTGCACATGTTCTGCTCATCGCTGGCGCTATGGTAAATCTGACTCTAGAATTATCAAGAGACGAGTATTAGAAAAATCTAAACGAGCCTTGCTCATTTTCTTGCGGCACGGAGGGCGCGACGTTGCTCGGAAGTGATTGCTCTAAAACGCAGTTGCCAAGGGTGCAAGTCGAGGTACAGTACTTATTCTCAAAACAAATTTTTCGTTAGTTGATCTTTGATATCCTGTTGCTGCTCCTCATTACTACATGCGTCTTTTTGGCAATGTTGACACCAACAAAGGTCAGGGTTTTTAAGAGGAATTACAGAAAATTTTTGTTATTTCCAGATCATCATCGTGCTATTCATTTGCTCAACAAGCCTTATCCTCATCTGGGCCCTTCCCGAATTTCCGCAACTTGCCAACCGACAATTCCACATCTGGAATGAAACGCAGGGCCCGGAACTTACACGTTCAATCGTACGTTCTTGGTCTTTTGCACCCTTCAACCACTTTTATTTAGTACAATCTTACATCTTCGCCAACGTTGACCCAGCAGATCGGTGCCTACTGCCTGTTCGTTTTTCAATCCATTCTTACAATCATAAGTTCAGATCCAAAAGTTCCGGGCAAAGGTTGTCGCATTTTTTGGCTTATTTTTTCTTGGGAGCACCGCTAATATTTCGAAGCACTCGGATAATCAGACATTTTAGGACGGCCGGCCTACACAATGATTTCCGAGCCTCGCTCACAATTCTCGCCCTCTTCACCGTCGTGTTGATTCTGATGCAGAGTCGTCGAAGCGAGATGATTTCCCGCTACGACTTCATTTGGAAGCTACAAGTAGGCGAAAATTCTATTAAAAAAACCTGAAAAGGTAATTTGTAACTAATTTAGAGAAAAATAGTAAATTGTTGTGCGGAAAGCACGTATGCAGCTAGTAACTTTCGAGGCTTGAACGATGCTCCGGAAAAAGCTTTGCTTTCATTTGACTTACTTCTCCCATAACTACTTGGACGTTTTTGTATTCTATTAATACTTTTAGGCCCTCGATGAACAATTGGAAATGAAAAAGAGGCACGCACAGAATCGACAGGTTTTGGAGAACGTCTTGCCGTGGCACGTGGTTGAACAATTCCTGACAGATCGTGGCTCAAAAGATCTCTATAATGAAGCACTTCCAAATGTTTGCGTTATGTTTGCCACAATCACAGGTAGTATTCGAGCATTAATGATCAATCAGTACTTTAGAATTCAACAAATTTTATATGGAACTGGACGCAAACAATGAGGGCGTCGAATGTCTGCGTTTGTTGAATGAAATTATTAGTGATTTCGACACGGTAACCAGGCGTTTTTGGTTAACATTGGTATTTAGATCTTAAATGAGCCGGGGTTCAAATGCATTGACAAGATCAAGACGATCTCAACGACGTACATGGCCGCTTCTGGATTGACAGGGCCGGCCGATGGAGATGGTAATTGCTTAAAAAATTTTGTATGGTTAGTTTGTAGCTCACATCGTCGCGGTGGCCAAGTACGCTCAAGCTTTGCTGAAGAAAATCAAGGAAATCAATGAGCACAGCTTTAACAGTTTCAACCTCAGGATCGGTATGTTTTGGTTTACTTGGAAATCGCTTGAAATTAACGATAGTAATAAATCCATTCTTTTAAAGGTCTGAATGTGGGTCCCGTCGTAGCAGGCGTTATCGGTGTCAAAAAACCCCACTACGACATCTGGGGCAATACCGTGAATGTGGCGAGTAGAATGGACAGTAATGGCGTCGCTGGAAAGATTCAGGTCTGCCTCTTAAATAAAAATAACTAAAATATGATTTAGGTGACGGAGGAGACAAAAGTTATCCTCGAGCGTTACGGATTCCAATTTGAATGCCGCGGAAAAATCTCCGTTAAGGGTAAAGGACTGATGCAAACGTATTTTATGAAGGTTAGTAGTTTGCCAATTAACCTGCCATCATTCTTGCCAACATCATAATAAAAAATGTGAATTCCAGGTCGACGATGAATCTAACAGCATCACCGGCAATGACAACATGTTCTAAGCTTTCAAAAAAATCACTTTGTATATTTATTCGAAGGTTCTCTTCACATGGCTGCTTCCCCTCAAAGATCCCACTACCTATCAATTTTGAGGATACGCGCCGTCTTGCGGGTTTTTCAGGGCAGTTCCCCTCCCCAACAATACGTGTACATCCAGCACTAGGTCGCCAAAAAAATTGCGCTTACTCATTTGCACATTAATACATGTTTTGTATTTCCAATTATTCAGCATTATCGTGTATCTTTAGTTAATTTTTCTTGCGCTTTTACTTATTTCTAGTCCCGAATGATTCAGCCTTCCCCTCCCAATGTTACGGTGCCAAAATCGGTTTGCATGTGTATTCCTTGTGTTCCGGTGGTCTCAAGGAGACATCCAATTGCGATGTTGATAAAATTTGCGCTTTTAATTGAAAAATATACACGACAAAATCCAAAAAATCAAAAAACTCATGAAAACGCACTATTCTCTGACTGCTCACATGGAATTTTGGCTCGGAATTTGGCATGCGATTCAAAGCAAAACAATTTTCCAATAAGCCACCTACTGACCATCTTGTAACATCTTGCGCGAAGCACAAAATGAGAGCGAGTGTTCGCCGACCAGCCCAACGTCATTGCTCCTCCCGAACCGTCTCGCCAAATTGATCGTCCTTTACTGGCAATCTACGAGACAGCCAGCAACCCGCCCCCCAATAGGAAATATAGAGAACGAGCAACCCCGTGTCGTAGTGAAAGACGGATAAATAGGAAAATGAGAGAAACAAACAAAGAAAACATCCCCCAACGCCCCTTCCTTCTTCCCCGCATTCGGGCGGCTCTTTTCACCCTACTCACAGCCCCACTTCTCCTTTTTGAGATTACAATCTACACCACAACTTGTGCACTAATCAAATCAGCTTGGTTTTCCGGCTGGTTTTCCGGGCAATCGCAACTGTACAGTAACTTCAGGTAAATGTCAAATTTTTAAGGGATCAGTGGGTCTAAAATGTGTAAGGGGATCAATCTTGGAACTTATCGTACTTCCTGTTTAGCCGAAAATTTCTTGGAAAGGTCATAGATTTTTACGCCCGGTTGGGTTCCGATTTTGAAGTAAATTGTAATTCATGAGAATTTTGCCCAGCTAATGAAGCTTTTTGACCCTTAGCATCTGTATCGTTTTTAGAAAAGGCTATACAGCTTTTTCGATAGCAAAAGATCCAAAACCCTTAAGCGCAGACGTAATTTTTCGAGTCGCCTGGGAAAAAAAAGGCTTCGAATCCATTCCCATACTTGCCCCTTCAGCTCCAAATGCCGGTAGCCCGAACACGGGCGAGAAGCCTGAGCCCAGTCGGCTCGATCGCCTCACAGATCTCAATATCAACAACCCAGCAAATTGGGCGAAGAAGCCTCACCAGCACTCAATCCGATCATCCCTCCCAAATTCCCGATCGGCCAAGCCCATCTCGGGATGGATCTATCGAGAAGAAGCCGGAGGAGGCCCGTGAGTTTTGTTTATAATCATTATCCTTAAGCCATCGTTTAACCGTTCCCTAAAAAATGTTCCAGCTATTCGATTGAAAGGATCACTAAAAGCTCCCCGACCTACAATAGAACCTTACACTCTACACATCCCAATCGCTGAGGGCCCACAAAGAAAAAGCATTACTTGGAGCAGAAGCAGTAGATGTTACCTTTATCCATGTAAGTTCATTAATTATTTTTTATGACTATCAATTTATAGCTGGCCGCCGGCGATCCTCACTGACGAAACGTCTAATGCGCCACAAAACCTGCCCATTCCTTCTTATTTGCTGTCTATTACCCACAGTCCTAATTGGCGCGCTATTCTTTGTACTACTTCCTTTCGGACGGGCAGATGATACCGATGACAATAAATTTGATTATTATATGCATTGTGAAAGGTCGAATTTTATTCATCTGGTTGGTCGTTCCATTGTTCATCGAGAAGCCTGGCGAAATCGATTTCGAATGAGATGGGTTTTTGGACGTCGACGAGTTTCATGTTGTGTTTACGGTGTTGTAGGGCACATTTCGGGCAAAGGAGATTTTTCTGAAAGCTAGAGATTTGATAGAAAGGATGCGAGGTTTGGTCAAACAAAAAGAGCAAATCGCGGGCGGACACGTTTCGAAGTTAGAGGCTCTTGGGGGCTAGACTTTACCTTACCCCCCAGCCAAAAGATGCCAAATTTTTCCACCGTTTCGACCTTTGTTTCTTGGGATTTTAGAGGCCATTCTATAGAGTATTAAAAAAATATACTGTGTTTCAACTACAGCCCATAATGATGTATTATCAAAAAGTTATAGCAGAAATTTTTCGGGCTTCCGGTTGGGGGCTGGAGTAAAGTGTAAATGTGTGTACCCTTAGAGGCTGCAATAGGCACACCCTAGACAAAAAACATAAAAAAAGAACTTACCAGGTTAAGATGGCCAACCAACAACGCTATCCGCTTTTCACAAGTTAAACACCGCCACATTTGCCGGACCAACTGTCGGGTCTCGCATTCTTCGCAACGACTATCGAAAAAATGCAAATTTAATAACCCTACTAAATACCTATTATGAACATCGCTTAGAATCGGAATATTAATATATAACGGCATTGGTCATACAGCCAACGGTTTGTCCAGCAATATTCGAATGAAAACTTGTCCTTATAGACGCCCGATAAGGACTATGTCTTCTGTGATTCATCATTTCTTCCGGTCATTGTCCAATAAGCAGTGAAAACTTTTGACTCATTCCACTAGATTAAACTGGCTGCTATTTTCCTATAGTAAAAGCCGAATTTATTTTCCGTGTTTATCCACCAAATCCGTTCTCTATCTTTATTCAAAGTATTTTTAAATGGTTAGAGATTATCATGACAGTATGTGAGGGTACGTGATATTTCTAGCAACCTTTTGTCTTCAGGGTATCTTGTGAGTTTAGGGTACGGAATCGATCGGATTGATATTTGGTTGGGTACAACAGAATTTGCCGGGGGTACAAAGTACAACAATGCTGAAAATCCCCCAAAAAAGCTTGGTGGTAATCAATAGGGTCGCGTGGTCAATGGGCTGACTATAACATCTGCGTATCGCAAGCGAAAGACTATTAATGTCTATGGGGGATAGTTAAGGAAAGAAAGCAATTTTCAAAAACCTTGTAACATGGCGAAGTGAATTGTTTCGAATTTCAAGGCTTTCGATGTCTACAAAGCACGACGATCCCAAAAAAAGAAAAATATCTACTCCCAATGAAACGACTAACCAAAGAGTTTAGTGACAAAATGACAATAAAAGCCAAAAAAAGTCGCGCAAAAAGTGTGGAATTTGAAAAATTTTTCAGAACAATGTGGGCCGCACAACGCATCGTGTATCACCTACAAGGGCAAACGGGGGGAGATTTCGACAAAAATACAGAAAGAGACGCTCAGCGCTCGAAATTTGGAAAGAAATGAAAAATTAGCGTTTCTTAGAAAAGAGCGTGCAGTTGTGGAATTGTCTCAGCGAAATTGGAATTGGTATTGCTTTTGAAAACACCTTAACAAATCTGTTTGAAGCTAAGAACCCTAGGAAGGAGTAATTTCATGACATTAGCAAAAATTCCGGGAATCTGCTTACACGGGGATCAAGATCCAACAGAGGAAAAAGTGGAGGGCGATGCTAATCAACCAATTCAAGTGGGCCAACCGAGGTAAAAAACGGTGACAAAGGCAACAAAACAGGAATAAGGCCGGCTGCATTAACGGGGAAGGCTATGGTAGGGTACGGTAGGTTGTTGAGGGTAAGGACTGGAATAATAAGTGAACTAGAAATTGGAGACGACACGATCCAATGTACAAAAAATGAACGAGGCACGAGCAGGGTAAACTAAGGCTTTGGGGAAATGAAGGCTGAGCAAATGGGTTTTTGGAGGATTTGATTGGGCAGGTAGCAAGGGTCGATTATTAGGGTACTAACGAGATTCAAAAAATGTTGAAACAAAATTACCTGTCCGGGCTTAAAATCCCCATGAAAATCTGGGGCGCCCGTCCAGTTTTACAGGGGTAGTAATCTAGGGACCGGGAAGTACAACACCCGCACTATGGTTTACGCGTAACATGAGATCGCAGACCAGACGAGAAAATCGCTGAAAAAAATCAAATAAAAAGTGGGAATGAGGGTGGGTAGTCGAAAAAACGTCAAAATTAGGCCTGAGGGCTGGGGGATTAGAAATTTGGATTAAAAGCTTTACACGTAATTTGGGATCAGGGGGAAGGGTTATGCACAAGGGGGCCTTCAAGACAAAAAAAACGAAGAAAGGACAAATCACGAAGCACAGAGATACCACAGCTCCATCTTACATAAATCTACGTAAATGGACTGAAAACGAAGCGAGCTGCGGCACAACAACAACAAGAATACTGTCCTTGCGCCTGAACCCAGGCTGGGAATAAGTAATGGTTTTCACGAAGAGGGAGGAGGACAGTTTGAAGGGGTTGAAAGGGGGTTAGAAGAATTATAATTTTTGGGTTGCGACGATCAAATCATCGAACGAAGAGTGGCTTGAATACAAAGAGTGTATGTGCCTGTTTGGAGAGGCAGACGATGTGGCCACTGGCAGAGACGCGTAGTTGAGTACAGCGAGACATCTGAAAAAATTCGGGTTTGGTGATCTACGACAAGATTATGGATGATTCCATTCCGAATTTTTATTTTCGCAACGCCATGCGGAAAATTTGGTACGAGCAAAATATTTGTAGTGAAAATTTACCGACCCACACCACTAACAACGCCTACCTTAAATTCTTGATGGGTAAACGATTGTGGGTTCCTTCCAGCGATATCATCAGCCGCGAATACGACAATATGCATATGATTGCCATGAGTATCGGCAACCAACACGTCGCCGCTCTTGCTGATGTCGATCCCGATTGGATATGGAGTAATAGCCGGCTCGCCCAGCTTTCTGAGATACGTGCCCTCGACGGAGAAGACGTGCACGCAATGGTTGCGGAAGTCGGTGATGTAGACATTATGATCGTACATGGCAACATCAGTGGCCTGAAAGAATGGATATAGTTCCCGGCGAATTTTTCTTCTATCCTAGTGTTTCAACCTACCTCGCCCATCCGCGGTGCTGTATCGAACCAATGGATCACACGCGGGTTATTGGTGCTGATGTCCAACGAGTAGACAATACCGCCGTGGTCTACCAAAACCAAATGTCCGGCAAGGGTTCCGCAAGCTGCCTGCACGTCGAGGCCTAAAAAGTTTTGCAAAAACCGTGGTTATGAACTACATTATGCAAACAATTATGCGCTGAATGTGAAAACCAACATTTGAGATTTGCCGCCTTGCAGAGATCGACGCGGTGCAAGAACTCGCCCTTCGTGGTGAACACCTGGCAGCGAGATTTCGTGTCTGGTGACTTGTCTAGCACAATGTAGCGGAGGTGCTCTTTCAACTTCAACGCCACAACCTTGCGTGGGTAACAGAGGCAACCGTCTTCCTAAAGGACAATAAATTAACTAAAATACTTTTGGTCTTCTAACCTGTCCAGCTTTTCCAAAGAACCAGGGATGTGGTGGGCCACACACGATGATACGGTGGTTATTGGTGTCGGCGATCAGGATATCATCATTGTCTGCCAGTGAGAAGCCGCCAGGTGTGTTGAGCTCACGTAGGCTATTTCCGGCAACCCCAGCCCCAAACACCGAATGCATCTTTAGTTCGTTGCCCGAATTCTGATAGTCCTTTCTGGGGGCACTCGGGGTTGAGATTAATCCATCAAGGCCAGGAGCGCGTCCAATGCCCTGAGATCCAGTGAGTCCACCATCGAGACCGAGGGCACCAAGTTGGTTCAGTTGCCCGACAATGTCCAGTTGCGAGTTGAGGCCGCGCAACCGTTGTTGAAGCTGAAAAAAACCCATGAAACCGTAGAATTTTAATGCTACGAAAAACAGGCCTGTGTTGGCCCAGTGACTCACCAGTAGATGGTTCTGCAAATTGGGCATGGCTCCTCCGACGAGGCTGTTCTGTTGGTACATGAGCGCTGCTTTGAGGTGCATCTGCTACACAGTTAGTCAGGTCGGATCTGTATGAAATACCTGTAGTTGTGCAGAGTTGAGCGAGAGGGCGCCCGGGTTTTGGAAGAGGGCCGGGTTGTTGACCGCGTTTAGAAGCAGGGCGGCGGCATTCGTCGCGGCTGTGGTCGAGGCAGCTCCATTGGCGTTGAATTGAGCGGCAGGATTTTGGTTCCACTAAAAGGTATTGTTATTACGGATCGAAAAAGGCAAAAATATTTATGGATTATGGTTTTACGATACAACCAACCTGCATGTTGTTATAGATATTGCTGGTAGGGGTTCCAATCGGCTGAATCCCAGTCGGTGTATTCGCTCCCGGTGCAACAATCGGGGTCTTGATCGGATCCGTTGGTGGTGAAGGCGAAGGAAGATCCGGCGCATTCGTGTGATTCCAACCGTTCAAATAATCCGGGCGCGCGATGGGTGGTATCATAGCGGTGGCTGTCTAAAACCAATCGCCATTGTTAAACACTTTGATTGAATCTCACCTTTCTGCGTTCCATTCCAATAATTCCAGGGCCGACAGGCTTCTCGACGACGTGAGGAGGGGCTTTGAATGATTCTTCCATAAGAGGACGCTGCACTTCCGTGGCGGATATGTCTACAATTTAGCGTAAAGACACTATGAATTTATCTACCGTTCCAAGCCTCGCGAGCTCGTTCCATAATAGCTTCAGCGCTCATGGTCTCCTTCGCTGGGCGCTGTTTCTCCAGATAGCTCGAAACGTTGCGACCTGTAATCACAATTCCCGTCTAGTCATTCTTCAGCTTACATGTGATAGTTCCGTAGGCTGAAGAAAGCTGCGTTTCCATAGCTTTCTTTTCTGGTGGCACAAAGTCAAGCTCATATTCCGAATTGATGCTCGGTAGGGTGTGTTCGAGGTTGGTCAGCTGTTGAATAACCTAAGAGGATGTTAGAGAACACAAGTAGTTCTGAACCTTGCGACGAGAGGTCAACAATTCCATGCCATTGGCCTGATTCACAAGCCGCTCAGCAAATCCGACCGCATCAGCGACACGCGATTGAGTGACATCAACTTTTCTCTCCAGGTCATACAGTTCGTCGTCCATACGATTACGTTCCGACTCCAATTCCTTTAGCTTGCGGTTACGAGTCTCCTCGAGAAGTTGTTGGATTGTCTAAAAAAAGGTTGTTTTTGCTTCCTTGTCTTAATGATTTTCCTTGAATTTTCTAAGTATATGGTTTCATACAAACCTCATAAACCATATCGATTCGTGCACGAGCCACCTCGAACTGCTGCTCCAGGCTGGCATGCTTATCGGTCCCTGTTGCCCAACGGTTCATCGAATCTGCCCATTTCTCCTTGACCTTAGTAGCCAATTTTGACAGCTCGTTCTGGATAACGCGTGACACCCGTTCCGAAACTTCGATCAGCTGGAACAAATGATCTCATGAAAAACCATCGGCCACCTACCTTGTGGTTATTGCGATGGTCTGATTCAAGGCATACACTGCAGACCAGAACTTCGCATGTAGTACATAGCATGATGTAGGGTTGTGCATGAGCGGTGCAGAGTACGATGCGAGCTTCACGGGTACGGCCAGACGACTCGAGCTCCTCGAAGAGCAAGACCTAATAGAAGGATGACTTTAATACTATGTCAATGTGTTGCCTACCTGATGTCCGTCAAACATTCTCATATTCTTGTGAGCTTCCAAGCAGGTCGGACAAAGATCAGCCACACAATGTTGGCACACAGCGACGGCAGCCTAAACAGTTTTGCCAGATCGATGCCAAATTAAGTTTTTCCCACGAGATATCAAAGCAAAAACGGATTCCCACCTGTTCACTCTTACAAGCACGGCATTTCCTCTCTATCCCGCGGTGAGTGTCAGCTTCAGTCAGGCGCACGAAATCCATCAGCATCGAGTGCACGTAGCGGACGTCATTTCCCACATGGCTCTCTTGCATACATGTTGGGCAACGAATGACCCCTGGTGGTGTGGGACGGACCTTTGCGGCGCTCATCTACAAGAGAATGATTAGTTTTTGGATGTCTAACGAAAATTATGCCAAAAAGCACTTTGTAAATATCGTACCTCCAGCTCGACGTCAAAGCCAGTTGATTCGGGTTCGGGCTGTGGCGGGGGCTTGTGGATTCCGTTCTCCCGTCTGCCGTCAAGCTGGGCGATGATACAGTCTTCGCACATCGAATGCAAGCAGTCCAGAACGCGGGGCTGAAGAGAGGCTATTATTGATCATCACCCCCACTACAGGGTGTCCCAATAAAAAAGGTCACGCTGGCATTTTGTCATTTCAAATCCGATCGATTTGAAATTTTGAACAGAGCTGCGGAAGGGAATTTAAAATGTTCACAGACCCTTTCAGCCCGCTCGGTACAGTAGTTTTCGAGTTATAGCAAAAATAAACTTTATTTTACGTTTTTAACCTGGATTCCGCCGAAATGGAGCTTTGGAATGTATGAAGAAATGAAGCGCCGACCCTTTTTTGCCACAGAAATTTTTTATTTCGTAAAATTCGGCTTGGAAAAAGGCTATTTAAGCAACTTTAACAAGGTATTCGCAACCCGATGTTTAGAAGAATGAAGTATTTGGAGCCGGAAATTGATGTTAATTGATGCAAAGTCTAAAAAGAGCCGAAAAAATGAAGCAAAAGTGTTGAAAAAACAGTATTTTTGCTATAACTCGAAAATTACTGCGCCGATCGGGCTGAAAGTTTCTGTGAACATTCTAAATTCCCTTCCGCGGCTCTGTTCCAAATTTCAGGTCGATCAGATTTGAAATGGCGAAATGCCAGCGTTACCTTTTTTATTGGGACACCCTGTATATAACAAAATCCCAGTCGCTAGCGATAGATGGAAATCGGCAATCATTTAACCAAAACAAATTTGACAAAATCCCGGCTTTCCGCATTTTTTAGAAATGCTTTTTGAAGTTTTTACAAATAAAAACTAGCAAAAAATACATAAACGCTTATTTTCTGTTTTAATTGTGCCTTTAGCCGTTTATGCGACTGGAATCTATAAAAAAAGAAATATTATGAGACGCACCTTCCTGTAATCCTTATGACAATAGGGGCAAATTGTGGCTCCATCAGGCGGCAATTCACAAGCTGCACCTAGCAATGGGCTGCTTGTGTTCGATCTGGGGCTGGTGGATTCCACGCTTGGAAGTGCGTCATTCTGAACAACATTTTTGCAATGGTCATTTAAAACTAGAATTTAGGTATCTAATCCATTAATAGATAGTTTTCATACCTGACTAGACTTGCTCTCGCTACGCGATGCAGGGGACTGCTGGCGTGGGGATGAGGCTGCTGTGTCGCCCATCCCTTCACAACCCTGGCAGAAAGGTCAATAGACCTAGGAGCCCCTGAAAGATGTACATAATTTAACAAAATTTTATAATTTGCGCAATGGATATTGAATTTAAATTAGCATTAAAAATCAGTAAATAAGGTAATTATAAGCACCTTCAAAATCAGAGATCGATGGCAGATTTAGCAAAATTAAAGAGTTTAACCTAGGCTCGTAGTTGTATTCTAATTTTTTCTAAGTTTAGCGGGAATCGAAATGACGTAAGGCGGATTGCGATCTCAACTGAATATATGGTAATTAGCATAATTCAAAAAAGGGAAATTATTGAAAAAGATTTGGATATTTTATAGAAGTTTACTGTGTAAAACCTATGCAAATAGGTACTTGGTTAGATATTATGCTAATATAATTGTATCAACATACCTTCCCTACTCTAAATCAGATGGAAAAATTGTTGAAAAGATTTAATTCAAAGTGATCACTTTTTGGCATAAGGGTCATCCGAAAAGTAGTTTCGAAATAATTATTATTTAATTAGCCGTCAACAAGACAAGGGGCTTTTTGGCATAAGTTTTTGTGTTTTATATCGTCTAGGCATCTTAGTTAAAGTATTAAAACAAAATTTATAATGCTTTGAATGAAACAACAGCGGCGAAGGAATTTCAAAATTGTTTGCAAAGATCATATGAGGGTGTCAATGTAGTTTGCTAACCACTTTGATTGTTCGGTTATGCGGTCAGAAGGGGGAAATAGAGGGTGTGAGGGTTAAATGAATGCGTCACGTGCGCGCGACGGTCTATTGATCTCTATGCGAGGAGGCACATGGGGGGTATGAAGGGAATGCGCCCGGGCTGGAAACGCTTGACGCTCTCCACGGTTGACGCCCTTCGTGCACCATCAGGTCGGTGTCTTCTTCAGCATTCTTTCACTCTCTCTCTCTCGAACTACCGTAACCCCTGACTGGCAGATGGATATGGTTTTGGAGGATGGCCAAATGATACGGTGTAAAGTGCAGATGGAAATTGAAATTGGGAAAGGGTCACGTTATCACAGATTCAAACAAGCATCTGCAGCTAGGGGCAAATAAGATACTCAAATGAATTTTAAAAGAGGATTTATAGATCAAAGGCCTGCATGAATTTGGAATGCTCGGAGCAAACGAAGAACACCAGATGAGCGAGGAATATGTCGTTGAAGTGAGTACTCGGAGCCAAACATCGCTTTATCCAGCGCCTGCATTGAACTTTATTTGATTTCGGACTAGCGATTTTAATCTTCGTCGTTCGCGTCGAAGAGATCGCAAGTACCGGGTTGGAGCAGATATCGTGCAAAATTTTGTCCTGATTCGAAAAAGTTATTGTCTATATACTAACACAATAAGCGGCTACGGCTACACGCTGCGGAGGGGGGAGTAAAGTCTTACCCAAAAGGCGCATCGTTTTCTCACCCTGATCCAATCTGTGCTTTCTCAAAAATGTCAATATTCTGTAGTTTGACGGGCCTAAAAAAGCTATTAGCGCTGATTCTCAATGCCCGTAAAACATTTTTCAAAGATCCTGTATAAAAAACCTTTCTTAGGAAACACTAGAAGAACTTCCACTTGAAAATCAGACCGACTTTCTCGATGAGGAGCCGGAAACCTCGGTAAGGACCTGCAACAAGAACCCTGAATAATAATTCCACAGAGCGATTTTGGGGGTATGGATTCGGCAATGTACAGTGCTATCGTCGAGTTCAAGAAATACGGCACCTACCCAACATTCGCTCGTTCTATGGATACAAGAAGTTTGAGAATTGCCAATTGTCATTGGAGGTATGTAGAACACTAACCTAAAAATTTCAGCTCTTATTTAGGAAGCACTAGTATAATTGTTTTTAGAACAAAATGCGCTCGTTTCATGCTCTCCGAGTCCGACAACGAAACGTTACTATATTACAACCAAAATAATGTGTGATTACTTTTAAGTTCAAACTTTCATTTCTTTGCAGACTTCAGATGAACCCAAAATCGTGGTGAAAAAAGGTGAAGTGAAAAGAATAATCGAAAGAATTCACGAACTGATTGGTCATCTTGGAATGAAGAGAACGTAAGGCTATATTCCACCGCTCTTAGCCATCGTTTTCCAGCCAATATTCTGTGATGCGCAAATTATACTGGCGATCCGTCCGGCAGGATGTTCGAAATATCGTCAATTCCTGCGAATTTTGCGTAAATAAAAAGGTCGAAGGAAAGAAGATTATGAAGGCTCCTGTCGATATTATGGGTAATTGAACAAACCAAAGTTGATTTATTGCCATTTCAGGCGATGAATTCGATTTAAGTATTATTATTCGGAGTATGGAGGATATTATGCAGCATGGAGGTGATAGGCTGGTGAGAGAAGCTTTTCCGGATGCAAGCGTTTTTTAGATTTTCTCGCTAAAGGGTATTGATGAGCATGAGGTGCGAATGGCCGCGCAACAAAGGATGACCACTTACACATTTAAAGAAACAGCAACGGATCGACCTGCTCGTTTACAGCATACGGTAAGTGGAGCGCTTTTCAAAACTATTGATTGTAAAATTTCCAGTCATTTCGTCGACAACCATATATGAAGCGATCTCGATTTTCGTCAGCTTCAACTACAGGCTTCCTCCTGCCTTTCAATGGTCCCGGCGAATACTCAAAGGTAAGGCCCTAACACTTTTTTCGGAACCCACGACCCGTCACCCCTTCTTTTTCCATTGTCCCCTATTACAATGGTGGGTTCAGAAGCAAAACAACTTCATCGAAGTCTTTCACCACGACATTCTACCCGCCAATGACTTTGAAAAGTAAGCTAAAATATGGAAAACAAACCAAATTCCGGGGTGCTTTGAAAAACAAGGTTTTGGTTTTCAGCCTTGGTCCGCAAGAAGTGGGTAGCGGAGAATTGATAGAAGAAGTGATTGAAGAGGTCATCGATGATTCAGATTTTGCGCATGACCGGGTGAGAAATCTTATAATGTCTCCGTTTCCAGGGTGATAGTATGGGTTTCTATTTAAAAATTAACTTTTAGGAGCAATGGAACGTTCCGGGGCCGAGTACAGCTCAGAAGCGCGTTGCTAAACGCGATGCTAGAGAGTTGGCAAGGACGTCGGAGACCTCCGAGGCGATTGAAACAGAATATTTGACGATTGATGTCTCTAACAAATCACCAAGCCCTCCAAGAGTGCCGCCTGTTCATAGAAATAAATTTGGGTATGGAGCTTCTAACAAAACCAACAATATTTTGCATTAGAACCCACTTTGGCGGTGCTGGTGGCAGATTTTGTGGATCTCTTTCAGCACCGGATAAACTTATCTTTGATGCAGGACAGCTGGTATGCTGATTTTTAGCATTTAAAAAGATTTTTTAGGTGAACAGTTATGAGGAAGTGGCACAACGACCAGAAATGTGCCCCCTGGCCCCGATTATGTTTCTTCCGAGCACCGATGCTGATGTGGTGATGATGCAGAAAGAAGTATGCAAATTAAAGCAATCCCTCTTGCTACCTGATTCTAGCTACTGGAGCGACAGCGAAAAATCCAAGTCCTCCAACAGGAACTTCTTCAAGCCCAAATCGACAACCTCCACCGAATAGAAAATCCACAAGATCGCTACGAAGAAGAACCGGCTCACGATAGCAGCTAAAATCCGATTTAGGCGTGCCGAATAAAAATTTGCAAAATTCTAAGCCCCCCCCAAAACAACCAAGCCACATTTAGTATTCAGGAAACCGAAAAAGGCGGTCTTAAGAACGGAAGTGGAAGCAAGTGGCTTGCCCACACTAAAATACGGGATCGGGTTACAGGAAAGCGGCATTTTGCCATCGCATCCCAATCCGCCCATCTTTCAACCAAAAATCCAAACTTTTCGGGGGTGTTGCCTTGAGCGAATTGAACGCCCGTCTATCATATTTTGTCTTGTGAACAATTTTCTGGCTGTGGGCACGCGAGAAAATGCTTTATAGGGGTGCATAGTCGAGTGGGGTTTCGTCTGGTCTTTCAGGGTTCAAATCTTGAACACGATTGGTGTCGTGTGGAAGATCTTTTTCTTAGTTTTAGCAAAATTTTGTTAAAAAATGTTTGCAAATAATTTTAAAAGGAAAATAGACGCGATCAAATTTACCGTATTCTTATAATATATCCCTCACCTATTAGCTAACTCACCTACTACCCATAAAATCCCCTTCCTAAATAAGTGCGAAAATTTATCAAAAAGTATTGCATTAAAATTTTTATTTAAAGTCCCAATAATGCTATTAGGTGAGCTGATGCATCGTCCTGGTATCATTAGGCTTTTTAGGCATCTGAAAGTCGTAAAAACCAATGGAAATGGCCAAATCTATCCAGTTTCGCCCTGTATTTTCCATTTCAAGTTTTTTGCTTGATCTAAAGATACTACCTTGTTTCACTCTCATAAACATGAGAAGAAATATGGTATAAAACCTAATTTATACGATAATTTTGAGAAACATCATCTACCATACTCTAAAAGACCTGGACCCTTTTTGGCCCGGATGGCATCTGCATAGAAGCTAAATGTTTTTCCTGAAGATACCCATGTCCACTCTAGCCTGGGCTTGCGACCAAGTTGTAAGACCCTGGCAACCGTGGAAAACATTTTGGAATTTGATTGCGCTCGGAACAAGACGCACCCTAACAACTCGTCCACTCAACCAATTTTGTCTCTGAACCCAGCCCGAAAAAGATGGGCGTAGCTTTGATTACTCCGGGGGGTGAAAGCCCAGATCTTGGAGGTATTCTGGGGGCCTGATTTACTTAAAGATATTCCTAGCGGCTCGCTTAATTTGTCGCGTTATCTGATCGCGCTTTTTGTGCGGGGCGTTCGTTTGCAACATTTTTTCTTGATTTTTGTAGAATTCAGTTTTGAAACTATAGACAGTTTTCTGAACCTTATCTTAAAATCAACAAGAAACATTGATTTTATTTGATTTTTTTGATCTCAGGGGGGGAATTGTATTAAGCGCTATAATAAAAAGGCTTCCATTAGAGGAGATAGCTTATTTTTACGTGTTTCTCTTTAGTTTGCGCTAGGATTCTTGACCGCCAAGCTCAACGGGCTGCTATTGTCTGCCGCCTGGATGGGCCCAAGATTGGATTGCTCTGTTGGGGTAACGCATCCCTTTCTTCAAGCAAAAAAAGGAATGCGTGGGTTTTTGGAAAACATCCAACGTGCCGAGCCACCGGGCTAAGGTACCCCAGGCATGGGGACTATTTTCGGCACTAGCCTCAGCAAGTTTTTGCAGATTTTTGGCAAAAAAGCTCATGCTCTAAAACAAAGCCTGTCTGACTAATAGAAATATTAACTGCATTAAAGGTTAATATACAAAATACTATAAATGGAATTTTCTTAAAGTGTCTCCTTACAATTCCTAAAGCTGATGTCAAAAATCGTGCCCAGATGAACTTTCCCATTTCACCAGCCTTGTTTTCCACCCGTCTTCCAGTTGAAAACGAAGGGTTCCGAACTAAGAATCGGGTAGAAGAAGGGTTTGGGGGGCGTCGAGTTGATTGCCCCCCGGGTCTTCCGTTCCTTTTCACAGCGACATATCCTTACCCTTCCGTTTCTTTCCTTCTTACGTCTACCTCCGCTCCCCCTCGTTTCACCCATAATAAACATCGCCATTTCGTGCCAAACCGTCGTTCTTTATTTGGCAATGCCTCTAAATTTGGGCTTTTCGGGCAAATAAGAGGAAGTGTCTTTTAGAGATCACTAGGGTGGAAGTGCACGTCTTGTCTTTTTAACTATATCTTAAAATATCTTTGGTTGCTCTAGTTTTGACCCTTAGTCGAAACTGCAGTGAAGCGGGGAATAATTGCGCGCGCCAGCGATGACTTTCACGTACGCACACGCTTCAATAACTTCTTAATTAATTAGTTCCCTCTAGTTTTTTGGTATTCTTTCATTGCTTGCAGCTTCTCGAAGAGTAAGCTTGGGGCCAAAAAAAACACAAGGCTATTTATCCACAAGCTCCTGCGTCGCATTCGTCAGCTCAATTTTCCATTTACCTTCCATATCCGCCGTTGGTCGGTCCGAGTCATTCTTCTTGTGGCTGTCCGACAAATGACCAAAAGGGGGAGACGAGGCCTTGGTCGGCAAAATAACGTTAACCAAAAAGGGGGTGTTCCGGCCAAAGAACTGAATTGAATTCTGGGTGAAGAGAAGGTACCACCGTGGCTTCTCTAATTATCGGCTTCATCGGATCAGAGGGGAATGGAAGTTGCTAGTTTTTTTTTCAAGTTTTGGGGAGGGGAGTGCAAGAGCGTTTGCTTAGGAATTCTGGGAATTTTTTGTAAAATTGGTCAGGCCAAGTTCATTTCCCGCTTGATTTGAGAATGGGGGTGGAATTCCTGGGAACAATTAGCTTTCCAAGAAACTGAAGTTCAGAAAACTTCAATGAATTTGGCTACGTGTCAATCACCATAAAAGAATATGAGCACTATGCAATTCTTTAATTTTCAGCAATTGTTGCGTGCTTTTTGAAGCCAGGGGCATTTTGAGTTTTTTCGAATTACGGTTTTTCAGTCTTACGGTAACGCCAGAGAACGTCTTTGGGGGTCAGTTCCGTTTTCCAATTAATTTTTTTAAATTTGAGTTTTCCTTTGGTGTTTTGAGCTTAATTTTTCTATAATAGCCCTGTTATTAAATGTCTATACTTGTCAATTTTCCATCCAGAGTCCGTGCCCAAATGCCAGCCCAGTTTCCGGCCTCGTCGTAAGGTCGTGCTGCCTTCTCTTCCATCTAAAGAAGGAGAGAATAGGAGCAACTTGGATGGGCAAAGATGCCGATGGGCCTCCTGTTTCTTTTCTAGTTTCCTTTTTCGTTTTCGTTCATTGGGAAGGATTAGTCCACATGCCCCCCCCCCCCCTCCGCAGCCACACATCCCGATGAATCGGCCCCGTTCTTTTCGGTTGGGTCAGTCTTGAAGGAGGGTGGGGGCGCTTTTCAAATACTTCCGCCTTAGGTAAATTTGCTGTAGTTGGGCTTTTTTGGAAAGCGTTATTATCGGGGTTCCTAGGTTGGGCTGCAAGATCTGAAGCTTGCAAGGTTGTAAACTTTGCTGGAGTTGACTGCCCACGATTAATTCAGCTGGAACTGATCCACTGACTCCAACGTTTCTTTAATTTTTGTGACTTACCTTTGGGTTTTGCTTATCAAACTTTAGATGTCGACAATCTGGCTAGGATTTCCTTAAAAATAGAATATCATAGCTAAAATGTTCTTGCAAGTCCGAAAGGGTTGATTTAACATCCTAGTTACAATCTCGAATATTTCTCCATTGTCCTTTTTAACTTGTTAGCCTCCGCGTAAAAGAGAGCTTCAGCGACAACGTCTCATCCTTCCCCTCACCCCGGGGACTTTTTTTTCGCCTGCCAGCTCATCTGATATACATTCACATTTTTTGGGCTTACTTGTCATGTGTCTCTTCCATCTTGGTTATGCTCTTTTTTCCTTGGTCTGGCCGGTCGATGTAAATAAACGTGGTCTGGGAACTGCTGTTCTTTTTTGCAAACGGCATTAGCGTGGGAGTTATACCTCCAAATCGTCTATTCTTAGAAAAAAGGTCGTAAGTTTAACGCATTGATAATTATGATAGTATCACTAATTTAATTACGCAATGATTCCCAATACTCTAGTCCCCGCGTTTCGACTCTAACCCCCACCCGTCCGGATCGCGAGCATTAGTCCCGGGGGCAGTAAGCCACCATCGTAAATGTGCGCCAAGTTGTGTCCGGAAGGAAATATTACCGAGCGGGCGGGGGGTGGAGGGCCCAGAGCTTGGCCCACGTTCGCGGTCGGTCGGAGGGCCCCCGTTCTGCATCCACATATGCCGGGCAATGGCCCCTTTTTCGATGGCCATCCCCTGCCACGGGCACGCGTCCTGATCACCCCCCCAACGTTTTCTCATTGTTCGCTTGCGGGTTATTGTCGACAAATCGGAGGTTTAAGGATCGGGGGAGGGGGTCTTAAAAATTTAGTTACGACTGTAGGGAATTATATCGTAAACTTGGGTTGCTTAGATTTTAGGTGCTGAAATCTTGTTTGTAGGAGAAGCACCAAAGTTGGTTTTTTAATCAATCTCTCATTAAAGCTAGGACTTTGATTTGGGCGCTTGATGTTAATTTTGCGTGCAAGTGAATCGCACTTTCAAGAATTGAAAAGATCTCTCTTTCTCTCTCTCCCCCTTCCTCTGCTTTTTAGATAAACTACCTCCACTACTGGACGATACCAATTCATTCCAGACAAAGAGCGTCGCCGCGCTGTTCAAAAGAACTCAGATTTTATATAGAGAGTATTTGATTTTGCAACATCTAATACCAGTGGAAAAAGACCGCTTCGCGGCCATTTTCCACTGGGCCCCGTCCAGAAATCAAGAGTTTGAATACCTTCTTCTTTTAGCCTGCGGCGCAAGAACCTAAGTAATGGCGCCATTCTTTGGCCTGCGGCGCTAGAGCCACCGTTCCGCTAGAACCTTTGAGCCTGCGGCGCTAGAGCGAGAGCCAGGCCTAAACCTCACACACCGAGAGCCTAGAAATATGTTTTGTTGCTAAACTACCAAAAAGCAAAAAGCTGTATTTGCCCAGGATCCGAACCCACGACCATTCGGGTGGTAGGCCAGTCCCAATTCCACTACACCACGGTGGAGATGGGAACAGGCGGCCGCAAAGCCCTCTTCTGTGCAAAGCCCCCTTATGCCCCGGGAGGGATGCCTTCTGGTCACTTTACAAAATTAAGTTTTTGAGTCTGAATCTGCAGAAAATTTGCAAAGATAATAAGATGCGCGTGATCCCCACTATCGAATACATAAGTGGTCCAAATTTCAGCCCGGAATTCCAAATGCGAATCGAGTTATGCCCCGAACACCACGGCCCCTCGCCAATTTTGTTAAGGATTTTTACTATTTTGCTGGTAAAATTGTTAAATGGAGGAATTTCGAAAAACAAAAAAATGCGTGTCTGACAAATGTGTTTCTCCACCTCCATGCCGAAAATCAGCGCCAAATTCGGCCTGACGGCCGAGAAATCGTCATTACAGAAAACAGACATACTTTCCTCGCTTATAGGATAGGATGTGCGGTCACCTCTAGGCCGGAAGGCACCTAGTAACGTATCATACAGCCCTTAAAATTCTCTCCGTTATTCCTTAAAATTCTATTTTTTCGACGCGGTGCTGGAAAATGCATGCAAATGCGCACATGTCGGCACAGAAACTATTTTTAAATAGATCCCGTTATTTATCAAACTCGCCAAACTTTTTTTCCTCCAAAATACCCTCCATGACGCGTTCACAAAGCCTGCAGACGACTTTAGCAGACGCCCGAAAAACGATGCAGGACTACCAAAGTGCCCCCCTCCGTTCGGCCCTTTCCGGTGCCATGGGTTCCGCCTTGGTACAGGTGCCGTCGTCAGGAAATGCATAAGAGGTGCCGAATGGAGGGACGGGGCCATAGGCCGCATCCCTTCACTATGAATCATTCCTCCGACAAACCCCGACCCCGATTTTGATTCCAGAAACACCCCCCAGGGCGTTGGAAACGGGTACGGGCAATATGACGCCGTCTCGCTCGGGGTCTGGCTGGCCAAAAAAAGCGTATCGTTCCCTACATGTAAATTTTGAAATTTGAGGTATCTTAGAAATGGACACAGATTTGTTACATTATAAATAAATCTCTAGTAAGTTTCTGATCTAGCGTGGTAATTGCATGAACAAATGATGTCTCCCGTTTTTTGGAAAACATTAGCTTACCCTTAAAGGCGTATACCCCCAAATATTTAAAGTCAATAACCTTTAAATTTTTCGTTTTAATGCAAATTTTAGTTCTTGCAATTCAGCAGTTAGTCGGAAGAAGATGACATTTTTGAAGAAGCATAAGTAAGATGAAATTTTTGACAAGCCTGTACGTAACCAAATACTTATCCACATTTTTCCGGCAAATTTTACTCCAATTTATCACTTTACTCACGACAAGAAGACCCGCTAAAATACCCGCAGTCCATTATTACCCTCCTGAACACCCCCAAATACACTCAGAACCCGTCATCCCCCAAAAACTGGCCCACTGACTGCCCCAACTACCTAATCCGAGAAATCTATTGTTGCCCAAACCGGATTGCCGGGTCCACCCTTTAAAAAATTGAATAGCTTTGTCAAACTTCACTCCCTCACAGCAGGGCCCAATTTTCTACCGCCTTTTTGTGTGAAGAGTGGTTGAAAGGGGAAAGGGGTTCGGTTCGCGGTGGTATTCTCAGATGTTCTTTGCCCGTCTTTCTTTCCCTTAATAGGATTCCCTTCATTAGGCATCGCCAAACAAATCTCCGGCTTTTTTCTGACCCTCAGTGGATTTGAAGCGGGGGGGGATGGGCAGAATTTCCATTTCGAGTTGAGGGGGGTCCAACGTGACTTTGAAGAGCGGCGGGTTTTATTTGTGGATTGAAGGAGGTGTCTCCCGAATTGGTTCATTAAGGTTGGGGGATGTGTCTAGGGGCCACTCACCGCGCCACGAACCTTATAAATTAATAGGAGTCTGGCGGGGGACTTATATCTCTTACGAAGACGACAACTGTGCATCTTAAACCATTTCGATCCAGTTTGATATATGCACATTTTCCTTGTAAAATCAATCAATAGTAGTTATTTTTATTGGTTGTTCTGGTAATATTAGTACTTTCAGACAGTTTGGATTGGTAGAACTGATATAATTGGTTAAAATCGATTAATTTTTGATGCATTTTCGACATGCTCCGATCAAGAAAATATTAGTATTTCCTATACTATAAGCCCTTTTTCGGTGTGATTAAAACCATTAAAACCCTAGGTTTAAATTAGTGTAAATACGCCAACCCAAAAGCTTCTAGAACCCGCTTTTTGAAGCTCCCCTAAAACATCGATCCCTAAACGATTTCATCATAATTATTCCGAACATACCAATCCACGTCACCCCAATCAACACCAATTAAACATATCTACCTATCTATCTCTCAGACCTCCAAATTGGGCCCCACCGGCCGTCTGCTTTTTTCAACGGGCCCTCCAGTAGAACGATGGACCCCTCCTTTTCCACCCAAAACCTGCAATTGGCGCAACCAAGCACCTCCCCCCTCCCCAACCAACGCCACTTTTATTCCTGAACCTCCATCCCCTTTTCCAAATAGACACGGAAATATGCCCGATTTCCGAGTAATAAGCCCGCATTCGGGGCGGCGCATTTCGGACGGCTAGAAGATTCTCGTTTCGGCAAATTTGAAAAACATCCCCACGTGGCGCGAATGCGGGTCAATAAAAACAATTTATATTGAAATTTTGGCAATGAATGTCGAGGCTTGGAGATGTACTTCGAGGAAAATTGATTCTCTCTTCTCGCTCTCTCTCCTTCTCTCTCTCTCTCTCTCTCTCTCTCTCTCTCTCTCGTCTCACGTTTTCTTCAATTTTCTTTCCATAATTTTGTGAAGTCGCTGATGAAGCAATTTCTCTATACCGATTCCCAATTCTAGCCAACCTCACGACGGCTTTCCGAACGAATGGGGCCTTGGCCTGAAGTGTTGAGACTGGTGCTGTTCTGGAGGTAACGGAGGAAGCTATTACCCCTTAAAAAGAGTTCCAAAAGCGCGTGTCCAACCACACTTCCGGCCACCGAGAGTGAGGGCTGACTTGAAATTTAGCGCTGCTGGTTTTTCTAGCGTGAAAGTGGCCAAAAAATAGCATGTTTTCGATCAGGGTATGAAAAAGGTGGCAGTAGAGAACCGTTTTTGACAAGAAAAATTAAGAAAAAAGCTTTATATCATTTCAGTTATTGTACATTAGCGGTGGGAATGCATCCGATTTACGATATTATACAAAAGAAGATGATCCCAACGGTGAGTAGATTTTAAAATCGGCTTTCGCATTGCGGTACTGATCGACGCAACGCACACATAACACATTAATCCCAAATTTTCAGCCATATCCCGGAAAACCACTTGAAGTACATGTGGGCTTCTATGTCGAAAGCTTGGGAAATTTCCGGAGTACAGAAATGGTACCCAATTATCAGAATCTACGTAATTTTGGCTTCTTCTGTAGACCTTCGACATGGATCTATACATGTATATGTCATGGGAAGATCCAACGATGGCCCACAACGGCACCGACTATGTTTTAATAAACGGTAACCATCTCCACCATAGTCAAAAACACAAATTTCCACATGCACATATCATGTTTCGCTTAACTAACCCAATTTAGGTGCAAGTAAGTATGGCAGCTACGCCCTTGTAGAGTGAGATTTTTAATACTCAAAATTTGAGTGTTGTAAAGTAGTCTCCATTCCTCTTCTCCCTGTATTTGCACGCTGACGGATGCTTGAGTTTGAGGACCGGTTGGGGAAAGTACTTTTTTAATTGGAGGCCTTTTTAAATGGTATGTAGGTTTTTTCCCGGAAACTAATTAAATGTGATGCCAAAGATAATTAGAGAGGATTTGCAAATTGGAGCATTACTTATCAAAATGTTGAATCCTGTACTTCAAAAAGTACTTTCAAGGCGCGAGATGGAAAATATTTGTATCCTGGGCTACAAGGCGATCCGGTCAAACTCAACGATTTTTCCTTATTTTCATATTTGGTGATTTCGTGTGCATGGGACTATTCTTGCACGATCTCAAAAATTCCCTAGTAGGTTTCCATAAAAATATCTTCTAACAGGACAAATTATGAACTGAAACTAGACCCTTTAAACTTTCTCTTTTCCTTAGTTTTCACGATTTAAAAACCCCCTTCGGCAGTTTTCTATCGTTTATTGTGACCATATAAAAATTACGCTTTCATATAATCTGCATAAATATTTTTAACGTTTCAGATAAAGAGGTCTTGGAACGAATGTGGCTGCCCGATCTCTATTTTGCGAATGCTCGGACTGCCTACTTCCACGAGGTCACTGTTCATAATTTTAATATGTTCATCAATCCGCGAGGTGTCATTGCATACGGGACAAGGTATCGGAAACATTACCTTTATCTCAATTTTAATCTCTTAGGGTGACTTTGAATGTCGCCTGTACACTGAATTTAATCGACTATCCACTAGACTCACAACAATGCTTTATTAAGATTATTTCTTGTAAGTTCTCATGCAAATTAATTCTTAATTTTGCATTTTCAGATGCTCACGTTCAGCACGAAATGAATGCGACATGGTTTGGTGACGGCCCAATCCGGTTCAACCCCGAAATTGGTAAGTGCAACATAAAATGCCGACTATTGCTTCTAGGACTACCCGAGTACCACATTGTCGGCTTGGAGCATACGTATTGTAACGGAACATTCCATTATACCATTACACACAATTCAAGCAGGATTGGTAAGTTTTCAAGATTGGAAAAGCTAGCTTGATAGGTAATTTCTCCTGCTTGATGGGAATTATTCAATTAGATCGGGCGATTGGCTATCATTTGGTGCAGGTAAGTTGTCTATGTGTTACTGGATTAATCGTTTAGTCTTACATTCCTACCGGTCTGATCGTTGCGATTTCATGGGTTTCTTTTTGGATCGATCGACGAGCTGTGAGAAATTAGAGGTTTTGAAACTTAAAACATTAATATAGGTTCCCGCCCGGGTCTCACTCTCCTTTACTACCCTATTGACACTATCAACTCAAGGGAATGGTATTCGATATGGACTACCACCAGTATCATACGCTAAAGCTATTGATTATTTCTATGGAGGTACTTTAAACAAACATTACAGATAATGTGCTTTAGTATGCATGCTGTTCATCTTCGGTGTACTGCTTGAATTTGCGCTCGTCAACTCATATATGAGACGCGCGAACAAGTACAATTATATGGCGGAAAAAATGCAGCAAACGAACGGGACGGCGCCGAGCAAGACGCGGATAAATGATTGTGGGAATGGTGAGGAATTCGAAGATCCCTATTTGAATGAATATTTGACGACAAACGGTACAATTTATTTTGTAGTCTTACATTTACATAGCTTAGCATGCTTAGAAAACTCAATCAGTTTATATTAGGCTTTTTTCAGGGAGCACAGATTTCGACTCGGATTCTAGCCCTCAAAAACCACTCAATCAAATGAACCGTAATGCAGCTCATCTCATCTACAAGGTAACAGAACACTCTACTTTTGCTTCAATAATTTTTTGTCCCAAAACTAATTTATCACATTCCCCATCTTTAAAGAACGCCCTCCACATGAGCGCCGGTCAGCGAAAGAGTTTTGGAGTGACACAGCGCGAGGTAGCGCCTGCTAGTGGCTTACACCCCCCAAAAACCATTCTAGATTCAATACTACTATGAATTTATGGTAACACCAAAAAAAATGCTTTCCCACACACACATATAGCCAAGCTCGCAAGATTTGTTGCGCTTCGGCACTGAGAAAATCATTTTTGCGCATGTTGCCGAAAGGTTACGGACTTTGAAGTGAAATAGAAAAATGGAGAGCTAAAATTTTGGGATCGAGCGGCACATCAATGCATGCGCGTGGCTTTTCAAAACCGGATCTAGAGTTCTGCTGTGACCGAGGCTGACCAACATTTAGTAACAATTACGTAGCGCTTCTCAATACCACACAATGGGCAGATGGCACAAAATCATGAAAATACTTTTAATGATGTATCCTTTTCCAGTCAATGAAGTATTCGCGAAAAGCATTGGCCGTCGATCAAATATCAAGATTTGCATTCCCAGGTTTGGCGAATTTAAAAAAGTATAGAGAAACGTAATTTTTAGCGGTTTTCGTCTTTTTCAACATAATCTATTGGATGTACTACCTAAAAGACCGACCGGCAACCGGCGAAGACGTGAAAATTTAGGCTCGATTGCCCCCCTTCCTCATATTTCTAAAATGTGCCTTATCACTTGATTGCTGGAACTTGTTTTGGCTGCTTTTGATACATGTATTCCAATGAAAAACATCTCACCACTATCCCTTCTCCCGATCTACTGATCTCTATTTTGGATGTTGAACACAATCCATCGGGTTTGAATTGTTTTTTGCCTATGTATGTGTTTCATTATTTTGACCTTGTCAGTTGGAAATGCTTGTTTTGCGTATGAAAATGAACAGATGGAATGGAGCTTAGAAACAATCACATAGATTTATCTAGGTTTCGAAACTTACACATTAATGAAGGCTGGCAAAGCGATCGATTTTTTAATCACTCATGGGATCAGCCACCCCTTCGCACCTGCCAAAGAAACCTAAAATCAGTGCTTAATTGTAAAACAACAGCTACATTTGAGCAGAATTGATTTGAAGCGGCAAATGCTGTGGTGCGTCGTGGTAATATCTAAAGAAATTCGTGAATTTAAATAGGTACATGGCAAATGTAATACCGCATCTATTTCTATAGATTTCCACAGCAAGAATGTCGTAATTTCGCCGAAAACGTAGCTTTTGTTAGGCTCGGGACAGACATCTAAAAGCTTGCATAACCATGGCGTCTTGACACGGCAAAACTAACCGGCCAGTAAATGGGGGGAAATGGTGATTAGAGAAATGCGCGCAGCAGAGGCAAGAACACCAGTGACATAAACATCTTCTACCTCAACCGGAATGTTTTAATTAATGACCAAAAAAAATTGGATATACCTCAAATAAGCGCCATTTCGGAAGTTCTAACATAACCTTCTCTAGCGTAGCCCGCGACATCCCATATAACATTCCTTGACAGTATGGTGGTAAATGATCGCCGGCTAAGCGATTTGTTGGTATATACCTAAAACAAACAATTTAGATTTAATTTATTTATTTAATAGTCCGCCCATTAATAGACAAAAAGATGATTTGCATCAACCAATTCACCATCGATGACATGGACTTCTCCTAACAGGCGTTCTTACAGCAACCCTACAAAATATCACATCGTTCACCATATCATGGATATAATCCCTAAATTAAAAATCCCGAGTTCACTAAAAATTATTACGTCAATTTTGTCAAATCAACGACGACATCCCTGCCATCCACTTTGATAACATAGTCAAAACTCGCTGATGATAGCGCCCATTGAAATGCTGCCAATTGCTAAACGACGCTCAAAATCCTGGGTATTTCGGGATACCTTATAAACCAAATTCTGGTACGTCTCTTTAATAGAAATTGGCAGAAGATCATGATATCGCGTCATTTCCGCCTCTAGTGCAATCCCGTCTACACCATCGTCTTCTGAGATCACGAAAATAGCTGCAACCTTTCAAAACCGTTAGTCTAACTAGCTATAAATACCCCATCCAAATTCATCAACCAGGTGCTACGAATTTCAGCTCGCAATTTGAAATCGTGCACATGTACGTTAATCAGCAACAACATTTTTGAATTGATCGGCTTTTTAGGTTCTCTTTTAAAAAGCCTAAACACACATTTAATAAAGCTTGCGGAACTCCACAAACCCATCGTGTGCGTCGATGACTCTTTTTGCTAGACTGGGATCATAGCTAGTTTTATTACACATATGATCATGATGAAGTAGTTTTATATCTAGGAAATAGCTCCCTATCAAGCCTGAAAATATATAAAAAGGGCTTCGAAACTCGGACAAACCAAAAAATAGCAACAAGGCGCCAAGAAAAATGGCTTGGATTGTTTTGTTCATGAGGTCTGGCTGTAGGGGAAGATTGGGATCGGGAATGAGGAGAATACTAGCAATCGGCATAGCAAGTAAGATAGATTGGCTAGATAGGATGCCGAAGAAGAACAACGAACGCCTTTGGTGAAATTATACACGTGAAAAGTGTCGCTTGATGTACATTTCCACGATGGCTGTAATTATAAGAACCTTTGAAATCCATATATTTATTAAGCACAAGCTCAACGGCGGAACCTTGGGTTATAATCATTATTGCCGTCATACGATCCCTCATTTGGCTGGTATGCCTGCTGTCCATTATAATATCTTGGCCCGTTGTACCCATCATCATCAACGTCGTTCCACCAGTCCTTTGTGTCGTGTACACGATTTTTTACCTAAAACTTATGATACTATACTGATTCATGTGTCATTAAGTTGACAAAAGCCCATAGCCTCCCGATCGCGTGCCTGGTTAATTTCGAAAATTAGTAGGTCAATTAATTTTTGGGGGTGTCGTACCCATCGATGAGCGTGATCGAAAGCATCCTGGACCTTTGGAAGCGCTTTATTTCCGACCCAATCAGCCGACTAGAATTTTAATGTTGCATTAAACGCTGAATACTCTACATTTTAAACAAAAGTACTCATACGCATTAGAAGTCTTTTAAAAACCCACGTCTCTCGCAGCATTTCCCAACCAATCGAACACATTATCCAACCAATCAGCATCCGCTGTACCAACCAATACAGCCAATACCAAAAATATAATAAGTGCCCGCGGCATCTCGATACTACTGACAACTCACCCAACTGCCCAGTATTTTAAAGGCCTGCTACCTGATAAAAGTCAACACCGGCAGTCTTTTGGTAAACAGAGAAGCCGATACTAAAGGTAAGGAAGAGGCCAACGGCCACGTTTCGCAATCTCCTCACCCGGCGAATCATCGCACCCAACCCAACCCTGACCACTTCAAACCCATTTTATCCAGGAAACCACAAATGATTGGAGTATCAGCAAGGTCGAGAGAATATTTCAGCTACGGGGTTTTTGGAGATACAACCGTATAATGGGACCGGGACTAATGATACTGGGGGTGCGCAGGAATGTCGAATGGCGTGTTCTTTTTTGCGTTTCGGGGATCCGTGGCACGGCCTTTGGTACATCACAAATATGGGGGGTCAATAATGGAATCATAATACAAATTGGGTGTAGATTAAAGGGCAAGCATAGAAGACCGTTTCGTTAGGAATGGTGCGAAAAATCGATATGTATGGTGGAAAGGGCTAAAGGGAGAGCTACGCATTTTAATTGTCTTCACTGGCTGGTTGACGGCGGAGAAGATTCCAGGTTTTCGTTTTGCGATTGTTGGCTGAAAATATTTAAAATAGTATGACAGAGGGTCCGTGATAAGCAAAATGAATTAGATATCATTAAAAACCTACCGACAAGCATCGGGACTTGATTCATATGGGTGATTTGAATGATGCATGGCGGTTGCATCCATGGCTCCCCATCAATTTGCATTGGGAATGGCTTATGGGTTCTAATAATTTGATTACACAAATTGGAGTATTTTCCTACTGTATGACCACAGTGCTGCATTGGGATAGACGCCGTGCCGCAGCTCGCACACCGGCTTTGATCTGCCCGATTTGGGTGGCTGATTCAAGGCCGACCACCTAAATATAGACATATGGTAATTGAATATGAATGATAGTTGATTTGCATGTGTGTAGCGCTTTAAGGCTACCTCAATAAGTCCATCGCCAATATCCTGGACTCGATGTTGCAAGCCACCACCAATCGATCCAGGCGTGAAAATCAACGGCACACGAAGACCCGTGCTTTTCCGGGAACGACCTGGAAATAAAAACTTGATTTGTAGGTTTAAAATTCTAAAGTTCAAGTTTTAATACCCACCCCACAGATTTGACCCTCCATAAATACTAGCAATATTCAACAAAGCAATCCCCTCAAGCGTTGGTCCATTTCCAAGATCCAGCGTCTCACCATCGCACTAGAATCAAGTTGATCCGATTCAGAGACGGTTTCATACCAAAATATCAATTTGCTCGTGTAAATTCTTGCATGTAGCACTCAAGGTTTCTGTGGTTCCAAGTTCAAAGTACCTAAAATATCAAAATTCAGCTCTGAAAGAACTACAATTTACCATAGCTTGTTGCGCATACGGCTGTTGAACTTTTCTGGGAACTTTTCGCGCATTACGTGGAAGCGATGGGCAATGGATGCATCCTAAAAGTTATTAACTTAATTTATGATCACGATGATTCCTGAATCGCGCAAAATATAAAACCTACCACCCCAATACTGAAGTAATTGTTGATGATGTTGTATGGTGGTGGGTCGCCCTTGTCGGTCTTCTTGCGCTGCTCAATCTTGATTTGCCAGCGGTCCATCATCATCTGAAAAATGGTTGCTATTTAAGTATGCAAATTAAGAACATATGAGACGCTGATGACGTACTGGCTGTGCTTTTTCAATGCTGTGCAGAATTTTCTGCAGGCTCTCATTCTCGTAGCCACCTCCCCAACGGAGGCATCTAAACCAAAATCATTTAGAGAAAATTAACTAACAAATTACCTAGCCAAATCATTTCCGGTACCAAGCGGAAGTACCGCAACTGGCGGTCGGCCATGCTCCCATTGAATTTTATCTATATGATTAGATAATCGTTTTTAAAATTTCGAAACCAACCCATAGCTTCCAGGACCCATCCAATCGTTCCATCACCTCCACATACCAATACATGACAGCTTTGAATCGTGGAGAACAGTTGGAGACTACCAATTAACAAATAAAATTGCTTAAAATTTTGCATACCCAGGCTCCGGGCCAGTTTTGGAAATGTCGTAGACCTGTCGGGGGTTGAGCATGAACTCCAGCTTCCGGAGGACCTAAAATTGCCCCATTAAATTAATCCGCGATTTAATTGTCATTTGTCAAGCCATTTCTAATTTACGGATCCGGAAGGTTCAGGCAGACCACCACAGCCTTGGGGCCTGCTACCCACCCGAGCGGCCGGGTGGGTGGCCCTGGGGCAACGGGCCCTAAATCTCTGCTTTCTCCAAAAATCCCCCGGAAACAAAGACCCACAGCCAATGAAAGATGGGGATCACCAGCAGAGGCAATAAAATTTTTAGGGAGTTTTTTGCAAGCTTAGATTTTTTGACCTTATGGCCTTATATAACCATAATTTCCGGATTGAAATTTGTCCAGATCAATGCAAGTAAATCAGACAAAATTTTCTTATCTGAATTATTTGGTTTGTTGAAATAAATTTATCATATTTAAAAACCGGAAATCGGTCTCTAGAGAAGCTTATCCAAATAAAGCTGTCCCAAGAATTATTTTTTTAATAAGAACTTACAATATTTAATCTCGAGTATACAACCCCCCGTGTTTCCGATCAATATTTTAGAAAAGTTTCATTACTCGCCTTAACCCCCTGCTTGCCACCACTTTTTGGATTGATGAGACAGAGCAAGGGTCGACAATGGGATCCCGGCGACACGGCCTGAAACATCAACATTTGTTTAATGAATATTCAGCTGGGGCCGAAGAGATGCCGGGCACATGCAACGCCTCAGCACCCTTGTCCCTACCACCCCATCCGTATAAACTCAATATTCTGAATAATGAAGGGTGGCGGAAGATGGGGGTGGGGGGAGGTCGAGTCGACGGAATGCCGCGTTTTTTCGGGGACTCCCCGAAGCATGCCGGAGATGATGGAAATTGTGTCGGAAAGTGTTTGAAAGCGAAACCACAGACAAGTAATAGATTTTTAATTAGTGGGAATTGTTGGGGCTGTAGATCTGGGAGAACCTCTCATTTACATATAGAGAAATCGCTACTTTTAATCCATTACGTGTAAATTCATTATTCATCATTTCAGTACACTTAAGATCAAAATTCAGTATGAATTATAAAACCTTCAGGAGTTCAAATTTACGAGTTTTTACGAAATTCTATAACCAATATCTGAATAGCTAAAAAGTAAGAATATCGAAATTACTGAGTGAAATTCTTAAGAATGGTAAAATTTAAGTTGATAAACCTCCCAATCCCCCTCAAGGAGCGACAGATCGTGAAGACGTGTACGACTTATTTTCAGAAAAACAGCGACGAATGTGCATGCGAGGAAGGAGCTCGGACCTGGATAAGCTTGTATCGGTCGAGGGTAGAGGCGCGGGAGCGCAGGGTGGGCCTCCGCGGGGCGCCCGCCACCGCTGGCGGCTCATGCGCCGCGCGGGCCGGAGATGCGTCCTGGACAGAGACAGACTTCTACTTGTCACATTCCTTTTACACTTTAATGCTCGGCTCCCGCCACCCTTCCCGGAAATGGAGCTTGAAAATGCCTACCTGTAGGAGATTGGTGCTGTGTGGTTGTTTGATGGTTTTGCGTTCGAGGAATGCGGGGAAGATATGGGATGGGGGGAGGATGTGATGGTTGAGTACACCGAGGTCGCACACTTCTGGCCATTGGGTAAGGCATTTGGTGTGCACCTGAACCGAAAATTTTTCCGGCGTCGACCACATATTTCTTTATACCATAAATTCCCATACCGTAAAATTCGCCTACATTGTGCTATGTGAATAAAAATTTTTTTTTAATATAATTTTCCACTGATATGAAAAATGTTGGTCAATCTAAAGCATTAAAAAATTAGGTGAAGTTGGTATTTTAATATGATCAATTCCTGACTAGTTGATTACCGTATTATGGCACCATCGGCATCGTTTTCCCTGGAACGCTCCAACATTTGCCCGGCACTTTGCGCATTTCTCTGCCGAGTTCGCATCAATCCAATGATGAGGCATGGTATCCGTCTGGCGGTTACTGAAAATTTCACGTTACACAGAAAGCACGGCTTCGATTAAGGGGAAATATTTCAATCCCTCACCTAAAGGTCCGAATGCAGCATGTCTCCGCGTTTCTCACGCAACGCGAATGAACAGTATATTTGCATACTAAAACACTAGCATAAGTTGAAGCTTCATCACCAAATCACCTGAGCATGAGAGACCCTGTTTTCCACCCCATCCAACCAGTAATAGCCGGCATACATGACAATACGTCGGTTTGGAGAAATGGCGCAACTTCCACAGATGTGACCCGTCTTCTTTCATTTCCTGTAAAAAATAAAGCTTATCTAGATTCCTATATTAAAAATCAATATTTCTATAGGACTCCTTTTCTTTTTTCTTATTTCTCCCTCTTTCCCTCCTTGTCTTTTTCTTCTCCATTCTTTTTTTTCGCGGCCCTTTTGGCGCTTTTGTTCTTTGTGCTTTTGGTTTTGTTGTTTTTGCTTTTGAGTTGATTTTTAATGTTTTAGTTTGTGACCGTCCCCTGCCGCGGCAAAACGCGAAAGGTGACGTTTCCACCTGTCGATTTTAAAGATTTTATCGTGGGGTCGCTTTCGCAGTCTTTTACACAACGCTTTTATCAAGAGGCAGCCCCATCGCAAAAATCTGGGAAATATTTTCAAAATTTTTCCTCACACCACGTCATGCCATCAGACCATCCAACCCCTAGCTCAGCCCTTAAAATTTCTTCTTTTTCGAACCCCTTTTAAGAAATTGTATTGTGCAACGAACCCTCGGCCGCTGCCGCTGGCTTTTTAAGGCATTTCTCCGTTTTATTGTCCGCATCGAGGCTGCAATCAAGTAAGAAGGATCCCAGGAAAAAAGCCCCAACGAAGGGCCCACACCCACACAGCACCCCCAAAAAAAACGAGGAATCCAATGAGCGAAAGTGAGAAAATCGGAATTTTGGGAAGTGGATGGCTGGTTCCCTTTGATGGGAAAATTGCTGGTTTGCAATTAGCTCAACTTGGGATATGGTGACCGAATTTTACGGGATTATCCCATGCAATTTTTAGAAACTGGTGTAAGGATCAAAAAAATGAAGTGTAGCAAGACCAAATGTCAATGCAGAGAGAGAAAGAGAGAGAGAGAGAGAGAGAGAGAGAGAGAGAGACAGAGAGAGAGATAGAAGAGAGAGAATCGAAAAATTGAATCGTGAAGGCTCGAAAAAGAGTATGGGTTTCCGGAACGGGGGGACCGGGGGCCCGCGATATGTTTTGAAAGTGAATCATCCACCAGTCCCGTGCTCCACTCCGGTTCGACTTGCTCACACCACGATCGACGTGGATTTACATAAGCCCTTCCATACACTCGACACAACGAGTTTCGCCCCCATGGTTTTTCCGGTCATACCAATTAGAATAAAAAGAAGTAAAAGAAATAGCACTAGCTATTTTTCGGAATAATTTTTGATATGGTATAAACTTTAATACTTTAAAAAAATATTTTTCGGGAGAATCGAACAATTGAAGTTAAGCTCTTCAAAATATGTCTTTTTTTACGAAAATGTCCATCGGGGTTCTCGTGATTCGCTGTCCTGGCATTTTTAAGAGCCTTAAGCAGGTTGGCAAGCAAAATTTAATCCAATCGCTCATAACCAAACATTTTTCACTCCTGTCTTCGGCATTTTTTTAAAATATTTTTAAAACCCAACTATTATCGCCCTCCCCTAAAAACACATTCGTCCTCTCGATATGCATTCCATTTTAAACCTATATTACCGTATCAAAGCCGAGAAGTACGAGCAGAGGAATTGTCGTCATCCCTCCGCGCTTCCATTCATCCAGCGACACAATCCCATCATTGTCATAGTCGATTTCCGACATCATTTGCCGAAGGATCTAAGATATCATCACAAAGCTATTTTTATATGATGACCAGGGTTGAAAAGCCGCTTCGCGACTTTTCAACCCTGGCCCCGTCTGATCCCATGATATTCTGCGCGTTGAATAATTCTCACGATTTTTTACGACAAAAAATCAGAAACGCTACCTCTCTTCCCTTTATATAGGCTACCACAACTTCCGGCGCATGCTAATTGTTTCTTAACAAAGAGGGTCCTGGCTTTTTCAACAAAAACTTAATTTTAACGTCGAAAACAACTAATTTTTGAAAATTTTATTAGTGTGCAGTCATCCCAAGGCCATTACGCACCTAATGACGTATCATACATGCCCCTAACTGACCCCCTTATTGAGATACTGCTGGAACACGCTGACGGAAGTTGCATGCAAAGTGGCACACACACACACACAGACACTACTTTTTTATATATAGTAGGATACCGGCTCCAGCTCGCTTGTATCCCATTGCAGATGTTTCGCAACATTCATCATTTGCTCGATGATCGCCTCGGTCTCCTGAGATCACATTTATTTTTTAATCTATGCCAATGACCAACCGCTTTATCCAAATACCCATTGCAATCCGAATCATAGACGTGGAAGACGACTAAAAAAATAATATAACACCATCAATAATTATTTTCTTGATACCTTCCAGCTTATTTTCCGGGGAAGCACCTTCGAGCAATTGCAAATAGCAGACCAAAGGCTTCAAAGGGATACGCTGGCCCTCAAAAGACTAAAAACCTATTAATGTATCACTATGAATTTTTATTACCGCTTTATCATCATGACTACTCGTCAACTTCTCCAGTTTTTCGCCCAACGTGTACAAGTTCGAGCGCACGGAATTTAGGGTGTCTTCGAAAACCGAGCATCGACGATCTGGAGGGAAAACTTACATTGGAATGCGAAAATTATCTTTAACGGCATTTAATTTTTTAAATTACAACAGTATTGACAATCTTCCAGTCCGGAAATCAAGCAATCTCCACAAAATTATTTCCAACAGATTGAATTTCAACATGATGATAATAAATACCAGAATTGATTTTAGTGACATCAGATACTAATGTGAAAACTTCCAAAACGCACCCATCGACGGGTTTTTGGTAGGCTTCGCCAGGAAAGAGAGGAACAACTGCTCGACAAGATCGGCCGGCAGCTCGGCCCCAAAGTATACGGTAAGGAAGTGGCGCATCCCTTCGAAGTCGATCGTCTAATCGTGGATTACAAAAAAAATCGGTAGGATGAATTCACCTGAAGGTCGTCCGAAAGGTATTTGTAGAAGATGCCTTCCTGCTCGAACTCGACGAGCATGTCCTTTAGCTGATGGGAGCTGTCTAAAAAAAGTATCGATTGATGAATTTTGTAGATAGCTTACATGCCGCATATTCGGTAAGCCGGGTGAACTGCTCGGGGGAGAGCAGCATTGTTCAAGTCCTGAAGTTCAGATAGATTTCTTAAATAAATGATTAAGGAAAAATGAAATTATCTGAGAGATTAGAGAAATTACTAGCTTGAAGCTTAGCATTACTGTATAAAATTGCCAAAACGCGTTGTATTTCATTTCCTATAACTATAGGAAATACGGTCATGACTCCTCGGATTGAATATACTCCCCAAGAAAGACATGGACGTGGAAGACGCAAAAGGAATAGTGGAAGAAGACCTAATTGAGACTTGTTGGATGGATCTGGGGCTGCGGAGAGCGAAGGGCCTTCTTCTTTTGACTCTTCACTCCTCCCCTCCATCCCCTCTTTTCACGCCTCGTCGCCCAGATTATAACGACGGCGTCACCGACGGCGCTGCCTCCCCATCGGCATCCCTTCAGCTTCCCCTGGTCCAACTTGAACCCCCACCAAGGGCTTCGCGCATAAAGGACGCGCATTCAGATCATCTTTTCGACATTGAGGCGTCCGAGGGGGTAGCAATTTTACATTTTTATTGTCGGGAAGTTTTTGCTAGTCACCGCTAATAAGGAGTCCTTTTTACGCAAAATAGCCTATTCGATAGAACTTGAAATTCTAAAGAGATCCCATCTTGCAAAAATGCTTGGTGATCACGCTTTTTAAGAAAATTTGCCCTAAATGGCCAGGTGTTGCTGAGTAGGTTGGTAAATTGGGAAGAACTGAAATTCTGGCATCACCCTTTGCGGATTCTCGACTTATAGTCATGGCGATGACGTCCAGCGCATAACAATAACCGAATCTTAAATGCCCCTGCTAGCCAATCAGAAGCGAAAAGACGTAATGTCGACATCAAAATTGCATTTTGCAGCCCGCAACGACGCGGTTTGGGCAATGCTGCATTGAATCCTAATCGTCACTGCAAAGTTGCCGCGCTGGAGTGTTTTATCAAAACCAAAAGCGTGCAAAAAGCGGATCTGGTGTCTAGATAAAATTAGACGCCTGTAAAACATCTTACATGCCTCTACAATTTTCGTAGGTTTTACAGTAGAAAAATGAGGTTACACCCAACCTACACCCAAAATTGCGCCGCATGCAAATTTTATCAGTGTACCGGAAAGCTTTTCAAGCATTCTAGGCTTGGGTGGGGGTTAACCCGAATCATCGGGACATCTTCTTTCGATCTCCTCTCTCCCCCAGGAGCAAGAGGCGGCGAGAATGAAGCGGAAGGAATATTGAGGGAATTTGTGTGAGGAGCTGTGGGCCCTCGGGGCGGACAGCGGTGGGATTCATGAAGGGGGGCGAGATGGCGGCTTATCTGTAGCCCGAGTAGCTTCTAGCCGATCGATGTCGAGGGCCGGAGGAGGGCGAGAAGGCCTTCAAATCTTAGAGAGTGGCGAGGCCGAGATTCCCGGATTAGCCCCGGACAGGCATGTGGTCCAATCGGTGTGGCCCAGTCGAGGCCTAGAGGGCCCTCCCTGCATCACCAATCTGCTATTGTATATCAGGAGACCCGGGCACACGGCACATCAATCCCATCCCAACCCCCTTTCACACCACCAGATAATCTCATGCCTGAGGATTTGAGCAGGGGAAACCCGCTGATTGAAAGGGTTATAAAAACAGAGTTCTCGTCCCGATTCTTTAAGATTGCCATCTTAGGAATGAGCTTGGAATAAATGAGCCCTAATGAGCCTAGAGAGCCAACGCAATTACTGCTTTTTCGAAACGTATCCGGCAAGCCCTGGGGAACGCGATTACACAAAAATGACATCAAACCAGAACGGCTGGATCGGCCGCGCGAGGATATGTGTATTTACCAAACTACGATCGGTGAGGTTCAGGTTTTTCGAACGCCGAAAAAAGTCGGCATTCTAGGAGATAATTTAGACGCTTCTTCTATTAACCGATTATAAAAAGATGTTTATATGCAAAAAAAGTATTATGGACAAAAACCATGTTTTCTGGGTTTTCTATGCTTTCAATTCCTGGATAGTGGATCCAAAGAGAAAGGACACAATTACAGAATAGTTATAACGGAACTCAAATTTATATTGCGTTTAAAATTAAGGTACACGCCAAAGCCGCACTACCTAGCCCGGCCCATATCCTCCCTTTCTATTCCCCGGGCTGCGATGAAAAATAATGAAACCCCTGCCCCTTAATATAGACCACCACCACTTCCGGCGTATGCAAATGTTCCTAACAAGAGGTGCCCGAAATTTCACAAAACCTAAATTTAATGTCGAAATGCTATTTGCAAAATCTGATAGCTTGCAGTCATCCCAGAGCCATTACGCACCTAATGACGTTCATACTACCTAACAATCATCCCCTATCGAGATATCCTCGGACAGTGACGGAAGTTGCTAAGTGTCATACACACACCTTTTTTTTTAAAGTAGGCATAGGATAACGGGGGGGCACTCAAACTTTTTATTTGATAAAAGTGTTTTTAAATATGCTTTTTTCGGGCTGTAAAAAAAACTCTTAGTATATTTTTCGGTCCTCTATCGAATGGCATTTTCAAAATCTCGAAAATATTCAAAACGCCGAAAATTCCCCCCTGTTATCCTATGTGCTGCCCATGGTTTTCAAAAATAGTTTTTAGGCTATAAAACTTTTATAATACATTTTTTCGCGTTGTAAAAAAATCTTTAGTATATTTTTTGATGTTCTATCGATTCGCGTTTTCAAAATATCGAAAATCTCAAAAATTTGGCTTTCCCCCCCGTTATCCTATGTGCTGCCCATGGATTTTGCACAATTTTTGTTTATTCGATAAAAAATTTCATTTACATTATTTCGGGCTGAAATTAATTCTCCTAGGGCAGTTTTCGACGCTTTATCGAATGACGCTTTCAAAATACCGAAAATTTCGAAAATTTGACTTTCCCCCCCCGTTACCCTATGTGTACCAAAATTAAAATAAATCCGAGTAATAATCTAGCAATAAAATCCTAATAATAACCTATTGCTAAAAGCGATCAAAACAATTGAAAGCCAAACAAGTCAGACTACTTGGGTCCTGTAGAGCCGCGCGAAATGATCCCAATATCCGGCAATTATTCAATTTTCGCTAGAAAGCGAGAAGGAGGGGAGGGACCGGGCGAATGGCCGGTGCCAAGCGTCAATTGGGCCCTTGTTCCCACACTCAAAAAAGGATTCCGAGCCGCTCCGCCCGCCCCGCGGGCCAAAACGGAAGCCGGATTGTACCGGAGTGGAGGGTGATAGACCTGAAAACGTCTAAAAAATTGTAGGAGGGTTGGTTTTTGTAGTAAGCGACTGAGCATTGAGCTACGGAGATAGTCCTAGCCGGATTGTGCTGGGCAAATTGCAGCAAGAATCTTATTACCACTAGTGTTTCCCAGTGCTTTTTAAGAGAAAAACAAAATACTAGCACTTTATTGGTAACAACAATGGCAATATACCAACGGCACTAAAAATGTCTAGTAATTTTAGAGGAGAAAGCACGGCACCACCGAGCCTAGCCTCTATGTGCTGGAAATCAGAATGATTTCCGAATGTTTGGGCCTTGCCCTCTCTACCCCAATCAACCAATTAGATGGAAAGTGGCTAGCTGAAGTCCCAATCAGCCTTTCTTTTCACATTCACACGAAAACCCCCCATGTCCCGACGGATCGACGCCCCCCAAAAATGTCATACTTATAGTCTTGACCGTCCAACAACCCCTCCCCCCATGGAATCGAGCAGGTCACAGTAAAGAGCGGAGCAACAAAAAAAAGAGAAAAGGTCGTCAACCAATGGCACAGTCTCAGGAACGGACCTTCAATCGAAAAACGGCAAAAACAAAGCAAAGCGCTGTTCCTCCACCCAGCACCCCCCTATAAATACAACTTCCACCTCCAAGTTCCCTGCTGCCAATATTTTTTCCGAGCCAATCAATTCGCCCCTAGACGCTTTTTTTGCCCGCAACCCAATAACCGCCAAGTTCCCGCGGTGGCTACAAGATTGGAAACATACTCGCCGCTTTTCGCACAAGCAGAACACAATGGTGAGTGGAAACATCCAAATTTTAAGTTGAAATTAGGTTTCTAGGCTCTTTTTCCGATTCCTTGCCGTCTGCATCATTACGAAGACCGTGGAATCGGCGTGTTCGGCCAAGTGCAGCCCGCACTTTACATTGCCTTGGTATATTTCATTGCTATGATTAATTGAAACGTCGCGTTTTTTTGTAGAGTTTCTCCATCAAATTGAGTACGAAATTCAGAGGTCCGAGAAATCTGGCAAAGATTACTTAATGGTGGGGCCGGCGGGCGAGGCAAATAGTGGGGATGTAAATTAATTTTCGAATTTTAGGCTTTAACGAGATTTTTGAAAAATTCCCTCGAGAGAGAAACAAATATATTGAAATCAAACCCAAAAATATATTTATTTGCAATCTTTCAATCAACAAAAAGTATGGTTAGAATAAGGTAACGATTTTCAATTAAGCATTTTGGGTTCAATGGACCTCTTAGTATACTTTTCGATGCCCTCCCGATGGCACGAAGAGGAAAAACAACCAGGCTGACTGGGTCTAATCTCCTGCTGTATGCCCCCCCCCCCGTTAAGCAACCTTTATAAAACTTTATAAACTAGCAAAACTTTTGCGATTGTTCGCCAAGGCCTCAATAGTAAAGAACAACCTGATAAAAAGATGAAAAAAATATTTTAGCAATGTCAAAAAATCTAACGGATGTAGACTTCAGAAGCCATTGAAACCCGAAATACCCCAAAATCCAATCCGAGTTTCCCAAAAAACACACCTAATTTGACGAAAGTGAGATAGATGTTTGTGCATTTCATTTTGACCCGGTCCCCCTCCTTCCCCTCTTCCCGAAATGTCCCCTCATTCATTTCAGTTCATTCGGAGCGTTTGACCGTTGTCTACTGAAAGATTGCGAGGCGAAATGCCGTCGGGACGAAGGGCGAGCGGTTTACGGCTGTTTTTGCCGGTGATTCCGGGTGGCCCAATGGCGGGCGGCCCAATGGAGATGACGGGACTCTTCATTCAGGGGCTCAATCGAAGGGCCGACGCTTCGCTCATGCTTTTGTGGCCCTACCAACCGACACACCGGAGGCAAGCAGCCCACGCACGATGCCGGCAAAAAGCCGAGTAAGCCGGGCAAGAAGCTGAAGAAGCCGTGAAAGACAATGGGCCCTTGATTCCAGATCGTTCAGATTTCGGAGAGCTATTTCGATAAATTGAAAGACCTTGTATGAGAGAAAAGACAAAGAAAATGGAAAATGGCTGTTTGTCTTAGGCCTAGGTTCTAGACATCAAAGCAAAAAGTTATTTCCAAAGAGCATCAAAATTAATTCCGCGCCATGTCACGTCTGACTGGTATCACAAAAAAGCCCGGCAATCCAAAAATGCCTGTTATTTACAGGCGACAGATGTTCCGCGTAGATCTGACGTCAAGCAACAGAAAATACCCTAATTATCCTGTCCCGATTTGGTGTTTAGATGAGCGAAGCCTCTTTAATTTCATTAAAATTCTCAAATTTCCCTCGGAAAGAAGAGGCACGATTCACTCGAGAGAAACCGCGTTTTAAAATTATAGATATAGAAAAACCTGCAAATCAGGCCATGAAACAGCAGACCCACTATCTGCAAGTGGTATGTAGTAGATGGGAGCTATCATGAGGTAAAGTCATCAAAATACTGGAATATTCGATGGATGAAAAGATGCGATACCCGGCCCCTAGTCATCGCGTGGCTTCTTTTCCAGGGATATAGGTGAGAAAAGGGAGTAGAAGAGGTTGATCGCAACGACGGCAGCTCACCTTTCCCCCTCGGCGTCATTGGAATCCAATTCGACGGCGGCAAATGTGCTCTCTTTTCCGCTGTGTAGCCCCTCTGGGCCGTTCGGGATTCCGTGGCTGTGTGTCGCGCCAGATTTGATTCTCACCCTCATGCTCTCTCTATCACATTCCTCACATCTACTTTTGATATATATTAGCATGCCCTTGCTCAGAAGCAACACTTGATTGGGTGGAGAGTGAGGGTAGCTAGCCTTGTAAAAAGGCAAGGTTGTTGCTAAAAAATTTTCTAGTTAGTGCTCGTGCTCCAAAGCTAGATTAGGGATTAGCTAGTTTTTTTTGCATGGTTTTACCCGGTTGTCGCCAACTGCTTTAAAAGTAATTTTTAGACAAACTTTAGAGTTTAAAAGCTCTAGTACAGCACAAATAAGCATCTAAAAATAAATAAATGTTTTTATCTAGCAAAGCCTTTTTTAGCCAGTCGTCTTTATTAATAATCTTCTTAGATTAATTGTATTAATGTTTTAAAAAGTCATACCGAAAGAATGCTAAATATAGCTAAATAATTCGTAGCTTTATTACTTTATCGTTTTTTGTATCCTTTTTCTAGCTGCATATCAATTTTGTGTTTTGATTTCTTTACAGTGCATTTCCATTCCAATATACGATCATCATTTATAAAGATCAACGCGCCCACTACTGCCGCAGCTGCGGGGCTGTATAGAGGACACCCGTAGCTTGCACAACATAAGAAAATATAGGGGGAAAGATGGTAAGTTAAAAATATGAAAATGTGTGGATAAAACCGCCCTGTGAGGGTGGACAAAGGAATTTTGTTGAGAAGAACGTTGGAGACGGAGATCAGAAGTTGAGAGATATTTCCCTCGGCGGGTCAAACTCAAATCCAATCAAAAATTCGCGATTCCGGACTCTACCCAGCCGTTGAAATACTTCCCTACATTATCACAACTGGGATAATATTCGTTGACGGGTACCATAAGAAAAAAGGGGGTTATTTTGAATGGATTACTAGTGCTGAATTTATATCTGGATCCAAATACATATTTGTTGTAAACAGACTGTTCGGCAGCATTAGTTCTCCTACTCAAAATAACAGAAATGTTGTGACTGACTGGAAAAGTTAATATCACTTGTCATCTATTATATATAATGTCGGCAATCTGGGCTGTTGAAGGATTGTGACTGGATGGAGAAAATGGTAAAAATAGCATAGTACTATGGATATACTGTATTGGCGATCAAACGCCATGGTGACGAGATCAATCGGATACCTTGTGAACGGCGGGCTGGGATCCGCTACAACTCTGTGAATTTGACGATGTGAGGATAGGAAAATACGAGGTGTCTTAAGGAAGCGTCCCTTCTAGCGGGTCGGAGAAGCGTCTGATTGTGAAAGTTAGGTATATATTTAAAATTTTCTAAAATGCGAAAAGCGAGTAGTTTTCGGTTTATTAATTTATTTGAATCCTCAAATTTTAAGAGCAAAATTGATGCTTATTACAACTTTTTTACTCGCCGTTTCAAGAGCTTTCGTTATATACCTAAAGCGGTAAAATCAGCGGCTTCTACAGATCGCTAAAAGTATGCTATTTTAACACACCCAGCAGTAGATGTGTTTTGTGACATCAAATTGGACCTATGTGTTGACCCAAATGGGTGACATCCACCATGGTATCGAACCCATGGCATAATGCCATAAACCCTGAAATGTGAGGGGGGAGAAGGAAAAATGGCAGGGGACGGGGGAATTTTTGAGAAAATTGGGCAGAAAGTGCGGAGAGTAATGTTACAATTGTTCATCCCCGCTTGCAGGCGTCAGCTCGGTGGGCGAGGTACGAACGATGGAGGGTAAGGAAGGGCCAGCGGCACCAGTTTCTTCATCCGTCACACCGTTTGGAGGCACACACGAGTTGGGGAACATGCGACGGTGGGCCGCCGGGCATTCGCGGACGTCTGGTGACGACTAGAAATTGTGAATTAAAGCGTATATTAAAGCTATATATTATTTGTTTGGTCGGTATTTTTATTCCTAGCGCAAACCTTGTGTTTTTGCATTAAAAAGCTTGCATTTTTGGCTTTGTATTATAGGCTTAAATTTCAATTTCCGGTGGAAGTTAATGTTCATCCTGTATTTACAAGGGCTCTAAGGGCGCGACTTTTCAACATTTTTAAACTACTGAAAAATTGGGTTACCCTGTTATCTCAAGTGCTCACCTCAATTATCGGCCAATTTTTCTATGTTGCAAAAAATTCTATTGACATGGTTGGCTGAAATAAAACCTTCTAGGCCTTTGCGAAATCCCACCGTAATTGCAAAAAAAAATAAAAAGGTTATGAACAAATAATAACCCCTCTGTTACCCTATACATTGCTTACATAAACCGTACCTTACGGAATCCAAACCATCGTGCCAATCGACCAATGGTACCGGTATGGGCAACCAGATCAACATCAGTCAATGTATGTCGACGGCGAGGATCCTTGGAGCCCTTATTACGCATCCGAATCTTCTGCTCGCATTTCGACTCGGCGTTCACCAATAAATCTTTTGGACGTTGCGGTGAGACTTCCTAAAAGTAAAACGTAGCTACGTAGCATGTCAGATAGATTACCTGCTTGTTATACGGAGAAATGGGCGAAATACTGGCATAGTCACTGCTGGCCGCCCCGGGTTGAATAGAAACCGTCATTGGCATAGAATATGGGATTGATGAATTTGTGGAGAGGGAAGAGGAGAACGAAAGTGCATCTTCACGGAGCGGGCTTTGCTTTTGGTTCTCGATGAAATGATGCCCGTCGCGCGGTTTGTTAAACCTAAATACAAATTTTATAACTCTATAAACGATTTAAACTACCTTAATATACTTTCCGTCATCTTGTTTGAGGCAGGGATATGGTTTCCAGATTGGAACATACGGATCTTCTCCCGGGTCGCTTCAGATAGCACCTGAACAACCATATTTCTTTAAGGATCGTTAATACTCTAACACGCGCTAAGGACAGCTTTCCAAAGATACAGCGTTGGCAAAATGATGACACCAAAAATTATCGAAAAAATTCCAAAATTCATGCTCTCATTTCGCCACACACTGTAAGCCATTAGACGGCGAGAAGATCGACAAACAGAGGGAACAGATTTCTAACGACGATCGGGGGGACGGGAAGAAACACTCCCAAAAAAATCAGGGGGGAAAAGACAATGATGCTCTATTCTGTTCATCGATCAAAGTTTTTACGGGACAGAAGCCACCCGGTTCAGCGCTGATACCTACGCTACACACCTCGGAAGGAGCGCGGAGCCTGGAGCACACGTTTTTATATAGGGCGGTATCTTTTTTTTTTGAGGAATGAACATGCTGGGCTTATTCAAGTTAAATGTGCTACTTATAAAACGGTTTCCGAAGCTTTGAAACTGGCATACAGGATGCAGAATTTGATTTCAACGGTATTCAAAATAATATCTTTAAAGTTCTATCAGCAATTTTGGACGATTATGTGGCACTAGCAAGCAAGTGCATATTAGGTATAGTTTGTTGGTTACTTGAACGACGGTAGGCACGGGCTGTTTACCTCGAGTTTCGGGCTCTCGGCCACATGAAGATGTTGAGTATGGGAGACGAGAGCGTCTAATGCTGCATCCGGCAACTTTTCGCTTGGCTCGACATTGCCCAAAATGAACATCCTCCGAGCCGATGACATATCTTCTTGGACTCGCTTGCGGTTTCTGCGCTCTGCTTCCGGATCTTGATCGGAGAAATCTCCTTCCGGTAATGTTCGCGAAGAATCGGGTAGGGAGCCAAGGGAGGACTAAAATATGTATTTTTCGAGGTTCGAATGGGGCCTAACCTCGAGGGATGGTGAATGATCAACGGTTGAAGTGGCCGGTGTCATTTTTTGTCTCGACTCAATTGCCGCATCAATATTCCGCTCTTGGAAACCAGAGGACGTCTCGCCAGACTTGCTCGAATTAGAATTTGCCTCTTCCTTGCGAGACCGCTAAGACGCATGATTGTAAGTATGGTATGTCTCATTATTCCTTACCGTGAATGATGCTTGACTGGAGGTATTCTCTGGTTTACTCTTGGCTTTGTCCTTCTTCCGCTGGGAATTCCGTCTCAGGTTGATGATGTTGATGATCTTTCCGGTTCGGCTCTCCCGCATCATGTCGGCTGCCTCGGCCTCGTTAACCCGACGGATCATATTGTGCATGTCGTTGAAAGACGAGGATGAGACACCTGAATTCAAGGAGACGGTGTAAATACCAGTTTTTGGTTGCGGATATCTGATTACCGTTTATAATTGGTAAAACATACCTGCTGGGCAGAGTTCGAGGCCTTGAGTGCCGGGTGCGACTAATGGTTCTGTGTGGATCATGGCTGGGACTGGGTCTTCAGAGTCGCCTTTATCATTGAAGATCCAATCATACTAAAAAAACAATGGTTTATTTATGATATACATGATTAATGGCTTTGCTCTAAGACAAGCCCCTCTATTATTCTATTTATTCTAAGCTATATCAGTGATAAAAGCAGATGAAATTGACCAAGAACCTATCATTTTTTGAATTTATTTTTTAAAGTCCCGATTATATATAAAATCACCAACATATATAATAAAGGACTCGATGATTTGGCATTGGTCCCCCATATGTGTAACCATCGTCGACATGTTGTCATCCGAAGGGCGCACGATTGAGGGCCCGAACATAAGACCCAAATTCCGGGCCTCCATCTGAAAATCGAGAATTGTGGGAGCACCGCAAACGCAATTAGCCTTTCCGCCCCACCCCGAATTACCCCCCTTAATGCATTCTGCAGGATTATAGACCAAAAAAAGGAAATGGTTCTGTTGTATAAAAAGCAGACCTACCCGATTGATATCACTCTTTGTGGTGATGAGCAGAAGATGGGCCATCAGATGCTTTAACGTGTGATAATGGACCGGGTGGAGCTTGCGGAGCTGGAAAAGGAATTCTAGCTTAATTTTTGGGCTCAAAATTACCAGATTGCGAATCTTGTGTAACCGCTGTGTATGGTTAGTGATCCGGTTGGCATCGATGAAATACGGGTAGAGCTTGTCGGTGAGCAGAGGCTCCGGCAGTTTTCGCAAGAACATTTTTAGCAGTGACGATACAACGTTCACGTCCTTCCATCGCGGATCGGACCAATCGATCTAAAATGGGCAATCATAATCGTTTCATGTTACCAAAATTCCTTACATCAAAATGTCTTTACGTCGAAATCCGTATATGTAAATATCTAGCCGTATTTATGAGCTTTTCGGAACGAAATTGGTTTATCTCATTCAAATTCCGGCATATTTCGATTTTACCTACTGTAATTTATATCAAAAGGATTTAACGTGATCGATTCCTGCATATTGAAATTTCGGCATAATGTTAATAATAACACAAAGGAACTGTATGTGAATAGAAGTATGACATCTAACTCACAGCTTCATCTCCTTGATTCAGTGTGTCCTTGAGGGCATTGACAGCGGCTGTGTTGCCCGGAATACGATAGATACCCACGGATTCCATGCCATTTTCCTCGACGACTCGTAGGCAATGTCGGACAAGCATTGGAACAGCCTGCAAAATCAGAGATTATAATCTTTTGATCTTCCTTTTTTATTAAGGCGTATAAAAACCTACATCCTCGGGTCCCGACGTCTTGCAGTCAATCAACTTTTGCCCCAGCGCAGAGTTTGGCTTGCCTTTCTCCTAAAATAAATTTATTCTTGATTGTTGCTATTATTTTATTCTAAGCTGTTCTATTCCAAATCAATGAGCAAAATATTTTTAACTAAAAACCCGTAATTCTTCGTACCGGCAGTCCATTGGGTCCCGTGGCGGCTGCTTGGCCTTTGGCCGGCTTTGTCTTGCCCCTCCAATTTTTGCGCGCGTTTTTCGGCGTTGTGCCCACCTCATGGCTTGCAGCTGGAAATAAAAATATATTTTTTATACTTAATTTAAGTTATACCTTTGCCGTCGACGGGAAAGCTTGGACCAGCGGTTGATGGCTCGAGCGCGTCGGAGACCCGTTTTGTCAGCGGGGAACTGATTTGCGAGGTTTTCGCCTTGTACCTAAAACAAAAAAGAATAACTAATAGATTATATAAAATATCTTTTGATACCATAAGACACAATATATCTTAAAATAATTTTTTTCGACCAACCTTTGCATAATCAATTGCTGCGTCGCAAAGGAATTATCAATGAGCGAGCCGCTGGTGCCTAAAATTGAGTTTCATGGAACGTTGAATGATTATTCAAAGTCAAACTAAAATATCTGCAGCGGAAAATTTTTTTATATATAAATATATAGCTCATAAATTAAGCAAGAAAACGACGTACCACTGGCAACATGCCCTCCCTGTGACTCAACTTCCAGCGACGAGGAACGCGAGGCTAGTGTTTGATCCTGCAAAATGTCGGTTAATATGATATACAAAATTAATGCATCCTATGTTTTAACAACGAGACAAAAGAAAATGGCATCTAAAAGGAATGCTAATTTTTTATTTTTTGAGGTTCGGGCAAAAATGGGATAGATGGTAGGAGAGAGCGAGAGAGAGAGCGAGAGAGAGAGAGAAGGAGAGAGAGGGAGCTAAGGGTACTACTTGGTTAGATCTCGTTCAAAGCCCCCGTATAACTCGCATAACTCCGCCGTATTTAAAAGCAAAGCTACATTGTCCTTTTAAAAGCACAAGAACAGACAGCGTATCAAATGTGTTCGGGTAGGGGTGGATGGGAAGGCTGTGGTTGGGCAGCTCCGAAGCGGGCCGGGGGAAGGAAAGCGAGAAGGATGCCGGGATTGGGGAATGCGGCTCAAATTGAAGTCGGCAGTCTTCTCTCTTGCTCCTCCTCCACCTCCTCCTCCTCCTCCCCTTTTTTCCTTCTATGGCATCGGAGAAGGGGGGTGGGGGGTGCCCGGGACCAGATAGAAAAGAAGCCCGAGCTGTGTGTGTATGTGTGCCCGGACAAGTCGTCGTCGAGAGTCAACTCGCAATTAGGGGTGGCCCGGAGAAGGCCGATGCCCCGGGCCCTCCCCCCTTCGGCTCTGCTGCCTAAACCACACCCCACACAGATAAAAGAGATCTATATGCACTTTGGCCCCCGACGCCATGTTGCCGTATCCCTTTTTGTCGTATCCAATTCGTATCAATCGAAAAAGCACACTGGCTGATCTCGCACTCAGCCACCCCTCGGGGATCGCAACTCTACTTATGCTAGTCGCAGCCAAACCCAATCAGTCTCTACACCTAATAAGGTATTGGGAAGGGGTTTTTTAGATGGGAGTGCGGCTGATTGGATGGGATAGATAGATTGGGGGAAGAGGAAAGGTATTTTGGGCTTTGAGTGAAGGTATCGGTTCTGGATCCCGGGTTATGGGGGAGTTTAAAGGGCGAGAAAACTTGATCCCTATCCGCTTTTTGACTAGGCTCTTGAATTATAACATAAGATGGCAAACTCGAACAATCAGAATATCGGATTTACCCAAAGCGTAGGAGTGGGATCGTTTCTTTCTTAAGGCGTTCTTAAAAATTTAGAATCCGAAAGAACAAGAAATTAATGACCAATATTTTTATATTTTTTAGACAACGATGAGTGGGTGATGGTTGTGAAGAGAACAAGCGCTAAACGATCCTCCCCTTCCCCCACCCATAGTGTGCCTCGATTCGATCCTTCCTTGTTTGCACACCGGCCCAAACCTGACCCACCCGCGCGGCATCGAACCGTACGGAATCCATTTTTGGGAAAGGGAACCATTATGAGAGAAAAAGAACCTCTCTCAACCTATAGATATCGCCAAAGAAAAAAAGGCTTTCGTTGCGTAAAAATAAAGGGCACTCCGAATCCGAGTAATAACGGGGGATTTGAAAATTGTGATGAGAGGTCCGAAATAAAATTTCTGAAGAAGCCGAATTGTAGCATGAAAAAGTTGGTCGACGATTCCCAGAAAGCACTTTGTGATTGGGTGTGTTATGAGCGGAGGAGGGGCGGGAGATTGTATCCGACGAAAATGAGCGGGATAATAGTGCTTGGGACCCACAGAATTTTTGAAGCTAGTGAATTTCAATTAGAGGGGAAGGCAGTGAGGTGGGAGTGGGCATTGTGTCGGTATGAATTATTAGGGAATACGCGAAGGTCGTTGTGGTTAAGTGGGGGGTTGGGTAGGGATGGGAGGGACGGTCTAAAGGGTTGGAAATAAGTAGGTGACACCCGGGAAGCGGGGGGCCGTGAACGCGGAGCGCGAAGTAGGTGGAACCGTCTTCCCAATCCGCAAAAACTCTCCAAAACTACGGTTTCAGGGTAAAGGGGTCGACCTCCAAGAGGGTGACCTTAAAATATACGTTGAATATCGCAGATCTCTATCGAATACAGATTTATAGCCTTCCCAAAAACAGGGGTTCGAGAGTACAAAAGAAAAGCTGTAAAGGAATAGCGTAGTCGTGCCTTGGCCTAGAGATATATACCTGTTTCTAAATAAAAATAATCCGAGGTCAGGAATATTAATCATGTTACTTCTTTTAGACAACAAAATATGGACTGAATATCAATCAAAACGGTGATATGAATTGCCATTTGGGCCAAAGGTTGTCTCGTAAATATTTGATAAAACCACGAGCCCCAACAATGATGTGAGGTCGAAGTGGCGGATCCTCCCAGATCTGAGGTCACGATGGGCGGTCCGCCGACCGTAACATTGAAAAAAGCTTAATTAGGCCTTTGAGGCTCAAAAGAAGTTTCATTTCTAAGTTCAGGATACAGTAGCCGCGTCCTTATTGTCCACGGGATCGCCTCAGGAATGTAGGCAAGAAAAATCTGATTAAACTTTTTGGGCTAGAAAGGGGAGGGAGGCAGAGGGTGGAGCAACGTCGTGGGCGGTCTAGCCGGCGAACCCGGACGAAACGAGTGATGGATGCACAAGATTGATCGAATACACCGAAATCATGCTTGGCGGCCAATCCACCTTTATGATTGAGGTCGGGTCATAGATCGTTTTAGCAAATGTGTGCGAATTCGTCAATAGGAATCCAATTTTATGAGATGTTTGTTGGCTCCCCACTGGTTTTGAAACTCGGGGGGGGGGTCAAGAGCTGATACCGTAGATTAAATTATTTAGGACGGAATCAGTATTGAAGATTCTAACCCTTTCGACCAGTGCCACCTAGCCAGGGTATCAGTCAGAAACATACCAAGCATGGAGATTTTTGTGGAAGAATGGCAAGACCTGGGTGTCGAATTCAAGAACCAAGGAAAATTCTAAAAAATGCTGTCTCTATAGGGCGGAGTTTTCATGGCAAAGCCGTGGATTGAAATAATAGCAAATATGCAAATTCATGCCTGGTTGGGTTCACGGAACGATTGATGGGTATAACTTTTGAATTCCGCGAAAGTTATTAGTAAAGGAATACCGAAAATACCGAATCTTGAGAGAAAGTATCTGCGACGACTGTCAATGGCAACGCAGATGCAAATTACCTACGGATTACGGTCACCGAGACGAGGTGTGAAATGTGAATGTCGGGGGTGGATGCTCTATACAGGACTATGACCATACATGGGTATTTGGGTGAAGGGCACAGGATAGAAGGGGTGGTGGACCAGTTGTCTGTGTATGTGTATGTGTCTCTGTGGCCGGGGTTGGTGGTTGAGTAGTGAGTGGAAAAGGGGGGCGCTGGAGGCTCAATGCCACTTCGCAGTCCCCGGATGAATGGAGGCACACCGTGGGGGGTGCCGAGTGCCGGCAAATGGCCGCGCATATTCCCCCCCGCGCGCTCCTCTTGCTCCTCATCCTCTTCCTCCGCTCTCTTATTCTCGCTCTCCCCCAACGGTGTGCCCCTCTATACACAACACATACACACACAACCAACACCCTCTAGCCGGGCCCGCCGCTTTGCGCGAAAATAGCCCGCCAAATATGCAGCGCGGGGGGGTGGACAATTGCTCGGTGGACTCCATACTCCGCGTGTGCGCTCGCCACCACGTCGTTCATCACCCATCTCACCTAACCTCGTTCCGTTTTGCTTAGTGTTAGATTTTCGTAAAAATTTTCAAATCTTAAACGAACAGATTAGTAATTCTATCTATGGAATGCTATCACATTTTAAGGAACAATAAGCTAAGCATAATAAAAGACTTAAATATTTCCGGAAAATATAAAAAGGAAGGCGCTTACCCTTTATACAGGCAAAAATCGGGAATGAGGGAAAATCGGTTATTTCAGCCATGGCGAATTATTTAAAATTCGGCTAAAGAGCCACTGAGTTATCAAAAACCAATAATCTAGCGTAGGGGCTTTTAAAGCTTACTTAAATATATAAATTATCAAAATCACACTTGTAAATAAGACTCGTAGAAGTGGCCAGCCACGACTTTCGCATATTTTTTTTGTGGTAAGTTTATCAAAATTTCCTCGAGGTCTACCTCTCAAATATTTTCAAGTTTGAAAGTTCTTAAAGTCTGGCACATGACGCGCTGTCTAGAAGTTATTAGCTCTAAATCTGGGTAATAGCGCACTCAACGGCTCGCTACACCATTTTAGCCCCCGCCCCCCCCATTCGCTTTCAATGGCAATCCGCCCATCATATTCAGGCGCGGTGGGGAGATGCCCTTCTTCTCCCCCTGGTTGATATACTCAAAGCACACATGTGAGCAAATCCGGTGGCCCAGCCGGAAAGGGGGTGGGGGGAAGAGGCTCCCCTTTAGAAGCACCACAAAAAGGCGACAATGCCTGCCGCCGTTGAGATGCTCAAAAACAAAGGGCAAAGGCCGGGGCATCGACGGGGGATCGGATTATCTATATGCGGCTGTCTACTACCTGAGTCCCCATCCCGGTGAATCGGTACAAAAGAATCGAGTCGCGATATAGAATTCTAGGCCCGGCAACCGGTAGATGGAAACCCAAGAAAATCCCCCAGGGGGATCTGAACTAATACTTATGGATGAACCGTACTTTCAGTCCGTACGATTCAGACGTTTGGCTTAGCAAAAGATTTTTGGAAATTGCGATCCTCGTTTAATCGGTAATTTAAGGTATATACAACTTATTAAAACCATAACTTACTTGAGTTCTCGCCGTTGGTGTGGTGCCTTAACTTCCAAAACCATGAACCGCTGAAGATTTCGAAAAACACTGGATAAATTTCGAAATATATTAATCGGAATACAGTGCGTATCAAAAAGATAGAGCCACTTGGTTTTTCACCTTTAACTTCGCGCCGTCGTATTTTCCAGCCAAGCCAAGCATACACATCTTGTAGCCCTTGAAAGTGCCTTCTGTGGTCAAAATTTTTCTATGATCGATATTGCTTTTTATGATGCAACAGCAAATGAGCCAAAAACACAGTATCAAAAGTGAGCCACAATTTGCATCCACTTTACTGCGCTTTGAGCTTGCAAATTCATGGTAATTGTCATGCAATCGTTCGCTTCATTCAAATTAACGGCCGCAGAAAATTTGATTGAATAGTAGCAATAAAAAGGCTAATTTTTATTAGGTGTTCCTTCTTTGCGCGTTGAAATGTTTAGAGCTATAAAATTTTTCTGCGGCCTCGTTGATTTGAATGGGCCAACGATTTGCATGACAATTACCATGTAGTTTGCAGCTCAAAGCGCATGTAAGTGGATGCAAATTGTGGCTCTATCTTTTGTACTTGTGTTTTTGGCTCTATTTGCTTGTTGTCATCATAAAAGCTTAATTCGATCATAGAAATTTCGACTACACAGAAGGCATCTTTTCAAGGGCTACAAGATGTTTGCTTGGCTTGGCTGGAAAATCGACGGCGCGAAGTTAGGTGAAACCAGTGGCTCTTCTTTGTCGCACTGTATTATTTGTATTGGGGCGTCGTGCAAGTATGTTAATTTTAGTACAGTACGTTGGACTGCGATTGAGTAACGCTGTTCCAAGCGTCTCCCGAGAACCATTTTCGACAAATTCACAAAACTTCTTGACCCGCCACCCCCACCCCCCAATCAAAGGATACCGTCCAGCCCACCAAAAAAAAAACAGAACAAAGAGCCCAACAACCCATGTCGGGGACGAAAATCGATGTTTGGAAAAGAGGGGGAACCCATTTGGAGAAGGGGGGAAGGGTGGGTGGGTGGTCGGGTGGCTGTTTCTCTCTCAGAGCGTCTCGATTTTTTGGTGGGTTTGAAGGGGGGAAATGGCTGTGTGTATGTGTGTGTATGTGTCGACACACTTAAAGAAGTTTCAGCCTTTTGAAGGAAGGGGGGAAGGTGTTGCTGTGGCTGTGGGACGGACAGACAGACACATGGATGTGGCCCTTCTACTCGCCTTCCCAATTCTGGGGCACACGACCCACCGCGGCACCGGGGGGCCCTGCCAAGGAGCCGCCACAAAAAAATCTAAAATCAACGGCTGGCTGGCAGGATCGCTACAAACTTAGCTTCAAAAAGCTCAATTAAATCCGAAAGCAAGCGCGTTGACGAAAAGGGACAGAGCCTCCGAGCTATGCATATTATAAAGGGATTATCGAAAACCCAGTTTAATCTATTTTCTAGTAGTAAGTTCGATATTTAGTGTCATATTCTCGTGTAATGTAATCAGAAAGCCATATAATTACGAAGGCTCGAAATCCAATAATAGTAATTTATCCATTAAAAGGCGTTGATTTTGAGTTTGAAATTGATTTCTTGAAGACTCAATTTGTTATTTTTATCTAATACAATTTATATGAATTAAAGTAAGCTTTCGGCGAAAAAAACCGTATCGCGATATACGCAATTAAACCCTTTCGAATTGAAGACACCGCACCTGCGCAAAATTTTTCCGCAAAATCTTGCCAAGGAGCGCCACTCCAGAAGCAACCAGCATCGGAATATGGTATGATGAGAGCAGCGCCCCCAGCGACTCCCAATTATGCCCCCCTAGAGTCTAAAAGAAAAGGGGGACGTGGGGCGTTCATCCATGCTTTCAATAGCCAAGGAGGGACTTCTTTAAGGGTCCCCTCTTCCTATTCAATGTTGCGTTCCGGGGGAGGTGGTTGGCAAAAAGGCAAAAAAGTTGCGTCTGATTAGGGTCATGGGATCGTGCGCTACGGTAGCTGGCTTTAGAATTTGTTCGAGTGTAAATTAGGGCCGCGTGAGATATGGGGGTATATGTCGAGATTGGGTGGAAATTTTGCAATCATGATGATTCAGAAGGCAACATTTTGGATTTAGAAGCTTAAATATTTCATAAAATAAAGCGAGGATTTCACTTTGTTGGTGCCTGCGTTGCTAACATTTTGGTTTTAGCGCAATAAGTGATCAACGAGATTTCATAAGCTAAGGTGGATAAGCTAACATTTTGATTCGGAGCAACAAGATTCGGCTTTTAAAGATTTCATAAAATAAACTGAGAATTCTGGCTTTCCGGTGCTTCGATTGTCTGTAGCAACGCGTAGAAACATAGGATTTCAGCTGAAACTAGCTGAAAAATGCGTTAGCAAAGACCGTTCAAAAATCATAGTAGTGGTATTTATGAGATTAATCCGGTAATGCTAGCCACTAATGGTCAACAATCACGCGTGGCTGAAGTAATTAGGTCCATTAACTAATGCGATTTCCGGGAGCGACCCCGGACGGCGCCTATTAGGTGCTTCAATTAGGTGTCTATTAGGGGGGACCCGCCGATTTCGGGGGCTAATCAGCTGGCCCGGCATGCGGGCTGCAAAGGCGCCAGAAGGGAACAAAAAAAACCACGACCGCACACGAGCCCTGGGACTCATTTGATGGGCCCGCTGTGGGAGGAGGTAAAAAATGGAAGGGCCCGGGGGCGCATAGGGCCCATAGGAAGGGCGCGCGCGCCCGCACGCCACACCGATCGACGACATTAGGAAGGAGCAGAAAAAAGTGAGGCGAGGGGGGCTGAAGGCGGTTTTGAGGAGGGGGACGCCTAAGGGGAGAAGCCTGGCCGAGGCGGCTCGAAATGTGGCCTCGGGAAAACGATCGATGAGGAGACACGGGCCCTGAGGACAGGGCCACACTGAGAAGGGGGCTCTGGTTGGTTGGGCACAACGGCGGGAAGAGGCGGCAGATATGGGCACAGAACGGACGGACGGAATGAAGGAGGAGGAGGGGGATCCCCCTCCATTGCACTCCTCCTCCTTTCTTCTTCTTCTTCTTCTTCTTCTTCCTCTATCTTTCTTCTGTTCCTTCTTCTCGTCCTCGTTCTCTGTGACACTTCCGGTAGTGAATGTCCATGGATGGGCCACTACTACCACCACCACTCCAACCACCCGGAGGACGAGAGCTATCCGATCCGGGTGCCTCGGGCGCTACGGTAAATAATCCATGGCCTGGGGGTTCCAGTAGGTTTTTACCTTGTGACTATTCTAATTTTTTCTCTATATTATAAGTTAAAAGTAACGGCAAATTCTTACAACCCGAGGCGCTTAGGCATTTTTTTACTAAGTATGAATAAAAATTCTTCGAGGGCGTAAAAAATCAGGCTAAATCGTGGGTACAAAGTTAAAATAGGTACTGGCAGCGATCCATTCCTGTCGGACTAACCCAGCAAGCTTTATAATCTGCTTAAGCTATCCCTTAGTCCTGGGAATTCACAGGCATGCGTTACGTTAACGCTGAATTGCAAAGAGAGATAAGGTAGAGTGAGAGAGAGAGAGCGAGTGAGTGAGAGAGGGAATGCATAAAAAGACGGTTATTCGTAAAAGCTGCTGACCATATGATCCTAGAATTCTGGAAGCCTATTTTTAAAGCCATTAACAAAATTAGAGCTAGCGCCGGGGCCCGGAAAAGAAGATATAAGAACGGCTGCTACGGTAGCCTGGATAATACCTAATTGCCATTTAATAGTCGTGGGCATGAATTTCCAATTTTCGGGGCTGAATGTGAAGCAAATAGGATTGGGGGAAGAGGAGGGGCACTATGGTGGGCGGCTATTGGATGGTTGCTTGGGCAGTCATGGAAATGTATGGACCTAGGGACACGACGACGACGACGAGAAGGGCACAATAGACCCGTCGTCGCCGTCGTCGTCGTCGTCCAGGGCTAGCTGGGCCCCAGGCCCCCCGCCCCCCACCCAGCTCAAAGCAGACTTTTTGCGTGGGTCCGATGGAGGGGCCCAACCCCCGGGAATGCCCGAAGGGGGCACCCGAACCACCTAGGGACGCACCACCCCTCTAGAGGAGGCAATTTACCCTTTAGGAGGGCGTAAAAAGGCATCCACGGTAGATTGGATCCTAAAAAAAACAGGGCAATCCAAAAGAAAATCGACAGCAGCCCCCGGAGGGCTGGGGCCGCGGTCCCCCCAAATAACGCTAATTTGAAGAGTGGCCCGGGGGTGGAACTTGGAAAAGCTTGGGTTGATTAGCCGACTGGAGGGCTGGGGGCGTGGGAGAATTTTTGTCGCGCCCCAGACGATTTTTTGTAGTTATAGGACTGAGACGGGAGGAAGTGCATGACATGATTTGAGGTGGGAAATGGGGGGGGACTACTAAAATTGAATGGTGATTTTGGTAATGGCAGAATGCAAAGAATTTGGCCGATAGTAAAAAGTCGAAAGAAGCGAGGTAGCACCAGAGCGAGATATAGAAATAGAGATGACGACAGAAAGATAACTAGGGAGGGAGCTAGAAAGTGAGAGAAAGAAAGAGTGAGAGAGAGAGGAATGAGACAGAAGGTGCCATGAAAAATATCAAATACTAACAATAAAACAACCCGATTTCGATTGAGGTTGCGGTGTTGGCGACATTTTAAAATCAGTATATGGTAAAAACGAGCAATCAAGGGAGCGAGATGGGTTAAGGATATAAAACATAATCAAAAAATCAGAAATTGAAAAATAAAACCAACCGATGCAACAGTGGTAGTCGAAGCCGGATCCGGTGAAGCCGAAATACAAAGTGTGGCTGCTTTCTGCAGCATCGCGATCCAGGATAGCATGTCCTCCTCGCTAAATCGGGAAAGTTGGGGGCCCAATTAGCATACGAACCTCTGGGTTTGTAGCAAATGCTCGCGATGCTGTTGAGTGACCACGCGTACGACATGCTTTTGGCCCTCCCTTTTCAACGCATCGTAGGCAATATCAATAATAGCTGACGAGAGCTCGATCTCCACCGAGTCGGCGGGTACCGAATAAACCTGGAAAAGGTAGCTTTTGAATTGTTTAGGATTATTAATGCTATTAAAATGTGTATTACTGGGTCCCTGGAGACTGGATAAAACAAACCTGTCCCCTGGTAACGTCACAGACATAACTGCTCAACTGCTTGCACAGGTATAGACTTTTCCCAGCGAGCACGGCCCAACGTTGCTCCCATTGAGAAGGGCGAACCCGCCGTGAAGCCACACCAATGGGGTGCTCCTGAAAAATGCAGTAGATTTTTTACAATATTGAAAGAATTAGTGAATGTCAACTTATATTTTGACAAAGCCTACCTGATGCTGTAGCAGGCCTTGCCGTTGGACTGATGCGGCTTGAACGGGCGTTGGTTTGAGGAGAGCATTCCGCTCGGCAGGAGGGCCCGCCGTCCGCGACCTATGCATAAACCATTGTCAGGTCGGGATTCGGATAAATGCTCGCTTCTAGCAAAAGGATGCAAGGTCTACGGTGAAAATCGCAAAAAACGCCCTCGGCCTCTGACCTCCCCCCCTGCCAATATTGGTAAAGGTTGGATCGTAACCAAAATAACAAAAATCCTGCCTTAAAGCCCAAAAACCACGTTAATGCGCAAAACATCACAAAAACTTTATGACTTTATTTGGGGTCCGTTACACATAGTCCAATTTTGCGTCAATTTTGATTTAAAGTGACCAAATCCGAGACAGTACTTCTTGAGATATCGTCAAAAAATTGTGATCCTTACCGTTTCAACGTGGCATGCCCTTTGGTCGTGGTTGACGTCTTCTGAAGGGTTATTAATTTATAGAAAAAGTCTCAGATTATACCTGAGGGTCATTTTGGGAAAAGCGCTGTATGAAACGCGTAATGCGCTCCGTGGCTGGTTGATGGGGCGCGCCTGGATGTGGGCGCCGTTCAATTGACTCCACTGAGGGGAACGAAGAGACGCCTCTGGAAAAAAATTGATAATTAATTGGTTCTAATAATTTTTATGCTAATTTGCATATAACACGTATCAGGCCCAAAACCGTAAATAACGGTTTTTTGGTAAATAAGGGATTTAATTATATTTTAATCGAATTCCCGTGAAACATAGGAAAAAATAGACTATAAAATCCACGTTTCTAGAAATTTTTCTCCTAATTAAAACCTTATCATATTCAATACTTTAATTTATTTTATGAATTAATAGATGCTTGTAGCTTCTAAAATCCAGCAAAGCTTTTTATTTAGACTATCTTATAAAGAAAATCTATCAATAAACCGACTCCACCGTCATCAACAATTTGATGAACACGCGAGAAGAGCAAGGCGACAAATAGAATGCGTGGGTGTCCGACTAATTAATCAGGGGGATGCGCCGCAACTTCCCCGCCATTCCATTCATATCTCTAACTCTTCAGCAACCCGCTCCCTCTTCTCACTTTCTCCATACCACCCAGGTTTTTACTGATAAGCCCGAAAAAACGGCTTAAAGGGTACTAGCCCTGCAAAGTTGCAAGTAGAAATTTTACGCGGACAAGCGCCGTCGTAATAACACGCTAATTGGTATGCAAAAAAATTTAAGCCTAAGATTTCCATCCTAATTAACCGGTTTTAGCGTTTAGATACCTAACAGCGAATTTTCGAGACAAACTGAACGCTGTGGATTGTTTCTCCACAGTTTTTTTTGTCAAGAGCAATTTTGCAAAACAGCGAAAAGATCCCTCGGTAACATCAATGGCACACGAAAGCTTAATGGGGGAAAAGAGGCGTAAATGGCCTATTTTGGGGGGTTGTGGAAGGATGGGATGGGATAGAATGGATGGATGGAAAGAGAGAATCGATGAATCGCTCCGATCGGGACACCGGGATGAACGGATGGCAACGGCAATTGGCGAGATCCAGCAAACATAACGAACGGGAAAACAGCTTTTTTGTTGATTCGGAGAATTTTTCTAGGGGCCGTATAATTTTTCGCGCAACAGAAATACGAAAATTTTCGGGTGAAACTGAATTATTTAGAGCGATTTCATTGGGGATAAACTCAAAAAAACTGCTTATAATTGAACCTTAAGCTTCTTATAATCGGAAAAATAACAGGACCTTTTTTTATTTTTTAGGTCCACATACCGGAAAACAAAATTTAGAGTAGTCTACCGGGACATAAAATTAGAATTAGAAGCTTTTAGAAGAAACGCGATTTTCGTCGGCCTAAACCCTTCTTAATTTTTGCCATTAGACTAGCAGACTAGCTAACCACAAAATTCTATTTTTACCCCCATTAAACCAACCCTCAAAACCAACGCCATTCTTGGAGTCCATTCAAAAAAACCTAGCCCCCCCCTTGGCCCAACAAAACCCCCCTCTATTGGCCGCCGCGGCGGCTTTGTGAGTAAGAAAAGTGAAGCGGAGACACACAGCCCATTGCCGCATGAGGTGCCCCAGGTTTGCTATTGCCATTTTTGTCACTCATTCTCGGGGTGGCCAGTCAAATATGGATGTCTAACCACCCACCCACCACGCCCGAGACGCGGGCCCACCCCATTTTTTTTTGCTGAAAAAGCCGTGAAAAACGGAGAATGGCGGAGTAGGCTTGGGAATGAGACCGTGTCGACCATCGACCAGGTGGCCGGCCCTCTAAAATTTTTTAGGGAAGTTTTTCTGTAACCCTCAACCGTTTATAGAATTATCCGCTATTAATGGATGCAGGTGGTACCGATGTTTTTTTTGAAAACTTCTTGCAGGGTGGGTCTAAAAACCTCTCCTCTGGCGGTTCGGAGGAAGCTCATATCAAAGGGATGCCGACGGCATAGTCAATCGGTTACGCGCTGGAAAGAAAATGTCTCTGCGCCTCTCCCCAGGGCGCGCTCTCCCCTGTTGGCTACGCCATTTGTTGATGGGGGATCGCCACATGCCGTCGGCAGCCCTTTAAGACGATTGCTACACGATTCAAAAGCTTTTAACAAAGCAAAAAAAGCAAGCCGTTTTCCTGTTATAAAATCATTTTCTTTTCAGGGGTTTTTCTTCGAGCAAATGGATTTTTAATAAAAACTCGATAATCAAGATATATCTCAAGATTTTTCGGCGTCAAGACTAAAATTGAACTACTACATATCGAAAACTACAACAGCTTCTTTTCCCGCTTTTCTGAGCTGTCGATAGCGCCCTGAACCATAAAACTTCAAGAGCTTGCATTTTTGGATTGGTTGAAGGTGGTGCCTATCTTCCAAAAAACCCCCATACTCAAACTCATACAAAGAAGGTGATGCTCAAACTCGCGATTTTCCCCTTGGCAGATGGGCACTAGGTCCATCTTATTCCTTTTTTTCCGGCGGGCCCACCAAAGGCATACAGACCCCAGAATACGCGCAGAACACCGCCACAGAGTTTACGCTCACTATTTTCTGGCGATGCCACAATAATGGCACGGGGTATGCACAACGTAAAGTAGTTGTGGCTTGGAAGAGAGAGAGAGAGAGGGGGAGACGCGAAGAAGAGGACTACGGGGTAGCCATGACAATAAATCGTTGGAAGCGTTTCCAATCGTAAATGTCCTGGGGTGAATGAATGGGGGGAAGAGGGGGAACGGCCACAAAACGGCCGCTAGGGCAGGGGAAATCCTTTGCAGGGGGTTAGGGGAAGATATTGAAGATCTTAATGGGAGATCTTGTTGTCAACGACTAAAACGTGGGTGGATGCAGGTCGATGTCAAATTACAGGGTGGTCCATAAGTATTGTCGCGCTTTTTGGTCGGCTGTATCTAACCGGGGCCGTGTGCGAATGGCTAGTTGAGCGTATGCCTTATGCAGGTTTTTATCCTCTATCCGATGGTAAGATAGGTTGCACGATCGTATTGAGATTTGGAGCTTATAGCACATAGTTTCTAGTGAACCTCCAAGTTTCAGCTTAAAATTGGCTTTTGAGCGGCTCCGCTGGCGACAAAACAATTATGTATTCACTAAATTTGTCTTTACAATTAAAAGAACCAGTAAAACTCTGCTAGCAGAGCCTCCAAACAAAAATTTTCGCACCTCCGTTTTTGAGCAAGCGCTATTCAAAGTTTCGGGGAACCCGGTGCGCCGCCCTCGGCCTACCCCGTATGTAAAACTGAGATCGTGGTTGCTAGAAAGCTGAGATAACTGTGACAATTTTTTGGGGATAATTCAGGCTTCTTTTCAGCTATTCCCAAATTTTAGGCGCAGAATTCGACATGCAGTTCAAGAAAATCGAGAATTTTGTCTAATGGCATGCGCCACCCAAATCTAGTTAAAATCAAAGTCTGAAAAGTGACCGGAGCCTAGCCCCAATATGCCATTGGAAAGAAGACGTCAGGTAGCATAGTAATATAGAATATATAGAATATAGAATAAGAATATATATAGATATAGAATAAATATAGAAATATAGAAACATATAGAATTGCCCCCGGGTACCCCTAGGAAGAAATAAAACTTCGAAAACTAAAAAATGACGGGATGCCCTGAACTTGCGGATTTTCGTCCCAACATTGCGGAGGCCATAGCTCCTTCAAGCGACAAGCTGGTCAAATTTCTATTTGGGAAGATGCAGAATAATGCTAAAGCTACCATAAACACGCTTGAAGAAACATCCTGACTCTCAATCGCCGGGTTTAGAGCCCTTCTTCCCGAAATTCTGGCGGGGCGCACCCCAACCTTTTGTCGCCCACTTTAAGCAAATTATCTCACTTGGAAACCATTATTCCAAAAAACTTTCTAAAGCAAAGTGGTTTCTAAGGCTTGTCTGAAGCTAACCTAATTGGCTAAATGGCTCAAATCGCTCAGTGTGAAAAGATATGACGCCTTGAAAAACGACAATACTTATGGACCACCCTGTAGAGCGCCGGGAGATAGGGCGGCGTACAAGTCTTACTTTGTGTAGGGGTCTCCGGGGCCGGCGATTTTTGTGTATAAAAAACAAGTGCAGAACTTCATGTCATGGGTAGGGCTGGGAGTAGGTTCCCAGCAAAGGGGTTATTCTGAAAAAAAAAAAAAATGTTGAAGATAATAAGGAAAACATGATAAAATATGAGAAGTGGAGTTGTTACTTATATATAGCAGAAATCGGGATCACATGCTAATTAGAAAGACGGGAATTTCAGCTTTTTGTACAGTTTGTATTTGCATCCTATTAATCCTGATCCAGAGAGCAACTTGGGAAGCTGAACATTTCGAAAACGCTTAATTCAAAGCATAGAAAAGGATGAACGGACGTTTAAAAAATCCTATTTCCTATTCCTAGCTAATTTCACAAAAAAACAAAACCCAAATTTGACGAAATCTTTCAGAAAATCTTTTTTATTACCTATTCCTAGCTAATTTCACGCATGAAATGCCAACAAAAATTTCCTACGAAGGTCAGACCAATTAGCTGCGAGTCCAACCTATCCCCAAACCCCAAAAGTGAAGACGAGCAACCCCCATTCCAGATAGATAAGAATCAACAAGAAATGACACGAATTTCCGATGGCTGGAGACATTTGGGAACAGCTCCCCCCTGCATCAACCGGTCTACCCCCCGCAGAACACAACGCTATGCTATCTCTGAGAGAACATTGGGTCAAATTTGCGCGGTGGCTTAACGGAGGAAATGATTCCCAACCAAACGTCGCGCGCGCGACCCGATACTTCAAGAAGACGGGAATGCTCTGCTCACTTTCAAAACGATTCTGCGACTTCGGGAGCGCCGTTGGATGGGGGGAAGAGGGGAAACTGTTTTGTTAAAAGGGGGAGGAGCAAATAGAGGCCATGGATGGGAGGGCGGCCGATAAATGTGGACACGACGCACCATGTATGGAGAGAGAGCGAGAGAGAGGTTATGAAATGTAAAAATACTGTAGAGCAGCTAGATTCCTTGCTAACAGGCTGAATTGTTAAATTATCGCGCATCATAAAAAGCCTAGCCTTAGTGGTAAATTTGGTAAATTCCTAATTTGCAAGATTCAACCTTACCTCCCGCTTGCCTATTTATTTAATGATATTTTGGCAACAGCGTGCGATAAAACTAGAAAAAATATACTACAGCTTTTCATTGCTAACCAAAATAATTTAATATAAAAGTCATAACACAAAGAAATATCCATCCGGGAACCAGCTACTGCTCATCCGAACTCATCCTATAATAGTGACCTGCACAAAACCTTACTGGCTACTCGAACCCCAGAAAATCCACGCCGCCAAACAGCTTATGCAAATTCAAAATGATAGTTGAGGGTTTGTAGGTAGGCGGGTGGAGCACGACTGGAATGTTAGTCGGTGAGACAAGAGCAACCCGGCCGCGCCGCCAATTTTCCTATTGGAGCGCCCAATTTGGGGGCGGAAATCGGAGCGACGTAGTTTACCATAAAAAGCCGTTTCGGGGGCCTTTTTGTAATGGGATTGGGTAGGTGGGAGCAGGGAAGTGATGGAAGGGGGTTTGGCTTAGGTTTGTCATGTTTTGGTTTAAAGGAGTCAGGAAGTCGGGGGTTCCCTTAGTAACTGTGGTGCCTAGTAACTGTCCCTTAGTAAGTGCCCCGAAAAAAAGGCTTCAGGTTTCAACGCCTATTTTGTAAATGAATATGGAGCAAACTATAGAAAAAACTACAATTTCTGTGTGTCGAAATTTTTGTTATAATCTTTAAGCCCGGGGAAACTACTTAAATTATTGCGACCTACGACAACAAAACTGATGTTCCAATTTTAGCATAACTACTGACTGGTAAAGGTTAATAAGCCCTGAGCTGGGACAGCTGAATGGCCTACCCGGGGACCCTCGACAGGTGCCAGCATTAATGGGGAATCAGGTGGGAGGAAGGGATGGTAGGTGTGGAGGCAATATATTGGTAGCAAGGAGGGTAGGGAATGTTAGGACCCGTCCATGCATGGGGGGCCCATCCCATCCCTGCGCATTGGACCTCCCAGATTGTGCATCGGCGATGAGGAAGAGCAGGAGCTGGAGGAGGAACTCGTCTAACCCCATCCCATTTCGCTAATAAACTCCACCGAGCTACACGTCGGGATTATTAGGAATTTATCAGGCGTGGGTTGATTTTTGGGGTTAATTTTGTTGAGAGGTATTGGAGAGGAGCACGAGATACAAAATTTTACGTCAATGTTCTAAAGAAAAATATGAAAGTTCCACCGTAAACCGAGAAGTTCTATTCTTTTTTCAATCAGCAACTCTAATGGGAAAATATCCTATCGTTTCTCTGAAGAATTTCCCAAAGAACTTTTAAGCAGAACTGCTTTTAACTTTACTTAAAATGTTACAGTTTCGGAAAGGAGGAGGACGCTGCGTCTTTAAAACATGAAACTACAAAATATTAAACCATGCGCTATCTCTCAAAATAAACCCCTTCTAACTTATATAGTGGATTCCGTGATCCCAGATCTTATCCAAACCCCCCAAAACGAGTTTTAATCTTATCCCCAAACTTTGCCACTTGCAACAAAGCCATAAATATTCGTCTCGCACACGTTCCAAGAAGGCGCGCGCCGCGAATATGCTGATGAAATGATGCGATAAGTGGAGCGTCGGGCCTCGTGCTCTGGCTCTTGCTCGCCCTTCCCATCCTCCAAAATATGGGCTGACATGTTCGCGCACCGGAAATGCCTTTTTTCGGGATTGCGATCGGCCCCGAAGATAGGAGGGGGGTTGGCCGTTCGAAAACCGGGGCAAGGATAGTTGGGTGAAGAAGAAAAATAAGAAGAAAATTTTCGGAGCATACTACATGGGGCTCGGTTTTCGAGGAAAAGACACTTGGGCCTTTTTGTTAATGTCTGGAGATTTTGGCCTCCGATCATAAAGCAGGCGCACCAGAACACGCAAATTTTTGTGATGATTTTATGGAAAATCGTGGGAAAATCAGCTGCCAGCGTTCCCACCGGAAACCGCTTTTTGGGTCAAACTTTTGCGGGTTTGGTTTCCGGAAGTAAAATCCGTCAATTCTCTTACGGTAATCAAAGAAAAAAACGGGGAAAAGAGTTCTCCAGGAAATTGGTAGTTTCAAATGTCCCGCGACGAAAAGGTGCCCAAAAATCGTAGAGTTTGTGGTGGGGTTAGGGCCCGGTTCGATGGAATAGGAGGGTTTCGAGGGTTGACAAAGTAATCCTAAGGCATTGCCAAGAAAGGGTTGGGTGGTCAAATGCCTTCCTGGCCCTGGGCCCCTGTTCCCTTAATCGGGGTTCAAGTGTCCGTTCGGATGCGTAATAGAGGGCCATCAGCCACATTTCGGACAAATAGCCCCCAGACGATGGGGGGATCGGGAGGGTGAGTGGAAAATGGAGGGGGAAGATGTCTTGCCAGATAACCAAGTAGATCTAACCCAGATATATCTTCTACGGGCCCGTCGTTTCGCACCGCCCGCCGGAAAGACAAGGGAACCACTTGTTGAATTTGGGGGGAGAGTCTAATTCATCTCTTCCAACACCATTTTCCTAAAAATCAGCTTTCTAAACCCGATTATTACTAACCTTTAGTTTACTTAAAACCGAAGGCAGATGCATAACCTTTGATCTTTCAAAGCTAAGTTCTGTTAAATTTTTAAGCACCATCTAGAACAAACTCAAGGAATTTTGATAACGTTCTTCAAAAAATCCTTGGTCATAATCAATAATTAGCTGCAAAAAATAGGTAAGGTAAACATTTCCGTTTTCATTTGTGTCTTGAAAAGTCATCCAGGCAAGCTAAATTTGAATATGGCTCATAGAAAAACGATTATAGCAAATCCTGTTTAAAAAACAGCTGCCAGGAATAACGGATTTTGCGTTTATGGGCAGGAATTAAATTTTAGAGCGTTTCCAGATATTTCTTAAGGGACAAGCAAAGTCAAACACCTTGCGGTATATTTTTAGAAGCTATTTAGAATCTCGGGCCGCAACAAGAGGGAAGAGTCCCGGACGACTAGGAGCCCCGAGCCCTGATGAAACCGGAGCATCTACATGGAAGGGGGGAGAAGACAAAATGCGCATGCAACCCGAGAGGTCCGCAACCACCCCACCGGTGACATTGTGAGGGGGGGGCCTGCTTGCCGGTGGTGAACAACCAACACCATGTGCTCCGCTACCAAACAATCACTTTAGTAGTGTTATCGAATTATTGACGACGGTGGTTTTTTTAGTATAAATAGGGTGATGGTAGAGGCTATTTTCCATACTTTATCCTTTAACTGAATACAGCAAATACGGGTGAGTTAGCCGTTTTCCACAATTTGTTTTAAGTTTTTGCTTTTACTTCAAAAACCGTTCCTTCTTAGTCAAAATAGACTTACTTATTTTCGATATCGTGGTCGGCCAATGGGAAGGAGGACGAGGTGGCGAGAACGTAGGACTTTGGCCTGGGACGCCGCATCGGTGATGCCGGCACCCAATGTGCCTCGCCTGCAAAGAACTTGATAAAATTTGCATTTTATGTAGATATAGTAAAATGCACAAGAACTGCTATTACGCACCGACAAATTAAAATCGTCTATGTACACAGAAAAATTAAAACGTAGAAACTTTTCGATAAGCCATCGCGGCGCTTTTACGAAAATGGGTGGACGCAGGACAAGCCCAGCGGATCGTTTAACAAATTAGCGACCGGCGTAATGAAATGATGTGAGGAGTGGGGAACGCGGTGTCCGTTTCAAAAGCGTCAGTTTGCACATTCTGAGCGATATAGAACAGCGCAGGTTTAAAATGCCGGACGAAAAATTCAACAAAAATTCAAAATTTGATAAATGGGTATTACCTAATATATACCATTCTATTTTTAACCAAAGTTGAAACAAGGATTGCATATAGCCGAGTGGAACATAGAAGTTGTATGTGTGTGGGAGGCTAAAGCGGAAACCCCCGGCAGCCCCCTCGGGCCAACAAGACAAATCAGACCCGAGGGACGGGTCAATCTGCGACAATCCTTGCTCACCCCTTCTAGCCTCTCTTTAAACCTTCATTATTAATTGAATTTCGGCATCTGGATTTCTATTCGAAGCCCAAAACTTATCGAAGCTTTATGCTATCCGGACATTATAAATAACGAGGTCTCTAATCTGTGAGACCCCCAAAAAAAAGAATTGTCTATAATTCCATAACATAAACAGTCGGCAGCAATACGGGGCGCAATGCCCGTTCCTGGTGATGAAACACTGCTAAATTTCTAGGCCATTTTTGGGGTGAAACGTGAGATGGATGGGATTCGAGACTTTTGTGCAGCCGCGGAACTGTCAGTGCAGTCACAGGGCAAGAAGACCCTTCTGGCATGGGGGCGAGAGAGAGAGAGAGAGAAAGAGAGAAAGAGAGGAGAGAGAGAGAGAGTGAGAGCGGAAGAGTAAGTAAGTGAGAGACAAAAAAAAGAGAGTGACAGTCGGCCGACGTGACTAATGTGGGAGCGTAGGGAGACCGTACGAACAAAAGCCGGTGTGCCGTTCGAAATGGCACCCGGGGAGCTATCAATGGCGTCGAGGGCCGGCTTTGGGAAGTAAGCGTCAAAAGTGAAAGATCGTATACTTTTAGCTTATCCTTTTGTTAAAGGCTAATGAATGTTGATTTCGCCGGTTTTTGTAAAATTTGCATGAAATTAATCACAGCAGGGTGTTTTTTCCAGCGCAGAACCACCTCTTAAAAGCAAATTTTCATCTTTTGCGCAAAAAAATAGGGGATATCAAACTGAATAAGATCAGCTTTAAGTCAAAGCATCTCAGCAAAAGAGACCTCTGACAGGATTATGAGCTATGGTTGGTGCCTCGACCCCCCTGCCGGGTGGACGGAATGGTTGGCACGATTGGTGGTTGAGGTGTCGCCTTTCCGATCGCGCCCTCTGGGTCAAGCCCGCGCAGCTGTCCCAACCATTCACCTCATAGTACCACAAGCCACCCCCCTTAACCACAAACCCATTCAACCCATAAAATAACAATCATGGGTGACAGTCAAAAATTGGATTCACGCCTGGGGTGGGTGGAAATTTAATCGAAGATATTTTCTTGAAAACAACAAAGCAGAGTATGTCGGTTTTAGAAGTTTTGAATTTGCGTACTGTATCTGGTTTGGATAAAAAATGTTTTGTCTGATAGAAGCACCGGGCTTTTACTTTGAAAGACGGTTTATTGGCAAGCGAGAGAGAGCGAGAGAGAGAGAGAGAGCGAGGGAGAGAGAGTGAGAGAGGGAGGGGGAGGTAGAAGGAAAGACATAAAAAGAAAATATTTAAGAGCACGTCTTGGTCTTTCGATCAAACAAAATACCGAACTTCGGCAAAATTGAAGCAAAACGTGCAATATAACAATTTGTACTTTTATGGATTTGGATTAAAGCAAAAATCTATTCGCGGGTAGTCTAAAAATGCACTGTAATTACATCACTCAAGGTATCCTCCTTACCTGAAGTCTCGTCCAAATTCAGAGCAATATAACTACCAATGACGCGCAAAGCCATCGCCCGGAACAATGGAACTATAGCCATCTACTACCCTAGTCTGACGCGGAATTTGCATGAATTTCCATAATCTTTGGACGTGGTGGCTGATAAAGAGCAGTGGTTCGACTAGGGAAATTACGCATATAGACGCTACGTTGGAATTACAGAAGGATGCAAAGGGGGAAAGACAAGAAATTTTGATTACGGACAAACACGTTTTTGAGGCTAAATTTTACATGTTAATTGGAATATTATTCGGACGGCGCGTCTATATGCGTAACATTTTTAGGTTGCACTAGTCAGTGTCGGTCTGCACCAAGTGGCTAGCTGGAACCTAGCTACGAGGGGACCCTTGACAATTATGTAAAGGAGCACTTTGAAAAGGAGCTGAGAGCGGTGAAGCATGAATTCGTACGGAGCGAGGGGGAGTAGCCGAATGGACAATGGGATAAGCTGTCACCTGGGGTGGAAAGCCAGGGGGGAGGGGTAGAGACAGGGGGGTAGGACGACTGTCGGCTAATAGAGTCCCGGGCACCGGTAATTAGCCAAAATTGAGGGGCCGGTGACAGGGGGCAGAGGTCGTGCTTGATCGAGCCCCAAATACCGCCTGCACCTGCTCACCCACCATATCCCATATAGGGGGACTAATGTCGGGCTTCATGGGCACAAAAAGGCCCATCATATGATTTATATGGTTTCAGATGGTGGTTTTGGTTCGTTGGTATTTAGCCATATAGGTTTAATGGCTACCCGTTTAATGGAAGTTTAATTTTTGGTAGAAGAGTTTGTGATATAGGTGTTTGATAGCTTTACATTACACAGAGCTCGCAAGACCTTTCTAAAGTTATCGGCCATGGATTAAGAAAAACATTCGTTAAGCGGTTGTGATTGCCTTCAGCATTTTTTAAAATTATCATTTTAGGGGTTCAATATTTTGATTTCAGTTTTTAGATCCGGAACCGGCGTTTGAGTTGCCGTTTCGCAGCCAAGAACACGTTTTTGAGCTAACGTTTAATATCAAAAATGCTACGCAATTTAATAAAAAGGGTTCCATTTGTTTGCCGCTAATTTTCTTGAAATTTTCGACCTTTCAAATCTGAAACCAACCCAATTAGCGCTCGTGAAAAGTAATTTTTCCGATACCTTGCATTGCTACATTTCCGAACTACTCCAACCTACCTACATCCACCTCAAATGATATTAGCATTGTTATCCCCTCCCCCCGCAAAATCCTCGATCATTATCCCTCGGCTGATTAGGCAGATCGGGGTCCAAAGTGGGGCGCGCCAGTGGTATGATGAGGGCTGCAATGAGTACTCTCGACCATATGGCGCAATTTCCAGCCGGCGGCCCAAACACCTCGCAATTTGGGTAGGACATCCAACCACCCATGCGCGCCCGCCAGACTAAGAATCCAATTTCCCCGCACACAATAGGCGGATGGGTCGGTGGGGGAGATGGATACCATAAACTTTGGACAATACAATTGGGGATGTAATAGGCAGATCACAAATTGAGGCGGAGGATGTTGGGCTGAAAGGGGAAATTTGCATAACGGAAAGTAGCGAGTTCCCTCTTGTAAAATAATTCCACTTAAAAATGTCAATAGGAGATGTATATATGCATTGTCTTAATATTATTGCGGTTTTTAAGCATATTTAAATGCGAAAAATCGAGAGAACCTAGCAGGATATTAATTCACCAGCAAATTGCGATATTCCGGTGGATCCAAAAATATAATATCCTTTTAGGGTAATCAAAAAAATAGGAGGCTGGAACTGTATTCGAAGAAATACGAGTGGTGGTTTTTGCATAAATGCTAAAGACAATAAAAAAGTCCTAATAAAAGAGAAAATATATAAAACAGGTTGCGATGTTTGGCATAGATCCAGTGAGAGTTGGTAGGAATATATAGTTAATACATTTAGAAACCATTTATACAATAAATATTTGTTGAGATTTAATCAAATCCTCAAAAAGTTCAGAGATCTTAATTCAATACACCCAACCCCCTTAACGCCCAACAGCCTCCTATAGACCTTTGTTTTGGGTGCCGCCAAAGCAAGAGAATGGATTTTTGGGACCGCCAAAAAGAAGCCTGGTTGAAAAGCGAGCCTGAGGTGAGGCTGCGGATCAATCGATAGCCTGATAGAGCATGGGTACAGGGCCAACAAACGACAGCTGTCTGTGGGCATGCAATACATCCTCCTAACCCCCTCTTCTCTTGCTCCCGCCTTTTCGATGGGTCACCCACTAACAAATGCTATGCCTTAAAATATCTCGACAATGATTGGATCTTATTTTTGCAAAAAAAAATTAATAATAAAAAGAAAGTTTAGGTGACTTAAAAATTAAAGACATAGAATACCGCTGGACCGAAAAAAAATCAAAGAAAATAATGAAAGATTGCTCCAAAATAGATAGCAATTCAAGCCATTGAAGCAACTTGAAAAATCAAAAACTAACCATTCGTTGGCATCCCGGTCCTCTTTGTCTCAAGGAGAGACCGCGGCGAAAGCTGGGCTTGTCCGGAGGCTGCTGAAAACAAAAAAAATATTATATTTTGCTGTGAACGTTTCGTCGACGCGATGCCAAAGATAATAACACATCGTCGAAGACATATTTAAGGCCTTTATTGCTCAACAATAGGCTGTATGTCATCGGCGTTTATGGGTCGCCACGCAACAGCAACGGCAGTTATGGAAATGGATAAAAAAGGATTTAAATGGGTTTGATTGTGTGTTTCTTGGAAAATTGTTAAATAGGGGTAGAGTATCGACCCGGATTGAAAAAGCATGGTCATAAATATTCGTTAAAAGGAATTTACATGCTGGGCAATTGAACATCAAAAAGTAACGAAGAAAATCCTGATCTCTCTCAAGTCCCTAAAATCAATCCATGCATCTCGGGAACGTTTCGCCTTTCGGCAATAGCTATAAACCGATCAAAATCCTGAGCAGCCCGGGCTCACATGTGCTCCCTCTCTTCCTCTGTCCCTACCCTATGGTGTAAGTGAACGAAAAATGGTTGGGTACCCGAAAATTGGGTCCCCCCCTTGCAAGAAGCGCCCATTTCGGCTTTGTGCCCCGGACTGCAGGCTGTAATTCGTGACGTCAAAAGGAATGGGAAAGGGAGATCGAGATGATCGGGTGAATCGCGAAATGGGGCAAAAGCCCTGGGGCAAGTGGAGATGGGGGGTGCTGGATCTCTTGGCATTTCGACCCATCCTCCCAATGCCACAGGGAAGCGCCGCATTTCAAGCCTGCGGGTCATCGGCTCCAATTTCCGACTCCCCGCTTCTTCGGCCTCTTGGAAGAATGGAGGTTTGGGCGTGGAATTAGGGGGTTTGATTGGAGGAAAATAGCGTACGCTTTTACTGGCACTTGGCTAGATTGATCTTTACCTGTTGAAGTCGAATGAATAAAAGCGGACTTTAAAAAACCGTAAGAGGTCAGCCGGAAGCTCTGAAAAAAAAATTTATAAGCCAGGACTGGGTCTAAGATTACGTCGTCCTAACGAGAATTGCGAAAAAAAGTAAAAAATTGTAGCTTTAAATTAGCGTTCAGGGGTTTTAACGATTTTCTGTTGTTTTTCGATAAATAATTTGTTTTTAACGTACTATCGAATGACATTCAAGAAATTATGCCAGAAAATGTTAAGATATCGACCCAGGGCTAAAATTTTTGGAAGAGCTAGGAAGGGGATGCGTATACACCAAAAATTAAGCGATCGAAAGTCCGACGCAGATCGACTGATTAATTTACGTATATATCGGACCATGTGGTTCCCGGTTTAAGATAATTTGCCGGCTGTTATTCCAGATTTTACCCCCTTAAAAATTCGATCAAACCACCATTCCATAAAATTGAGTAAGCCACACCACATACAGTCCCGACGCGTGTCACCGCAAACCCTTTTTTGGGAGGCTGGGTTGCGGGATAGAAGGGGTCGGTTTGTAAGGGCCTTCCTTCGTTTTTTCTCCATAGCACCCACACTCCGTTGAGTCGCCTTCCTTCCGAGACAAGGTGAGCGGGACTTTGGCGCCAAACAAAGCTCTTTCTGCCTCCACTTCTTTTCACACACAGATCGACAGACAGACAGCAACCCCACAACCTTCTGTCAGCATTCAACAAGTCGAAAGACAGACAGTTAGATAGATAGATCGACAGAGAGAGACACTGGTCCTTCCGAAAGACATCGATCAACCCCGGGGGTTCCTTAGATCTAGACTAGTCTTAGAAAAAATGTGGCCACAGTTATTTCTTCGTGAATAAACACAAAATACGGAGCAAGAAATAAAATGTTTTGGACGGGCAGGGATTGCATGTAGTAATTCTTTTTACGCAGCCAGTGTCACGAATTCCTTGAACCTTCTGCCAATTTTACTATTTAAAAAGGCCAGAATCATTAAAACGGACTACGGCTCCCGGGAATGAAGCCAGAATTAGCAAATTACACGTTTTTACACCCAAAAAGAAGCTATGGGAATACTGTTCCTTCACGGCTTTTGCTTCGGATCAATGCGGAATAGGTGCACCAGATCTCATAGTTCCTTATTTGGATTATTAATTTAATTTTTATCAGCTGCAAGTAAAAACATTTCATGCAAAAAGACGAAATTAATTAGTTTGCCACAAAGCATTCCCACCACTTTTTTCACATGCAACATCCAAATATCACTAACCAGCAAATCTGCGATGGCGCCGACTCCTGGCCTGTGGGCTACGAAGCACAACCCGCACGATCTGCCCTCCTCCTTCTACTGAATCCACGTCAAGATGATGCTGTTCCACGGCCCCGTCTGGTTCATCTTCGGCAAACTTCTTGGACTCAATCTCCTTCTCCTCGAGGGCAGCTCGTAGACTGTCTTTCCTCCAGACTCTTGGCTGTTGATTATGATGTGGAGGGGCTAAAGAAGACATGCTGTAAGGGACAGATAAAAGGTAGGAGGATCAAAAAATGTGAGGCGAAAGTAAAAAAGTAGAGGGGTTTAAGATATCGTAAAAATAATACACAAACCACAGAGAAGGGTAGGACCGACCTTTATTTTCTTCAGCCACTTGGCGGGCAATTTTCAGCTTGGAGCCGCTGGCGATCGCAGCCATAAAAGAAGCCTGTCGGGTCCCACGACGTTCGAATGTTGCCGATGGGGGTTGCTTTGGTGACCGGGTCAGGTATTGACTGAAATTATCTACAGTATTATTTATATTGATTTCATTTTTCATTTTTAATGGAGGGGCACCGATGTAATAAGTAGCTTCCATTTTTCGATCAACCAAATTACCGAAAATCAAATAAAATTTTAAATTTTAAATTAAATTTGAAAAGATTTGACGATGTTTATTTTTTGCTCGCTTAGAGATGTGCCTATGTTAAAGGAAAATATATATGAAAAGTTTGTGCGGGGTTCGTTTTGAAGAACCGGTTTTCAAAAATAACATTGCATAATTTCAAAGAAATTACCTTTGAGAAACAATATCATTGCCCTGAGATCGACTAGATGTAAGTAGCTGTCCTGTTTGATTATAGGCTGCTACCGTATCCCTGGATTGACTAAAAGGATCGAGTACATTGCGCAACAGTTCCGACTTACCCAAACGATCGGGGGACGGTCGCGTACGATGGGTCAATCTGCAGAAGATTTCCATTTAATTCACGCGGCCGATTATCGTATTTCTAGATTAAAAAAGGTGAATATCATATTTTTCATAAATCAAATAAACTCTTTAAGCAAGAGATGCTTTTTGATTCGGCCCCTTAAACCAACTTTTTAAATTCGTCAAATTTCGGATAAGAATAAAATTAGGTCCAGTCATATGCTATTTAATATGCCCTAAATAAATTAAATAAAAATTAGATCAGAAACCCAAATCCAAAACTAACCGCGGGCTCACTAGTGGTTGGAATCGGGGAATGAGCGAGTTTTAGGAAAGTCGGCGGCCCCTCTCCAACATGAGCGGCTTCTAAGGAACGGAAGCGGGAAGCTGGCGAGTGGGGAGCCTTCTAAATATTAAAATAATTATTATAATAGATTTGTGATTTGCAAGGAAGATGCCGTGGACGATAGCGTACCGATAGTGGGCGTGGATTTTTGGTCCATCCGGGGCTATGCCGCACCGGTCTGGTTGTAGACGTTGCTAGCCATTCGGGAGTGCCTGAAAATTGGTCAATGAATTGCATGTAAATATATTTCTGAAAGCTATTCTTATTAGCATGATAATCTGCATCAAAAGAGAGCTTACTCCAATGCTTTTGTTTTTTGACAAATCCTACTATATATAAAAAAAATAGTGTTTGTGTGTGTGTGTGTGTGTGCCACTTTGCATCCACTTCCGGATGTCTGTCCGGAGGATATCTCGATGGGGGATGAAGTTTAAGGTATGTGTGATACGCCATTAGGTGCGCAATGGCCTGTAGATGACTGCACGCATATTAGATTCAACAAAATCACCTATTTTCGACATTAAATTTAACTTTTTGTGAAAACTTCTTTGTCAGGAATAATTAGCATAGACCGGAAGTTCGATGCGATTATAAATAAGGATAGGAGAGGTCGTTTTTCATTTTTTGGCATCAGAATTTAGGACAATTATGCAAATTGAAGGATAAAATGGGGTTAGACGGGGCCAGGGTTGAAAAGTCGCGAAGCGGCTTTTCAACCCTGGTAGCCCAGTTAAAAAAATTCTAAAATCTACCTGTCAATTGACTCCTCGGTCTCTCTGTCCATTCATATGCTGGCGGAGAATCGTATGCCGGCGGAACAACCTTCAAATTCTCGAATCAAATTTAGAAAATAGATACTATTACTCACCTGGACCGGCTGGCGAGGCGCCGCGTCAACGTGGCGCATCGCTTTTCTCGTCTTGACTGCTTTATTCCCGCCAGATGAATTTCTACAAATGTCATAATTGAAAATCACTGCAAAACTGTTTAGAACAAGAAAATAATCTAAAAAAATTGCGCGATATATGAATTATTTGTCAACAAATTAGATTTGCAAACAGCGCTTAAAAAGAGCAAGAAATCCCGCTTCAAAGCCCCTTTGTAATAGTGCAAGTGAAATTGTAGCAAATTTCTCTCAAATTTTGAGCGTCGCGTCTTCCCTCCGGAAATCCAAGGCGTACTTTTCCTTCTTAACTCCAGGCCCAAAAACCTCCCGCCTCGGCCTGTAAACCCTACAGGCATGTTAGTAACCTCTGCCGAACAAATTCCTGAAATTTTAGCGCTAAATTTCTCAAAGGTCTACACAAACGCCGGTGTAGACCACTCCTCGACTAGATCCCTCTCTTTAGTTGCCCAAATTCTCTTTTCCAGCCTTTCTGTTAACCCCGATCGATGTAGAAATGCTTTCAAATTATTGGAGCCAAACTGCACTGGACGCCTGAGAACCTGCCAGCCTTTTTCCCAAAAACTGCTCTCAGACACTTTCCAAAATTCTATGCCACTTTTTCAACCTTTCGCTCTTTCGGGACAGATCCCCGACCAATGGAAGTATCGCAAATCTTCCCTTGTTTAAATCAGGGGACGAAACCTCGCCCGGAAACTACCGCCCCGTTGCCCTGACCTCCCCATTTGCAAACCAATGGAAGTAGCTTTAAAACGAAAATCGTGGCGCTCTTGAGCTAAATAATTTCTTTTCGCCAGCCCAATTCGGCTTTAGAAAGTTTCATTCCACGACCACGCACTTTTGCAAATGTTTCACAAAATCTCTGAGAAAATCGACGCCGACGGGACCCTATCACGATTTATTTTGATCTAGCCAAAGCTTTTGACAAAGTTTCCCACGCACTTTTAATCACTAAGCTTTCTCTATAGGTTTTCCGCAGATTTGGTTACTTGGATTGAGCCTATTTGACAAATCGATCTTTCTATGTGAAAATAGGTGATCAAAAGTCGAACGCCCACCCACAACCCTCAGGAGTCCCTCAAGGTAGCGTATTAGGCCCACTACTTTTCTCATCTATATAAACGATCTTCCTTCCCTTCTAACGAACAGTAGCCTAATTTTTGCTGATGACTTAAAAATTTACGCCGGCGTGCCACGCAACCCCACCCTGGCTGATCCGGCTTTTGAGCCCTCCAGGCAGATATAATGCGGTCAAAAGCTGGTGTGTTGAAAATGAAATGTCGCTTTCAACCTCCAAACTTTTATCCTAACGAACATTCCCCCAGCCCGTTTCCAAGATCTCTACGTAGACATACCCGGATACCAAGGACAAATGTGATTAAGGACCTAGGGATCACTTACAATCAGAAATTTAACTTTGAATCGCATATCGCCGCTATCCGATTAAAAGCCGCTCGTATATCCTTCCTTCTTATCAAAAGAATTCAAATTCCAAATGCGATCACGTACCGGCGTGCTTTCAGTACTTTAGTTAGGCCGATTTTGAGTACGCTTCCGAGATTTGGAACCCAACCAAAAGCGAAACATCAATGAACTTGAAAGTGTCCAACGTAAATTTACTTTCTTTGCCTATAAGAATTGTTCCCAAATGAGCCTATGCCCTGTTACCCAGATCGACTAAAATTCTTTTCCCTTCCCACTCTAGCGCACCGTAGAACAGAAGCGGATTTAGTTACATTTATAAGTCTTTTTTGTAGAAACTTTTCCCTTCAAATTTTTGGAATGCACAATCGTCCGATAAGGAATTCCCATGCTTTTCAAGTGAAGAGAATCCATAGTAAGCAGGTTTCCCCGTTCTTCTTCTCGGTAGAGTTGCGAAACCTGGAATAAGCTCCCGCCTAGGGTCTTCAAAGAAGGTCAATTGGGAAATGCAAAGAGCTTTCGTGTAACTTTAGAAAAAATGGACCTGTCCCAATTTCTGTGATCTTTTCTTCCCTCCCCCGTTTGTTTCCGCATGTTATACAACCTCTGAACCAGTGGCACCACACATTGCCTCTCCCCCTCTTTTCACTACTGAATAAGTATATATATAACGGAAAACATGGCGAGAAGCTGGCAGCAGGCCGTGATAAGACACCCAAGAAGAAGGCAAATAGCATTTTTAAAGCCGACGATTTAACGACCAATTAATTGATGAAGGGGGTAGTTAGAACGGTAGCAATTTGAAAGACATCATTGTTGAATCCAAAAGTTTAAAATATTTACAAATTTACGGCCAATTGAAAATTATTTTTTCACATTTTTTACATTCACTTAGGGCTCTTCAACGATGAATTTCGATATCTAAGAGCTAGAGTGTATAATAAGCACCTTATTCGATTAATTTTAATAACTCCTACAATTTTTCTTAATAAATACAGCATAGCCCACTTCATGCTTGCGTGGAATCTACCGGGCCATAAGCCCTCTTTCAATAGAACTGAAAAAGAGTGGATGACCTTGGCGAGCATGGGGAAGTGTCGAGAAATGAGCACCTTTTGGGTGTGAGGTAATGGAGCCCCTCGAGGGGCTGGCGGGGAGCAGCAGTTTGAGAGGATGGGTGAAGCGTTTCGGGGTCAATTTCGGGCCGTCGAGCTGGGTGGGAACAGTTATTTAAAAGGGGGTTAAGGATGGAATAGGGGCTGTGGAGGGGAATTCGATTACCACGTCCTTCAAAACTCATCGTTGTGAAACGGTTATTAACTTGAAATGGGCTTAGAATTTGGGATGAGATAATTACGTGCATTCTCATGTGTTGATACCGTATACCCCATCAAAAACCGTAAAAAAACCGTAAAAACCGTGAAAATTATATTCAGAGCTGAAAAAATGTGCTAAGACCTGTGTTTTTGCGATCCCTTGTGTGGCCTTAACCAGTTTACATGGTAAATACCCTTGGAATTGGGAAAATCTATCAATTTTGTCTTCTGTTTCGGATCAAAAATATGCAACCCTAGCATCCGAGACATTCAGGATAACTTACAATACGATAAAATAAAATCAAAATTGATATGAAGATAATTAAAAAAATATATTAATATAGAGTATCCATGATTGAAAAACCATAATCAAAGAATCTACGGTATGCCGGTTTTTTACCAAATTATTGATTGGAACAGGTCGCGGCAAAGTTGGTACCATTAGTGTGGTGGAATGATCAGGCAGATGCTTTGGAAAAAAGAGAGGAATGATAATCACCAATAATCAAAGCAGTAGATTCAAATGTCAATGAGATTTTTGCGAACATCTTTCCGCATCCCACCTGGAGTCGAGCAACAGCTGGAACAAAAAAATGGAGCCGCAATGACGGGGGGTGTCGATGAGAATGGGTGAGCAAAACGGTATGTGTGTGGAGGGTGGGATTGAGTGGATGTGCGGGGGAGTATTGGTGGTGGTGGGTCGAGCTGTTTGAGTGTGGGCTGCTGGGATGACCCGAGGGCCGATCACTCATCGATTCCTCCTTCTCTCCCCGGAAGGCATGCCCTTACTCTCTCTGTTCATATATATGCCCTAAGGCTATTCGCTAAACAATAGAGGAGGCCTCGATTGGGGCCACCACTTTGTAGCCAGTGCAACGGTTATAAGAAGTTACAGGGTCGTCGATTTTTTTGCAGCTATTCAAACAATAGTCTACTTTCCTCGGTTCTCAAGATTTCGAAAGTTTTGAGGGGCTTTCCTCGAGAGGTAAAGGTTTTGATCAGAGATCTATTGAATTTCAGGTCTAGGAGAACGCCTACTCTTTGAATTTACACTTAATTTTGCCCAAAATAGTCAAATAGTAAAAGTCAAAAATTAGTCCAAATTCTTGCACTTTTTTACAATTTTGAGTTATAGTGCTCATTCGCTAGCGAAAAAATTTCTGAATGAAACGGCGATACTCATTTTGACGAAATCTGCCGGAAGATCAAAATAATTGAGCTTAAAGTTCCACGGTTTTCGGTAAAAAAAAGAGGTTAAAAGCTCAATAATTTCTAAAACAAAACTATTCTGCAATTTTTGAACATGTTTTCGGAAACAGCGATAAATTCTGCACAAGATAGGCTGGGTCCTGTCCAGAATTTCCATCCTGACAAAAGCACCTTATTGTAAGTCAGCCCAAAGAAGAACTTTGTTAAATTACGATTAAAATTAAAATCATCAGAAAACTTTAATTTCTTGAACTTACGTTTCAAGTATTTTTGAGCCCGTCGGGGCAAATTTATTTAAATTTCCCCGAACATACAAAAATTCTAGGGCACACACCCCGATTCGGCCGCGTTAGCAAACAATATTCCCGGCGTCGATGCAAACACAGACCAAGCAAAATAGCCTAAGAAAACGGCGGCCGAAGCCTGTAGGAGGCTAAGGAAAGAGCTGTGTTCCCCTGGTAGAGAGGTGCTCGATATCCCGAAAGGGTGGAGACCCCCCGTAGGCTCTCCAAACAAGACCCACATCGATCCGATTGGAAGGCCACACAAGATCTGCTGACAGTGCTAGGAGATCAGAGCAGAGCCTTCGATCAGAAATCTTGGATCAGATTCTCGACAACACGGCCGGGTGGGTCCTTATCAGAATGGGGGAAAAAGGAGGGAGGGGATGGCAGGAGAGGGAGAAAAGGGGGCAGCAAAACGGACTGTGTAAGCCCGGCGATTATTCATCGAAGCTTCTTTGCCAACCGAAAAGAAGCTATCTGGAGGAGGGTGGTCAACAGAGACGTTATTTTTTGGGGGATTTCTGAAGGGTTCTCGCAACTTTCTATCGACACAATGGTTCCTTTTCATTTTACCGTAAATTTTGATGGCTAAATTCAATTTTCGAGCTTGCAGTAACAACATTACTATTTTTCAATCACTAAACGGGGTTTCTGTCGGATTTAAAGCTGGGATTTTCGACATCAATAACGTACGCCCTGATTTTCGGCATTAAAATACCTAAATACGAACTATCGGCGTAAAGACATTTCAGCAAAATATGGCCGGACAAATTGAATCGCCAAATTTTCCAAATTTTGAAATTCCGGACAAATTCGGTAAAATCAGTTCAAATTTTGTTCATTCAAAATTTCTGAAATTTGATCCCTCATCTAAGCTACTGTTGTGTTGCGCTTGTTGAAAACACGTTTCTTTGAAGAAAAACCTCATGATCAAGATTTTTGTTTTCAAATACTGGCGATGATCACCTGCGGATCGCAACAAGTCGCCCAGGCCCGAATTTGCGGTGGTGTGAAAGTATACAAGCGCTTAGACACGGAAAGCTGTCAAAAACAACAAGGTGTAAGATGAGAGGGGCCTAGCTGAGTGTGCGGGTACAGGCCCGCCGAAAACGTGTGGTGGAAATTCCGCGAAGACAGGGAAGGAGATGGCCGACGGGGAAGAAGCGAGTCGAGTCATTTCGAGTGGATCCGCAAACATCTGAAGCCTTTGCGGGGGGGGGATGGGGCTAAAGGGATGGTGGTGGATGGATGGGGGATGGGACGGGAGATCGGTTGGTGGTTGGCTTTCCACGATATAACCCGGCCGAATCCCTTTCCTAATCCATGATAAGCCATTTCGCTTGTTCGTGTATGTGATAGCACATAAGTGAAAGGAAAAGCGCAATCTGGCGTGCCAAAAGGGACCGATAAAAACATGTAGGAAGCGCTAGTAGGGGTAAAATATTTTTTTATTTTTCTGAATGGCATTTTTCTAAGCTATCTTTCTTAGATGCTTCATGCAAATTTTTAGACCAAAAGTGGACTATTTGCGGAATTTTGGGGTCGTTTGTAGGTTGCTATGCTATGATGTTTTGTAATTTTCCATTAGAAACCGAAAAAAAATGATCTGGGTGAAGGAGGAGAAGCAGTTTAGAAGAGAGTTTCGGAAAAAATGAGATTTAATAAATGCCATCGGAATTCACGGCTAGGCACGTGCAGCCTTAAATCTTTGGAAAATGGACACGCGCTGCCACATAGCTTCGACGACCGGAATGCTAGGCCACATGCCCCCAACTAGAATTCCCTATAGGGGCTAGGTAGAGCGGCAGCCTGTATGCTGTAAGGAGCCAGCAAAAGGAGGACGAGTTGTATGGGGGCGACGAGTGGATAAATGCGTCTCAATCACCCTCCTTCTCCTCCTCCTCCTCTACCCATAGAGCAATGGAAAAGCAGGCTGCCGACGTCCTCTCACGGCCCCCCCCCCTCTTCTACTACATCAAGGTTGCTACTACCTCATGTCAACGAGGTAGTAGTACAGTAGTACTGAACAGGGTATTGATGTGGAAAGCGTGGAAATGGGCAGGGGCAGCTTTTGTAGGGTTGGCGAGTTATAACTTAGATTTTTGTGATTGTGATTTAGCCTGGGAACTTCGTGCATCCGACAACTTGGGCGTCTGGGCCAAAAATCCGTTGGATTTAATCGTTCGAAAATTTTAATAAATAATGTCGACAGTAGAGCCACAAAAACAGCTTATGTCATCCCTAATCATTAGTTGTTGATAAAACCGCAAAATCCGGGGGTATATTGAAATAAAGAATTGCATATAGATACATCGAAGCGACAGACCAAAATAAATGCTGAAAATGAGGATGTGCATAGTCGAGGGCCGGGGCGCGCGGATCTATTCGAGGACAACTCAAACAGCAAAAACTGGCTGTAGGCTGTGTGTGGAGGTCGAGCCCCCTCCCCCCGCTGACCGTCCATCCTTTCCACCCAAATTCAGCCTAAAAACGCCCTCCGCGCGGCCAGATTCCCGGAGGAGAGCCAACCAACCATCGATCGGCTTACCAGGTACGGCGTTGAGAACTGACCGGAACGGAAAAGGCGTGAGAAATGATCAATTGCTACTCCTATCCTTTTTGAAATGTTTGCAAAAAGAGGGCACGCACTGGCAGATAGGACAAAGTGTGATGGTGACATTTGCACTTGTGCTAAAAACATCAAAAACCACTGGATTCCAGGAGTCGGAAATAATGAAGTGAAATAACCGTTATGCAAATTTTAGGATTCGAATAACATGTGATTAATTAAGATTTTGCTCGTCATCAGTGGAATGATTCAATCTAAGTACAATCATTTCAAATCCGCTTCAAACCTTAGTAAGGAAACCAGGAAATTTAAATCTTAGTCAAATATTATTCCATGCCACGTGAAAAAAGCAATAGAATTTGCTTGAAATCGAATATTCTAAAGAATTTTTAAATCCAACGAAAAATTTCTAAAAACTTTCTGTGTCAATATTTACAGCAATATTTTCAAAAACGTGTGACCTTCCAAAATAGCGTTTACGAAGCGCTGTGGTTAGATGGTGGGTTGAGCTGAGGTGGTGGGGTGGGCGTAAGATGACCCAGATTGTTTATTTCGTCCGCCAGGCGGCCACTTTCTCAAAACTAAATTCGCCGCTAGCGTAGCGCACGCGGGCTGAAAGTCCGACGGGGGAAGGGTGAGGAGAGTTTTGGAAGGTTTGGGACATAGTCTACAAGTCCTAAGAAAATATTTTTATAAAAACTGATATTGTTCGGTTCTTTCGCATTATCGGAGGAAGGGGTGTCTACTGGATCCAATTTTACTGATGATTCGAGAAATTACTAGTGACGTAATAGTAACTATCTCAATATCAAAATTAGATAAAGTTCAGGTGAAAAGTACTTAAAAATTCAGAAAAAAGCAGAAAATTGTGGGCGAGAAATTTCGAATCAAAAATGGGAGGTAGATCTAGAAAAAACGTGTAGAGCCGTGGCCTAAGATGATTCACCCACACTCAGATTTTAATATCCGTCTCTTTATAGTTTTTAATAATGCTAAGACCCCGTTCCACCGACCAAAATCGTACCGATCTCCTATCTCTACCAAAAAATCTCAATGTCACCGATGTTTCTATTCCCCCCGAGGCGTTGGCGCTATCACAACAGAAAAATTGCTGACGGAGAAGGTTCAGCTCGGTGGACGCGAAAGAAGCGAAATGGAAGAAAAGGTGATGGTCGCCAGGGATGGCTAGGCGACAGGTGAAACTCGTTCCAAAAATGCGGCGCTTTGTGTGTGAATGGCAGTGATCCAGGCGACGGCTCCAAACACAAACAAGGCCTTCTCTTCGCATTTCGACCGACAAACCGACAAAAATAGCGGCGAATGGTTGGGGCAGACGCATGGGGATGGATTATTTGTTGGAACACGCCATTCCGGACAGTAAAAGCGCGGCCCGGATGGCATTCGATATGGCAAGATATGTTTCTATCCGGTGAACCTGGAAAAATTGGGTATACTTGTAATATATAGGGGAAAAAATGGGAAATGAAGCGCCATTGGGGCGACCATAGGTTCGTCATACGACAGGTAAGTTCATTGAAAAGCCGGCAAAAAAAGTGATTCATTCGCCTACGACCATACCACGTTGAAAGCACGGCATCCCGTCTGATCTGCCAAGTTAAGCAACGTTGGGCTCGGTTAGTACTTGGATCGGAGACGGCCTGGGAATTCCGAGTGTCGTAGGCTATTTTGCCTTTTTGGCGTTTATTGCATTTATTGGAAAAGCGCCAGTTTACATCTTCTAATACCCTTCGAATGTCACAAGAACAAGTTGGTTTGCTCATTTGTTTTACATAACTTGATTGCCGCGATAGTGGTCAAAAAATACATGAAGAAGAAAAGGTATATTGAAATTTACCAAGACTAAGCGTTTCGAAAGCACAAAAGGATGCAAAATAGAGGTGTCCTTCCAAAAGACAAAAAGCCTACGACACTCGGTATTCCCAGGCCGTCTCCGATCCAAGTACTAACCGAGCCCAACGTTGCTTAACTTGGCAGATCAGACGGGATGCCGTGCTTTCAACGTGGTTTGGTCGTAGGCGAGCGTTAGGGCTTTCAGCGTAATTTTGAAGATAACACAGTCGCTCCTTACCATGCTCCCATGAACCCTTTCGAAGAGTTGTAAACGCTGCTAGTTAAAAAATAGAGTACTGCAACGGAACAAAACGTGTCTAATAGCTTATGGATAGTTATTAAAGCCATATGCTACTGCTTAGCCAACATATTGACTTAAGCAAAAATGAAGTGCTTTCCCGGAAATGATGTATGCATTTCTGATGTATGCGCGGAGCCGATAATCTGATTCCATCGGGTGTCATCAAGGAATAAATTCTTCGAGCAAACAATGTCCTGCAACGGAAGCGTGCTTTGGTTCAATCACATTCCTAGCCCCGCCAATATCGATGACCAATTACCATGCTCTAATTATTCTATTACCATTGTTATTTCTAAAGATACATGGGAGCAGTGATGAATACCGTTTGATTAAAGATTTATTGAACAACTACAAGTATCTATACCTTTATACTTTTATATGTTAAGTATAGCCCAATGGAACGGCCAGTAAAGAATCATAGCGAAGCGCTGAATGTGAAAATGCGAACGATTTTGCAGCAATTAGTTGATGTGGTAGGGTACTCGTTCCCAAAATCTTGTGCTTTTTTAGGACGAGAAAAATCAATTGGTGCAGCTTGTGCTCTGGGTGAAACTGGTATGCAAGACAAATAATTACACCGACTATCGATTGTGTTTTTTATCTGAATTATATTCGTTATGCTTTATTTAGACTTGGATCGATTATAAAATGAAATGGGATCCAAACGAATATGGTGGAATTAAAGATGTCCAATTACCACCAAATACCTTATGGAAACCTGATATTCTGCTTTTCAACTCGTTAGTTCTAAGGAATAGAATTAAATTATAAATTTTTTCAGGGCCGATGAGCATTTTGATGCTTTATTCCCTGTTAATTTTGTTGTGGATCACGAGGGTCGTGTACTCCTTGCTCCACCATCGATCGTCAAAATTTCCTGCAACGTTGATTTGACCCATTTCCCATTTGATGATCAGATTTGTTACTTAAAAGTAAGTGGCAATTATAGGCAACAAGTTTATGACGTTTTAAGTATGGTAGTTGGACCTACACCGGCAACAAAGTTGATATCGACATCGACCTCGAAGATCTGGTAGCACCACATAATATGGATCTACAATATTACGTCCCGAACGGAGAATGGGATCTTTTGAGTAATTTTTAAATGTGACTTTTTAAGGGTTTTAAGGCACGCCAGCTCGAGTGGATACAAAAGAATTTGTTGGTGAAAAGTACATTGAGGTCTACTTTTACGTCCACCTGAAACGCCGCACATTATACTATGGTATCAAAGCATTAAGCCTTTCAAAAATTTTTTAGGATTGAATTGGATCATTCCTTCTCTTCTCATTTCACTTTCCAACGTGCTTGGCTTTGCCTTGCCGCCAGAGTGTGGTGAAAAGATTACCGTTCGTAAGTTTATACTGGACTTGTTTACGTTTTTCAAATTATTTTTTTTAGAAATCACAAACCTACTGTCCGTATTGGTGTTTCTCGGTATGGTATCAAATGTGACACCACCAACCTCGGAATCGATACCAGTAATTGGTAAATTTATTGATATGACCTTTACTAATAATGAAACATTTAAGTGGCCTTCTTCACGGCTTCATTGCTGATCCTTGGTCTATCTGTAATTACAACCACCCTCACAATTACCATCCATTTCCGTCACCCCAAAACGAGACCCCCGATGGGACCTGTGGTAACGACAACCAAACAGAACGCAGCAAAATTACGAATTTTCAGATGAGTCTGATTTTCCTGGAATGGCTCCCATGGTTGCTGCTAATGACCAGACCCGGAAAGAAATTTGTGCGGCCAAAGCAGGTTCAATCATGTGTGGATTGCGTGGAATCCAAGGTATATTTGCGAACTGAAGTCTAAAAAAATATAGATGATGGAAGCAAGGCGCAGTAAGCCTTCACGCCATTCCTTAGAGGATGAAGGTGGACCTGAACGGGATGAGAGCCTATTGCATTGTGCACGATTCGACGACTTCTCATCTGGAAATAGCCTGGATGGTATTTTGGATTTCGAGATATCCAAGATTTTTTAGATTCAATCCCATTTGCCGTTCCTCAATATCCTTTGGACGAATGCACGCCGATGGAAGCGTCATTAAGAGATATTTCTGCGAGCCTACAGTTTATCAAAGTGGGACTTGCTGAATACAGCTTTGATAAAGAATTTTAGGAAAAGTTCAAAGAGGAAGAGGAGGAAGAAGATCAGCAAACGGATTGGCGTTTTATGGCAATGGCTCTCGATCGTTTCTTCTTATTTTTATTCACTGGAGCTTACATTTTCATCTCATTCTCAATGGTCATTGCGACACCTCGAATTTTCGATAATTCGATTATAACTGTTGATTGAGTATTAAGCATAAACTGTTTGGTTTTCGGCACATCAATATTTATAATGTCAAAAATGAAAATAGCTAAATCTTTGGCATAGGGCAGTTTAGGGATTTTCCAAGAGCTTTTGACAATTCCAAAATTCGGCATAAAGTTGTTTCGACATTCCGAAAGCTAGGCATTGTGTAATTGGCATTATGGTTTTTGATCTTAAGCATTTCACCATAATTTGGATGGTATGAATTTCGCCCACATGCCGACGCCATTTCGAAAATTTCGAAATTCTGAAGATCGACATTTTAATAGCAAAACAAAATAAAGCTGCAGACTATAACACGGTAAGTACGCAACAAGCCAAATTCCGTAGAACAAGAATATCGTCCCAAAAACTGGACCCTGCTGCAACAACTGGCAGCAGAACAGGCGGACCACCCGCGATCGGTGCTTGAACCCCGGGTCTAAGCATTGCGGGATCAGTGTCGGGGCACTCAACTGTTGAATAGATAGCGCAGACAGACAGTTAGAAGGACTGTATGGACACATTGACAGAGAGAAAGAGACGACCCCTATGCCCCCCGTTGCACCCTTTTGCCACTTGGGTCTCTTCTGGGACTGTTGCCCGGGCCCCTTCTCTTCTCTGCCGTTTGAGGGGGTCCGGTTGGGACAGCGTCATGCCAGGGCAAGGGGCAGCCCTTTCCAAGCTCCCAACAATCTCACATCTACAAGCCGTTTTCGATTCAAGTTATTTGATAACTCATGCTCACCCTGTGAGGATCATGATCCTCGATTTCAAGCTCCTCTTCGGAAAATCCCAAGGTTCAGAATTTTCGTTTCTAATCCTATTGTAAATGATTGTACACTCCGCGATTCCCGCGATCGCGATTCATGATTCTCTGAAGACGAGCCCTGCGATTTAATACAAAAGAGGCTATCATAGGTGCCCTTTCCAAACAGAACGAAATTTTGAGGTTTCTTTTCCAGGTTTCTTTGTGGCGGGTGCCTTTCCAGGCAGCCCGTTTTACCCCAGTTCTTGTTAGTAGAATTTCATAGAATTTAAAGTAGTGTATTTGCATACCCTAGGGATATGGAGGTCCTGGACCGAAGCCGTTGACCTGCCAAGTTACTGCATTTTAGTAGCTGTACTTTTTTGGCTTCCACCGGCTGGCAATTAGATAATCGCTTTTATGCCCATCAGTTTGGGCCATTTTTCGCAAGTCCGCAATTCGAGGCTAAAATTCGTCAATAATTAAAGCCGCTTTACGGTAAAAGTTACGTCAATAGGTAACCCAGTAAATTCTTTAAAAGTTATTAGCGCCCTTTAGCGCATGCAAATTAAGCTTTATCCCAGTAAGTTTTTTTGACTTTTGAAATTCGTTGTTTGAATCTTTCTGTGCAGTTTGTAAACAATAATAAATGTTGGTTCTCCGGACGACGACCCAAAAGGTCGCACTCACTTCAGAATTGATCAATATCTTTATGCATTTTGATAAGCTACGTCTTTACTAAGCCGATCCGGCCACCCGTTTTACTCTTTGCAAAAGACAGACGAGTGCCGATCGAGACCGGGTGAGAACTCGTTTTTCATTTATGTATATTTGGGGGGAGGGGGCGGATGCGGAGAGCAAACAGCAACAGGGCCAGCTGCTTCGAAGAACTCTCTGTCAATACGAGGCTCAGTCAAGGGGGGGCACATTTACTCGGCTGCCAAATGGCAAAACTTGATCAGTTGATGGTTGGAGCTGAGTTGTACGTTCGGCTCAATCCATTCTGCTTCTGGCGGACATTTTCTTGGAAGGCCTCTGTGATTTGGGTCGTTCTGCCCGTTCCTCGATGCCTGTCGTACCTTATAGTGCTTCCTTGGAGTTATTGGAGTTTTTCTGTAGCTCTAACTGTGGATCCAGGAATTTTCTGGTTTTCCCTTTTGCAAAATTAAACTTTTCTTGAACTTAAACTTTGCTTAATTACAAAACCTTTACTTTTTACGTTGTAAGCCATCACGCATAACCTACCTTCTTACCGACCTTTATTTATGGGGCCACGTCGTACCAATTTTTGTAAAAACTCACGAAAACCTGCATAACTCTTCTGGTTCCAGATGGGGTCGATGGCACGGTGGGGACTGTCTCTATGCGGGTTGGCATCAATTTTCGTTTTGGTCCAATGCCAAGAACCGGGATTCACCTACTTGACAGCCCAGGACTTTTTTAATGCCCAGGTTTGTGCTCTAAGAATCTAATTAGAACGCTAGCCAAACTTTAGAAAAGAATCATTACATGTTAGAAACCCTTTCTTTTTAAAGAAATCTAATTCTTTTATTTCAGTTTGTGAATACCAACACACCAATGCGTATGCGACCCCTGAACGATATTCGATTAAGATACCGGGTATCGATATAAAAAAATCCGTCCGTAAACCCTAAAATCTAGAGAGGCCTTTCAAAACGAGGGATCGCCGTCTCACTCGAAAAAGACAAATGGCCGATGGGACGGGTCCCATACGTCATCTCCAGTTCATATAGTAAAATACGCATCGTATAATTATATTAAGCCACTCTGTACCAAAACTTGGCGGCGAAGAGAAGCCCACTTTTCTAGCGAGCGCTCAAAAAGCGGTGTTGGCGCGGTCATTTGCTGCATATCAGCAGAAGACGTGCATCACGTTTGTCCCAAAGAGATCCGCCGATAAGGATTATGTCGTGATTTCAAAGCTTGATGGGTTAGTTTATTAATTCTTGTCAGCGAGAGTTCATTTGTAGTTGTTACGCTGATTTTGCGAGAGTGGGCGGTCGTCAACAGGTGTCGTTGGCTGATGAATGCGTGGATTACGCTACCGTAATTCATGAGCTGATGCATGTTATCGGATTCATCCACGAACATCAGCGGTAGTTTCATTGTAACTCAATTTAAATTTTTGTTTAGGGAAGACCGCGACCAATATGTTAAGATTGTATGGCAAAATATTATCCCAGGTCGGTCAACAATCTGAACTGAATTTAACGAGCGTTAATTTGGGCCCCTAGCTAGGTAGTGGCGTCAATTTTCAGGAGCAAACGGCGATTTCGATAAGCTGACAAATTTGGGACTTTCTTACTACAACGAAGGATATGATTATACATCTATTATGCATTACGAAAGCAATGAAGGCAGTAAGAATGGGAAGAATACCATTGAGGTGGGTGAAATTGACATTAAACGGGATCCATAGCTATTTTTGTTAACTAATATTACTTATTTCTAAGCCATTTACGATTTTCTCATTATAGGCAAAGCAACAACAATTCACGAATATCATGGGCAAAGCTACCGATTTCTCCGTGTCGGACCTCCGACGAGTCAACCGAATGTACGGATGCTGGTCGAAACTCGGTTAAAGCAATATTCGCCATTCCTACCCACCCGCCACACCCTGCCCCATCGACCCCTAATATATTGGGTACTGTAACAGGTTTACGTCAAACCAAATAGTATTTTCTGCAACTCCGAGTGGCCTTGCTACCCCGGTTGCCTGCCACCCCGCATCACCTCGGTTTCGATCAAACCCCGGTTATTTGTAAATATTGAATTAAATATGCCTTTGGTGATTTATCTTTCCGGTGAAACGAATAAAGACTGTGTTAATCGATGCGAGCCCTTTCCTTGATGCCCTCCAGAACACTGAAATCGCAGCAACACGTTTTCTCCATCGCCTACGACCATACCACGTTGAAATCACGGCATCCCGTCTGATCTGCCAAGTTAAGCAACGTTGGGCTCGGTTAGTACTTGGATCGGAGACGGCCTGGGAATACCGAGTGTCGTAGGCTTTTTGCCTTTTTGTGGCGTTTATGCAATTCTTGGTTATCACACCTACTACCTTACTGACCTACCTATCGCCATTTTTCATCATAATAACAATTTATTGCTGGCTGTCCAGAACCTAAAATCAAAGTTAGATTTGCATTCGTCTCAAAATCTTCCTCAATCTCGCCTGCAAATCCGTTCCGACTCTACAGTACCCCTCGTGGTCATCACCGAAAAACCCGCAGTCCTTAAATACCGGTCTGAAGACGGAACGTTTTTATATGCGCTGAGCTCAGGATTTACTGTCCGGCCCCCAAGGATATGATGCCCGCAAAAAGTTAAGCCGTTCCCTGGCTATTAAAGTGGCCGCTGAGGATTATGACATCCGGTAGTTCCCATATAGGACCGGAAGGCGGTTCGAACACCGTTCCGGATTATCTGCAAAGTGCTTCTGGAACAGATTCGGAGTTCTCTCAGCCGGAAACACAGCGCTTCTTGAAATTTCGTGGTCTTCAGGGAAGTGGATTTATACGGAAAGAGGTGAAGAGGTGGGTTTGAGATTTTTCTGGGTTACTCGGGAGTTCTTTGCGTTTAAGTTGAAAAATGCGTTGTTAAATTGTTATCAGTACCACGTGGCGGTCCTCATCTCGTATTTTTTTCCAATATTTGTCCCTTGACCCTGATAAAAACCGACAAAATTGTATTAGGTATTCCCAAACACTTTTTTGACTAGCTATGCCTTATCACAGGCGTTGAACCCGGTTTAAAGTAATAAATTTTAATAAAGTTGGTCAAAATCGGTCCATTTAAACCTAATTTTCAATAACCTAATCGATAGAAATGCACAGACCCCTAAAATGAAATTTAGTGTCATCGCAAAAAGAATTTGGAGGAGAGAAAATAATTTTTATATTGGAGGAACTATGGTGGTTGTTTGCCCCCAGGAGGCAATATTGAGAAATAACGAAATACCTAACCATAACCACGATCAATCATAACACCCTTCTCCACCCAATCTCTTGAAGCGATTCTCGACAGCCAGCTAGTCTTCCAGTTTATGATAGTTCTAGCAAAAGCCTCATTCACCCTTCTCGGCCCCCGCCATTTCATCGTTTTTATGCCGTCGAACCGGAAAGCCCGAACCTTTATCTGGCAGAACTGTCGGACGCTCCTGCCCCTACCAGCCCCTCGCAAGACTTCTTTTTTTAATGTTTAGCAAAAAATGGGCGCCGCCACTGTCTACCCGATGCTCCGTTCTCCATCGGTTCTTGCCATGCACTGCATAGTTTTATTTTCAGCCCTCCCTTAGTCTGTTCGCTGACTTCTTCTTTTCCCCTTTCCATCTCTAGCAAACCCCCTTCAACCCCGTGCTACCCGCTTTCTTTTTTTGGATGGTAGCTTTGGACCGAATCGTCATTCGGCAACCCACTCACTCACTCACTCATTCACTAGCCTCTCAGGGTTCGTCTCGCTCATATGACTGTCGTTCACCTTTTTTTCTAAAGAACGCCTTTTTGGATTCTTATAAATCGTATTTGCTCTACTATAGGCCCCCTATAATATAAACCCCCTTTTATAAAACCGAAAATTGTATTTATAGTTCAAACGATGAGCCTGTTTATGCGTTGTAAGGATTTTTTGGAACTTTTAGGCAGAACCGAAATTGATAAATTTTTTTTATGATTGTTGGTATTTTGGTAAATCCGGAACCTATAAAATGACTATGCGATGATTCCCAAGAAATGTAATTTTTATTCGTCTTCAGGACCTTGCAAAGTCGCACTCCACAATTATTTTTTTGCAGTAACGTGGAAAATAATTTTTTGGGTTTTTTGCTATATTCACAAATTTTCCTTCTGGCCGGTAATGGTTAGGACCGCCACTCAACTTTATTAGTACCTCTTATCAGGTACGAAATTGACAAAAAGCGTCATGACGCTTTGGGTTGGAGGGGTTATGAGGTTTCTATTCAATCGCGGATAGGATATTTATTTGGATTAATTAACGATTCAGGTAATGGCATGCCAATTAGTATTTTAATAAATCTACAAATATTTATGTAAACGAATTGAATGTCCAAAATCTTCAATCCAAATTCTCCTAATCTAATTCTATACATTTGATGCCTTCCCTGGTTGACGAGGATGGCTATTGCGATGAACGGGGGGCCCGGTGGGCCGCCTGGCTCGGAAAATGCGTAATAAACGATATCGTGGTGCCATCGGGCTGGGAAGGGTTTTTGTCGAGGCACGGGCGGGGACGGGGACCAGCAAAAACGAAATACGCCCCAATACACGACGGCCACTGGGCCCAGCGGCTTATTTCAGCCCTATGAAATTGGTTGTTTTTGATTTTGCCTTGCTATACGTATTAGAAACCCAGCCTTTGATCAAGTCGCGGTGTTTCAAAAGTTATGGGGAGAGTTCCTCATATTTAACACTCATAAGTTGATGCGGTTTTGATTTTCTAAGCAGCTAATTTATGGCGCCTAATTTTTGTAAGGGACATGCCATCAGAACAAAATTGTGTCCTGATAAAGTCTTTTCTGCACAGGAACGAGTGTTCCTTAACCTACAATATTCATATCTATTTATGCAAAAAAAAGCTAAAACATGCCGGTTTTGCCTTCCGATTGTGTTAAAATATTTAGCGTAAACTAATTTGTCGATATTTCGCATAACTGAGCCCTAGTATCCTACGGAAGCCACCGTTTCCTCTTTTTAAAGCTATTTTTTTCACCCACCCGACGATAGCTCGACGACCTTAATTTGCATGGGAAACGGAACCCAAGAGAACGAAGGGGTTGACCCGAGGGCTAGTAGTGAGACTGGTCGGTTTCAAGGAGACGTGGATAAATACTCGGTCGCGTCCGGGGGCCGCCGACTCGGCGAGCCCTGCAAAAAAAGCTGGGTATGGTCGTTTTTTGGGTGTCACGGGGTGGCCCTCGCCCCTGTGATTTTTTTTGGGGTTTGCGGCGCCTCTACGCGCCCATTTTTTGGCTGAGGGGTAGGAAGGGGGGGGGGGGAAGAAGCGGGGAGTAGAGGGGGGAGTAGACGACGAACGGAGGAGCAACGGAAGGGGGGGATACGAGGTCGGACACCCCCAACCATTCCGTCATCCAACAACCACTTCCACTGCCGCGTATCCGGATTATACCGCCCCGGGGGCATCAATTTTTCGTGTGGTTTTGTTCCTTGCATTTTTCTGCTTTCCGCAATTTGCATATGCTTCTCCTTTTTGATAGCAATGTTCTTTATCTATTTTTGTCAAAAACGGCCGCTTTTGAAAAATCCTATACTTGTTCAGTCATCTCGAAACCATTACGCACCGAAATGACGTACTGCTCATACCTTTAAAGTGTTTCCCTATCAACATGCTAATGGGGTATAGCGACGGAACTTCTTGTAAATCTTTACACAAACTATTATTTTACAAGGCGCGCAAAATTCTATCTGCATTTTTTTCTGAATCGCTCCTTTTCACAAAACTCTAATTTCCATGAGCCACAAAACTGTAATCCCCAACAAACTCACCACCTTTTCATCGTCGTCAAACCTCCACTTTCACTTTCGTTCACCAAAACACAGTTGACGGACTTCCCAAAGACAACACCATTTTTCTCCATCACATATTTCTCTTCAATGTTCTTTCAGTCACTAGCAAACATCTAACGCTTTTTTAGAATGTCTAGGAAGCATCCAATGCTTCCGCAAAAATTTTCCATGACGATTGAAGAAAATGAATTAAATGCAGCGGGGATCGGGGAGTTAAATAATGAACCGGGTAGATTTTTCGTGAATTAGTTAGTGGCATATGTAGATAAAAATTTATTAACTTTGAAAAAGCCCGAAAACAACTTTTTACAGAAGACGAGGAAGGAACGATGTCAGGTGGAGATGATAATGGACTTTTCCCCTTTGACCTGGCGACGGCAGTCGGTTTTGTAGGTTTTTAAAAACCTGTTTTCCTAAATTGTACCGTGGGAACCACCAGGCTCGTGGTAGTTTGATTTCGTTTTGTTTTATTAGTGATTTTTCGGGCCCACGTGGGGATACTGCAAAAAAGTTAACTGATTTTTCGCCGTATGGCCGAGCGCAAATTTTGTTTTTTTTTGGGACCGGAAGTTGCTCTACCAATAAATACCCTTAGGTGTTTTAAAATAGCTGGGAAATCGTTTGTAAACTAAAATCTTTAGTTACAAGCAGCGTCTGCAAATCGGTTCCTTGACATTGGCTCTCCGAACTCTGATGGTGCAAGGAAGAGGCCGCGCAGTACGGCCGCGTCTCGTTGTCTCAAGAAATCGGCGGTGCTGAATCAACCAATGTATCCATTTTATATCAAAAATTGATTGTACTTTTATAGGTTTTCATTCACTGTCCGTGGCCCAAATTCGCTGCAGCGTCCAGACAAATCGGCCTGGTTTACGATTGGAGGTGTCTACGAGTTGAAGTGTGGTGTCACTAGCCCGATTCGGGAAAATTATATAAGTCGGGTTGGTTTTTACGTCTAGCTATCGCGCTTTGTTTTATAAGTTTTATTCTACTTATTATTTTGCTATTTTAGACATTGTTGACTTTAACAAGCGATGATCCTTTGGAATGGGCCAAGATCGAAGCCACCTTTCGCTCCGGGACCCTACTCTCCGGCAATGCCGCCCCAAAGCATATTTTTACCATGGGTATGCTTCGTAAACGAAAGAAAAATATTTATATCAAATTTCAGATCGACCGTCCCCGAGAACCCATCGCAACGTCCAAGCCGGAAGACATTCGATTGAATTTACATGGGATGCATCGGGAAACATTTTTGTATATTTGAGGGTTTGTTCATAGCTCCGTCTTCAAAAATATATTTAGTTTCTCTGTGCCCTCTCCGATTTAATATCAAATCCAAAGAGCCCACTGCGTCTAATCATCCAGACGTATTTTCTCGATTCCCCTTCCGTCGTGTATACAAAATCGATTCTGATCAACACTGTCGGAGTTAGTAAAACTCATACTTTTAGAAAGTTTGAATATTTTAGCACCCATCCATGCTTGACAACGTCTTGAGTCTTGGTGTCGCCGGCCCAATCGATATCCCAAGCGATTTCGAGCTCCGATTTATCCCCGAAGATGATCCTGTGGTAGGTTTTCCTATGGTTTTTAAATTTCCGTTTCCCATTTCAGCCCCTTTTCTCCGATATTCCTAACGAACAGCCCTCTTTTGACCCGTTAATGAAAGGCGTTGATGGTACGCTTCCGATTCAATTAAGTTTATTCATTTAAGGCAATCTTTCAAATCTGGAAAAGGTCCTACAAGATACCTTACATCAGCCGGAAGAAGTAGGTCTCCCATTGTTTTTTCAATATATGGTTTCTCCTTTAGCAAACTCTGATGAATCAAGGAAACATCGTCGATGCTTTATCAATGCTAACCAAAAATAGCTATTCGACGGTACAAACACCGAGACCTAGAGGGCGACCAAGGAAATTTCATTACCCAGAATACTGCTATTCAAAAAGTATGCTAATTTTTGCTTTTTCTTGATTTGATAATTTTCCAGCAGCGTTAGAAAGGGGTCCAGCACATGCCGGAGAATTTAGTGGTCCTGCCGCCGAAATGATAGCTATTCAACAAATGCAAAAGCAATATGAGGTAGATTCTCTCGGATTCGTAATTTTTCTTGACTATTGTAGACAACTAAATATGTTGTTTGCATTTTAGGCGAATGCTGCCCAACCAGCCCTGAATTTTATTGATGAGAAACCGATTACGGTAGCCAGCATCCTGGCGATGCAAAGCAATCTGGAAGAAACCGACAAGTAAAATATTTAAACCTTTTACGTCTTTGTTTTAGACCATCCTCTTCCATGGAAGAAATTGAACCAAATACTGAAGTTAAACAATTTTTATGTGAAATTAATATGGAAGATTCTATAGGATTTTTTGCCAAGTAAGCAACTAGCTTCAGCATTGCAACATTTTTAGATATACTATCTCCGAGATGCGAATGCTTTCTTCTGAAGAAATAAGGATAATTCTGGGGAATGATGCTGAAGCCTTCCGGCTTTATCATGCATTAAGAAAGAGGTAGCAATCAAATATAATAATATCAACAGAATCTTAGAAGAAGGCCCGCGGAAAGAATATCAATATTTATTGCACCAAAATGCAACGAAGGGGAGGAACCATGTTACGAGATGCTAAAGTTGTCACCACCTTGTGTATCTGAGTTAATCCATTGTATAAGGTAGTTTGGTATATCAAATTATGACACTTGGTTTTAGACATATCATACCACAAAATATCAAGAAAATATGCGTCCCAGGCCCTCGTGGGATCCAGGTCCATCTGGGTGATGAGGTAGGAGGAAAAAGAGGCTTAATAAGATCAATATTTTAGATGGTAGAAGCATGGGCGGACAATTCTGTTTACCGATACACCATCTCTGGAGACGTGCTGCTTCTATGGCCGTTGCCATAAACGCCAGCTAAAATCCAAATCGAATTGCGCTAATCAGACCAAAAATTGCATTGTGTATAAATATTTATTCTGCAGGTAATATTTTTAATAACAGGATGACACCCCAAAATCAAACAAATAAAGAATTGACGTAAACTTAATAGAAGGAATAAGGGTATACCTTGTATATTTAGCCCAAAAGTGGGACAAAAAGTATTTCCGGTACATATGTTTTCGTGTTCCATTTCTGGCAGATCGGGAAGCACCAAGAAAGGAGCCTGAAACAGAAAGTGTCCGCTTACGAATCCTCTCCAGAACTGGTTACTCGAAGCGGAAGCCCCAGGACAACGCTATTTTCGACATATATACGTTTCCAAGCCCAGCCCCCCTTCTTCCTTGCTTTGTATTTAACCGACTGCGCCGCAAAGGTATTCCAACGTTCCGATGTTCGCTCTACTTACCTTCACATTATCTCTTTATGTTTTGAGAGCTAGAGCTGATCTCGTACAACATGACCCCTATCATACATGCACAACTGATGAGGTTTGCTTTTCCTGCTTTGAAAATTCATCACCTTTAGGAATGCGGAAAACGCATGGAAAAACTTTATCCAGATATAAAATTTGTTTGCTGTGCAACGGTGGTATGCGGTTACGGTACGCCAGTGTACATCATGACTAAAGTCTCAAACACTTTAGAAAACCCATATTTCTTGGAAAGCTCCAGCTGCTCAGCCGTAGACGATTGTACAGAAGTGGCATTTAATGGAACGTCGCGTTTTGCCGGTACCCGATTTTGAATTTAAAGCAATCAGCATCAATGCATGTATAGGTCGAGCGCATGCGGTTAATTGGAAGGCCGTGGAAAACACTCGCACTGTAAAGGATTGCCGAGAAACTGCAGAGGTTTTTATGAAAATGCCAGGAGTACAGGTACGAAATAACAGCACATATTGTTCAGAAATGTGCCATTCCATCTAAATTACGTACAATTTTAGCATTCGACGGATCGCACTAAAGCATTCCCCATTAAACGTACAGCCGAACACTTGAAGAAACGGAACCAAACCCAGACAACATCGGTAAATCAACCTCTACTCTCATTGCTATTATTCTTGTAGAAATCTGACTGCACCCTAAAATGCGCCAAAGACGAAGACTGCTGTACGACGATTGAATGTGATGAAACAGCAGATGGAAAAGGGCTTTATACCTTGGAGCAAAGATGTTCTCGCGAATGCCCAACAATCACGTATAATCTGGCCAATAATGCATACTGTAGGTTAAGAAAGACAATAGTCCTTAGCAAATCTTAAAAATATTATAATGGATATTATTATATGTATTACAGACCAGTTCTCATCTGATGACTGGACAAGTCGTGGTTCATATCAACGATCAAAAAGCACCGGTTCGGTAGAACAAAACTGCCAAGAAACTCGCTATTTTCAACGATGGCTGGGCGAGAAGAAAGCGGGCGCTAATGAGGCTCTTTGATTCGAATCAGACATGAAATTCGCTTGTAAACGGAATTTACCATTGTTGTCATGAATCCAGTCGTTTTCGGCTTACCCTTTCTTTAATGCGACATCCCAGATATTGCCTGCTCCCTCCACATAATCCCCCCTCTACCAGCTGCTAGGCCTTTGGCGCGAAGGTCATGCGTTTGAAAGAGAACAAAGGCCGGTTTGAATCGTGCTATCCAGCTGTCCGCTTTTGAAAACGCAGATTCTGCTTTTCCTAGTTGCTTGCATTTATCCGATCATCATAACATGTACATATTTGCATAAATTCGTGGCCCTGTAAACCTCATATCACATGTATATTTGATCAAAGTTCGCCCAAACAACATAAGCTGAGAATTTCTTAACGATAGTTACATTCAGTATGCTTCTGCAAATTTCGAAATTTCCATAAAATTCCGGGCGACGAATTCTGGGAACGCGCTGACTTTTGCTTTGTCTACGAAGTGACAGTGCAGGCCGACTTTTGTCAAACTGCTCGATCAATGCCTCTCACATTCCCAAAATGTTCTCATTAAAGAATGATTATTGCATCCAGCTAACTTCATAAAATTGATTTTTATTTTTTCCATTGTCGATCGGCGCCTAACATCTTTATTTCTAGGAGCGAACAATGACAGATGTGTTACGCAAACCGCCAATGGTAAGTGTACCTTCAATGTCTTAAAAAATGAATCAGGAACCGCAAGAACTCACATTAGACGAGAGAGTCCCGGATGTTGAAATCGTAATCGATAAAAAAGCAATCGACGCGAAAACCCTCTTACAAGAAACGCTCGATAAATTGGCAAGCCATTGCTCGCGCTTCTAGTTTTTTATTGCCGCTAATTTTCGATTGCCAAGCCAAGTTTTCGCTGCTCAATTGAGCGCCCACTAGGAAAATCACATTTAGGAGCCGCCACAGCCGCCACCGCTCGATGAAGTGACTGCGGAAAATCCCCGCGTTGTGACACTAAATGGACATGTTGGTTTTGATGCGCTGCCGCATCAACTTGTACGAAAGGCTATTGAACAGGGGTAAGTAAAACCGATTAAAATGTGTAATTTCGGTCTCTCATTTTGGCACCTGACCATTTTACTAAAAAGGAGTGCTGAGGACCTAGACTTAAATGAAAATTTGCATTTCAGTTAAAAAGTCGAGTAGAAGCTTATGGTTTCCTCGTTTCTAGAAAACATTTTGTGGTCGAAATTCGTGAAAAACGAATTTTTTTGGGCACTTTGTCATGCAAAGTAAAAAAATTCGAATTCTTTTAAACTAACAGGGTACCAAAAATTTATTTAGGTTCCATTTCAATCTAATGTGCGTCGGTGAGACCGGGCTTGGCAAATCCACTCTGCTCGAGTCACTCTTCAACATGAAACTCGACTTCGATGCCTGTGGAGAAGAGCTGACTACAGTCGAAATCAGAAGCAAGGTCTACGGTAGTATTCTTCCATATAACTATAAGTATTATTTCAGAGGTAATTGAAGGTGGCATCCGCCTAAAAATGCGGATCGTTGAAACGGCGGGTTTTGGCGATCAACTCGACAAAGATAAAAGGTAATCGTAACAACAATTAAGACAGTATAACAAAATTTTAGTAGCGGACCTTTAGCTGCCAGGCATGTATCGCTTTTTATAGCTCATTAAACCCAGTTTTCGGTTTTTACGTCTAATTTTAGTGCCAACGTCATTGTCAGCTATATCAACGAGCAATTTGAGAAGTATTTGAAGGAGGAATTGAAGGTCAGTGCAAAAAAAAACCCAGAAAATTTAGGAACATTTTTAGGTGAGAAGAATGTTGTCGTGCTATGAAGACACGAGGATCCATGCTTGTTTGTATTTCATCTCGCCAACAGGGCTTGGGTAAGTTCCTTACATCTACAGTATCTTACTGTATCAAATTATGCAAGTTTGAATTCAACCTTTAAATGAAACCGTTTTTAGCCTAAAAGCCCTCGATCTGGTGACCCTCAAGGAATTGAGCAAGCGCGTCAATGTCATCCCGGTCATCGCAAAAAGTGATACGATCAGTAAAGATGAATTGATCCGCTTCAAAACCAAGGTATTTTCGAAGTAATGTAGATAAAACAAAGAAACAATTTTAGATCTTGGCCGAATTGACCCAACACAAAATCGATATCTTCAATTTCCCGACTGACGACGAAACGGTGGCAGCTGTAAATGCTGAAATGAACAAACTGCTCCCGTTCGCGGTAGTTGGAAGCACAGATTTTGTGAAGAAGGAGAATGGAAAGGTAAGGAGGAAAACCGAATTTTGCTAAAGACTGAATTTTCTAAGATGGTGCGCGCTCGACGGTACCCATGGGGTATGGTGGAAGTTGAGAATGAAGAGCATTGTGATTTTGTGAAACTTCGGGAAGCTCTGCTGCGGACGAATGTGGATTCACTGCGCGATCAAACGCATACGGTATTTTTCAAATGCAGTCTAATCATACAAGATCGGATCTAAATTCATTATTGACCAACTTGGATCTTTAGGTGCTGTACGAGAGATATCGCCGAGATCGTCTCCGTGGTATGCGTATGGGTGATGGCGATACTGGACCAGGTTTTGCCAATGCGTATGCACAGGTATTATCTCATTTTTTAATATACAACTCATCGCAAATTGAGAAAAAAGAAGAATGCGCTTCGGAGATGGCTAAGCGGGAAACAGAGATGCGCGATGATTTCAGACAGCTGCTTGGTGAACGCGAAGAAGAACTTCGTCGCGAGGAGGAGGCGGTAAAAGAGATTTGTAGCCCATTACAGTACTTTTTAGCTTAACATTCGCACCCGAGACGTTGAACATGCGCATGAAAAGGAAATGCAGGTAGCCAAAATCCAATTACTTCTTCACGATTTTATTTAGCTGTTGGAAGCTGAGCTAAAATTGCTACAAGAAGAAAAGACACGCCTTGAAAACAAAGCCAAGAAGGGGAAGAAGTGAGACTGCATGTTTCTCTGCTTTTATTTGCACGATTTGACCCGTATAAGTGTATTATATTCCGCTGATCAGTCCATTTTTTTTGTACTATAATGCATGATGGTTCCAGAACTGCAAATTGTGTGCTGAGTTGAAAATGTGCATGCTGCATGGGATGTTTTGAATGTGAAATTGTTTGAATAAAGTATTGCCTAGTAAGTACTTATTTTTCAGGGTTGGAAGGACGTTCTCGTTCAAAGAACGCTTTGGACTCGTCTCCAGTACTGATCTTCAGGCCCCGCTGGGCAAGGCCGAAGATTCTGCGTTTATCTGATTTTCTTTGAGAGCCATTTATTTTCCCAAAGACGGTGAATTCAACATGTGAATAAAATATCATGGATTTTATTGGAGCTTTTACTCGGATGGGTAGTGGAAATCCATCGATGAGACTTCGACCTTAAAACCGACCATATATTTCCTACGTATTTTCACCCACTAACGCATTTCTTTTACTATAAGCTACAACTAAAGCGATAATTTTACCTCTCCGTCCACACGGAATCCAATGTAGTCTTCTAACGGGTTATTAGCCCGATGCTTGAAGGTACAGGTCGGCTTTCCATTGATTTCCACCTGGTTAATACAATTAAATAATTTTTTTTTGATTACCTGGAACACCTCCGGCTCCATCAAAAATGAAATTGCGGCTCCCTGTCCGATCTAAGGCAGAATTGTTTTGCAATAAATTCTAAAAACCTGGAACGGGAAATCCCCTTCGAACGGCAATTCTTCCTTCATCCAGAATCCTCCCTTGTGCGCGTTGCGGACCAACTAATTTTAATCTCAGGTTTTCGGGTAAGGAGTCCCACCTTTTGATCCTTCATCCTCGGGTTGAAATGGAATAGAATATCTTGGTTTCGAGCGATGAAATCGATATTCCAGCGATCGCCGCGTGGGACGACATATAGTTGGATTTTGCTGCCTACAAAGAACAAAAAATTCGCTAAAAGGCGCTAAATTACCCGGCTTCAATGGCTTCTGCTCCTTGAATGCCGTCACCCACGGGAGCTTAAAAACCCGTTAAATATCCAGAAATTTCCCTCTCAATAACCTTATACTGCTTGCCGCCCCAGTGGACACCATCGAGCGTGCAGTCACCCTTGACCTAAAAATGATCCTTAAAATGATACGGGTTATCGGGGACATCGTAGCTGTAGAAAACGATACCTGCAAAAATTCGGTTTCCTCGAAAGGACAGCGGTACTTGAACTCGTGCACTTTCTCGCCGTTCAACCGGAGCTCAAAATGATCTTCCATGCACCTGAAATAATCGATGATCCCAATATAATTATTGAACTTACCGAATGCGCAGATCAAATGGCTCGCCCGCAACGAACGGGTTGCCAACGCGCTCTTCATTTTGCCACTTTCCATCCAGGAACGAGTTGAGCACAACGGCCTTTTCGTCGATGCGAATGTTGGCGTGAAGGCAGGCCTGCATATTTAATGATTATTTTCATAATATGTGTGAATTGACAAATTGATTAAAACAATTTTTACAAACCTGCCCTTGTCCAGGAGCAATCTTGGAATCACCCTTCAACAAGTTGAGCTCGAGCCTGAAATCACAGACGGTTCCAAAACAAGCATCGATATACCTCTTCCCATCTGGCAGAATTTTTCCTTGCATTTGGATGGTTTGCCCCAGCTAAACGGTACGAAATAAAAATTATTTCGTAGGACACACCTGCAGGGGTTGGGCCAGCCGGCTGGTAAATGGTACCGCAATTCCTTGACCATCGTTTTGAGCCTAGAATTATTTTAGGACACTTTCATTTTTTGAGTCACCATGCGGAGTGCCTTTTTTATATATTTTGCGATGGGCGAAATACCAACAAAGAAGCTAAAATTTTATTATTTTAAAAATTTAATCGAAGGATTTTATATTTATCCGAGAGAAAATACGCCAGATCATAAAACAACTCACCGCCATTTTTGGCTGCAGCAAATCGAACTTCGGGTTGTTTTTTGCGAGTGGCAAGCCCTGGGCGAACGGGTGGGAGAGGAGGTGGACAACAACTGGTGGCTGGCGGGTAGTCAACGCTCAGGGCCACAACCCAGAAAAAGGCCCCCTCCTGCCCCTCTCACCATCAAAAAGTAAAATCCCCCTTCTCCCTTTCCACATGTGCCTCCATTTCGGCCAGTCAAACGCTGTACACAAAGGACACGGCTAACCGCCGGAAAAAGGCCCGAAATTTGAAAAGACCTTGATCGATGGCTGATGGTAGAAGCTGGTTGGGCAGGAACAGGAATTTGCTGATAGGAAATGGGTTTATGGCTTTTGTTGTATGTAGAGCTGGACCTTCAAGGCTTTTCGGAGCTACATTGATGGGCCGGACTAGAAGTTAAGGGGCTTAGAAAGGCAAAACCTTGCTGAAACGAAAAAAGCAGCCCTGTAGCGAGCCGGCGTTATCCGATTTCGACAATTTAGATTTTCGTTATCAGCCCGCCGTTTCCTTTTCCAAAAGAAGCATTTGAAATCTCGGATTTTCTCAAACATACAATATTGTGCGATATTCCCATCTCTCTTTAATTAACCAACTATCCTTCGACAAAGCTTCTCATTTTTCACAGCATCCCTACGGACGAACTGCTCCATCAATAACCTGAACAGGTCTTGTCCCGAACGCTATCAATCAATCGCAACGGGTAATAAACGGCAGCTTTGGCGCCTAAGAAACTGCCAGAATCCTTTGTTGCTGTGAAAGCCTAGAGAACCTAGCCAACACTCGCCTACGACCAAACCACGTTGAAAGCACGGCATCCCGTCTGATCTGCCAAGTTAAGCAGCGTTGGGCTCGGTTAGTACTTGGATCGGAGACGGCCTGGGAATACCGAGTGTCGTAGGCTTTTTGTTTTAATTTATCGTTTGTAATTAGTAATTAGTACCTTGTAGTCGTTTCTAATAGGTTCTATCAGGCAGTCTTTTTTAGATGCTTCTGCGATTCGACAAAGCTGGTTCGAAAGCGATTTCCATTCTAAAACACTCCATGGTTCAAAATAAAATTGACCACGACTTCGGGATTCAGAATTTCAAGCTAATTTGTGGAAGCTAAATTATAACCACAACCAACACCACCAAAAACCCGTTCACCGAATTATTCCTGGAAGATTTTCCCACCCAGTTTTTAAAGTGTTCCCGCTGAAACAATATGGACCTGGCCATGCTGTCGGGAATGTTTCAATTTGGCGCGTGAGCCATTTTGACGATCAATCGGGTGTCGGGCTCAGAGCAGGTTGACTGACCAAAAAGAGAGCACGAAGGGTGGAGAAACGACCTTGAGGCAAGGTCCCCCCCCACAGCCTCACCTCAACCATCCTACCCCCCACCAAAAGCGGGCAAAAGGCCGCCAAGGCCATTCGGAGCCAAGGTCGAACCAAAAGGGGGGCGAATCGACGAGCAGCTCTTACATTCATCTACACTCACATCGACACAGTCACGACTCGAATATGATCGACCCAGAAACGCCTTCAACAAGTACCACGCATCCACCAGCTGGCGCTACAGCTCATTTTTCAATTATATCGAGCAGCTCGTCATCAACTGATCGCCCTTTTTCCCTGGATCAACTTTTGAGGGTTGGAACGAAACGGTTAGTTCACTATGCATCGTGTAAAAGTTTTTACAATCTTTGCAAGAAAATTTGTATTAAAAATGCTTTTTAATCTTAATTATAGAGCCTTTAGAGTTTAGAGCATTGGTTGACGATATTTTTTTGGTAATTACGTGAGGCATGCATTAAAATGCTTTTGAATTTTAATTATATATTTTTAAAACGTATCTTTGCGTTTTTAAGTTAGAAGCCGCGGCAATTAACCCCTAGGCCCACGATTTAGAAAACCGTAATTTGCAAATTAGAATTCTTCTAATTGCAATTTAAGATGTTGCTGGTAAATACTCTAGCCATCCCTAAGACCAACAACATTTTTGAAAGATTAAATTCGAATTCAGATCTGCCTCTCCACCACCACAAACAGTCATCTCCAGCCTACAGAAACAGCTATTAGCATCCGCCCAGGTAAGTAACCCACTACTGCTTGATATTTTTTATATTGATAGCAGCCAACGTCCTCCTCCCAACGACGGGTAATTATGAAACCAACAAGCGAGGATAAGACATTGGTAGGTTACCTCAACTCATAAAAACGAAAAGCTTCAGATTCTATCCCTCTTCAAGAAGATCGAATCTCAGGAACGAATAATTCAAGAACTAACTAATGAAGTAAGCGGCTGGTTCGAAATTAATTTAATACCTGCTTTTAGCTGAAAAGCGCCCGGGCCGAGAGGGAAACATTTCGGACTCTATATGAAGGGGCGAAAACGGAAAATAGATTGCTAAAAGGTGGGTTAGAATCTGCAATGGAAACAATTGTTTTCGGAGGAGAAATAAAATCAATTTACATTTCAGGGAGCTCCGTGGGCTTTACTGCACTTCGTCCACCATCTAGTGCCAGTGAAGAATTGGACGTGAAGCCGACTATTATACATAAACCGCTTTGATAGAATTTTCGTTTATATATGCATATAGTAGCTATAAAAATTTTTATTTTCAATTGAGTAAATTGAATTAAATACGAATATGACCATAAACATTATTATTCAGACTATCTACAGAGAAACCTATTTTTAAAGCTTTTTGTTATGTGGAAATTTCACACTAATTCGATGTTGCAGAACGAAAACAATCTGGATTGGACCCTCTATTACAATGATCTCCAGACGGGCTATCTCTGAACATGGCCCAAAAGCTTGAAATGCCCATCCATGGTCTGGTAGTAGTTGTGAAAAGGAGCGTGTTTGTCGAGACGAAACGCCCGAATATAAGTGCCGACCTATCGATCCTCGATTCGCGCCCCCGAGAAGACGTCATCCATACAAAAACTCTCATCGCTATCCCACAAACATCTTCTGGACCCTCAGATGCTACCTTTTAATTATAATACCGGGATGAGGATGTCGATCCTTGGTGATATTTCCCCGACCAGTGGATTTGAACCTCCTGATGATAATCCGGACATGCCGGACTATTGCCTTTCCCTTAATAATATTATGAAAACAAAACGGTTTGTGATTATATAGTTCACGCCGGTCTTTATAGAATTTTTGACATGGCTGCCTCATCAATAGGGATAATCCTGAATTCGGTGCACATCGGGATACTCGTATACATCAAATTTATGCGAAAAGCGCGCAGCTACGAGCTACTGTTTGGACAGGTTTTAGTGGTCGATTTGCTGAGGATATACCACTTTAGGGTGTGCTAGCATTTCTCACCCATTTGTTTCTATTCATTGGGTGTTTGGTGGATTTGTGTATGGTTGGTACAAATTGGAGTGCGACATGGTTTCGAGCACATGTATGGTTATTTTTGGTGAGTGGGTTTGGTTCTCACACCAAAACGAAGGCATTAGGTGTTTATAGTACGCTTTAGGATGTAGATCCAGGATCTCTCGATGTTTAGGTAAACACTTTCATGGCATCCTATGGCTTCTTGATCATTGCATTATGCATAGATCGATATGTTGCCTTAAATCGACCAATATACTACAGACATACTTTTGTTCGAAGAAGAGTAAGTCTCACATAATAACAATACTTTTACTAAATCTACAGACACGCTGGGGGTTGATTTGTGGCAGCTGCCTACTTGGCACACTCTTCTGCTTACGCTGGATCCCTTTTAATAGAGTCACCGACGATAATGATATTGAGGAAAATGTCAAGGTAGACAAATTCCTTTCATTTTTCTAATCCAATTTTCAGGTCACACGAACTTGGTATTACACCGTATGGCGCATTATTGTTTACTTGGAGCAATACATTTTTGCTGGAGCTGCAATGCTGGTGCTCAGGTTGCAATTTTAATAGCATTTCGTTTACTTGTAATTTTCAGTTACTCCAACATCAAAAAATTAAAAGAGATCAAGAAATCTTACAAAGAAGAATCGCTGGGGATGACTGGAGAAATCAAGGCGGAGTGGATCCGAAACCATACGGTACCAGTAAACCATACATTTTTTACTCTTAGACTTTGTTTAGACCATTTCCAAAATCTGTGTCGTTCTGGCTATTTCATACGTGATGTTCAATTGGCCTTATTGCGTGGTAGATTACCTTTACACCGATGATGTAAGTTTTGAAAACAATACCTTTAAAAATATTTTTACAGTTAAATGAAACAGAATGGTACGGCTTCGTGACGTTGATTATCAATCTACTTCAAGTGGTTTACATCCAGCTGAATTTGTTTTTCTTTGCCTACTGTAGTCGCATGTACCGTAGCACTTTGGTGTATCTTTTTCGTTGGCCTTATGTTTCATTGCTCCATCTTATCACTCGATTACGGGCTAGAACATCGATGGGGAAAATTATGGATTCAAGAGAGTCCACAACCACCCAGAATACGGTCTTTACGGTATGCTAGATGACATGGGAAATTGGAATTAATTGGAAATCGATCGGTATCTCAGGCAGATCCAGGAAGGCTATAACTGCAGGAAAGCATGTTTGAATTTTTGTAGCCTTCAATTTTGCATATATTGCTGTTGAACGTGAATCTGTATAAAAATATTTGCAGGAAAATTAATCCTTGAAATACATCTGAACCTCCTGAACTTTGGGGAAAGTTTCAAAACTCTTGTACCCTCGCGTCACTTCCGAAGACAGCTGATGACTCCTTTGCACACCCTAAAAATATAGCCGGCCACATCCCCTTTGAAGCGCTTCCCATCTATCGGTTTTTGGGAGTCTGAAGCTGTGGTGCATTGTGGGTGAGGACCCACTTCTCACGAGCCTAAGCCCTTCATCGTCATGTGCCCGAGATTACTTCGGGAGCCCTCCTCCTCGTTTGCTTCTTCTTCTTCTTCTTCCACAGCTGAGGCTCCCCCACCGCCACATTTCCTCCTTTTCTTTCCCGAATGGCGTGGGCTCGCTACCATAACCCTCTCGGGCCCCGCCCCCTTTTTTGGCCGCCACGTTTCTTTCGCGCAGCACCCGCAATATATAGGGCCAACCTTGAAACCGGCTCATTTTTAGGGCCACCCACGTTACATGACCTTGAATATTTTAATTTAGGAAAATTATAATTTAATTTCAGCTTGCTCTACTTGCAATTATGGACGCTGAGGAGGCGAAGGAGCGCCTTTCCGCGCTATTTTCAACGGGTAAGCATTGGAAGATATTAGACATGCGCTAGATTGGTACTTTATAGATCTTTGTTGATAAAATATTTTACTAAAACATTTACTCATAAAATTTGAATATTTCTCTTGCCCTCATAGATTACGCAGCATCTGAAAGATTTCATCAAGTCTAAATACAATATTCCACATTAACAATTTCTTTCAGACATCATGCCCCAATCGGAAAATTGGGTGGACACTGAGGTCTTCCTCAAGGAGGTTGTCCGCGTGCTGCTCAAGTGGGTCATTTCTGGTGCTACGTAAGGATGCCCGCGGCTGTTTTCGGAGAGCATGGAAACAAATCTCAATTTAGGTACATCCATGATGAGAATAAGCGCGATACCAAAATTCTCGAATTCCACCATCCTACGGAGATGAAGAAAATGATTGATTTGACGATACCCGAAAATCCGCAGCCCTTGTCGGAGCTTGTCAAGGTATCTAAAGTTGGTCGTGGCCAAACAACCGCTTCGCGGTTATTGGCCCTCGTTTGATCACTGATCCATGGTAGCCAATGACTAGAATAGTTCCTTGCGAGCCAAAGGATTCGCATCTAATAACATCATATATGAAAGTTCTTAGTCAAATACTGACGCCCGGACGATATTTTTTATCGTTGCTCGGATATTATATCCCTGAATTTCCAAATCTTGCAGTAAGCAAACATATACACGTTTCCCCTTTTTCCGCATTACTAATCCCAAAATGAAAACCACATCCGATGGGACCCAATGCGGACCCACATATTGGGCAATGCGATGGGCCCTGAGGCTGCAATTTTGTCGAGGCCGCGGGATGCTCGAACCAGACCCCGAAGATGAAGGGGGGACCTCATCTTAGGGAATCCAATCCTAATGGAGTGCAGAAAAAAAGATCAAAAGATGCGTATTCTAAAGGTATTATCAAATTTAGGCATGCGAACAAGTGCTTCAACTTGGAGTGCGTACCGGGCATCCACGCTTTTTTAACCAGATCAGGTAAGCTGAAGAAATCGGTATATTTTATTTTTGAAGCTGTGGCCTCGATTTGGTGTCCATGGCTGGAGAATGGCTGACTGCTACGGCAAACACTAATATGTGAGTTTTTGCTGCTAATGGCGTTGCAGAATATCCTCAAAAAAAAACGCCCTTACCGCCTTGAATTTTTCTAAAACTTTGATAAAATCCGATGTTTAAATAAAAATCGAAATACGAAAATTCTCGTAAACTCTTTGTTTTCTGAGGTATCCAAAAGTTATCACTTTTAAGTTCGGGTCCGGCCCTTCTCCATCGGTTTCCAGGGGCGGGTTTTTGCTGGAGACCCGTATTTGTAACAAAATTTTTCAGGTTCACCTACGAAATCGCGCCCGTTTTCATCTTGATGGAAAAAGAAATTTTCCGCAAAATGTGGGAAGCCGTCGGCTGGGACCCTGAGCGCTCGGATGGCATTTTTGCTCCAGGTATGCAAATGTTGGATGCTAACTGATGGATTCGTTCTTTCCGCTATTTCGTGCCAGTTGGGTTCTAGGCGGGCATCATTCGAGTTTTGCTTGGTTTTGTTTCAGACGAGTTTGAGCCCCCATCTCCCGTCCAAAGGCTTTCGGGATTATGAGCGGGGCGCCGTTTTGGGGCAGGCTGGCTGGAGGGGGTGGATGGGTTGAGTAATGGGTGTCATCTGCCGCACCCATCCTAGGCGGGGGTAGACCCTAAAAAGCATAAAGATGATATATAAAAACATGTTATAAGTATGTTATAGGGCTTTGACATCTAAAAAAGGCGTAGCTAACGAAATAATTTTTCAAACGTCGATAACGTCGAAGTCTGTGATGGCAAAATTTCTGAATGTCGAGTGGACTTCCGAAAGATGATACTTCAACAAACGGAAACTTTGACGCCATGTATTTAAAAGTTCTGATAAAAAATCTAGCAAACTGGATGACCAGCAAAGCGGAGCCAATAATTTTTCAAGAATTATGATTTTTTTACGTAATTAAAATTATGTTTCACCTAATAATTTAGGTGGCGCTATTGCAAATCTTTACGCAATGAACGCGGCTCGCCATCATATGTATCCTCGCAGTAAGCACCTGGGAAATGGCGAAATCCCGATCCTTTGCGCCTTCACCTCAATGGATGTAAGAAAGCTATCAATTAATTAGGTTCTTTTTTTAAGTGCCACTACTCGATCAAGTCAGCGGCTTCAGTCACGGGGATCGGCTCAGATCACTGTTTCTATATCAAAACCGACAATGTCGGTCGCATGATCCCGGAGTCGCTTGAGCAACAGATTTTGCGCGCCAAGGCGGAAGGTATGGCAGCGTATGATAATGCTGAATTTTATCTAGGACTTCATCCTTTCTTCGTCTGCGCTACCGCTGGGACTACTGTATATGGTGCTTGGGATCCAATTGACAAAATTGCCGATATATGTGAGCGCCATCGTGTTTGGCTGCACGTTGATGTAAACGTTTTTTTTTTATATTTTTAAATAACAGTGTTGCATTCTGAAAACATGAAAAAAACCTGGCATAAAAGGCCTCAAAAATCAATATTTGTAGGCGGCTTGGGGTGGCGGTCTACTCCTTTCACCCGAGCACCGCCACAAGCTCGCAGGTATCTTTTTTCATGACCTTATATGATAATCTGGACGTTACTATGTTTTCTTTCAGGAATTGAGCGCGCCAATTCGGTTACCTGGAATCCCCACAAGCTGATGGGTGCCCTGCTGCAATGCTCGGCTTGTCTTTTCCGTCAGGATGTAAGTTAAAGTCGCCCGTTTCCAATCTTGATCTTTTTTAGGGCCTTCTCTTCCAATGCAATCAAATGTCGGCGGACTACCTTTTCCAGCAAGACAAGCCCTACGATGTCAATTTTGATACCGGTTTGATGTTAGACGCTTTCCGGAATATTTTGCTTAGGTGACAAAGCCATCCAATGTGGCCGCCACAACGATATCTTCAAGCTGTGGTTGATGTGGAAGGGAAAGGTGAGCAAATTTAGACAAAATTCATACAACTCTTGCTTTTTTAGGGAATGGAGGGTTACCGCCAGCAAATTAACAAATTGATGGACCTTGCCGAATACTTTACGGAGCGACTACGCGTTACCGAAGGCTATGAGCTCGTTGTAGATCCGGTATCAATTTTTTTAATCCATTAATGGAATTTAATTCAGCCCGAGTACCTTAATATCTGCTTCTGGTATATCCCGAAACGGATGCGTCTGCTTGACCTTGCCGAAAAGATGGCTCGCTTGGAAAAGGTGGGTCACACTTTCATTTAAAACCAAATTTTTTTATAGATTGCTCCTAAGATCAAGGCAAAAATGATGGAACGCGGAACGACAATGGTTGGATATCAACCGGACAAGAAACGCCCCAACTTCTTCCGCATGATCATCTCCAACCAGGTTTGTCGGCTCAACGAGATTTGCCGAACTCAAATTGTTAACCAAAATTCAATTAACATTTCATTTAGGCAATCACCAAAGATGATCTCGACTTCCTCATCAACGAGATTATTGAAATCGGTGAATCGCTCTACGAATAGATGCCGCTAATCCTAACGCCCTCTGTTTTTCAACGTCTCCCGCTTTCCTTTGCATCTCATGTCAACGCTTTTAAAAGACATTTTATGGCTCGCAACTGTCCGATCGGTTTTTTGTAGAATAAATACCTAGCCGGCAATTGTTGGAATGTACTTTGTGGAAAAGCATAAACACAGAGATCAAGCAAAAATTGAAAGAATCCAAAGAGCAAGGATCACGGCGGTTTGGCCGGGGCGGGAGGAAGAGTCTGGCTGTAGGGTCAATGCATCGTAGAAGGATTTTTGTGGGCCGCGAATTAGGGTGACTTGCGGGTAATCGGGCTAAAAGTAAAATTGGGATCGAAAATACAAGTATCACCTTGGGTTGAATACGTCCCGTTTGTGTGCGGCAGCAGAAACGACTATTACCACGAAGGAGAATGCGATGTCTAAAACGTTATCAGCTTTTAGATGTAAATTCAGTCTATACCTTTCGTCATCATATTTCGTGATATTCTTTGAGTTTGCGCGTGCGGTTTTTTCTTCTGGATCATATGTCCATAAACGGATTAATTCCTGCCCTGAAAAACAAACTTTTTTGCTTGCCATTTAGCGTAAATCTTCGTGCCTAAACTGGCCTACCTGTATTGCTTAATTGATTATAGCTCCTGCAACCATCATATGTATAAGCAGCAATCATTTGACATATTCGTTCCTAAAAAAATAGTTGAACATTGCAAAAATTCACCTCGTGACACTGACAACTCTTCAACGTCCGATCGGCGCCACTATTTGGCTCGACAAACCGAATAAAGCGTGCCTCACATGCTCCATCGCATGCGTAAGGATCGCAATCTCCGCCTCTAAAATTATTCTATAGAAAAATCGAAAAACGGCTCTCGGTAAAAAAAGAAACTACCTTCTCGCATTGCAGCTACGTTCGAAATCCGGAGGCTCCACTCTGCGTTCCAGGGAATAGATGATAAATGTGGAAAATAGTAATACTTTTTCAGTGTAATACATCTGAAAATTTAGATTTAACGTTTTGGTTCCTAACATTCAGGTTTCAAAGACTAAAATTTTGGGAATATTTGTTTCAGCTAGGCACTAGGACCAGAAACTGTGAAGAATGGAGAGCAATAGCCCCACCTCCATCCGGATCGCGGACATCAAAAACACATGAGCAATACATTACGGTCCTCCCCGCGACATGCAAAAAATCGAGTGCCCGTGGGATCGAGCATTAGGCCGCAAAACCAGAACAGCCTAACAAGCCAAAAAAATGGGCTCGAGCATCTGCAGAAAAGACATGGCTTGATGCAAGCCAGAAAATTTAACCATCAGACACCGGAAAAGTCGAAAACGAAACGCTTCTTACAACCAGTCGTTTAGGTGTCAAATGAGTTTTGTTGTGTGTAAATCTAGGGCTGGAAATTTTTCACGAGGAATATATCGCAAAAGCTGCTGAACGCTAACGGTTTGGTCGACATTTTGCGCTGAAATGGGCGTTTTTCCCCATTATTAGCCTCCGCTCAACCGAAAATGAGCTACCAAACGGCTTTTTCGAAGGTAGTTAGCCTGCCAAAAAAATTATTGAACGCTCCAACGCTTCAAGTTTAATGCAATATCCCCTCGCAAAGTCATTGTCATTTCGAAACGTCTCCTAGTTAGCATCAATTTTTTAGATCGCAATAATCTTAGAAGTAGTTTTTATTTAGCCACGGAAGGTTGCAAGAAGCTTATAAAAATTAAACAAAAACCCGAGCTCCGAACGAACCCGCAGGAAGTTTTTGTGAGGTCGGGTTAGTGTCCTAGTGAGTGTGAGGCAAGTGTTTTGTGAGGGAGGACCCACACAGGGTCCAAGAGCCCCCTTTTTTCTGAAAGGCAACTGTCCGGGTTGCCCTGACTTCTCTCCTCTTTTCGTTCATTACGATCAGACAGCTGGGTGGGTAGCGATGTCGATTAAATGAACGGGATAGAATAAATGGGCCTCTTGTGCGGGCCGTTCCATTCTGTAAAACAAAGGAGGAGACATGGGAAGTTGTTGATAAATGTTTGAGATGGGCTTCCATACAGCAGTAGACAACGAACAGTCGGTAACCACTGGAAAAAACGTTGTGGCGTCGGAAATAATGGGTGATTGGATCTGGGGATTGGATTCGTTATTGGCGGCGACTGGAGTGAGCTTAAGAATTGAGGGACGATAAAAATGTCGCATACATTACATGCGCGCATATAGGTTTACTGGGCGGGAGTTTACTTCTTTATATATAGACTTTATTCCAGTCTTTGTAAAATTTTTAAGGAAAAATAATTTCTAATTTCCCAATAAATTCATACGTAATTCGTTTTCGACGCTTCGAATTTTAATAAGACGTTTCGAAAACCAAAGGGCTAGTAGCTCGCATTTTTTAGTATGGTTAATTATTTTTCTTACCTTGTGTATCATTATTTTAGGGTAACGATTTGCAGATATCTTACTTTATGTGTTATTTCTCCAGCTGCAAAGATTCCGGGGTAGGGAAAGTGAACCCGTGCTGGTGGAGCTCGTCTCTGTCCTTGACCTGGAGCCCAACCCGGGTTCGCCGTCTCAACCCTCATCTACCAGCTACCACTCTCGATGCTTTTTGTATGGCTTATAATAGGTTAGTTATCTTTTTATGATTACGTATTAGATGTAATAATTACTTTACATATAAAACTGGCCGTCCACAAACAAAAACTACAATTTAGCCACACAATTTACATCATTACAAGCTTCTGATGATCAAAAAGGAGAAGAAACTCCGGAAATCTGGCCCTCTTGCAAACATGTAGAACCAGCAGCTGAGTGAGTCAAAAATGTCAGTACCTAAAATAGAATTAGCCTAGAAAGCTGGCTAAAAGTCGATGCGCAAAAACAGCGCTGCAACCACACCTCAAAACCGGCTGAGCAAGACGAGGTTGAGACGGAGAGAAGGTAGTTTTTCAAAAATTAAAAATCTAAAAATTTTTAGAAAATGGGGCGAGAAGTCGTTTTCGTTTGATGCGGTAGCCAGTGATAAAATTGGACCTCGACGATCGCTGGGTTATCAAGCGGATGCCAGGTTAGTCAGTGCAAATTTTACGTAGACTTATTTTATTTTTGAATTTATCAGATGTTCTGGTGTTTAGGTGTAAAGAAACCACTTTCGTTGCTGAACAAACTGCTTCTGTGGTTATTATTTATCACAATGAATGCTTATCAATTTTACTACGGATGATTAATTCTATTATCGATTTGACCCCGAGCGATAATTTGAAAGAGGTAGTTAATGTTAGCGTAGACACTTGAAATGTTTTAGATTATCCTCTACGATGATGCAAGTGAAGATGAGCACATTTTGATGCCGAAACTTGAGGCTTTCGCAAAACTGACCGAGAAGACAGGATTGTTAAAGATCAATAGGACAGATACGAGGGAAGGACTTATACGTGCGAAGGTATTCCATACCGTATGTAAAACAAACGTAATTGTTTTTCAGGTTTTCGCGGCCCGACTAGCGACTGGCGATGTTCTCATTTTTCTTGACTCACATTGTGAAGTGACGGAAGGATGGTTGCCACCGCTTCTGGACCCGATTCAAACCAACCCAAAGAGGTTCATTTTAACTAGGAGAATCTGCATACTGAAAACCCAGACCGTCATAATTCTTTTTCCAGCATCGTTTTGCCAATTGTTGATCTGATCTCTCCAGTAACATTCAAATATTCGAAAGCCCTGATTGCACGTTGCGGCTTTGATGATGGCCTCAATTTCAAGTGGCTATATTTGCCATGGGAGTATTGGGATGTTCCAGAAAATAACGTGAAGCCATTTGAGTAAGTTTTCAGAGACGCTTCAATTTGTTTTAGTTCCCCTTCGATGTCTGGCGGGTTGTTGGCGGTTCGGAAAAGCTTTTTCGAAGAGATTGGGGAGTATGATATGGGGATGGAAATTTGGGGAGCTGAAAATCACGAATTGTCAATTAGGGTAAGGCGTGGGATGTATTTTAACTTTTAATATGATCGTAAATATTGAAAGCTCTATATTTAGACGTGGTTATGTGGCGGTCGTGTGGTCGTTGCACCTTGTTCGAGAATTGGACATGTGTTCAGGATGCGAAGGCCTTATAAAAGCAAGCCGAAGGTAAAACTACCACTAGAATTATTACTTACTTTTAGCATTGCCTTATTATGTTTCGTTGGTTTTAATATCTCATCAAAAGCCTGTAAATTTCACTTTACCGTTACAGACGAAAGCCGTCTTCGACACAAACCTCTACAACTCTGCTCGTACAGCCAAAGTATGGCTTGGGAATTATGAGGTTGGCTGACTAATCTAGCAATTAACTAATATTTTTTTAGAAACACTTCCTCGCCGCCAATCCACGAGCTAAGAATGTGGATGCCGGAGATCTATCCGAGCGACTAAACCTCAAAGACCGCCTGAAATGCAAGAAATTTGAGTGGTTCGTCGACAACGTCTATCCAGAATTTAAAAAGGAAGAGCAAAGAGACGATGGTCAAGAAAAAGAACAAAAGAACGAACTTTGATGATCGGGTATTGGTCTCAGGAATAAATAGGCGTTTTGTTGAACGGTGTTTTCGTGGTGACCAGGAGTCGGAAGGGGCAGCAGGGAGACAACCCGGTGGCCCCTTTTCGATTCCATATTATATCTGACAAAACAGAGATGCCATCCAGGGTAGAGCAGCTGTATGTTCGTGAGGTGTCTGTTGTTATGTTCGATTGGGTTAGCGACGTCCGATTATATATTGCAACTTTTTTGCCTGGATCTGTAATCATCAGTTTTATAAGAAAAACCCTGGAAACCTGATCCTGATCAAAAATGCGCTTTTATGGTAAATATAGGAATTAGAAAGCCGGCAACTGAATTTTCAATTCTGTGGAGTGATCTGTGATATGTAGGCATATTCGAGAATAAGCGTTCGTGCTAATTTCATTTTTTTGGTATCGTCCTAACACGAAATTTAACTCAGAAAGTTTTACATGAAGTTTTTAGTATTTTCTACCGCCTAGAAAATTAAGAAAGGCATAACTTTTTGCTTGGCGCTACAATCAGATACTATAGACACCTTGGCACTTTAGCTGGAACGCCCTCAAAAACCCCAAAAAATAAGTATCACCTTTTTTTACACTTTTTCAAGCTCGACCAACCGCTAGTTATGTTCTTGCGAGCACATGCTGATCGGTCAGCGATAAATACGCGTGAATGTGTGTATCTGTGTGCAGAATTTGCAGGCAGCATTGATCAGGGGAGCTTGAGACGTTGCAAAGGCGTCAGCAGCTGTTCCATCGCGTACGGGAATGGCTATCCGAAGAAATGGAGAGAGGGCCCAGCATCGCTCACTGTCATTTCAACCGCTTGGCCGATTGCCCCGGAGTGGCCATGCGAACTCTTCACACCAATCACCAGATTGGCTTAATTGGGTTGAGAGGATCTATTAGTACCTTTCGTATTTTACCCGTTACATTCTACTTTTTCAAAGCTAGCTTACATGAAGTACTGTAGATTTTTGAAGAACGCCTATTGTTGTTGCCAAAACCCCTACCCATTCAACGCCCAACGAGACCAAGAAATCCCTAGGAACGGGTTCAAAAAAAGGTGGCGGATGGTCGAAGATAAATGTTAGGTGAGGGAGGGGTGTAGGGCCTCAGGTCTGGGTGGGCCCGGTCCCTTTAGCCCATTCGTCCCCTCCTCTGGCCCATCCACAAATCTTCTGTTGCCCCCTAGGGCCCCTCCCCCACCACGCCAGAATTTCTGGCATCTCACGCCCGGCGCCCCGGTGGCCGGTCCTTCCGGTCTCTTCCATTTTTGGTAATCCTGACGGGATTTTTTCCGTGTCTGGCATTATTTCATTTCCTTTCCAATTTCAATCTATTGACACATAACAATATCGAGCATACCTTCAATCCATCATTTGAAAAATTTTCAGAAGATACTAACAAAAGTTGTATGCAAAGTAGCACGACAAACACTAAAATCTAAAATTCTACAGTAGGAACTGGACCGCGATACCTATCCCTATCATCTATTTTTATTTCATTCATTTTTTATTTACTAACGCGCCGGTTTGGGTGCAAAGGACTTAAACTTCAGAGGTCCCTTCGCACTTCACACCAACACTTCATAGACGTTTTTCATAACCAATGATCAATCAGCCCCTTTCACTCACTCAAGGCTGACATCAGCTGGCCAAGAACCCCCTGCCAGCTGAAAGTCAAAGTCGATCAGCAGCGACTGTCTGCCAGGAGTTGATCGGGGGTGGGCTGTTTTGACGGCGTCTTTTTCTAGGTCGCACGCCGGGGGCAGTCCGTTTTCGAGCTGCTGAAGTTGACACCTCGGGTTGGTTACCTGAAACTTATTTTTGTGGGTGACTCACGGTTAAGTAATTTTGGGATATGAGTTTGGGCTAAAAATATTTCAGTTTTAGCTGCTGATAATTTTTAAGAAGCGTGCTTCGTAAGCGTAAGGATTACGTTCTGGACGCACTTAAATCATGGGTTTTTTGGTAGTTTTGTGTGGTGCTGTACACCTATCAATGTCCTGGTCTCTCTCTGTCTTGCTCTCGATCTCTCTCCCGCTTTTTAAGTCGGTCAGTCGGTGTTACATGAAAATTAAGAAAAAAATCCTGCATCAAACGCTAAATTCCATGGTAATCCAACCACCAGTCAACAATTAGCCGGGTTTTTTCGCCCGAGGATTTTCTCGGTGAGATGTTTTCTGGGGTTTGGTTGGCATGTGGTGGTCGTGATTAGTGCCCCCTCTCAAGGCTTCTCCCCTCCTCTTGCCCCTGGTTCGTTCGGTATATGTGGTGACCGACCTCGTGGCGGATGGCTAGAAGGGTTGGTGATGGGCAATTGGAAAGCGAAGACGGGCCTTTTCCCCCGTCAATTGCCTTCCTCCGTCCTGGCCCTGGGACCTGAAGGCTATTCCTGGCCATTTCGGGGAATACATTATCCGCGGTCATTTCCCGGGCCGCCTTTTCCTATATTCGGGCCCGGGCCGAGTGCGCACCATCACTTGTTGGTCTTTCTCGTATTCACTTTTTGGTGCCCTTGCTACGAGGCTGTTGTTTGTCTTCTAGACGGGCTTCTGTTCTAGAGGGAGAAGAATCAGATATGCATAGCATCTTCAGGGCGTTGAGATGGAAAATCCGTTCTTTGATTCATTATTTTAGTTCCGGTTGGCGTGGGGTTGGTTAAGCGTTTGGTGGGAAATCGCGGGGTTGTTGATTAGGTCAGGAGTAAGGGCGCGTACTTCGTAGATCGGGGATACGGTAGGGGAATAGGTTGAGGGTAATTTTCAAGCGAAGGTTTGCCGGTTATATATTCATTAAAACACATAAAATTCGCATTTCCGAAGAGCCATAAGTTCCCTGTATTTGTTCTACTTGCCTGAATTTGTCAACAATTTTCAAAACTGAACTTGCTCCACACTGAAAATGACACCCTCTCACCCACATCCTCTATTTTCAGCAAAAAAACTTGCTTGGCCGTAGTTAACAAGGGCCCCCGAACCCTCTCGACTCTTTCCCGACCCGCTCACAACCCGATTTGGCGCATTGTTCCGCCTTGAGGGCAATTTCTGCACGCCCCTTCTCCGCCTTCCCCCTCAAATATCTCATCCGGACTTGCCCGTGATTTCGTTTCTTTTTATAGCCTTTTAAACGACTACCTTTGACCTTTTAGAGGAACAAAAATCTTCATTTCACTTCCGGCGGAAAAGAACCCAAAAGAAACTGAAATGTTAGGAGCGCAAGCGCTGCGCACGAAACAGGTTCGAATGTATTAACATTAAAAAGTAACACTTGTCGGTTTGTAGAAGGCAGAGCAGAAAGAAAAAGAGAAGCGACAACGCGAACGGTTAAAGGGCATCGAGATCCAGAGGGAGAAAGCGCATCGGCAAGCATGGTATGTTCTCCTGAATAACTGATTGCTAAGATACGGCAATGCGGAAAAATGTTTCTAGAAATAGAATTTCCGGGTGTTAAAATAATTTCTTTGTTGTTCCTGTGGAGCCCAATTTCAGGCAACCTTGCCCTTTCCGTTTCCAAACACAAAACGTTGCCCTCAACCTTCGCCGCCCAGTTTCCTTTAATCATTTTTGTTTTCACCCAGCCAAAGGGACGGCCGGCGTTTTTTGTTAGTGCGGGGCCGAGGGAATGGATTTTGAGAGATGGTGTGGTTGAGATGTCTGGGGAGGGCGCATGTCAGGGCATAGGCCACCCCCAGCCTTCAGCTTCATCCTCCCTGGGGACTCATCCAAACCACAGCTTTCCAAGTTCGGATCGTCCCGTGTGCACCGCAAAAGAAAACGAAAACCAGAAAAAAGGGAACCAGCATCTTGAACAAGCAAGGGCAACCAGCCCTCCATCACCACCGACATCGCCCCCAACCACGTCTAACAAAAACATTTCTTCGACTTTGTCGGCCCGAAATGGAGTGGTGAAATTTTGGGGTCAGGATAAAAATAGCTCACCTTCGGGAAATCGAGTAGAAAATTTTTTCGAACGTAGGGTTTGTTGGAATCCAAAATACGTCTAGGTTCTGGTAGATGAAAAAGGTGTGGCAGGAGCTTACTAATTATAAAGACTGTTTGTTGAAGGCAAAGTAGCAAAATTAAAATTCGCTGCACTCGAAATTACGCTTCGGTGAGGTCAAGGGGTTTTAGAATAATTTTATTAGTGCTAAAAATAGTCGGCTTAAGCATTAACGGTTTCGGGGATTTTCAAAAAGCTCGACAAATTAATGACCTATAAACAGGGCTTTTCAGCGTTCTGTTCTTTTTTTAAGATAAGATTCCGCCTTAGGCAACTGCTAGCTATCCAAATAATATGGAAATCGTGACTTTGGCGAAGCTCTGACATGTGTACCATGGCACGAATCCACTACGCAACTAAAAACGTATACACCATACTTCTAAATGCGTCCCCTGCCCCGACATCATTGGTATATGTTGCCGAAATTTCCACTAACTCGAACTATTATTAATGTAGCCTAGGATTCAGCCTGAGCTACCTTTAAAATGAGTCTCTTGTAACAGCAGGAACTCAACCTGCATCTCCAACAACCCGAGCAAAATTGCTCTTTGAAATCTGGTCTTTCATCACCCCATACCCAAGCTCCGTTCGTGCACGACGCCAGCTACCCATCCATCGAGGCACTCGAACAATCAGAAGCCTCGCCACGGGTGGGACGGTTGTTGCTAGTCAAAGAAGCGAACGTGTGAAGGGGTCATTCCGGGCCAACTCCTCGAGTCAACAACATTCAGTGGCGGTCCATTTCGGGCCCTTCACCATCCCCCCGTCGCCATTACCCAAGAGGCACATTCCTTCAGATCCAAGCCCTTTTCTCTTCCTCTCTCCTTTTTCTATGGAGTTCTCAGCAGGCCCAAAAACAGATCCTCTCTCCGCTTCTTTGACTGCGCCACCCGCAATCTCCCCGGGGACTCGGCGCTTTATTTTCGGCGATGTGGGGCCCCTCTTTGGTCTTCAGTCTATTCCCAGATCGGGCCTATCCTTCCCCGTTACCCAGTTCAGCACAAAGAGTTACGGGCAAGATCTTAAAGGGGTTGGCAAGGCATTTTTTCCGGGGAGAAGAAAAGGAAGGGCTTCGGAATGTCGTGATGCAAATCAGAGAAACGGAGCTGGCGCTCGTACTGCCAGCTCCAAAATCCGGAAAGAATCCAGATGGCGGCAAACCAGAGACATGCTTTACCTAGTCCATCCCAGCACAAAAATTTGTATAGTTCTTGATTAATTCTGTCGAGCGAACGCGAAAAGTATAAACTACACTCACTTTCGGTATGCAAAGTTTCTCTGAAAAAGCGCTTACCGCGATATCACCGGGGTCATTTTAGTATCGAAAATTATAATTTGGTCAAACTCTGAGGTATCGGCCGTCGATCCCAGTACATCCTACACCAAATGGCGTTTCTTCACTATCCGAAAAGATTTCCTGAGGCTCTAGGTAAAGAGCAATGGCGGGGAAATATCCCTGCAAACACAATCCGACACGATTTTTTTATAAAGTACAATAACATCAGATGTACTGTGGTCAACCCTCCCTCTAGCAACTCACACGGCATCCCGCATTCCCAATTCCCCAAAAATTCTCACGCTACACAACTCATGTACCCAAACAAATAGAAAAAATTTAGCTCCATTCCAGCCCAAAAGCCACTCTAGGACATCAAAAATCTAAAATTCACAACTCGAAACAAAACACCCGCAAGATACGTGATCACTTACATTCCATTCGGTGGTCTGCTTTCTGGTCTCTACGGGACACAGGGCGGTGGGAAATAGGGTAATGAGCCACAAAAAGACAGCCCTTTGGCCCCGAACGGCCCTCATAAATTCGTGTGGTAATGCCGTTCGGAGGGCACGTCTCCCCCCTTCATGACAACCATAGTCTACTTCAAAATGGACCACCGCAGATATATAATATGAAATATCTTTTTTTTTCAGTGAGGAGGCCGCCTTGCAGTATCTGGAAAACTTGGATATACGGGCCGAGCCACCGCTAAAGATGAAGGGGGTACCTGGCGGAATGGGTAAGGAATTTTAATTGCATTACATACTAACATTAAACACTTTTCAAAATTAGATTAAATAAAAATACTTGACTTGAATTAAATGAGAATATACCTAAAAATCTTTAGGTACCTCTGCCTCATCAGATGCTCTTGCACACCGGCATTCAGTACATACAACAAATCTACACGCCATTCACCCAAACCATAAAGGAAGTCTGGTAACCAAATCTTAAAAACCACTAAAATCTTTTTCAAGCAGTTTAACACCCCTGGCCGCTCCCCGTCTTCTGAACTTCTGAAGGAAAAAGAGAAGGGCAGCCGCCTATTGAGGTACCGCAACTGAATAAGCAAAATGAATTCGACAAGATTCAATCTGAAACCTTAAATTTAGATGGCTGGGACTGGCCGACAAAGACGAACGAGCTCAAGCCGAATTCCAGAAAGAAGAACGCGAACGGATACGTCTTCTTAAGCAACGGCGGATGAGCACATTTACCTAAATCTCTTTCTGTCTTTCCTCTTCTCTTTGCTTTGTCATTTTTGAACCCAAAGGGCTGATGATTTCCAAAAATGTCTATCTGATTTCTTGGCCTTTCTGTGCATCTGGCGATCCTATTTCTATACCATGTAGTCAGGCCCACGCATTATACGTTTCCGCATCCATTAAACTGAACGTCTCGCCCCCGTTTTACTCATCTTTGATGACATTTCCCGGGACTTTAGCGCTACCGATCCTGATAGCAGCCCCGTTTCTCTTCATACGCCCACGCTGCTTTGTACCTGCGGACCAACACAAATAATAAATATCCGAACCCAGAGCGGTTATCCTGAAAAACCAAACATCCGCCTCACTTCCAACTCAAAAAAGCGGTCTTTTAAGGTAAATAATTTTTTTGGCGGAAAGCCTTATCGAAAACCAAAGCGCCGCTGTATGGGTCTGATCTAATTTTTAGGGGATTGGGTGACGTGCCCGGTGTAATTAAGATGTGGAGTGATAAGCAGTAGGCTCCTGAAGAGTCGCCTTTAAAAGGAGAAATTCGGCAACGCCCAATCAACCCCAGTTTTTCAAATTTTCCGTTTCTTAGGCTTTCTAATTGCAGAATCATCGAGTTTCGAAGGTTCTGGAACGTCTCCTTGTCCTGTTACCTCCTGCTAAGATATCAAAAGTCGCGCTTCCGGGAGTTTTTTGCGTGTCCACCGTTTTATTGTTCATAAATGGTAGGCGATAAGCGGCCCATCCCTTGAAAAATGGGGGACACATTTCGGGGGCCTCTGTTATGATAATCGGATTGGCTGGCCGTGCCGGACTCATTTATGGGTTTCCAAGGAATTAAAGGGAGCCAAACGGGAGACAGATAAGCACTACGTTACTTAACGCACAGCCCGAACTCACGAATTCACTTCTGTAGTAACCTGAAACTTTGTATATTTGTGCTTATTGTTTTAAATACTGTAATTGGTCAATATGTGTTTTCTGGAAGCACCAAATATTGTAAATTTTTTTTTGTACTTTCAGGGCAAGACCATGGTTACGCGGGCGTGTGCTGCCATCGTGCTCCTTGCAGTGATTGGTAAATAAAAATCAGTTTTGGATGAATCACTTGTTCTTCAGCCGTGCATGGGCAATCGTCGACCTCTACAACCGAAACCTGGGTGACTACAGCAGCAGAAGGTAAGTATCAACTAATTCAGCACGTTTGTGGTGCAACAGAAATCAAACCTTTTGTTCAGTTAGTTTAATGAATATATGTTTTGACGATTAGGTTTTTGACGATCCTTTTTAATGCGTGTTATTAACAATTGTATCCAGTTTAAAATAGATCTTTTGCTCCTCCAGATCGATTGTTTACTAAAAATAAAACCATGTTGTGTTGCGCAAAAAAATTCGTCTAGTGTATTTAACTCAAAATGGTCAAAAAGTCGAAAATATGGAAAGACATCTCCTCTATGTCAAGTTTTTGAATTTCGCACATCCACCGGGGAAAATAGTACCTTGTCAGTTATGTCCTAGTGTGGGAAAGGCAGATTATCGCCGTAGTAAATACGCGTTCATTTCACAGGCCAGACCTCCTCCGCCACCGCCATGGCTGGCAGCACTACGGGGTACGATTGGGGTTCAACGGCCACGCCACAACAACCTTCAACGCCACAGACCGTAGGCAAATGTAAGTGATATAAGTTTGTCCACAAATGTGCCTGGGCTGCAAATATAATTTAGGTTCCCTCAATAGGCAAATAAATCGAAAATCATTCATGCCAGCCAGAATCAGCTGTACCGTTCGATGTCAGAATGTCACATTTCAGTGGGCTGCGGATGCAACCATTCGTCACTTTGGTTGGACATCATGCTCGTTCTTGACTCCTCAAGCGCCATGACGGGCGGAGGTCTCCAGGAGGTCGGCTTGATCTCACGATCTCTGAACGCCAATATTTCAGTTGCAAAATTACATCGGTACCGCTGTGTTGCGCATGGCTATTGGACAGCAAACCGGACAGGTGAGGTCGAGATCCTGGCAAAATTCCCCAATTTAATTCGCGGGTTACACCAGGTTTCAGATGTCTCGAATTGGAATCATCACCTACTCGGACAAAGCCACGCTTCGTGCTCCATTGACCATGTTCAACAGCTCGGACAACTTCGTCGATGGAATCTTCGGCGTTCCATTTGAGAACCTTGGCGGAAGCAACATTGAGGCGTAAGGCTTGAATCTCATCCGAAATTACCGGCCGGAAACGGAAAACCTACTTAAGAAAATACACCTGTTGACTAGCATTTCCAACTGCTTTTTTAGTGGAATCCAACTGGCCGTCGCTGAATTTGAGAAGAACGGTCAGGGCTCTTTTGCCAACCGCAAGAAGGTTATCGTCCTCGCCGCTTCTCACTACGAGTAAGATAGCTCTAACATTCTTAAAATTATTCCTTGTCAGGCCCGGCGGTTCCGTGGACCCGAAGCAGACTGCCGCTACTTTCCGTCTTAACGGCGGTAGCCTCATCACCCTCGGCAAGTACAGCAGGCCTTTATTGAACTAATACTTTTAGAATACGTCCAGACCCACGGAGCGACCGTTCCGGTTCTTTCTGAGCTGGCGTCGAACTGCTCCCAGTTGACCAACAGGAATGAGGACCTCCGCGCTGACGACTTGCTCGACAAATTCTGCTTGGGTTGGTGTGCACTTTAATAAGTTAATATAAAAACTAGTAAAAGGGATTTTCATAATTTGAAAGCACGGTTTTGCAAGATTCTGGTTCCTACGTTTAATCCACATTTTAGCGAACTGCTTCTGCGCCACCAACTGGAACCCATACTCGATGGATTCGCAGTGCTACACCCCCGATCAAGGCTGTTATTTCCCCGTCACCATTCCATCTGCTTTCGTTCTGGCTCAACGGTATGTCAAAGCAACAATGTCACGTCAACGCCACTCGTTTCTGCCAACGTTTTTTCTCTGTAGAAATACGTTCCGCGTGGCGAAAAACCTCAAAGAAGCGTGCTAGCAAACGTACACAAACACAGAAACATACTTTTTTGTGTAATACAGCAGTATTCTCAAAGAAACGTCATTAGAAAACCTTCTTTCAGTTATTGCCACAACCGAAATGGAGCCACCCTCCCAACTGTCTGTGATGCTGATAAGGCGAATTACATGGCATCTCGTAAGCCATACCGCGAATTTGCAAAATCGTTTTGTTTAGAGCTGAAGAATGCTAAGGAGGCCCAGTGGACCGGCCTGCAGAACGTTGGTGGCAACTTCCAGTGGGATGATGGTACCTCCTACGCAGTAAGCACACTAAAAATTTTAGCCTCTAAATTCTTCTTACATGGTTGTATTATAAAAATATCTTTTTAGAGCTGCCAGCCCGGAATTAACCCATCGTGGGTCAATGGCACCGCAACCAGTGGCCAACCCGTCGCTCAGGTTACCATCAGCGGTTTCCGCCAAGGCTTGTAAGTTTATTTGCAGTATTTATGTTTATTAATGGGTATCCTCTCTTCTGAATAATCATCCAATTCCAGCTTCGGCGCCCCATCCTTCAACGATTACCTGTACACCTGCCAGAATGCTCCATGCAGCAGCACCCTCTACTGCGCTTAAGCCACCACGGGATAAATTATATGTCACTTAATCTACTGGTTAATAATATGCATCTGATGGAATTTGCAAAACGACTACGCCTTAATAAAACCCTCAGAAAATCCTTTATCGCGTTGCGCCTAACACAATATTTATTCAAATCGAAAACATGGATGGGGATGCATATGTCTATTTGTACTCGTCACTCGCCCGTAGGAGGACAATGCTCGGGGGAAGAAGGATCTTGGAATGAAATGAATGGCAGCAAAAGTAGTGGCTCGCAAAAGCCTTGCTAACTATTGAGAACGATTAGATACCATATCAATAAAAAGTTCATATTATAGAAAGTGAAAGGGAAAGCCCTTGGAATGAGTTATCGGATAAAAATTGTCGTATCATATAGGGGCAGTTATGAAGATCGATGATAAATATAACAATTACGGCTATAGCTAAAAAACTTAAGCTAATGCAAGGGTCCATTCGTCGATAAAGTGTTTCCACAGCTTTTCATGGCGACGCTGCATTTCTTCGAGGCGAGCATCAGCTAGACGGCCACACCTGTGGCATCTTTTTGCTTCCCCGTGCGCGACTTCGATGCGGATCTAATAAGAAAGCGGTGGTGAATTATTCAAAGCCGAATGCTGTCAAATTCAGGTGAGAAGTTACCTCGATATCATTGCGTGCTTGCCGGACTTCCTTGACCTCGCTCAACCAAATCCCGACCTGTCGTTGCACCTTTTCCATTTCACTACGCAATAGTTCCATGGCTCTTTCGTTATCTAGACTTTATTCTAGAACTTGACAAATTCCAACTTACCACTCATTTTTGTGATATTTTTCTTGATTTCATCGTGGCGCTTCTTCAAAAAATTGGCTGTTTCGGCAAGGATATCGAGTTGGGCATCGTTTTGGTGGAGCTGTCGGATGCATTCTTCCATTACATTTAACTAAATTTCTGGTTAATAGGACGCTTTTTTAGGAAACTAAAGTTTTGAGATGTTTTTTGTCTTACCAATTTATGCTGCCTATCACAAGATCGTTGCATAGTAAGCAATTCAACAGTTCCGTTTCCATCTTCACCTAATGTCGCCTAGAAAAGTGCATTTTATTAAAAAATTAAAAAATCTAAATTATGCTATAGAGGTGTTAATACGACTATAAGTAATATAAGAAAAACACGATACCTTTCCCAGGCCGCAGTCTGGTGCCTCCATCGAGGGTTTGCCCCCTAAAACGTGCTGTCTGGGATGTTAGGGCAAGTGTCTGTGCAAGCAGACCAATATAAAAACCGAATAGGACATGGAAAAAGAAGGAAGCAACAAGCGGCTGGCGGTGGGTTCAAAGGCGCCACTTGGAATGGGTTTACAGTGTCGGTGATTAGTAGGGCAAAGGAAAAGCGAGGCTTTGCACGCGAAACAGATGTCTTTTTTCTGGTGGACTTGAGCTTGGAAAAAGGGAGCATGAGCGTCCTGGATGAGTTGATGACGGGGCAAGGTAGCGCGTAAAAAAATGGGCTTCAACTTTGGCAGGTTTTAGAAGAAAAAAGCATGCTTTTTTTCCGTCTACGTCCATTTTCATGCGGCTACCGGGCTAGTATGCCAATAATAACGGGTTTCGAGACAAATTCCAGGTCATTAATGTTCTTTGGTTATTTCATTAATGGTCATTGACAATTTAGATAAAAGTTTGATTAGAATTGATGATTGATGATTAGTAAAATTTTGTTATAAAGGTAACAAAAAATAAGGACGCGCACCAGTGCTATATTTTCTGACGGGCGCATAAGGTTTTTAGCTTCGTCCAAACACTGTGACAATAAGAAAGGAACGTGCCAATGTCTGGAAAAGCAACAAGGGTGGACGGCTTTTCGCCAATGGAAAGGAAGGATCGGTGTGGCCCGACAGCAATTATGGGATGGCCCCGGGACGGACGGAGGCATCTCCCCCACCAAACCGCTTCGCCTTCTCCAGCTGCAACCGAAACAAGCCAAAATGGGATTGTCGCAAAAGGGGGGCACACCGGCAGGGGAGCACTAGCTAGCAAAAGCCCTGTGAGGGATGGGCCACCGAGGAACACCACCCAACACTCTTTTCGGCAAAAGGGTCGACGGGGTATGTCCTTTTTGTCGCTCCTCCTTGACAAAGACTGATCAAAAAAAGAGGAAGCCTAGAGCCCTGGGAATTACCCTTCCCCCTCAACCTCGTCTGCCTTCTGTTTGCCGGGCGAAAATGAATTACGAAGAAGGAGGACGGATGGCAAAGCTTTTCCCTCACCTTGAAGACGAGTGGCAATCAAGATAAAGTGATTTTGTAAAGGAGACAGACGGAATACATTGGTTTTAGATCGTCTAAATTACATAGTTAAAGGTAGCCTACGGTAGAATTGAGATACCAGACAACAGATAGCCGAAAGGCTGTTGAACCATCAAATTACTATGGTATTGTACACTTCCAAATGGAAAAGCAGTTGGGCCGCTTTTCGGGGAAGCCCTAAAAGCGAAAAAAAGAACTAGTGGAAACAGGGGAGCCCTCTCTCGCCACGCTCGCACACAAATTAGGCAATCATGAAACTGCAGCCGGGCTCGGTGCCGGGTCCCGTTACGAACCAAGTATGTCGGCCTACGCATCCCGACGACTAACTTGTCTAAAATTCTATCTTTTTGGAAGAGTCGCCGGACATGGAAAATGGCAAAGATGCTGGGGTATCTAGGTTGTCGAAAAAAGTGAAGACCATAATCAACATACGGAGGTCGGATAAATCACGTTTTTAGAGGCTTTCGGGGACCAAAATTTGATGAAAATACCTACGCAAAGCACAAACATGCTCGTCTTCCTGCCTTCTTAATTCATGAAACCGCGTCCTCTAGAGAAAGTCTCGTTTCACTTCATGCTATGTGTGCTCGCAGGGTAAGCCGAGCCCAGCCCTTTCAAAGCGGCACGCCGGAAGGCGGAACTCGGAAGCATCTATAGCTTCAAAAGGGAAATGGGACACAAGAGCAACAGTAGACGGGCTTGTTCTAGACCCCCCCTTTCCTTCCATTCCATGCCCCCATAATACGGCCGTTTCCCCCATGTTTTATTTCTTGAACCGGTGCCCCCGAGGGACCGACATTGGGGTCCGTCCCCTCGTCCCGTTGTGGGTATCATCGTGCAAAAGCGCCAATCCGGAAGGCATCCAAAGTTGACATTCCAAAGAGAAGGGGAATTTGGGTGGAGAGTTCGGTGTCAAAAATTTTTTGAATTTAATCCCTAGGCCAAGGACAGCTTGAAAGAGTAAGTAGAAAGAAGAGACGCATGCAAGACTTGTAATCTCGGAATAGAGATGCTTATATATAGAAAGTCTTCTTTTTTTTCGTCTTCGTCTTTTTGGCAAACGTTTTCATGATTCGAAAATGGGACACGTAATTGAGAACAGGAAAAGATTGATGTTTCCGGTTTTTGCAAGTGAGACTTGTTTGTAAACTGCTCATTATCATAGGGACTAGATTTGAAAAACCGCAAAGCCGTGCGAAAACGGCATGTTGTGGATGGATATGCCTCGCCCAATTTTTCAACGACTACGGTATCTCACTACATGGATTGCGAGCGATGTTCATCAAATAGATTGCAAGGCTAGAGGTATCGAGAGGAAGATGGAGTGGCATGGAATGGGTAAAGCTCTCCCGATGGAATAGACCTACGAGAAGGTATGGCCTCGCCTATGAATATTGAGGTGTGCTGGCTGTGGGATCGAGTACTCGGATCCGTGCGGAACGCCAAAAAGACTCAAGACGAGGGTACTCGGCTCCAGCTACAAGTTCCCCCTTTGGAACTCCGTCGCCCTCGGGCTGCTGAGAAGAGGCCCCCTCTTCTGAATGGAGCCGTTAATTTAGGGAAGGAGAAGCCGTTCTTCTCCGCTTCTTTCTGCACTCAACTTTGAGGACAACCCCACCCCGCCACCACTTCGGCTACTTCCGCTCGTCTGCTAACCCTTAAACCCGGGGCTGCAATTACTTTTCGGGCGCTCCGACTAATACGATGTGGAATGGAGAATATAGTTGCAGTGTTGTGTATCGGGAGCATGAATATGCGACGCAATGCGTCTTTATAAGCTAAACCTTAGGAAGATTAACCAAATTCCACCCAATTCCATTTCCTGCACCAATTTCGCTGGGGTTTTGGGGGGGCGGTTTTGGGGTTCCCTATTTGGTCTTTTAAGACTCGGTATTATGGAATTTTGTGCAAAGAAAACAGACCAATAACCGAAACAGTTTAATAAACAGATAAATATAAGATCAATACCTTAAAATTTTTTATCCTACTATATATAAAAAAATAGTGTCTGTGTGTGTGTCCGTGCCACTTTGCATGCAACTTCCGTCAGCGTGTTCCAGCAGTATCTCAAGAAGGGGGTCAGTTAGGGGCATGTATTATACCTCATTAGGTGCGTAATGGCCTTGGGATGCCTGCACAATAACAAAATTTTCAAAAATTATGTGTTTTCGACGTTAAAATTAAGTTTTTGTTGAAAAATCCAGGACCCTCTTTGTTAGGAAACAATTAGCATACGCCGGATGTTGCGGTTGCCTATATAATGGAAGAAAGGTGGCGTTTCTCATTTTTCGTCATCGAAAATTGCCAGAATGATGCAAAGTGAAGAATATCATTCGATCAGACGGGGCCAGGGTTGAAAAGTCGCGAAGCGGCTTTTCAACCCTGTATAAGCTAAATTTGAAGGCTCTGCTCATTGTATCCCGGATCTAAATAAATCGCTCTTGGAAAGGCACCCGGATTTTGAAACGCAAATAAAACCAACTTCCAAATTCATGGCCCGGACCGGGACGCCAATCCCAAAATTTCGTTGTGTGCTCTCATTCAAGCACCCAATCTAGCCCAGCCCCCAGCCATTCGTAAAGCGATAGTACAACAAAAAACAATAATGAGCCGAGTGTCGCTGAGGGATCCTATATTTGTGGAAGTGTCGTATTGCGTGTCCCTTCAGCGAATCCATTAGTCCGGGCAGCCCTTGGCCCGCTGGGGCCCCCTTAGTTTCTCCTCATACTCCACTCGTTCGCCCCCCCAAAAAAAAATAGGAGGGGCAAAGGAGTAGCAACGCGATGTAGAGGAGGGCAATTGGGCTTTTAGTGCAATAAGTGACTGGGAGAAGAATGGTCTTGCTTGTTTTTTAGTATAGAGACAAAGTAAAGAAAAAATGCTCCATAGATGAACGTTCAAGCACACAAAAAATTAGAGCAAAAGCTCCAGTGCATCGCGCTCCTGGAATATGCACTCTTATCCGGAAAGCGTGCACGAGGTTGCACCCATTAGTGTGTGATCGCCCGGCTACTGCTCAAATTGATAAGCCCCCGCGCCCTTCATTGATCCTAATAAAGAAAGGCTCCAGTTAATTTTGTCATAAAATATATTGGTGTTGAGAATCACTATTAACTCACCTCTCTAGTTTTTACAAATTTCAAATAACTTCCCGCTCCATTATTTTATAAGAGTTTGACTTCAAAATTTCCAGCTCAAAAAGTTAAAAATTGACGGAAGGGGTTCAGGAGGTTCAAAAAAATCCCATGTTTAAGAAAAAAGTGGTAAAACCTAATAAAAGCGGCCCAAAAGTGCAGGTAAAAGTACATTGCTCGCCGCTGGCGGTAATTTTATGTAAAACCAAGCTTCCTCTCACTCCCCGCTTTCCATTTCAGCTACGGAAATAGCAGAGTAACCTAGGTATTAATAAAGAAAATTTCATTACACGGTTACGGTAGCAAAACGTACTGTACAAACCACTCGAAACTCACGCAGTAACCACGCCGACAAGCGTGGGCAGCCCTCCTAAAAACGCCACTTTTGCAGCAGAGCTCGCTATTTACGAGCGATTTAGGCTCATTGCTGTCTGTGGGAGCGTATTTATGGACATATTTTCATGCATCAACCGCGTTCAGCCGACTCCGCACTTTATTGTACACATATGCATTCTTTCGAGGTTACGGTGGTTACACGTTGATGTGTGTCCTCATTAATCGGCCTCATAAATTCGTTATATTACTCCATGAATGTCATAACGAATAAATTTGCCGTAAGCCAAATTACCACCGTAAGCGTGACCCGTCACAAACTAAAATTTTTACACTCTCGTGCGTAAATTTAATCAACTAGCCAGCCATTTATTGCACAAGCCGCTTGATATAATTAGGCCTTTGGCTCTCGTCATTCAGCAGATCCCCCCGAGAAGTCCTTGAAGAATTGGAAGCTTAAAATTACGATGATTATCATAAAAAAAACTAGAACTTACAATTTTCTGACTCCCGAGTGGTTGCGCTCGTATTTCCAAGGGTAAAGCTTTTCCTTTGGTTCTTTGGGAAGGGGCCCATATACCGGAAGATCTTCGTCATTATTCGATTCGGGTGGTTTTTCTCTGAAATCATGTTTTTAAAGATTGCGCTTGATGTCAGTAGTAGCTCTTTACTTAATCTAATTCAGCCATGGAATCCCGGAACCTGCAGTCATGCGCTATCGCAATTAAAGGCACATGGCAACAGCGATAACCCTCATTTCCGGTTAGGCAATTTTACCGCCGACATCACTCACTTTGTATCGGCCAGATCAAATATTTCTTGTGCGGGCACGGATTCTCGACTACTCAACCGGTCCATCTCTTCTTCTAGCTCCATTACTCGCCCCTTTAGAACATTCTTTTCTTGCAGAACTTCCCGCAACTCCGCCAAGGTAAACATCGGCTCATCTTCTTGCTGAAAAAAACACAAATCGTTTGATACATTCTACAAAATACAAAAAATAATAAAAACACTAACCTGCATGTTTTGCAAATCTTTACACGCCCGATCACTTTCATTCAATAACTTTGACAATTGTATGTTGCTTTCTTCCGTCCTTTCCAACCTAAATTTCAGCCTATCAATATGCTTTCCAATCCTTCCAACCTTTTAATTATTTCCATCTTCTCTTCCACAATCATCCTCCCTTGTTTTTGAAGTGACTTGTTTTTCCTGAGTAGCTCCTCATTCTGATGAATCAGCTTTTCCAGGTTGTTTTCGAGCTAAACCACCGGATCTGTCTAGCCATCGCCCCCAATCCACCCACATTCTCCACTTGACAAGTATATGAGTGCACATCGTTTTGTAATTGCTTAATCTCTTCTTTTTGTTTATTTGAGCTTTCTCGTAATTCGAGCATTAATTGGATGTCCTCATCACATCCTAAAGGGGCTGGAAAGGTTGTCAATTTCACTGAAATTCACTGACTTGTATATGCAGCAACATCAAAATTTGTTGGCAAACTGTTCATGGTTGAGCTGAGATCACGATTCTTTTGCATGAGCCCCTAAAAAGATAACTCTCCATATAAACCTATATTTTCACTTACATTAACTGCTTGTCGCAATTCCAAAATCTCTTTTCTATAGTTTTCTTCGGCCTGCTCGAGTTCCTGACAATCGATGCGGTTGGAAAAATTAATTCCGGGTCCTCACCTCTTCAAATCGCAATTTGATGGCCATTTTTCCTTTTTTCTCCTTATCGAATTCCTCAACAATCCGTTGCAGCCGGTGGATTTCTTCGTTTTCACGTTCATTTTTGTTCGCTAATGCTTCGAGCGTTTCGAGAGCTGATATTACCTAAAATTGATGATTCAAAGGGCTTATGAACGCTTCAAATAATTTTATCCCCAGGGAATGGCTACTTAGGGTTATTGTAGAAAAAAGGAGCTTGGATTTAGCTCATTGTTTCAGCCTTTGTTGACTAAAAAATTCGCTCACCTTTGGCATTATTGTCCTGACACTATCATTTCCATGTAATTCAATTATTTTTTCAAAGTCCTTCCCAATCGAGGAGGCCAAATCATATACATCTACTACCTTAAAACACCATTTATAAATAACTGCTAATTTCATTTCCCTACCGTAAGATGTCTAGAAGGACTAGCTGGCTGAGATTCTCGTGATAAAGACATTATAAATATGTAGACCAAATATGTATAGGCAATCAAATAGTAGCACCAAAGTTGGGTTCTAAAATTTTGAAGATAATTTTATTGAATAACTTGACCTACCTGGGATATTGGGGTTTATAAGCGGTTGGCGATATGAAGGCACAAAACAATGGAGAGAAGCTGTGGCTGCCGCAAAGCGAAAATCGATTCTAATTACTGGGCCGCTTGAAGCTATTTTTTGGTCCCGGGCAGCTGGCTGGAATTGGGGTGTGTTCGTTGGGCTGGGACAGCCATTGTATACCGACGAACGGGTTAAGGAAAACAATTGAATCCGAAGGTGAATCGTAAATTGTAGTAGCGCAAAATGGGAGAGCTGCTGGAAAACCGATAAAGAATCGAAGACGTTGGGCGAATTTTTCGGGGCTTCTGGAGCGAGCTATGGGGGGAATGGAGCTGGTGGGCCAGAAGGGGGCCCCCGTCCGAATATAAAGAACAGCTAATTAGCCAATTCCGATGGAGCAGAAGCTGGAGGAACGGGAAGACCGTTGGGGCTAATGGCCTGAAGGGGGCGTGCTGGGGTTAGAGTGTGCGTAGAGATAAGGTAAAGACGGGAGAGCTCTATCGGGAAAGGCCCTTCCCCTCCCAATCAGGTGTCCTCCAGGGTATTCGCGCGTACTCTCACATCACGTTACGCCACCCAAAATTCCATCGCGGGAGAGCAGGGGAAACGATATCGATCAGCATACGGAGATCGGGCTGCTGCTACTCGCCCACCTCAGCAACACTCAACCACCAGACGACCTTCCGATTCCACGGATTTGATCCTATCATCCTGGAGGCGCGAGGCCCGGCAATTTTTTGGGGTTTTTATGGAAGATCTTATTGCAATCCTTGATGAGATCCGCCAGCAACTCCATCAATGTGCCCTCATATTTTATGCAGACCCCGCCATTCTACAGGGAACTCAGGTTGTTTACAATACCTTCTATTCTCGTGACCTCGCATCGCTATTACTCACCATCTATTTCCACATCCGTTGCCTCTCTGCATTTCGCGCCTGACCCTCCCTACTGACCATATCACGTGCTATTTCTTGCGTACCTACCAAGCAACAGAACGATTTGTAATAATAAGATTTTTAGCTTCCAACAAAACAATCAAAGTCCGAGACCTATGAGTTGACCAGCAAAAATGCGGCAGACGGGTTGAAAGCGAAGGTGAGTAATATTTTCGTAGCTTTCTGGGTGGCGTTTTTGGGGAATTGGATGCGCCTCAATTTTCTTGCATCAAAAATAGGCATTTCATGGATGATTTGGGCTTGAATGTTTGCCGAAAGGAGAAAGTGCAGAATAAGGGAGCTGTGGCAGAAACGACCATGCTGAATTTAGTTAACGCTACTCGCCGAAAATGTGATAATGGCTGAGGTGCAGTTCAAGCACCCAAAAACTACGGGTGGCCACTATCGCGGGACAGCGCAGCCGGAAGTACAGTGGAAACTTACTCAAATACAGGTAAGCTGATGTTAATGAATGGTCGGAGTTACTGTAAGATAAGTTTTCCAAGCCACCAAGCCATACCCTAAATTCTTTTTTCGCGTTTATTGTTGCATTTTCCTTGTCTTTTTTTCTCCTTTTATGTAATCAATCAATACACATCATATGACTCAGGATGCCCGGAATCTCTGCCAACGTTCGCATGACGATGTCCGCGCCCTAATACAAACACTAATCGATGAACCAAATCTCGAAGAACCGGGTCGAGCAGCTGTTCGAGAAGTTGCCGAATCGATAAAAGTAATTAGCAGCTGCCCCCTGAAAAATATTCGCCTCTTCATTAATAGGTTTCGTTGTTGACCGCGAGGAATACTCTGACTATCCCGAAAAAACGATCTCTCTTGGAGTTATATCATTTTGCGCCTACCAAAAAGTTTCAACCTCCGCTATCTCAGGTGAGTCAATTTTTAGTGTTATTGCAAAAAAAGGCTTTTGGAAGGCAATTTAGTAATCGCCATTAATAGGCTGAAAAAGTCTTTTTTTTATGCAAAACTATTATTCAAAATTAATTCGGTGTAAATTCTATCATTTATTCAAACGTTATTGGTGAACTATTGTCATGATGTAAAAATTATAGCTCCAGAATTTTCCAAAATTTTGGGAAGACCGCTAGATCTATCCAGACAAAACATTTTTATGCAAAAATGATTTGGCATTAATTTCCAAGCTTTCACATTTATTAAACGAGAATTAAAAATAAACAACTAACAAATAAAGGAATAAAATAAATGAGGCTTAATTCAACCCCAATTCAGGATGTCTTATTATCGTTCTACGTAAGCGGCGCGAAAATCGTCTGCGCCTCCTACCAAATGCTCGCAAAATCGGCGGCTCCCACGCAGTCATTGGCCGTCTCGGGTAAATGGGCTTATCACTCTTCAATCTAGCAAAAAAATCTAGTGGCCGAATGCCCATTGGACGGCTTCGATCATGCCCTCTACCTACTATCGGCATCGATCAACAATCTTCAACAACTTGTACATCTCATAGAAGCTATATAAATAAATTATTTTTAATTTCTAAGGTTCTTGATCCGGTTTATAACCTAATTTATTTCTTCTAATTTTGTTGCTTTCCGCCGTCTAATAATTTTTTAAGAATGAGCGTCTTACAACGTAAAATAGCCGTTATGGGGTTCCCATGCGTCGGTATGTTGTTTAGGAAATAGGTCTAAAGATAATTCAGGAAAATCATCGATCACGATGCGATTCGTAAAAGGAACCTTTCCGGATTCCTACGATACGACGATTGAAGATATGTATGCAAAACCGCACAAGTTTAATGGGCGCGAATTCAATCTGAGAATTACAGATACGGCTGGACAACAGGTAGGTGAAAAGTTATAAAAATATCGAATCAGCTTAATGCTCAAAAAACAGTCATTTTTTACTCTTCTTTCATTTTTAATGTTTGTGGATACAAGCTACAATTTGTAAGGTTACTTCTCGAATTCGGTGTCCGATTAGCTTGGGTGGCCTTATCTTTCCGAACAAGCTTGGGACAGGATGAAAACGGGGCATTTTTTGCCCGTCGTTTGCGATGTTTGAATTCGAGAACGTTCTAGAAAATGGAAAATACAACTTCCTTAAAGACTACCAGAACGATGGAACGCGCACTGTCACCCCGAGGGTGCTGCCCCCATGAACGCGCGGAGAGATGCGTCATTAGTGGTGCCCCGTACTGGGCAAAGGCCCTCTGGGGTTTGGGGCGTCTCTGACTCCCTTCCCCACTTGGTCCTGTGGTCTAGTGGCTAGCGCGTCGGACTGTGGAGCGAACCATCGCGGGTTCGACCCCCGCCCGGTGCGCAACTTTCTTGCTCTCAACGGAATTTCATCGTTCTGACGGTCTTTAAAAGCTTTGGAGAAATTATGCAAAAAGATATGTGATTTTAGGAGCATTCCCTATTCCCCCAATCATGTACATATGATGTCGATGGATACATTATCGTCTATGCGATCGATGATCGCCAATCGTAAGTTGGCAAAATTAATGTGAAAAATCAGGAAAACGATCTAATTTAAAATGCGAAAAACGTTGCTGAATATCTGGAAAGACTGGACAGGGGTTCAGGAGAAATCCGTTGCTCCGGCTTTGCGTAGAGACGGGGGGGCAATGTTATATTTGCGAAGTTGTTGACTCACTCATCCCTGACCGCGGCGCACCCCAAAAAAAATATCGAATGAGTCAGCAGGGCATCCCCCACTACCTGGATATTACAGGCAATTTGCACTGTTTATACCAAGCGGAAAACATCGGACTGAAATAGTTAGACTAATTATAGACTAATTTATAAATAGACCTAGAAAAAAGTGATAAGGTTCAGATCAAAATAAGAGCTTCGTTTTTAGACATTTTTCTGGTTTGACCAAAAAGTCGAAGTCGAAGTCGAACGACCTTAACTAACGTAAGCAAACCCTAAATATAGATATGAAATCGTCCAAACCATCTACGAAAAAATCCGCGATAACGTTGGAGACATCAAGTAAGTCATAAAAACGATTGATCATGTGAAGGTTGATGAAAAATCGCATTTTTATCACATACGTCTATTCCTCTAGATTCCCAATCGTTTTGGTTGGCAACAAAGCTGATTTGCAATCAACATCCCGCGCCGTAACTAGGGATGAGGCCCAACAATTAGCAAAGCAGTGGGATGTTGTCTTCCTGGAGACATCAGCGAAGGATAATACGGTACGTTGAAAACTCAACCAAATACTTATCCTTTCCAGCGGCAACCTACAGAACCAGCGAATCAACCTTACTATTTATTTTAGGCAATCCAACAAATTTTTGAAAAAATCCTCTACGAGATAGAACTCTCGAAGGGGAACATTCGCCGCCCACCACCTCCAAAAGACAAGTGCACAATTTCCTAATCCTCCCTCCCTCTACCGTATCTCCCCCGACTCCGTTCATCCGCCGATATCCATGCCAACGCTCCCACTCAATTCACTTTCGCTTTGCTCCGCTTTCCCCCATTGCCAAATCAAAATCAAACAAAAGTGCCTATTCCAACTAGCTTCCCCGCTTCCATTCAATAATGTAAATAATCTCCATATCCCATCGTCCCCTTAGTCTCTAAAAACCCCCGAAAAACATCGCTTGATCCATAAAATGCCTTAACAAGAGCACCACCTTTCTTTCTGTTGCCCCTCTGGTCCATTTCTGCCGCTCAAAAAACCCGACGAAATTAGAAAAAAAAATATACAAATTTCAAATGACAATCCAACGAGATTAGGACTTGATTTTTGAATGTGTCTTTAGTCCCGACGCCCAATTTTTCTTTTTTTTTACTGTTTGTATTTCCGAGAAATCAATTTTGAAAGGCTTAGCCAAATTGCCTAAATTTTGCTTGTTCAAACAACCCCCCTTCCTACGGCTATTCTTCGTTGCTGCGGTTTTTTAGCTGCAGTTGAATGTCACGTGCGTTTTTGGTTATAATAAATTTTTATTTTTGGTGTAAACTGAGATAGGGAATTAGATCTGACTGCTCTGCGGGCCAAATGGAGGCTGGAAAGACGGTTGGTTTGTGGGATACTAAAAGGTCTAATTGATGGAAAACTGGGAACTCACTTCGTTGCGCCGGTCTACCGTTGCAATTCTATTCGTTGGGGGCTGCCCCCATTCATCGTAAAATGCTAAAAGTACATTTTTTTAAGTTTTTAGACGTTTAGATACCATTTTGAACAAATGGCGATGGGGCTACGAGATCAGCACCCATAGGGGGTTTGTTGTAGGTCGCATACTAAAATTTGAGAGTAAAAACTATATAGACAAAATTGTTACATCTGTTCTTGCTCCTAAAGGAACCGAAAGTGGTCGTATTGATTGTTCATCTAAAAGGTCGATCGGCGGTTTGCCAGTGCTAAAAATGCTTGAATTCTTCATATCTTAAAACTGGACCAACGATTGGGTGTTGGCTGTAGAAGAGCCATGCCCGCCATTCCAAGACCGTTTCGAGATATCCTTCCTCTTTCCGGCTTCAAGCTTCTCGGCGACCCTCTTCTTTCGCAACTCCCATAGGATACAGTAGAAAATGATAAACACCATTACAATTCCTGAAGGGTTTTAAAATCTTATATAAATAACAGGTCGCCATACCAAAAATTGACAACAACGCTGTCATCCATTTCAGTGCATACTCGAGATTGCGATCTAGCAAAAAAGTTTTACGAAAGAATTTTGTTACTTACCTCGACACCATGCCCACCATCCTGGTGACCAAGTACCATTGTGACAGGTTCGTTCAATATCTCCATGAATAAAGTATTTTGGTTTGCACGAGAATACCTAAAACATTTTTTTGACGGACCCCTTGGCTCTAATTTTCACTGATCCCCCCGACTCCAATGAACTTTAGCCACAAAAATTCCCGCCAGACAGCAGACGTGTTGCGAACCTGGCCATTACGTAGAAACTTACAACTTTATCGCCCTCTAAATAGTTGGCTGCCGGGGGCGTCTTGATAACGCCTTCCTTCTTCAATAATGGCCCACAGGATTGCACTACAAATGGGGGAAAACCATTTGCTAAAGGCCAAAAGCTTACGTTGGACACTGCCCTTCCTGGTCAAAGATAGAAAATTTTTGTGCTTTTCGAGGGTTTGTAAGCCGACCTAAAACAGTGGCATTTATTAAGGATCTTCAAAATCACCTCCTTACGCCCGGTCATAATATAATCATATTCACACTGGGGTAGACCTTGGCAAGCAACAGTTACCTAAAAAATTAAAAAGTAAGGCAATTATTTTCAGAATGAACCTGCTCCATCGAAAAGACCCGGCTTGCATTCAGGCTCAAAATATTCGCTGGCCAGTAAGTCGGAACGTATCTAAACATGAAAATACAAAATTTTACAGCATTTTTACGTTGTCTCAGCGAACAGCAGTGGATTGTAGATTGGCTTGTATTTTTCGGAGAACAGAAGGTTTCCGATTCTTGGGTTTTTACCGTCGATTCTCCCTAATACAATAATTCTAGCTGAAACAAATGAATTACATGTGGTTCCGAATTGATCATAGATCATTTGCGTGGTTTGAGCTGTATGGGTGTCGCCTTGCGTTCTAAAACATGGACAGTTCAGAACTACATGGCCTTTGACCAACCTGACAGTTTGTCCAGATATTGTTGAGAGATCGTCGGCAGGATCATTATTGTAGACACCTAAAATCTAGTGTTATTGCTTTAGGTTTGCAAGACCAACCTAACAGCCCCAATGTTGTGTAGCAACGATCATTAGGGTTAGTTGACGTCTGTAGATTCAGATTTTGATTGGCCATCGTCTGTCCGGGCCTAAATAAACTCCTCAAATGTAGATTTTGAATCCATACCGGCAAGTGGTGTTGTAATTTGGTGGGAGTGTCACCATAACGTCGAGCATCCCTAGGCACGAAATAAAAGTATACACGGTTCCTCCTACCGTAGCTTTCTCCTATCCGAATCCCCACACCGCTGGCCGTCATTACAACCACTTCCGATTGGTTCATGTTCTGTAGCGGATTTCGGACGCTCAGACCTAAAAGGAGAATAGCTTTAATAAAAGGTTGTTACGATTGAATTGTTGATACTTCCAAAACGGCATGTCAAAGTAGCGAGGCGTACCATCAACGATCACATCCATACGATAACGCCAGCGACGCATTGATTTACGGGCAAAGGCCTGAAAATGACGAAGGTCTTGCACCAATTAAAAACTATCTAGAAATAGCTGTTTCAGTTCGACAAACCTGAACTACAGAGCCGTCACCATCTTGAATCGCGACACCAGTGATTACGGTCGCATTTACATGGGATCTCCCTAACAACGCAATCATAAACTTTGAATATTACGCCTACAAAGAGTATCGTCTGGTTGCTCCAGACGGATCTGGATCATCAGCCTATTCTTTGGATTTTCGTTCATCATGAGCACAAAATAGCCCTAAATATTTAAAATGAGAGTGGATGCAAGATGTTTTTACCTTTCCGGGGAATGTATAGCTGATTCCATCAAATGTATGTACATGAGGCTCACCGTAGATGTAACTATAAAAATAACCATTGTCTTATGGAACTACAAACCCAGCAGCTGGCGCTCTGTAGTCCTGACAGCCATTCGTCATTCGGCGCCAATAGTAAAATTCGCAATGGTCACTCCATCTAAAAAAATTCAAAGTATTTGGTGAATTCTTACTGGCAACACATCCTATATGGTAATTCATCGAGTTGGTAATGCGAAAGAGTAGGAATAAAGGGAGGCATTAAATAAGGTCTCGCTCCAAAGGCATGGGCGCGGGCCGGGGTGCCAGGTTGGAAGAATCTGAATGAGTTATTTTATGCAAATTTATGGTAATTTTCCTACCGGCTGTAATCACCATCCGGTTCCCAATCATCAGTGAACATAAGGAAACCATCCCAATCGTAGCAGCATTGTTGAGCTGAGCCGGTCCAACTGAAAATTTGTTTTGATATCGGCTGAAACCGATTAGATCATAGAATAAGTTACTTACGTTGCGGTAGCACTTTGAATACAATGTTGAGCTCCCTTATTGAATGGGCATTCCATGTTTCCATCCTTGTCGCAATTCATTATCGGCATAAAGCGACCGACATCCAGTAGGGCCTAAAATCGAACATACCTCTGCATGTAAGTTTTCACACACCTGTGAAAGTTTGCATGGACATGGCAGTTCTTTCGTCAAATCGATCTGAAAATTGCTATGACTAAAAAAGTAGCAATAATACTTGGAAGTTTCGCCTGCGTCCATCATACTCGAACCAGTCGATGCACATGTCCAGCGCCCAATTCTTTCCCCAATGATATCGCCAATCATCAACGTGGAACCTACAAGTCCGCTGTGTTTGCAATTTTTCTTCTACCAACCATGGGAAAGGTGTCGGTTTGCTCCAAAGGACACCCTCTTCAACATCGGTGATCGAAACTTGGACGAATCCGAAATGAAACTTCTTCCACGCATCCTGACATCAATTTCACTATTAGTTCCTTATTTACATACCACGAGCAATCGATGGCGTTGTAGCTGGGCTGGTTTAAACTCGTAGGTTCCACTGTTGGCCACACCTTTTGCCAAGTAATCAATCTTCTCGAAATGCGATCTGGAATGTTTTCCTTTAGTACCTTAGCAAATCTCACCTATCAGCATCCTCCCAATATCCATACAACGATATATCAACCCTGGTACCAAGATTATACGTTAAATTGAGCGCCTAAGAATTGATTTCAGGAATATGGGAAGTACACATACTTGCCAGCCCATTTTCAACGTATCCGCATAAGGTTGATACCACCGATTTTGTGATATGTCCACCGCATCTATCAATGAAACAGCTGATGCAGCACGGCTGGGAACCGCTAAAATTATTTGGTGATAAAAAACTAATTTTTTTTATAACTTACCAACATAGAATTTTCCGAAGAAAGGAAAACTTTGCCCGCCATCTCGTGACATACGAATTGGAACCTAAGGTGGAAAGTTTCGTTTTTATGGCCTAAAACAAGCTTCTATAGGATTTTGAAAAGACGCCATCCCTTACCATTCCAGTCTTATGGAACATTGGCATGATGCATCGGGCTCGGACACGACTGATCCTTTTACAATTGACTTCCCATGATTCAAACGTGACCTAGTATTATAGTAATCTTTCGAAGCCATTTTCTTACCTTTACAACATCTTTTTCACGTAGGCAAGGGCCAGAGATATTTATAGCCACGCCTCCTTGCATTGGACCAACTGGCGGTGCAGTTACAACACCTCCTGTAAAAATTTGTAGCATGGAAATACCCGCCTTATTATAATAGCGAGTTCGAGCAGGGGATATACAATACTAAAAATTACCGTCAGATGCATTTGTGCATCCAGCAGGAATAATTAGCTCGTCAACACGATGGACCCATCTTCCAGGGGTCAGAACATTCGAAAAGTATCCCAGCTTCCAGATACGACCTGATCAATTTAGTCGTCTTTTGAAAAAGTGTACCATGGCCGGAGTACGGAAGGGCATACCAGCCAGTTCCGTTACCACCATTAAACCCGGCCATTGCCGCTTGTTTTCCTCCGAACCCATTCAGGCCTTAAAACGATGGATTGGAAGGTTTAGGTAGATATTTAGAACCTCCTGCTTCATTACTAGACGTCCAATTTAGTCGGGCATAATTGAAAATTACAAATGATCTAATTTCATCCGAAGCCAGTACCTAGAAAATTATGTGTTTCCCTGTTTTTCCAATTTTTTTAAATATAAACACCAACCACTTGAAACGTATTTTGCCAATCCTTCACATGTTCAAATTGTGATACATCCAGCGCTCTCGGCGCCCCACCGTAGGCCATCTAAACATACTACTTTCTTTTCGGTATCACCAGTCTTGGCCACCGGTTTGTTCTTCTTTTGGGGGTATTTTGAAACATGATTGTTATCTGTTTGGCAAACAATGCTCGGAAAAGGGGAAGCCAAGGCAGGCGGAGGAGGCGGGGCAAGCTCGACGCACCCGATACCAGGTGACAATGAAGGCGTGCTCAGCCCTCCAACCATTGGCTCCTGTATACCCTTCTTGGACATGTTGTGTGATGTTGTCCAACAATAGCGGATCGATTACCATTCCTGAAACATGCAAATCAGAGAATTTATGAGAATTGCAGAAGCTTGCAGTGGTGCAAAAGTTCATCACACTCCACCGTAAAGCCTGCAACGTCCAAAAAGCCACAATTTTGCAAAGACAATGTATATACCCAATTACATTAAATACTATGCACTACTGGAGCCCTGAAAGCAAACCTGGCTGAGAAACCCTTCCAGGCATCTGTCGTTTCTTTCGCTTCCCATAATTTCCAAACGATTCACCGAATTGCGCTTGCTGATTCTAAAAAACGAAATTTGTAAAAATACACAAACGATATCGACCTGATTGGTGAAGGACTGTTGCTGCTGTTGAAAGTTCAGTAAAGGATTCTGGTTGTAACTTTGCATGGCTTGCTGGCCGTAGGGGTTATTCTAAAAGTGAATTATTTTATATGTAAATTATCGTGAGCAATTAGTTCAGTTTACCTGCTGATTATAATTATAATCATTATTGTCCAGCGTTGAATCATACAAATCGTCATTGTCATTCTAAAAAAGCCCGCATTTCCGGTAAACCATGATATACCCTCGGCCGATGTACAGATCTGAAGAACACGTTCGAAACCTTGGTGCTGCCAATCCATTGGAACATCGAATCGGCATAGAATGGGGCTGAATTCCCATGATTTTTAGCCAAATTCAATTACCAATGAAGGAATGATCTCGCTGTTTTGGCCAAGCTGGGTTCGGGAATGTAAAGGGTGGAGTGAAGAATGGCGGTTGCGCAAAAGAGATGAAGCCGGATGGGTAAACAAAGGTATAATTAAATCTGAAAACAATCAAACAATTAGAAAAAGAAAGCCAACCTGAATCCGAAAAACGGGCAATCGAATCCCAGGTTAGCTTGCGTTTCCCTGCCAGCTTGGCCCATCAATTGCTCATCTAGGGCCCAGCCCCCGAATGGATACAGAATATTTTGCCAACCTATTAATAATTTTCGAATTGTTATAGCAAATTTTCGAACTTACCCTCCTCCCATCGTACATCGTAGTCAGCTTTTGCAAGGTTGTCCAAGTATTCTTGGTAACTTTGGCGTGAGATCTAAAACTCCCGGTCCCCACTTTCTCCAAAAATTTTTTAGCAGTTCTCAAGGGTCTTAAGATGAAGCTGACCTGACGCTTTTTACGTATTTCTTTCGGATACAAATGATCCTCGCTCGCTGACTTCTCAAGTAATGCTTGAAGCTCCTCTTTGGTGGGTAATCTAGATTCATAATCGATCGTCTGGGTGGGGCGCTAATCTTATGACTAACCTGTCTTCTGGCGGCGCTTCTGGGCATGTGTCGTCAACTATTTGATTTTCCGCTCTGTAACAATATAGTATTTAGTTCCATCGGAATTCCAACAAAAATTCCAGGATGCTAAGAGGCCCTGATTTCTGCCTACCTTTTTGCAGGCAAGCTTAGGGCGTCAAAAATAGAAAAACTGGAGCTATCCCGGTGTCTATTAGTCGTTAAATAAGCATAGGCTGCAAATAATAATATCGATCCGCTTACAGCTCTGCGGATCATCGAAACCTAAAAATATTCGAAAATACCGTAATCGTATAGTGATCATAGGGGTTACGGTAGAATGTAAAAAGATGAAGCCGACGTTAGGGTTACTGTAGAAAACTATAAGAAAAATCAAAAGAGCATCTGGTGGTAGCCGGAGTGCAACACTTATTGATTGGGGATTATTATTCGGACAAGCAGCTCATTGAAGGCTTTTGGGGGGCTTTGAACGCCTTCGGGGAGGAAGAAGCCGTGATAAGAAATCTCAGCCCCCATAGCCACCGTTTCCCCCCTCAGTGTTAGTGTTGGTGAAGACGACACACCTCCCTTCCGGCATTCTTATCTTCTGCCCTTTTCCTCCAATCTCTCCCGCCATTTCTCTCGATTTTCGTGCTCTCTACTACTCCTGAATATTTGCTCAATCACGGCCGTAATGACCGCTTCTGTGTTAGTCATTTTGGCTGGCGACCGAGGCGGGGGCATGCATCAGCTTCTAGTTATGGCTTTGCCCTTGGTGTAGCAACTCATTAAAGCAGTATGGCGAGTCAAAAGGATCTTGCGGAGTTGAAGATCTCGCAGAAAGTCATTGTCACCGCCTACGACCAAAACACGTTGAAAGCACGGCATCCCGTCTGATCTGCCAAGTTAAGCAACGTTGGGCTCGGTTAGTACTTGGATCGGAGACGGCCTGGGAATACCGAGTGTCGTAGGCTTTTTGCCCTTTTTCTAATGTCCGCTTTTTGGGGTTTTAGAGAACACAATCAGTTTAAATATAAAAGACTAACAGAGTATTTTATCCCAGAAGTTTTATTGTTTCTCTGGGAAGGTTCCAGAGAACCACAGGATGTCCGAAAAAAAACCCCTACCTAGCTTTCCGCAGTCAAGTCCGATTTTTACGATTTAGGTACCTATCGAAAGCTCTCGAAAAGGCGACAAAGCAAGGATGGTTCATTTTCTTTATTGTGTGCTTTTATTCGCTAATTTCACGTCTAAAAACCATGAAAACTGCTGATTTATGCAAGATCTGCACGCAAATTGCGGAAGTCCCGCTCAAAAATTACCAGTTTTTTTGAGAAAAACTTTAAATATCGATGGAATCACATTAAATTTGAGAAAACGACAGCCGTTTGTTTTCTCGCCTTTTCAAGCGCTTTCGATTGATAGGTCAATCGTAAAAATCGGATTCGAGTGCGGGCCAATAGGTGGGGGGGTGCTTGGGACACCCTGTAGTGGGGTTGTAAAGAGAACCCCATCTTTTTCAGAAAATTTGTCGCAGTGCTTGTTTTTGTACCAAAACGAGAACCTGCACAACCTTCGCATTCACTCCCGAGATGAATGGAATTATCGGCATGGGGTGCAAGAGGTAACAAACATCACTCGGTTTCGCCTACGACCATGCCACGTTGAAAGCACGGCATCCCGTCTGATCTGCCAAGTTAAGCAACGTTGGGCTCGGTTAGTACTTGGATCGGAGACGGCCTGGGAATACCGAGTGTCGTAAGCTTTTTTGCCTTTCCATTTGGATTCTGCTATCAATAGTGGATCCAATTTTGCCGCTATATTTTTCAATGATCGTTTTGTTTCAATTTTCTGTTTCAGTTAACTTTCTATCAGGGAACAATTCTACGCCCTTTAGCACGTCACGGCCTTGATGGTTCTTGTTTCAAAACTTGTTTTCTTATTGTTTGCTTTGTTTTGACATTTGTTTCAAAAATTTATTAAACTCTGTGTGTACGGGGGGTACGGGGCAAAATGATCACAGACATGGTGGGAGCTCATCACATTTAAAGCTTTATGTGTACACGGTTTTCCGCTGCTGCGGGGACAGGTCGTCGACCAGTGACGAGGCGGAATTGTGGAATTCCAGCTGAAAAAAATTGCCGTTGCCTAAAACCTAGGATGCAAAGGCTTACTTGAGAAAGTGAGCATGAGGGCTTGTTGAGGAGCACTCGGACATGGCGGAGGGATATGTTGACGTCACGGAAAAGTTGCATCTGAAAACGGGAATATTTTGATGATTTATCTATTCAAACCTGGAAAATGCCAATGATGGTCGTGAGGAACCCGATGAGGTTTCCGAGGACATCAGACGCGCCCAGACAGCTCCATTCCTAAAAATAGGAGAAATAATTTCAAAGCATTTCTAATTTTTCGATCTTAAAAACGAATCTTAACTCACTTTGTACAAAATCGATGAAGCAAGGATGACAAACGTGGTGAAAAAGACATAGTAGATCGGGGTGACCATAGAAGTATTGAAAATATCAAGAGCTTTGTTTAAGTAGACCTGAAACTTGAATATACGAAATTTTAGCTTTGTGCTTACCAGTTGAACTGAAACACATGCTATCACGGAGAAAAGCCAAAAATATGTGAGTAGATTGGTGAATTGTTGGTTTCCAGAAAGCGTCTCTTTGATGGCCAGGCCAAGTCCCTAAAAATAGCGTTGCAATTTTGCTTCTCATTCCCAATTTTGTTTTTAACGAGCTTCTGTTCTTATGAAACATCAGTCTATTTTCAAGTCCCAAAATACCACGTGAAAGCGTGAACGGAAATTAGGTACAAGGAGGCGACAATTTCCCGGGAATTTTCGGCCTCTCACTCATGGGAAATTGGCAATTTGTGGGTTACCCCGGCGATTTGAAGGCTATCGCTTTGAAGCGATTGTTACCTTGACGGAGAGGACAGAGAGCGATCCGATGAGGGAACAGACAGAGATGTAGCACAGGATATTTGAGTGCCCGTATCGTGGACAAACATAGACGATCACAAAAATCGTCACTAGGATGATGGCAACGACGTAGAGGAGGAATGCTGAAAATGAGAGCCTAAATATTGATTTAAATCTAATAGGAATATAGGTGTCTTCCCGTAATGATTAGTATTAAAATAAAATTAGTATTGGGATTTCCTAGATGTTTGGCAACCATCAAAATTACATCTACGATATTACAGACTGCGTATCTGCTTTCGCATACGGCCAGAACCGCTATTTTTTAGTCAATTTGAAAAAGAATTTATTAGAGGGCGTTATTAAAGGATTTTATTTTTCGATTCATCAAAATACCTAAAATAAGAGGTAAAGTTTCTTTCTTTCTTTTTTTAATAGACTTTAAGTTGCCGTTTTAACATCAACGACCCGTACTTTCCTTGCCAGGACAAAAAATTCCTGCGATTGGATTCTCTCTTATATTCCCGAAAACCCTCAAAAATTACCAACCAGCATCTTTCATTTTCAATGCCAAGTCAGCCATCGAAGCCACCTCCTCCTCTTTCGGCGAATGAATCACGATCACCTAGACACACCGGACGTTTTGTATGCATACTCCAAGAAAAACAAACCGTGCTCCCGAGTAAACACACTGCGCACCCGATCTTGCCAAGCAAGTTTAGTCTCTCTTTCAGCATCCGCGAAGACAGCATCGCACTGAAGATGCAGGAGTTATCAAGAAATTTGTGTATTTCTTACGTGACTAGAACGGATAGGGCACCGAGCGGTGTGACCAGACTGGCTGGGGCGAATGCATAGGCGGCAAAATTACATGCCTCGCCGAGGCCCACTAAAACGCGATTAGGATGTGTAGATCAAGGATTACTTGTAATGACCCCCATCCACCACATCCATTCTCGCAAATATCCGAAACCACCTTCGGATGCTCGCGCTGTACAGTCACCACCGCCAGCCAACTATAAATTAGCATTTAAATCAGCAACTCTTTCATGCATACCTTTAATAATGCTTTCTTTTTAATGATAAATGAAGAACCAATAAAAAGGGAAGAAGAGACGGCCAGGCCCAGTCCAATATAGAAATCGACCATCACCTATAAAAGCAATATGCATGACTCAAACGCCGCCTAAAACAAGAGAGAGCGGGAGATGAAATGCCCATCCCTACCTTTTCCGTGTGCTCGGTTGGGGCCGCGGTCGACATGTCGTATTTTGTATCCCTGAATAGATTATTTAGAATCAACAGCTGAAAACAGTGGTTTTAGAGAACTAGAGATGTCAGCCGGGCCACCCAATGGGATCGGTACAAAAATGGCGTATGACCGACGACAAAATGACTACTTTCCACCCCTCCTGGGCCCCGCGTTATCACTTTCTTCAGAGTCACAAAATCGATTGATGCCGTCAGAGGGACAGAAAAACAAGGCCAATGAGGTCAATACAAGGCTAATATCAAGGCTAATCAAAGGTCAATAAACAATATAGTCCATTGTTTTAGATTTATCTATTGGAATAGAGCTTTATATATGTCCTAAACATCAAGAATCGATAATTTTGTGTGACTTGTTAGCCCTATGGCCGAGATCACAGTGCACTCTCTTATAAGCGAATTCCCTGGAGAGTGGTTTGTTAATTGGATAAGATTTTCACGGAAAAGCAATTAATTTCCGGCCGTGAAAAGGCATATATTGGATGTTTCTATGGGTATGAAATGGGGCGCCACACCGAAAAACGCTGGTTTTCGTAAGTTGCTACATAAATTCTTCAATATAATATGCCAAATTGAGAACTTAATTAAAATTACGGAAATCCTAAAAAATAAAAACTCCCATTTTTTAACTTGTGAACTTTTCAAAAGTATTGAAAACAAAAAAAGCAAACATTTAACATGAATTAAAAAAAACACCAACCGGTTAGTTTTTGCGGCGAGTGCTGCAGCGCTTTGATTGAGTGAAATGCTCGCATGAACAGCGTAGTCCATTGGAGACCCTCACCGGGTCACTAGAAAATTAATTATTGTTACCGTTTATAGATTGAATATAGCTTGAATAATCCTTTAATTATAATTATCAAAAACTCACTGTATATACCTGGAGATAACCCGTGAAGCAGCAGCAATTGAGCCTCAATGCCACGGGCCGAGCGGTAATCGTAACCAGTAGACCACGGCTAGAAAATGGATTTTGAATGGACGCGGGAAATTTGGCCCGAATGTAATAGCTACAGGAAAGCACATTAATGGCGTATTTGTAAAGCTATATTTGCATATTTATTCGTCTCACTAGATATGCGGAAATAGCTTTTTCATTATTTCAGAGGTTTTTGCTTTATAATTAAGGATAATTGAATGCGCAAATCCTTTGATCAGTAGGACAATTAAAAACATACGCAAAACCATACAGTGGGAAATTTTCGTCGTTTTTCCACTAAAACATAGGCTCAAAAATAAATAATGGGGAAGCAAAACGTGTGAAAATCCAAAGAAGCGTCACTTTCCCGCCCCGGTGCCCCAAAAACGGCCATTGATTTTCATAATTCATTGGTCGCCCCAGCGGCCATATTTCAGGGTAGAGACCCCCCGAGAAAGGCCCAAACAACCCACCTGCCACAATTTGAACGGCTTTCGATAGGGGGGTTGGGCCCAAACACTCAATACAGGCGCGCCTCAACGTGGCCCTTGCCAGACATCAATTGGAAAAAGGTTGTGAAATTGTAATTGGGGGAGAGTGGAAAGGGGGGGGGGGGCTGGGTGAAGATATCACCGGACCCAGGACAACAGAAAATGGGGGAGAGGGCCCTTTGAGTTGAGAGAGTGCGAGAGAGTGGGAGGGAAAGGGAGAGACCCTGTGACTCGGGTCCTTTTTCGATGACTAAGCGGCTACGGTGTCCCGGGCACCTTTTCACAAACCCCACTGAGCGGTTGGAGTAGTTGTTGCACTTTCATAAAGTACGAATAAGTTAAACCGTGGAACTTTCCTTGACTAATTTTATACCAGCTTTCTTCACTGGATTCATCCCATCCTTCGTCATCTTTTTTTCCGGACCTGGCCGGCGCTGGGCCGTCTTCCATTTCAAAATACATACACTTTATTACTGAGCAGCACGAAAATCCCTTAATCACAACGAATTATTATTATTATGATACAAACGACAAACAATGAGCACCCGAGTTGAGAGAGAGGCGAGAACAAAGTGTCATGAGTTCTTGGCAGGTTGTCACAATGAAATCACGTAATTGGCATTGCACACTATCTACAAACAGTTTCAAAGAGACAGGAAAAGGAACACATTCACGAAAGGCCCTAGCTGTTGTGACTCATCTCAAGTTGAAATGAGTCTGAGAAGAGTCGATGGGCTCCTTGATTGGCGCCGGGAACTTGGGTACGGTAATCCCCGCGGGATGTTTCTTTGTAGGTATCATCTGATTTGTCGTCTTCCCATCTGAAATTGGACTTTGGAAAACGAATTAATTAATTAATGAAAATTATGCTTTCGGAAGGCATGTGCTGTGGATTGATTCTAAGACTATTGGCAAATTCATACCTTTTCTGTAGTCTCATAAGAATTGAGCCTTCAGGTGATCGCCGTGTTTCTTCACCGGAATGATCAACTTCGACGCCTAAAAAAGATATATAAAGAGATGTATTGACATGATAATTTCTGAAGCTTGAAACATCCTCAAAACTCACCTGATGTCTCGCTATCCGATGGAACAGAAGCATGGGCATGGGGAGATCCGTGGAGATTTTGAACCGGGTGGAATGGATGATGTGAATGCTCGGAATGAAGCGAGGCGCATGGTGATCCACTTCCGCCCAGCTGCTTCAACATCAAGCCCAGATTACTGAGTTTCAAAGGAGCTGTCTCCCCAGGAAGGCCTCTCTCCCATTCCTCTGCCGGTTCATCGCTGGAAAATTAATTTATAGAGACAGGAGCGCCGTCTTACTGTATCGGAAAATCATCGGGCTGATTGATACATTGCAGTGAATGTTGACTGGAACTGACGTATTCCCTAAAAATCAAGAATAATCTGAATTTTTTTAATTAATCCGTACGTTAAAACAACGCGCTCCCGTTCTTCAGCTTCCTGTATTCTATTCAGCGCCCGATAAACCGGCTTGTTATTTTTGTGACGTTGTTTTTCTTCCCTAAAAAAGCTCTATAAATGGTAAAACTAAATTACCGATAGCTGGGCATTTTGCCAAATTTGATACTTCGCCCAGCATCATCTGGAGAGCCATCACCATCCGCGCTGTATTCATCTTTTGGTTGGCTAATGTCGACAAAAGAACGACGGCGATAGCAGAAGAGAAGGAAAACGAGCAGCAGCAAGAGGATCAGGCCGACCTGAATATACAGTAATATAATCCGTCTAGGCTTTTTAGTAGTTTCTCTATCGTTGAAACTTACAATTAACAAAATCCCAAGCAGCGTCGGTGTATCTAGCGATTTTCCGGCAGCAATTGATGGAACCAAGACAACCGGTCCAGTAGGAAGATCAAAACTGTTGTTCCGAAGCCTTAAAAACGTCTTTGCTTTTAGATTTCATAGATCTCACCGGGTATCGCAAGCTTGCCCAGTCCAGCCCGCAAAGCATACACACACTGCTGTTGTCGTGCAGTCACCATGTCCAGAGCATTGCAGCGCATGGTTGTTCGAGGGGCAGAAAACGGCGGTGGATACCTTAACATCATAAGTAGCAGCGTGTCATCAGCAGAAAAGATACCTGCTTTGCGTCCACACAGCTGCCAGCCACACAAACTCGGCCTGATCCGCAAGCACTCCCGTCTGGGGTCAGAGCAAGCAATGAGTTTGCAGAGTAGGATATTGATTTGCATTCAACCTAAAATTTTTACGTAATTTCTAAGCGCATTACCCTAACCCACTAAACACCACTAAACCCATCATTCCTCTCGTACTCACCGTTTCATCCAGTTTGTTAAGGTGAAGTGTCGATGCCTCGACTTGTATAATCGGATTAGGCGACCCGCCCGTGCAGTACAGTGACCCACAACGCACATCCGGCTTAAATGTATACATAAATTTTCTCTATTCAATTTCCCCACAATTTCACACTGCTTCAACGCCTTTCCGTCTTGGCCGCAGTTCGCGAATTCATGACCTCGCGTGTTGTAGGCGAAGCACTCATCTTGACCAACGTTGGCGCCTGCAGAAAGAAAATTTCAACAGAGTGATACGGTTAAATTTACTGACCATGGCCCCAGATTTTTGTGCACATCGCTCGCGGATCGGAACAAGCACCTCGCCAACATTGCCCAACGTCTCCGCAGGCGGTACCATCCACCTGAAACATTTTTAATTTCATAGAAATTATTCCATACTAAGTATCCGTTTGCTGGACAATTTCCACTAGTACCATCGCAAACTTCCGCCACGTCACAAGAACCGTTGGATGGTCTACAGATTTCCCCAGCACGACGGATCTGAAAAATTCGATTTATTTGATTTATAATTCGGCTAACCTGGCAGCGGTAGCAACAATCTTGATGTGCTGCACATTGGGCATGTGGTCGTAGTGTACAAGTTAGCTAAACATTTTTAAATGACCTTATACGAATAAGCTTCTATTTAAAAAACCCCATTTCCGCCAAAAACCCTACAGCATCACAGCAGGGATCTTGGCATTTTTCCCTGGGCCCACAATCACATTCCTCCCCATGATCCACAATTCCATTGCCGCATTCACGCAGCTTCCATTCCTAAAATTTGAGGTTTATCTGCTACGTTGACTATTTTTATTACCTGGAACGGCTCGTTCAGGAGGCAATGAACATTCCCCCTTGCCCATACAGAATGTGACTTAGCCACGGAGCACTTGGAGAATTGCCAGGCAAACGAAGACTTGCGGCTAAAAACATTTTTTTCATTGAATTATGCAATTATATCCGTTTAATTACGCTAATATCGTACCTGACATGCTGGTTCATCACGCATACGCCACCCGGACATTTACAAGAAGGGGCATCATGGTCGAGACCGATTAAATGGGAAATCTGTTGAGCCAGTAGTTGGGCCGTCAAATGGCTGTGGAACGGGGAGACCGACTGAAAGACATTTTTTTAATCTGGTTGGCAATTAAAAACTTTAAATCCTTAAATATTGGGGCCCTCATTTACCTTGACAAGTGCAGCTGCTCTGGCAGTACACACACTACCAGTCGTCCCTACGGCATATTCGATATTTGCAAACGTCGCATTCGTCAGCAGGAAAGTCATATCCTTTGCTGAAACCCAAAAATTAATGTTAACTTTATTTACTTACCAGTTCCATAAAGATGCCCCGTCGCGTAGTCGACAAGTCCATGCAGCATCTTGTTAATATCTTCATCGATGTCTATCCTCTCTGCATCCAGCCATTGTTCGGAATACACCATCGTTAGCCGTACGTTCAGGTCTCGTGAGATCATCTAAAACTTTCATAGTTTGCAGGTGGGACAAGGCCTACCAAATCGGCCGTATTAACAACTTCAAGGAGCAGATTAAAAATATTCTTTTCTTCTAATCCTTCCGCTTTTGCCAATTCGTAATCGGCGATGGCAGCAATTTCAATGAATTTGGTCTGCTTCGACAAATCACGGCGTTGCTTGCGGGCCCTCTATAATGAAAGCAATCTTATATATCTTTGGGTGGAGTATAAAATTAGAAAAAAATGCGTAAATTAAACGAACCCTGGATGATGTCGCAGCAACCCCACAGCGCACATCCACCGGCCATTGGCTTCTATATAGCACATGGGGGTGTCGTCGGCTTTTCTCTCCTCCATCAAGCGGCCGAATACCAAAAGTTGTTCCATTTGAGAAGGCTATCACACCCCTGAATTGAAAGATTTTATCGTTAGATTAATTCGAATTAGGAAATTAAGGAAAACATAGCATCCGTAATTTCTTACCTGAGGCCATCACAGCTACTCATCGATACAAAACTGCTCGAATCACCACCAACCGTTCCCTAAATATAATATAATAGAATTTCGGAAAAAACAGTTTGGTTAACAATTTGAATATGATGGTAGTAGTATACCCACCTGATAATAGCAGTTTTCGAATTTCAGCAAAGAAGGCTGATCACGATAACTATCCAACTAAAACAAAGTAATAAATATTTTTATTTAAAAAATACCTTCCGAAAAGAGGATTGGTTAAAGAATAGATGATTATTCCTTTCGAGGACTAGCTTCAACCTCCCCAACTGATTGCTGCGGATAACAATAATAACGTGCTGGTAGTGCTCGTCGCCTCTCAGGAAATAGTTTTTCGTATCTAAAATCGTGGCGGGTAATTAATGCGCTATTATTGTTATTACCAATTCCTATCCGTTCATTCTTGTCCCGAATTTGAAATGGATGGACGACTTCATAGTCCCCGTCAGCCAGGGTGGCCATAAATCGTTTGTTGAAAGCGCTTTGTTTTACATCTACTAAAGGAGAAGCTTGTGGTCTGAAATTCTGACTTACGCTTGGCCCATATCCAGCCCGGTAACAGCAAAAGCCAGAAATAAAATTTCTTCATCGTTGCTTCATACGGCGGTTTTAAAGATGACTTTGGATTGCAGTCACCGATTCATAAATTAATCTGAAAAAAAAACATTAAGAAAATGCTAGTAAAAAAAACAGTAAATAACGAGGCCCTTGAGCAAAATGGAATAAAGATAAACATTGAAAATATCTGCGAAAAAATGCCCGAAAATGCCGATAGCAAAATCCTGAATCAAGCCTAGTTTTGAGAATGGCATAATTACAGTATAGCTTTTTCGTTTAAATATTTTTAATGGCACATGAATGGGTACATATTACGCAAAACAATCCGGCACAAGCTATTGCAGAACAAAACATCTAGGTCAAATGGAGCATCAGGTTGGTGGGGAGCCACAGTTTATGTTACAGTCAATCCCCCAAATGTTATGTATGCAACTACTAATTGGGGTTGGCAAGGGATCAGATTATAGCGAGAGGCCCTCGTGTGTACTGCCATTTGGTTGGTAGGGTTGATGGTGCGAAAGAGAGCAATGGCTATGGGTAGGTCACCGTGGGTTGGGTGGGTGAGAGCCGAGGGGGGTTGATTTGAATACGGCATGGCGCCCCAAAAGACCAGAGAGCGGGGAAGAGTGAGAGGGAACAGACAATCGGACACAGCCATCAAATCGATGCATCTGGGACTGGAAACGAGAAGGATGACTGCCAAGGGAGGGGAGGGGGGGCTCTGTCCATCTGGCATTTTGGGTCCCCTAGGGTTTGGTGGTAGCCTAAAGGCACAAGTCACAATCCCCCTCTCTCTCTTTTCGATCCACCACATTCAAATGAGCCGCCGCAACGGGGCAGATGGGTGCCCGTTCCCATTTACGGGCCCTCCGCCCGAAGGTCTACCAAACCATGGAAGAGAACATTTCATCCTCCCCCCTTTCCGCAATGGCCCTCCTTGCAAATGACTTGGGATTTAAAATGGAATACCAAATGAAGGGACATTCCGAGACAACAACCGAAAAATTGCGGGGCGGTCGGTAATTAAGAGGTGGTCGAAGTACTGGCATTTTTACTTGATTCGACCATTCTTTTTAATGGCTTAAAGAAGCTAGATGTTTACCCTAGCATTTTCGGCATCACCTCGTCACCGATAGTGCAAAAAAAACCCTGGAAGTTCCAGCGTCACATGGAGAATACCAAGTTAATTAAGTCGGTAATTAAGAGGTGGTCGAAGTACTGGCATTGATACTTGATTCGACCATTCTTTTTGATGGCTTAAAGAAGCTAGATGTTTACCCTAGCATTTTCGGTATCACCTCGTCACCGATAGTGCAAAAAAAAACCCTGGAAGTTCCAGCGTCACATGGAGAATACCAGGACATTTTATACATAATCTAGATTATTATACACCAATTGTCAATTATCCTAGACGATCGACTAAAAAAATTTGCGTTAGATAGATCAAAGCTCTTTTTGCTGCTAACCAAAATAGTCCTGTAGCCAATATTAAGACGGTGAAGTATGCGCGGGCTGGTGATAATTGAAAAGTGTTCGTACTAGTTTTTTTGAGGCTTCATTCCATCTTCAAAGTATTGCTGTAATCGGATTAGGAAGTTATGGGTTTTCATGACATCGCTATTTTAAATGACTTTTGAAAAAATACTGTGAATCGTAAAGATAACGTTTTAAGTTAGTTATAATAGTTAGGTTGTAAATTATCCTAGCACATCCTCCAAGTAATTGCGTGAAATCGATCAAGACTCAACCCGCTGATTACGCAATAGTACTAAAGCCAAAAATAAAACGAAGCCCGGATCCTCCTCCCCAAACCACCAACCAGCGGTAATGTTTATGCGGGAATCTGGGAGAAGAGGCCCCTTGAAAAAGGGGAAGAGAAACAGCTGAGGAGTTGTGCTGTGAGGAATGTGCATATTTCTTCGTGTCTCGGGGATGGGTCCTCCATCTATGGGCCCCTAGGCGAGGGTGTGGGTGGGGACGGACAGCCTAGCTATTTTATTCCATCCACAATGCTACTTGTATTGTTTTACTATTTTCCTAGATCTATTCTAGCCTGTGCTACCAGTCGCTTAATTGAATTATGGAGAGGTTCACCGCAATTGCAAAGTATTATAACAAACCATATGCCCTATGATACGACAGATTATGGAGGATATATCACAGAAAACGAGGCAGAATATCGGGGCTTAGGGCCAGCGGGGACCTCTCGTCCCCCTGCTTCCGGGGCAAAATATGATGGGGAATTGGGGATAATAGTTGGCCCATCTAAAGGGGCTGTCACCCGGCAGCCATCTATAGATGAAGAAGGGCCCACTATGACTCGTCCCGACCCTTCCCTATTCCCTTTTCCTCCTTCCGATCCACCCCTCACAAACCGATGGCGAAATGGGGGAACGCCACCCAACTTCCCCCCTACACCACCACTAAACGGCCAACCAAATACCCCAAAGGATTACTCATCTGCCTCGCAACCACCCGGAATTGTCCTCTTGAAAATCAAGTTGTTCACGGATAAAGCAGCCACAAGTAAAATAAGAAATATCTCAATTGAGCCCCCGACCCAACGAGAAGACATTGAAAAAACTGAAGAAATGAAAAAATTCCTGGAAATGCAAGGGGAGGTTGTTTTTGATACGGGAACGACTATTACTGTGGATACAACGACATCTTCCGGCACTGAAGTGGAAACCACTGGAATTCCGACGACGACCGAAACGGCAACGACTACCACAACTGAAGGGACGACCATCCGATGGCATTTATATAGCCATAGACCGGATCGACAACTTGGCGAAGCGATTCTTGGTTCGTAGTCGCGGATTTTCTTGAAGACTTGAGAACGATTTTTTAGGACCAAGGCTGAGCGAAAATCCGGATGGAGAGGGTTCAGATGATTTTTCGACTAATGATGATGCTACCGAAATTAACGGTAAGCCGAAAATAAAAAATTATTTAATCTTTTTGGGGTACAAGGGGGTATCATGTCCGGCACCATAAAAACCACGATAAATTGGTACCTTTTTAAAGCATAGTCGGAAGTGGGCTGTCTATATAAAAGGGAAGATTTATTTTTTTGTGAGGAAAACAAGATGTTAATTAGGATAATTTAAGGTAACAATTCAGCCGAAACACCAACTCTTGAAGAATCCTCAATCGAGCTATACGGTAAGAAAGTATTCTGGCCGAATTCAACTGTTCAAAATTTAGAACCTACAATTGATTTAATTACGAAAGGCCCCTTCCAAGCGGAACAGGGTGATACATGGATACAACGAGTTTTGGCATCGGTAATTGTCAAAAAAAAAATGTTAAAAAGATTTATTCAGCTTCAAAGCGTACCCGACGATCTTCATCCGACCGTGGTTGGCTACATGTAAAAACTGGTCTGGTGATGATTAAAAACTTTTTAGGAAAAACGAAGAGGGTTCCACCGGTGCTGTTAGGGTGAAGCTAGGCATCAACGCTACGATTGGAGAAGTGGCTCGGGGGATTCACACAGCTTTTCCGACATCATCTATCATAACTAGTGCCCGGGTACGCTTACAACGATTGGCATACCAGACCGCCTTTAGGTTTTCTATCCATCCCCATGGTTGCATACATCGCTTCAAGAAACACCGGAAAATTAGTTTCGTGTATTACGTTACTGTCTCGGAATTTACTTACTGTACATAAAAATATTTGAATTAGAAACTTTACAAGCACTACCCACGCATTTCTAGATTTTCATTATTTCTAAGGACTTCAATTTAGTATTGGTTTCCATCACATTTCTATAATATGTTTTTGTATGGTTTGCTATCTTTTTATAATATTTACCAACTAATAATTTCGATGTTTATCTATAGAGACTTTACATATTAACCCTAACAAAGTCCCTACCATACTTCCTTCCAGAAAATTCTCTAAAATCGCTTTAATATTTAAAGCTTTTCGATCAACTTGTTCAATTTGTGCCCTTCAAACCGTTTTTTGCAGATCCTTAATGGTTTTTGTATGGCTCATTCTTATGTTTGCGTTGTTTTATACGTTGTTAAAATCGTGCAGCGGGTCAAGAATCAAAAATATATGTAATTACACAGTGAACAATTCTATTCGGCAATAGTTTCTCGGCTGTTTTCTGTACCCAACTCCACCGTCTTTCCAGTCTCGGTGTGCCTTACTTATAACATATTTCCCGAGAACTTTGCGACGGTTCGTTCTTACACTTTGCACACGTGCCCCTGCAGTCACCATCTCGGCTGGCGGAACCTAATGTGACAATGAGTACCCGAAAAAAGGCTGTAAGCGGATGGTGCGAGCAGGGGTAATCGCTTTCGGGGGGCAGCGGGATGTGCTTTCCTTATCGATGGCAGGGAAAGTGGCTGAGTGGATGGTTTGGGGTGGGTGGATGGCAGATTGTGGGTGGCAGAGTGGTGGTGGTGGTTGGCATCGGGGCAGGAGAAGCCCGGGGGTTGGGGAGAACGAGTTCTCCCCCTCCGTTCTCCTTTCCTTCATCCCCCCTACCAGCCGATAGATGGCTTCTCCCTCAACGGTGTGTTGGTGCCACAGATCTCAGAAGATGGCCTTCAGACGATGCCATCATGTGGCTCCCCCCGGTCTCGGGTCATCTTGTTGTATACTCCCCCTCCCCGAGTCGGCTTCTTCGCGCTCCCTTCTAGCCTCTCGGCTCCTCCCGCACTTTCACCCGAAACCAGTGCTGCCCCTCCCGGGCTACAGTACCACCTGGGGGAAACCTTTGGGGATGCAAAGGCCGATTCTCGTGATGAAGCTGCCAATTTCAAGATTAAGCTTTTCCTTAAAGCCTGAAGCCGATCTTCTGTTACTTATTCTAATTAATTCCTTCAGCTATTTGAATTTAAGTACGTCTTTTATGCATTATTACCACAATCCGTTTATTTCTGACACCCCGTTGATAGTTTCCGCTGAATTTTTGTCTGAATTTAGTAATTCGGTTCCTTGAATACAGTAGTGCTTTTCCGATGCTACCTAAAGCATGATTGCGTGATGCCTGCTAGCATATCTTTTAAAGTCATTTTAGCTAATGAATACCCCTTAATTAGAACATTGCTTGTTAAATGCTTCATGGCGCATGCTTGCATGATATCTGATAGATTTGCTGATTATAGCAAATAAATTAGAAAATCGTAATTTACTAAAGAAGTAGCGGGAAAGCCATACTCTTATAGCTCTATTAAGCATTTTGATGTTGTAGCAAAGCCTATCCATCCTAGCCTAGCCTATCTACTGTTGCCAAGTACTGCTCTCGATTTCACGCTAGACAAAAAAACGCAGTCAGCGAACCGCCGCACCTCTTTCCTTTTTAACGCCGCTTTTCCCGGCGGCATATAATAATTATCGGCTCTCCCCCGCCCTCGGATTGTCTAGGGACCGGAAGGGGCAGCACTTTGTGGCTGGGGGGAATAGTGCGAGTCGTCTGCATTCTGTTGGGTTGTTTGGTGGCAGTAGATAGATTGGGTGGTGGATTCAGAGGAAATAGGGGGCTGGTGGATGGCAGCCCCAAACAAACCAGCTGGGAAAGTAAAAGCAAGGCCGAGAGCTCTCGCTTTCACACTAGAGCCCCTATAGGCCATTGTCGCTCAACCATCAACTTGGGCTGGCCTTCATTTCTCGGAGCTCTACTTTTTTGTGGTGATCGTGTGATTTTTAGATGGCTTTGGAGAGGTAGGTTTTTCAGTTTTGGCTTTTTAGTATGAGTATCACTTATAATCCGCTTATAATCCTTGGTCTTGATATAACCGCCACCCTTGTTATAATATATGATAAAACTATTTACAAAACGTCACCAAAGTTTTGACTTTTCCTGGTATGATTAGGAGTCTAGGCACTTTAAAATAGTACCTGGGGATTTTTAGCCGTTCAATTTTACCCTCGAATTACCGTCTCTCCGTTCGATCGAAAACTATAAATTAACTTATCTTACCTGCTCTTTCAAAATTCCTCCTTTTCAGGCAGTGAAACATTAAACAAACTTTGCCCTTATGGGAAATACGGTATATTTTTTTAAACCGACCCCACGCTAAGTTCCCCTTTGCTGATAAAAACAACAAATGATTTTTTTTACTTTTTGCATTTTTCAAATTACCAAACATCCCCCGAATGATCCAAAAATCCCCTCCCACCCATACGAGCCTAACTGCCCAGACGGCAAATAGTCGCCTGGGCGATTCCCACTCGAACAGATACTTTTTTTGACCGAACGTTCGCGCCTCATTGTTTGCGAATTTCCAGCGCGGAACTTCGAGAGCGCGCCTCGCGCCCAGAGGCGCCGATCGAGCCCCCTCAAAGGCAAAAATAAACAAAGTCAAAAACATGGTTGCCTATGTACTGGCTGTTTGCCCCGCGCCGAGAAAGAGAAGGGGGGGGGGACATCGCAACGATCGCCGTCCGTTTTTAGTTTGAATCTGGCGTACGGCAAACTCCCCCTTAGAGCCGGTGTATCATTATATTGCTCTATTTTTATTCAGCGGTCGCGACTGGATTTTGTAAAAAGCGACGCTTTGAGGCTAACATAATTTTTGGCTAATGTAATCTTACCCATAGCGCGGGAACAACGGAGTTCTATTCATCAACCTGATTCCGTGCTTTAAATTAGATTAAAGAAAAAAGAGGCGAAAAAATTATTCTAGTTTTCGTTCAATGTAGAATCAATTAATGAATAAAATAGAACAAATGTGCTTTTTTTAATTAACACATCGCTTGTAAAACCAAAAAACGCGGCTTCAGGTGAGGTACTACCAAGATTTTCGCGAAATTTCGAAAACCGTTTTAGATTGTGAAAAAAAGTATGGTACACCTCCTTTTGAACGCGCTTTTTTGGAAAATTTTCTTCAGATAGCTCATCTGAAAGCGCGTTTCTTGCTGTTCAAAATCCGCCATAAAACCGTTGCCGATTATCTCTTATGTAATTTTCACCGAGCCTGAAGTTGCAGTTTTTGGCACAAAAACACTCCAAGATGAACGTAGCTTTTGAAACAAGGTCATTCTGCAATTTCTCACAGCTATACGTAATGAGCGACAAATTCCAGGCAAGATAAGCTTGGTCTACCTCGAATTTCCGTCATCACCAAAAAGACTTTATTGTTAGCTCCATTGGTTATTTTCATTCTCTGACCCAAACCGATTAAATCCTTGAAGTCATGAGTAAACTGTTCATAATTTTTTTACGAATCAATAAGCTTAAAAGTCTGTTTCTTTCATACTTGTTTATCTATCAAAAAATTTTTGACCAATTTTTTGAAGTCAAAAGGACTCCATTATTTGATAGAACCTTTCGCGCAGACTTTTTTTTTCGTTCTCATATGACGCTGGTCGACGGCTCTTTTTTAACGAAACTGATTTGTCAACTTTGTAGGTGCCCACCTGAATGAGCGAGGGATCGGCCAGGGAATAAGAGGCGGTGGGATCTGAGCACAAAGTGCCCAGAAGCGCCACCCTCTGATGGGCCATCATTTCTTACCAGCAGCGGCTGTCTGCCTCCTCATCTCTGTGGGTGGGCTATCATTTCTACAACGGGTTCCTTTTTGCGTTTTCTATTTACTGCCTTCAAGGCCCAAAATTCATCTAGGGTATGGCCCTCTATCAGTGCCAGACCATTTTTTCAGGCAAACCTTTTAGCCCATGGAATCGATGTCGAGGTGTCTTTTCTATCGGATGAAGACTTTAAAAATGCTGAACTATTGACAAAAGGTATGCATATAGCCGAGCTTCTTGCTGAAAATCCGTAAAATTATAATCACTGGTCCATCTAGAACAAATCTATAAAGAAAGGACACCAATAGAAGCCGTAAATCGATACAGGTTCGTAAGAATTAATGATAATTACTGGGTAAATGATGCAGGCCTGACATCCGTAATCGTGGACAGCGACACAAGCGGAATGGAGTCTCGAGACCCACAAAATTATGGCCAAATTCCCGGATACCGTACGCTATCTCTCCACACTACAGCACCCATGAACGAGCATTACTTGCTCGAGCTGTCAAAGCGGTATTCGACCACATTATTTCAAAACATATGATTTAGTATCATGAAAAGACCTGTATCCGTTTTGTACCGCGGAGTGGCACGGAACCCGATTATTTATTCATCGGAAAAGTCGACGGGTATCTTTGCTAGAATCCTTATTTGAACCTCAAATTTTTAAGATGTTTTTCGGAAGTCGGGCGAACTTCTGGAGTTCAAGTACTGTCGTTAGACAATGGTTGTATGGAATACGCAACCATTATTCATGAAATGATGCATGTCGTCGGATTCTATCATGAGCATGGTATTTTAAAACTGAGTACTACTATCATGAACTTGAAACTTTTTAGAACGATGGGATCGTGACAATTTTATCGACATTATTTGGCAGAATATTGATCGAGCTGCCCTGGACCAATTTGGAAAAGTGGACCTCTCGAAGACATCGTATTACGGCCAATCATACGACTACAAATCCATTCTCCACTACGATAGCTTGGCCTTTTCTAAGAATGGATTCCCGACAATGCTGCCTAAACATAAAGGTCTCCGGTTTGAAAGTAATATTTCATACAATTCAGCTGCCACCATTGGAAATGCCAAGGATTTCTCGGAGGTCGATCTGGCCAAAATTAATAGGATGTATAATTGTGCGCCGAAAAAGGAAATGTTTGCCCCATTTGCATCTGCTAGGGTAAGCTGCATCTGCGAAATTTTGAATTAGATTTAGAGCTCACCATTATTTCATCCAACCTATAAAGATTCCGAGGTTCCAGTTAGTAACTTCGAGCCGTTGAAGAAAAATAGTGGTGGGGTGCACCTGTTTCTAATTTTTAATTTTGTTTTCTTTAGAAGTTTGTGAAGACAAGATTACAGTTTGTTGGTGGACAGCTGATCGGTGCAGGTACATTTAGTTATTAGAGATATAAGGTTTAATCTATTTTTTTAGGCTGGCTGCCATCGACCACATGATGCGAGCCCTATGCCCAAAAACTTGTAAATTCTGTAGATAGTAGAAATTATAGAATGGAATTGGCTAGGGATTAGTGTTTATCCATATAGTGCCTTCTAGAGATTTTGCATTTTCTCCCGTCCCCCCCTATTTCTCGGTGATCGTTTTCCGAATCGTTCCGCTCCGCTACGGGTCATCATTATTTTTCATGGTTGTGCCTTTTCTATATTTCTACGTTGCCTTTATTTATGGCTTTAACAATATCATGAACAGCGGAGATAATGGTCCCGCTTTGGAAACGACAAGTTATCACACGCATTTTAACAACACCACGGTGGACCCGTACGAAAATCGGGAAAAGGGGAAATAAAGCAGCAATATCGACAGGGGTAAATTCGAATTATTCTAGGAATGGAAGTTTGGCAAGTACACGGCAAAAATTGGTAAAATTGGCCGAAGCCTTGAATCAGAAAAGGGTGTTATTTAAAGGCTTTGAAAGTATAGGTTGGACTATGGTTATCAGCACCGGCTGTTTGATAGCAATAGAATCACACCACTTATTTGTACGCAAAAACGGAATACGGATTATAGTAATCACCCAAGGAGAAATATGACTAACATGGTGACAGATACCATCACAAAATTACTTCTAACGGCAAAACAAGGCTCCGACATTTCTGGATCCCCAATATCCGTCTGAGCATCTTCCCACGGATCAGGAGAGCAATCATGACAAAGCTGTTCACAAGGTGGACAAATCAGAACACCTTCACGTAGCCAGCCACCTCGCATCTGTCGAATTTGTATTTTCTGCCCAGCGCGGTAGCAGGGGTACAGCTTTTCGGTGCCCTCAATACCAACATGGAGCGTGCCGTTTGTACATGAATGCTAAAAGCAACGTGTTTGACGATTTGATACGGTAGCTTACCAAATAACATCCAGCCATGTATTGGGAGAAACTACGGATTTTTCCACACCTCCTTTCGGTCCACGGGCGATGCAGATTAAAGCAGCGGGACGTGTGACCGTATATCTGAAAGAGGCGGTAGACAGAAATCCTTTTTCTTCACCTCCATAGTACCATCAGTGCCTTCTTGATTTTCAACCAATTCACATCGTGAATCTCTTCGCGAACTTCCACTCAACGACTTCCATTCAAACTCTGATTGTAGGGGCAGAAGTCGGCGAGCTCAACGGAACCCCCGAAATGTCTAACACCCTCGCTATGAACGCCCGGCAATCCATCAAAGTTGCGAAATTCTAAAAAACTAACGCGTTCGTCAAAGATAACCTTATACCTTTCGGCAATTCCTTTTTATAGGGCACCAAATTGCATAGCGCCAATGAATCACGTTGAGAGGTACAGCGTGTGACAGCTAGGGATCTGCAAAACCGTTAAGGAAATCTGAAATTTTGTTACTTTTTGCCATCGTGTTTGATGTGCTCGCAAAAGGGATAGGCGCCGGAATTCCTGAAAGTAGAATTTAGCGTCCAGGGAAGCCAAGATTTATAGAACAATAAGTTGCGAACAAGACCCCTAAGACCCACCCATCCTTGCGTTGCCGAATCCAGTCCCCACAGCTTTTCTTCACAAAATCACAACCCAGATCTTGTCCCCAGTAGAGGGATTCTGCCACACTAAAATCATTGGCTCTTAGCGGAATCGTAGAAAAGACTAACTCGTAATTCGGGCGATACCATCCGGAATCCTCAAGCAGAGCGAGGGTAAGCCGGGAATATACCGGGTTTTGCGTATGTGTTCCGGTCATTGCCTCATTCTAAAAAGCGCAATTTTAATGGTCCAATATTTCCAGTGTTATTCACCTCAAACAATCGCTTCTCCCAGTGCGTAAGTGCAGTCCCTTCACCACCTTGGTTCTCCAGTTCTGCACCCTCGAGACTACAATGGCAACGTAGCTTTACGAAGCTTTTCCCGCATTACCTAGGGCAACCAAAGTGTTTGCGCGCCTCGTCGCGAACTCGAGGGGTAACCATCATTGTTACTTCGTGTAGTAACTAAAAAAATAGCTGTTTTGACCTTGAAGTGGCCCCAGCGCCATTTACTAGAAACTTACATTCCCCTGTGAAGTCCACCAGTCTGGCCGGGGAATCTTAGCAATTGTTGATTCGTCCCATTCATAATAGCCAGACTCGGCGTTTAGATGTAATGGCTTTCCATATCGGTTCCTTGATCGGAACAAATAGTTTGATGAGTTGTCTCCAAACCTTTTAGTTCGTGGTCGTCCCTGCTCATCCCTGAAGAACGCAAAAAGACCAGCCGAGAACCCAAGGGCATGTACCATTTCGTGTTTTACGGTAGATATCAACAACTGAAAAATACAATGAAAGTTGTGGTGGATTTAGATACCTCTTGATCGTGTGATTGGGTGGAAAGGGCCGATGGGCATAGGTTAACATGTCCAGCGATAGGTCTAAAATCAAAGTTGGTGAACACAGCTTCCGAAAATACCTGTCGTAGGTCTGTTCTTGCTGACAATGCGCCGCATACGCTAGAGTGTCGGCATTTTCGCACCTAAAGGCCTCGATTAAAATCTATATTTTTGATTGTACCTTTTCGTATGCTTTGCGGCTACATAAAGAATAAAATCAGCGCCCTCAACCCCTTCGCCGGCTGATCCCAAAGTTGCACAAGCATCAGGATTTGAGCAAAATTGACATTCCTAACATTTAAACATAAACTATGCAAATTCAATTACAAACCAATAAGTGTTCGGGTGGTATAAACGCTTCTCCACAAGTTGTTTGCTCTTTGCAGCCCTGAAATGAAAAATGTAATTTTAGCGAAATCTAAGCTACCAATTCACATGCCACAGTCTTCTGGTCAGGTCTAAAATAGTAGTGCTGGGTCAAGCACTTCCTCCGTAATTTGATTGGCCCTTCCGCCCGTCTTACGCTAAATTTGATTAAATTATTTGGTTTGGCTGGGCGACATACCGTAATGCACGCTCCCAAAAACCAGCAGCCTCCGGCAGCAACGAAGACTAAATAAATCTATTTAAAATGTACTTTTGGAACTTACGTTGATGTATAGCTGTTTTTCGGGTTCTAATTCCAGAACACTGTCGTCATAATGTAGATGGATACGTAATGAATGGAATTTTGTGGGAATAGTTGAACTGAAAAGACACATCAGAGCACATAAAAGGGAATACCGGATTTTCCTGTGTTTATCCTTTGAGCTAGTATATCCAATCGGCACTTCAAAGAGGACGTCTTCAACCCGTGGATTCTTAACAAATTACTGTATTGTTGTAAGTATACTGCCGTGAGTCGTAATTAGCCTGACTAACCCGTCATTTTAACAATTTTTGTACGCTAATTATTCTTGCAACATGCTAAATTAAGCCTCTATGATAACTAGCAAACCTGATATGAACAGGGAAGGCTGGCAACCGGCTGGATATTGCAGATGATATGTGTGAGGACGAGCTGGATAATAGTGAGAGCACCGATCCCCGGGTCAGCCGGTACCCAAGCCGACCGTTTTCCCATCATTACCGTTTGTCCATAGTGGCTGAAAACCATTTAATGAGTCAGCTAATCAAAGTCAATATTATTGGAAAGGTATCTATATCAAATTGAAAAATCAGAAAACGAAAAAATCCGATAAGATCTCTGGAATGGATAAGTCACACATTTGCAAAAATAACTGGTTAATAAAAGGTTTATGGATTCCGTTACAGCCCCAGAAATCAACTAATAATAATCTGTAAAATCATTAATTAAAATTATTTTTGTAAAATTTCAGCAACGAGCTAACAAACCAAATAGAAGTGAAGGTTAGGACAAATAAACTGGTTAAATCAAGAAAAGAATCCAGGAATTAAACCAAGGCTTCAAAGCTGCGATAAAAATGGCAGAAAAATTTAATTTGCCTTTTAACGCTTCGTTAAAAATATAAAATTAACTTTTTGGCTTCTTCAAAAATTTAAAAACCAAAATTCCGAGCCAAAAAAAACAAAAAAAAATCCCGAAAACTGGCGATTTTTCGTGGGCGAATTCGCGGTGTGACGTGGTTTGAAGGGGTCATCAAGAGGTCGAGAATCTGGGGGATTTCATTCAAGCGGCACAGCCGGAGGGCGGGAGTGGAACCAGGCGGAAAGATCCGGAATCGATGGACGCCCGGCCGCGGCGGCTCTCCCGGCTGGCTACTCCTCCTCCTCCTTCTCCGCCTCCCCTTTTGCGTATATTCTCTCTTATTTCAACCCATCTACCCCATTGCGCGTCCCCATCCTCCACCCCTGTCCCACATAAGTACTCAACCACCCTATCCACTACCCACTGACTACCACCCACCCCCCACCCACACATGCTGTGAGGACAAGTACCCCTTGATTGCCGTGTTCGAGCACATCCAAATTACCCGGATTAGCTTCGAATGGGCCTGGATGACCCATCCGAATAGGGCCCTTGAATTGGGGGCAGAGATGCCATAAAATGCAATGAACTGTCTAGCTAACTCTCGCCTAGCGAGCTATCTCGAGTTGTCTAACTGGTTGTCCGACACTTGCAGCATGCAGAATTTATTTTAAAGCCGCATAACCTCATTTAAATTATACTCCTAAGTATTTTTCGGTTTGAAAAACGCCCATAACTAATTTGCATCGAAAATATTTCTAAATTTGGAATTAAAGTGGCTCAGCAAAAATTTATGGTTGCCTACGAATCTGTAATAAACCCGGATTCTTTCGATAGCAGGATTTCCATCTTCGACCTATGAAAATTTTCTAAAGTTCATTGCCTTAAGCGAACTACTGTGGAAACAAATATTCTACAACGGAGCGAAATGGGTAATTCCTGAAAATTGAGACTGAAACCCCTAACAGATTGACACACTGAAGATGACATAACGCCCCCTAAGCCATCGAAATTGCTGGATCATCGCAAATCCAGGATCAAGTTCACTGCTCCCAATAAATTTTGAACCTTGGGGATGGTATGTATTCAAAAAAGACGGTGATTTGGAACAATATTCGATGCATTAAGATAATTGAAAATTTAAGCGAAACAGAACACCGACTGGCAAATTTAGATTTTTATGTTTTTAGTTTCAGGTAAAACTTTAATAATACAAACCTATAAAACGAGCCAAGCTATGGAGAATATCATGATTGTGATAATTCCTGGTTACTTTAAGAGCCGACTAGAAATTGGCACCGTACGACAAAACAAAAGTGGAACTGCCTATTCTGCGGGGGAAGAAAAGGAGGGACCGGCCGGAAGTCGACGCGGGAATTTGTTTGTTTTGTTTAGCAATTAAAGCGTTCCCCCACAGGCTATTGTCCTTCCGCAAATCAACATTGCTCGCCGACAAATCGGCTGTAGAAGCAATCCGACAGAAATGCGTCTCGATTTTTGTTAAAAAGTTTGCGAAGGCAGGCGTTGAATGGAATTGTATCCACAAATACTAGGAAATCCTATTTTCAATTGAGCCTGTAGTTGTCACCATCCCGATTTTAGTGGGAATGTGGCCACGGCCGGAGGTAGGCCGAAAGCATAAATAATAAAATTAATAGGCATAGGAAAGTTGGGCAGGTGTCAGAAGCAGAAGGCGAGAAGCCAAGGTAATTGGATGTGACGCGAGGTGAAGGGAAAATGACGAGGGTTCTTTCCAGACAAAATATTCGAAATAGTCTGACATAAAGCCATCCCGGAAATCGAGTTTTTGGTTGAAAATGGATATCGTTGTATCTTTAATAGATTTTTCAAAGTTTTTAGGCTTGGGAATGGTCAAAAATAGCGTATAACTGTGCATCTATTGATATTAGCGAAATCGGTTCAAAAAAGTTCAAGGCCACCTTGCCCGGGACATTAAAGAACCTAAAAGAAGATACTCATCAAAGATCAAAAACGTGTTAATAGCGTGCAAAGGATTGTAGAGTGCGGGTATATGAACAATGATGTAGAGGGTGGAGGCAATGTAGCCGGAAGGCTTGGTCACTAGGCCCTAGGCGTTCACTCAAGCGGATCCGGTGTTTGGGTGAGAGGGCCAACCCTTGGAGTCTGTGTGTGTGCCAGTAATTACTCGACAAACACCACTCGGTCCCCCCTTTCGAGCACAAGCACGGATCGTCTACCGTCTCTGCATTGACCGCGGATTGTCGACCCCTGAAGGCGGCCCGAAACTTCCTGGAACTGAAGCGTGAAGGGGGTGGGGATTATCCTTAAAGCGTAGCTTCGGGCATTGCTGCATATCTATGTGCGTAGAGGCTGAGGCCGAGAGAGATGAGTAGGTGTAGACGTCAGACCCCGAAGCTTGTCCTTTAGGTTGCATAAAAGGCTTGACTAATACTAAGAGGACCTGCCTACTCTAGATCGGCTTTGACCGACTTCTAGAAGTGAATGCTGCGCGCAGCTTATGGCTAATGTCAGAGGCCCGGATTTTCGCAACATCGTAAGCTTCAATTTTCGTCACAATACCGAGGTTTTATTAGTCCAAACGAATCTAATGCTGAATTTTTATAATGTTTAATTACCGTAGCGTCGAATCGCCCTGATACCAATTTATGTGGATTTTAATGGAGTTTGGTCAAGTCTATGTTGGTAGTGCATATTTTGCATGTGAAATCTAGGATTTCTTTCTTTCCTCAATTGTAAGGGATGAATGTATGAAATTTTCTAAATTCGGTATTATTAGATTCCAGCGTCATGACATGTTGGTTATAAAAATTGGGAAATGCATACGATCCGAGAGAAAGAAAATAGCTTTTTTTTGCTCACCTTTTGGTTGATATGGAATGTAAAGGTAAGTGAAACCCAATACTGAAGATTTTTAGGCATAACTTTATGAATAAAGTGTTTACTCCTAGTACAAACCTGGCAGCACCCCACATGGTTCCTCCAAACTTTCGTCCACTTTTTGGATCCCCTCAAATATTCCTTGGTCGAGATATCCGACCCGTCAACAGCCCCGGATAGCCTAACAAATCATCCGTATAGTCGTTCTTATATCTGTACCTATTTGGGTATGAGGAGGTAATAAGAGCCCTCGTAATACACCTCTTGGGGCCCCCTTTCTACCCTCAATATGGGCCATGCGGTTGGCGCCAAGATGATCAGCTTCGGATTCTGTTTCATATCGCTCGTTTGTTGATCCATAGGCACGCCCATTTATTTCTTGGGCTTTATTTGTGGAGAGAGCTGTAGTGCGGGCACATGATCGGCGGCGGCTCAGATTTTAGATTTTGTTAGAAGCTGCCAAGAAAAACCAGATGAGATTTTTGGGTTTGTTTTGTTTATTGAAGATTCAAACATTTCTGTGGTTCTAAAATTACTCAACTGTGATCCGGCGTGGGGCATTCTAAAAGGCGAATTATTCAAGTCTAGCCTTTTACTGGTGCTATAACGCATTTTTGTAGTTTTTTGTAGTTATTAACTATCCAAAACCAAAAAAAGTTTATCAAAAAATTTAAACAAATTAGGAAATTTTGACTGTTTCCTTGTCGTTTTGATAAAATAGGCATATACGAAAAGCTTCGTATTTCTTTGAATGATATACAGAAAAGCGTTCTAAAAATCGGACCGAAATGGTCTGTATTTTATTATGGGGACTGGGACGATAGAGGAGAGTTAGGTACTCCCCTCTAGTACACTAGTACCGTTCTTACTGCCCAATGATCACCCTTCTGGCGAAACCTAACCAAACGAAATTGCAAAACTTTATTTATTCTGCCACCCACCCCCCAGCTTCTTTACCGCAACACCCACCCCTTGGCCATTACTCATTTCTGTTTGGCCTCACCTCGACCACCTTTCATTCCGAAAACCCGTGTACTCCATTAAACCTAGCGTTGCGTCGGTGAGTAAGAAATTGGTCTGGAATCAGCCTTGGCATTCATCTAGCGATCCCGGTATCATTGTCGGCTCTCGTTTATGTAGCCCTGCCTTCCCCATCCATCTCTACTACTTGGTGCCTCTCCCGCTATGTAAATACCGTTGTTTGCCAACCCTTTTGCCCGCCTTAATGCACTTCTTTCCCGCGCGGATGCCCAGCTGATTTTCAACCCCGATTCAATCCGGCCCGTAGGTCCCAGTTTCGACAGTCGAAGATGGGCGCTTCAAGGGCGTTGTCATGCTGTACAAGGAGTGTTCTGGCGTTGCTCAATTTGGCAATGATGGTATGTACTATTTTTAGGAATTTTGAAATTTTAAACATGATTCGCCATTTCAAGTGGATCTAATAACAATTTTATTTTTAACATTGAAAATTCCATTTTCATCTATGCTTTTAGCTAGTTGCTCTTGCTGCATTGGCCTTGGCCATCTGGATCCGATGCGATGGTAAGTTTATGCTCCAAAACCCTTAAAATGCCATTCATATTTCTATTTTAGTAGCCAAATTCAAATTTTTACATGCAAAACACATATAATTTCTATCTTCTAGATTCCTTCGAAGAATCACTACGCGCTGATCTTTTGGTGAAAGGAGAACCAGAGCCGATGGGCAGCCTAAAGCATGATTTCCGAACCTGGGTTGGTTGTTCTTCCCAATTATAAAAATTGAACTCATCATGCAGATCACCGTCAGCTTTTGGGTGATCGTTGGCTTCTGTATTGCATGCGCAATCATCGGCCTCGCAGGGCTTTTGGGAGCGGCTGCTCGGTATAAACGCACAGATAATATTCTATTTATTATACCAGATCTCGTTGTCTGGCAGCGATTTACTTCCTTGCTCTTCTCATTGTCATCCTATTGGAAATAGCCATTGGGATTTTTGTGTTGGTCGAACGGCACAAGGTGGGAAACCGTTCGAAAGAGGATCAAAAGCGACTTTAGGTGAGGGATGCGGTGAAGGAGTATGTGCAAACAGCCTTCCAGCAGAATACTCAGGATCGCTCGACTATCGAATTAAGAGTAAGCCTTAGACTATCCCTTAAAGAAGGACTGGGGGGCGGGGGGGATGGAACCGTCAGCCACAGCTACACCGGAGGGGGGGGGGCGCCCCACCCAAAGGAGGGAGGGCCTGTCACAGGGGGGGGGGGGCCCACCAGGTGTTGGGAGGTAGGCCCCTCGAAACCAAAAGAAACGCAAAAATTGAACCGTGCAAAATTTCATGATTTTTTCCAGTACACCTGCTGCGGCATCGAAAATTTCCCCAACCCACAATGTAATGGACTGCTGGTAAGCGATTTAATTAAAAGCTTTAAAAAATCGAGGGGTAGTGGTTACTAAAGGTGCGTTGCGTTTTGTTAGTTTTTGCAAAACCGGCTAGCAAAAGCTGAAATATGAAGCCGAGACCCGGGCAAATATTTGGGGCGCCACGAATTCACTCAGTCAACCCCTGAAAAGCAGGGAGTCTTTTTGGCCGCGCGCTGGCACCTGGGCTGTGATTTTTGGGGCTTAACTTTGCTGGCGAACCGGTGGTATAGTTTTTGGATAGAAAGAAATACGATGTACACTTAAAAATTCATTTTAGCCAACTTGTTCATCAGCCGTCTGGGATCGTCTTGACTATACCCTAATGGTATTTGGAATTTCCATGATAGCTGTCGTGTTCTGTCAAATACTTGCTGCTCTCACCGCCCTCCTTCTCGCCCTCACCCCCTCAATCTATGCTCAAGCCTGATTCTTTCATACGTCAAGTTATTTATTTGCCATCATTTCACACAATGGACCAGAGATTTTTGTAAATATGGAGACACACCAAGAATAGCAATAAATCGATCCGCTAACGAATGAGCACACCACACAATGGCGATTGAAAGACTTGGATCCAAATGAGACATGATGAGGTCATTTCTGGGGGAATGGGGATGACACGAAAATGTGTCTACACGAAAGATGCTCACCATTTGGTTTTGCATCTGGGAAGGGTATAGCCAATGTGGCCTACATGCCGCGCATTTCGTAGCATACGCCGCCGATTGGTACCTCCGGATATGGGCAGCTTCGTTCTAAAATTCGAGTGGTAAATTTCGTTTATTTTTAAAAAAAAATTACCGCATCGCTTTATCAGTTTTCCGTTGTGTATTCGGGTGACAAGTACAGCAAATCCTTCACAAGGCCCTAAAAACCGTATATAGGTTTTCGGCGAATCCTGCGGATAGCTAACTACCTTAAAAATCAATTTAAGAAATATTTACGTTTCCGTCGAATGTCATGCATCTTGGTCGAGCAACAAATATGAGCCCCATCAACGAGCGACCTTACGCAGCTATATCCAGTTGGGCACGTTCTAAAAGTTTTCAGGCTTGGAATTAAAATAAATAAAATCTTACCGGCCACTGCGATTCGAGCATAAAACAGGAGACTGGGTGGATGGATGTAACAATGGTTCACCCCGCGCACATTCTGTCGTCGTAGCCCTAGAGATAAATAGGATAACGATAGATTACACTGTTATATCAAGGAGCAAGTTTTTAAAGCACAACTTGCAAACCTTAACGACGCGGCAGTACCCTGGCTCGTCGATGCTGAATTTGTAGTGAAGCTCGAGGTAAGGGTCGGCAATGTCCTGAAGCATAATTACAAAATTATAAGCCTATTTCAACAAGAGACGGCGCGATAGAAGAGGAGAAAGCAAAGCCATACTTCTTCAGGAAATTCGAAACCAACGAATTTGATTCTGCCGATGAGGGAAGGGTCGGTAAGGTGGTACCACTGGCCGCGGAGCAGCACACATATTTACCATAACTAAATTATTCTCAGAATTTTGAGAAAGAGGATTTGTTCTTACCTATATAAGCACTCATATCCTTGTGGGCACTTTGTGGAGAAGCACTTCTGCGGTTGACCGTTGACCAAATATGCAGTACGCTTTGGCGGGCAGGCTAAAGTAAATTTCTCTAATTTTAATGTTGCTAAGGGTTACTACTCGTCTTTTTATATTTTCTTCCGCGAATGGTGGTGGCGACGGTCGGTGGGGTACCTTCGATGATTGAGCAGCAAATATATTGCGTTCTTTTTGAGTTGATTTGGCATTCGTAGCCTGGGAAAGGAAGGTTAGCAATGCTGATATACAGGGTGTCCCAAAAAACAAGACCCCCCAAAAATTTGAGCCAGAGGGCACCTACGGAGTTGAAAATTTGCGCAGAGGTAGCGAAGCCATTCCCATTATATGGAAAGTTTGAGCGCTATCGGCCGGCGGGTTTTAAAGTTATAGCGAAAATACTTTTCATTTTTGATCTAATATATAGGGAATCTTTGCAACTTGCATCAAAAACATGCGTTATTCTTGCGTTTACGAGCGGATTTTGCATAAATTTTGCCAAAAAATGCCATTCTCTTGCTGAAGCTTTTGGAAAACGATTGCTCATGTATCGTGAAAACGATCAGCAAGACCGCTGAGTACAAGATACATTGGTTGAAACTATCGTTCAGCGCCTGAACATCGCTTAGACTTTGGACTGACTTCAACCCAAGCCCAAATCTAACTTAGCACCAATTAGAAGCTCATCGAACTCTGTTTCGGGGCTAGCGGGAAGCAGCCTGCTAATATGCACAATAAGGCGTGGTTTGGATCGATAAAACAGTTGTTTTCACACTCGTTTTCTCTTCATCGCAATCGTTCGCGCCATGCTCCAGTAAGAGAATGGCATTTTTGGCAAAATTTATGCAAAATCGGCTCGTAAATGCAAGAATAACGCATATTTTGATGCAAATTCAAGATCCCCATATTAAATTAAAAATGAACTATTTTCGTATAACTTTAAACCCGCCGGCCGTGGGCTCAAACTTCCATTCATGGGAACTGGCTTAGGCAACCTCTGTGCAAATTTTCAGCTCCGAAGGTGCCCTCTGGCCCAAATTTTTTGGGGGGGGAGGGTCTTTTTTTGGGACACCCTGTAGTTTCAGCGCTACCTTTAGGACAATTGCTGTCACCCATTCTTCTGCACGGGACCACCCTTCCAGTATCGTCATCAAGTAACACCGTCGCGGACGGAACCGAACAGGTATGGTGGGTTGCTATGCATAAAAACACCAATCCATAATTTATCCAGTGTCTTACCTTTAGTAGAGATTGAATGGATGCATTTTCCATTGCGCTCGGTCATACCTTGCCTGAAACGGTTATGGGCGGTCATGAATTTTTTCCTCTGATTTAAGCCTTCTTTTATAATATTAGATGCATTTTAAGGCTGTGTTATGGAAAATATGTTGAGTAACATTTGCTTACTTGCAAACACATAGACCCTGCGCGCAAGTTGCTCCATCTGGGCATTGCTGCTGTACCGTACATTTGTCCTCGAGACCGACAATCGGTAAACACATACCACCAGCCATTATCTCGCGCTCCTGGCAGTCTGGGGGTGCTGTAAAGAATTGGACTATCAAGTCCCTTGAAAACTCACCAATCTCCTTTTGACAGTATTTCCCAACATGCGAGGTTCCTTTCGGACATACACATTCCCCAGCTTGACACAACGAACCACCAGCTAAATTGTTTTTGAAGAGTTATATTTTATTTCATAATCCATACCACACTGCTGCATCGATTCACATTTCTGGGTTGGGTATGCTCGATCTAAACATCGTCCGTCCACCGTAACCTGATCATCGGTACAATGTTCTAGGAGAATTAGATATCCTATTTAACGTAGAGTTTTAGATTTACCGATCCTAGCTGTGCAACAAGTGTGATGACCAGCTACGGTGCGTAGACACGCGAAGCCTGCTGGGCATTGCGATTGACCGACCTTAATAACGGCCATTGGGAAAATTAGTTAAATCCAGGTACGATAATATATTGGGATCTTATAGCTTCGGAGAGAATTTATATTTTTTTCAACGTACCACGCATTTCTCAGCTTCTCCGGAAACGCCGATAAAAGCTACGCCTTCTTCGGGGCAACCTAGGTGCATAAATCAAAGATAGAAAGCAGCTTCATACCGGCGCTAACACCACAACACTGGAATTGGTTATTCGGGTTGCTGAACTGACAGAAGTATCCGGCAGGGCAGTTCGTTGCCCCGGCGGTGCAAACCCGGACTGTGCCAGTTTCGCGGTAAGCGACTTGACCCGACGGGCAACCATCCGCTAAAAATCCGTTTATTAAAACGCAGTATAAGTGAAAATCTACAATCATTGATGCTTACCTGCTCTTGGTTGCACTGGAGCGCTGGAGCCGCAGCATTGATATCGTTGATTGGCGGTTGACCATTGGCAAGTGAAACCCTCGGGACATGGGGCATTCGGTGGGTTGAATGGGTCACATTGGCCTGGTTCTGATCCAACCAGCCACACAAAGTTACCGGGTGGGCAGCCATCTAGCATGGTTGAATGCTATATCACCATTTTTGCTGTTACCTGTAACTGGTCTGGCCACTAATACGGATGATCCCCGGCAACAGAAGCCTTCTGTGGAAGAAGTGTAAGACCTGAGTAAAACGGCTCAAAGCGAAACTTGGACCAATGTTAAAATGATAACATAGCTATTTTGACATCAAGAGAAACCACGAAAAATCAAACCTGCACAAAAAACCAGAAGGACAAGACACGTAAGCGCCCATAGTACAGGCTCTTGGAAGGTGTGAGGATTCGTCGACCAAATATTCTGCATCGTCCGGGCAGATAGCTACAAAAAATATCTCCACAAATTTTGGTTGAATTACAATTGGTAGTACAGCAGAATCCTTGGAACGCCTCAGGCAGATAGCTCTGGCATGAATATCTGAAAATTCTGCCTTTTTATTTTTTAGTTAACTTACCCATCAGCACATTGTTCTTGCTTCCCAATGGTACATTTAACGGGCGCTCTTGTGCGAGTATCTTTATAAAGGAACCGACCGGTAGGGCACATACCTAAAAATGTGGAGTATAAACCACCCGAAAAATCCACTCACGATCTTTGATATGGCTGCAGCAATAATATTTGTTCTTTTGAATGTTGAAACGGCATAAGTAATTAGCCGGGCAAGAAGCTTCCAGATTAATGAGACATTCTCGTGGCGACATCGATAGAACGTCAACAAACGCTTTTTCACCGTCCGGGCAAACGCCTAAAATAACATGGCTTTTTCGAATATTTAGCTGACCCTGTTCAGTGGCTCCACAGCATACATGTCCATTGGTTAATGGATTAAAAGTGCACTCATAGCCAGGCGGACAGCTATTGGATAAAGCCTAAATGCGGTGTATTAGATTTTAAAGCCTCGAAACCTCATTGCATTCAATCGGCAGTTGAGTGTTTGGATCAATATAAGCTATATTTCCAGCTGGGCACGCTGGATTTGAAAAAATCATTGGTATTTATGAAAATGAATATACCGTTGCTCATGCAGAAGTTACGGCACTGTGTCATCGTCAGGAAATTGTTGTGGTTTGCATCACAGCCTCCGAATTGGAATGAGGTACAAGATCCTTAATATTTTTCAAGTGAAAGAAGAAAATATTATCACAAACCTGTTACGATGTTAAAATAGTAGCGTTGAACCGGTTGTGCCCCGCATTGGGTTCCGGTTTGAGGTGGAAGGGAGCACATGTGCCCTAGACAACATTTAGAAAAAAGCAGATTTTGCTACCTCTTGTCGGGCAACATCTATGGATTGTGCTCTGGCCAACCAACACTGGCATACATTCATGGGTATCCGGACAAGATTCCTGAAATACAAAAACCTTAAGGAAATTATGAAATTCCCGAACCTGTGAGGAGCATACAGTAATTTGGCCAAAATGGTCTCTATGTGGTGTACCGCCATTAGGGCATCCTTAATTATGATTTTAGGTCATTGCGTAATACTGATACTCACCACCAACGGAACAATAGTGTTCGCAAGTTTCTCTAGTAGCAAAATTATTTGAATTACCTATAAAGCGATGATTTTTAGCTATCAATTTAAAAAAGCTACCATCGCATCCATTATACTGAAAACTATCACAATTCTGGCTTTGTGTATTGTAGTAAAATTTAAACGTCGACCCTGCGCCACATTGTATTCCAGGATCGGCAGCCAGTGAACAGGTGTAGGCTAAAAATCTATAAAAGGAATCAAAACAGTTTCCAACGTTTAGTCGGGCAGCAGCCCCACTGGTTTCCATCAAAATAGCATTCATGATTTTGAGGGCAGCCCTGTCCGTTCTGACAAGTCACAAAATTTCCATAAACATCTTTGTAGGCTTGGCCCTGGATGCATTTTGGTTCAGCTAAAGAGCACATTAGCACTAAATAGTTCCCTTACGAATTGCATTTTTGCAGAAATTCTGGCAATCGAGGATCGTGGCGAAATTGTTGTCGTTGCCCTAAAAAACATATTATCCACAAGCTCAAGGTTTACCTGGCAGCCGGTGTATTCAAACATCTGGCATTGACGTGTTTTGGCGTTATACCAATACCTAGGAACAGATTAGCTTCAGCTTTTGTAAATAAACCTTTTAACATTTTCGGTGCAATCGCCGACTCTGAGGGGTTGGGCACAAATTGTTTCTAAGGGAGTGTTCAAGGCAGATTAGATGCAGGCTTACGTTTTCTGGGGCAACAAACGCCTTGTTCCATCTTACATTCGTGAGAGGAAGGGCATTGTGCTTGGGCATGGCAGCGTTGAGCATCTTCGCCGACTCGTAAGGGTGTGCCACGCTCGCATTGTACTAAACAGCATTGTTATTCTGATGGCTAATTTAGGTCCAATTACGTCTAGCGCAGAACATATCACATTCGTGTTTGGAGAGGAAGTTGTTGAAATTGCCTCCAGAACCGCGGAAGACAAAATCTTGGCACCTATCCGGAAGTTATTGATTGTTAAAGTGTGAATACCTTCCCAGTGCTGGATCGTAGTAAAAACGAATGCTTTCTTTTCCAGTGTTCACAAGGAATCCTGGGTGGAACACCGTTGATCTAGGCGAGAGGTCCATCGCACGTCCACCGCGAGTCGAGCAGATTGATCCTGTAAGGTTTGAAGGTATACTTGAGCAATAGTAGATAAATAATAACACCACTTTTTGATCGGAGGAAAGAACGGCCAGAATATTTTACCTGGGGTTGGGCAGCATAGGTGTTGACTGCCAACTGCTGTACACGCAAAATCGTTGGCACACGAGGTTGATGCTCCACAGGCTGTGACAGCGCGCTCCTATACGGTCACGATATACAGCAGTTCTTCAGAATTTTTGAGGCTTTCAGATTTTTGACCTTTTAGTGAACAAATGCTGAACAAATGCTGGTTTGTGTATCGCTGGGGAGCCGCTAAAATTTTAGGTAGCATAAAAAATTAAAGGCACCCTTTAATAAAATTATCTTCATCACATTAATTTAAGGATATAAACCCTTTGATTTGTTAGAAACTACGGTAATTAAATAGATCAAGGTGTGAGCTCTTTTCCGTTTGACCACCCATGTGAATCGCTCAGGGTGGTCTCGCCACGACTGGGCAAATTTCTGGGTGGTCCCTGCACAGCCACTCCCAACCAGCTTCCCAGCCCGGCCCCTCGGCCCATTCCCCATAACACCTGCGCTCCTTTTCCATGGTTTCATCCCGGGTTTTTCATCAAATACGCCCTTAACCAGTTTTTACTTGTAAAAATGTGTTTCCCACGTTTTAGCTAACTAAGGTCTTATTATGAAAGCAAACCTGCTGTATCGACGGAGCCGTGTCTGCCGTATACTGTGGGGCACCGCGCGTGCATGCTAATTTTATCATATTATAATTCATTTCAAGACTTACTATCCCTGCAATAACTCTCGCAATGCTGAATCGTGCGGAAATTATTTGCGGAGTGATGACTGGCCGAGCTGGCGGCTGGGTCCCACATGAATTGTTGGCAGGTGCCAGTTACTAGCGTAATTTTTAGATTTTGGAAGAAGTTAAAATGTACCTGTATTGTACCACCATCTGGGCTCGGTCGGGTTTGGTCCGGTGACTTGTGGTTGGATGCAAGCCAATGCTAAAAATCGGTTTAGAAAAGGCATGCCGCCAAAAATTTCCGATTTCAGTTTCTTGTTAAAATTAGCATCTGGAATTAGCAAATAATTAGCATATTTAAAATTATTTCCTTTTTACTTGTTCGTTGTATTCTTGACACTACGATTAGCATACTCCAGCCGCAAAAAAAGTATTTCTAGCTTCCTACCTCGTGAAGGGCAACAGACTCCATCAGCCGTCGCCGAATAATGCGACTGCGGAAATTCTTTTGCCAACGTTGCCTAAACCAAAATTCGTTTACCCTATGCAATGCTAACCAATGGAGATGTATGAATACAGTCATAAAGGTCTCCAATAAATTCGCCAGTCGAAGGCCAAATGCAGCCACCGCCTCCGGTCAGGCCTAAAAATAGGTTTCAATTTTTCCTTTTTGTTTTGGCAATAAATCATTTAGCTTCCTCACCTTGGACTGGTTCGATAGGTTGTGAACTTCCCACAGTACAAGCCACCGGAAATCCATTAAAATCAGGGGCTGGATCGTTGATGGCTGAAACCATTCAAATTTTGACGAATTTTCCATGGTTTTGCGTACAGAGGAGAAGTAGCAAAGAAGGGTTAGCTAATGGCTGCCAAGCTTACTTTTCTTAAAATGGACTTTATCGTCGAGGGCTGAATGGTTGGGTATTAAGTGAGTTGCGGAGTTTCGGGAGCTTACCGATCTTGAAGCCGGCGCCTTCGGGTAGTGGGCATACAAAATATAGAGGAGCACTTCCTCCGGTTCCTTGGTCACGCATGGATACGCAAACCCAACCGTCGCGGGTCTCTCGAGCGATATGGGTGGCTTCTGAAATTGTCAAATATAATATTTATATGACTCATATTTTTGCTATATTTATGCCGAATAAAATTCAAAGCTATGAATTAACAATAACTTTATGTGCAACCAAATAAACCAACCCGGACATTTACATGTACCAATCGAACTTTCCATCGAACAACGAGCCCCGGGCCAAACCGCCTCACATTGCACATCATACGTACAACCCGGCTGATTTGGATTAATCTCTGGAACTTGAATAAAAACAGAAAATACAACGACGTACTTTCATAACAATACGATTCCCGCATAATATATGTGCTCAAACATGAGCAGACACCGCCCGAACAGTACATTCCCTGATTTTGAATTTTGTGAATCATTTCAACAACTTACATTCAAACAATCAGTGTTGTATTGACAAATATCTCCAACACGTCCGCTGCCTAAGACCCTTTGAAAGTATTTTGCATCTCAAGCATACCCGAAACTGACGCCTGCATGAAAGGTTGGTGCAGTGGATCTACGCAGCCCTTTTTCTCCTACAAATTCTTAAAACACAAATATTGCCTTCAGACTTGGAAATAAGTGCCAGATGTGCATTCCCTCAATACGAGCACATTCGTATTGCATTCAAGGAAAGCCGTCATTGATTTCGTAATTAAACTGGAAAGCAAATTAAAAGGCTAGTTGTTTTTGTTTACTTTGTTGATGGGTCGCAGTACATCATAGGTGAAATTTGATGTGACTGACACTCATCACCGGCTCGTTCAAATGTATCGCAGTCTTGACATAATCTTCCTTCACAGGCAAAGGTGATGTTGATAAAGGCGAGAAGTAGGCCCAGGACCCAGCCTAGGGCCCATCTTAGCCCGATATTCATGGCCTTAGAAAAGATAGGCTTTTTCTGAAATTGTAATGAGATAAGGCTTGACTTTAGAATATGTGTGAATACAAAAAAGAAAATTGTTGTTGACTGTCTTGCTATAAATAATGTAGGAACAAAAATAGAGATAATAATTTTCAGTAATATAAATATGCTATGTAAAGGGTTTTCGAAGACATAAAAACGTGGCAAATCCATCAAAGTTTGTGATATGATCGCACAGTAAATTAGAGTATAGTATATTGTAACTGGCACTGGAGTTAAAAATAGGAATAGCCATTCCATTTATGGATTTGACTAGTATAATCTTTAAAAGATATGAATTTATTCTTAAATTAGGTCCTGATCTTATTTTGGAAACGGATCAATACACAATTTAAATTAGCATCCTCCATACGGGAGGTCGGTGAAACGCGGATTGCCGAATTTTAGAAGAAATACGGTAATTAGTGTAAGTTGAACGAACAATGAATGTGAAAGGGCCCACCAGGGGTGGTCCTTACAGCCGCCGACTATTGTGGCCCCCTTCAAGAAGCCGATCTGCGCCTCAGGGCGGTGATATCTCTTCGGGATTGCAAACAGTGCAATTGGCCCCCCTTCTTCTCGTCTCGATTCCATTCAGCTCCTCCCGCCCTATCAATTCGGATAGAGGAGGGAGGATATTTGTGGAGGCTGGAGAAGCCCCTTTTGGGGACCCGCGATCGAGTGGCCTTTTGACACCTCCTCCAGACTGCACAAACACACCCGATATCCCCCTCAATTCCTCGGAGGGCGATTATCACCACCGCCGGAGGGGGATCCAGATTGGTGTCCCGGTTCATTGGGAATCGAGGGATTTAGGATGAAAATGTGTGATTGCAGGGGTTTTAGGACCGATAATCGGGATAAGTATACGTATGGTAGCACAACATCCGCATCCTGAATTTATAAAATTGGTTCACACTATAGCAACGTCCATCCGCCTTTTAGAGATCCTTGGCAGGCCCTCGGCACATTCGCCGCACTAAGGAGAGGGGTTTCCCACCGTTTTTCTCACTTTCCTGCGCAAAGCACCTTTCCTTAGTACATCGGACGATCCCCGATGGGCCTATCCGGGCAGCGCGTTCTAGAAAACTGAACTATACTATATCGTGATGGGCCGATTCTATAGCATTGGGAGGTATATTTTTGTTGAATTAGCTACTTTAAGCTGCTTTAGTTAATTTAGCTGCACGGAAGATTCCACATAAAGTATGATAAATGTTGGCAAGAACTTTGGTTCATAATCGGTGATTTTAATGAAGAAGTAACCGGAAGTGGTTTTCATACATTTTTTCCGCAATACATTCGCCAGGCTTTTCACTGCGCCTTCGCTAACTTTGTTTCATTGATAAATCAAACTCCAGATCAACCCATTGCCTATTTGTTAACGACTGCCGTATTGTCCCCCCCCATCAACATTCCAATAATGAACTATCATGGCTCGGGCGCGGCGCTTCTATTTGTCGACTCGAATATTTGCCAGTGTGGCGAATTGACAGGGGCCGACGACAATCCCATTCCCATCCAATGATTCGCATGTTGCTCGGCATACTGGTGGTGTGGCTCACGATTTGGTTGAAGCACCACCACAAGCCTCTTCTTCGTCCCCTTTTCCAAAAGAAGGCGCGGGCTCAAATACACGTGCCCTGATTCACCCCTCGAAACCACCGGCCCCTTGAATCGTCTAAGCGAGCATCATCGTCTTTTGGTTCCATTCGATGCGTATTTAGATTTTTCAGACTCGGAATAGCTGAAACAATGATCTTTCCATTCCTCAGTGGTGCTCAAAGTTCTCTTTGCTTTTGAGCTTTCATACTGGTATGCACCGAGAAGGTCAATATTTTTAGAACCTTACGGCACCCTTCAAGCCCATTTCTTGGCAGCTGCTCCTATTTTTCCACGTACCGCATCAGTATTGACAGCGGGGAATTTTTAAACCTCCCCGGCTTTCTTTATTGATTCTGTTTTTTGAAGATGGTAAAGTCTGAATTCGAAGTCACGTAAAAACAATGAATTTATAAGTTCATGAATTTAGCGTTTTCACAATTAATTATCTTTCAGTTTTTGAGATTCCGTGTCATCGGGGGTTCAAGAACTAGCAAAAAATTCTTGACAACGCCTACGACCATGCCACGTTGAAAGCACGGCATCCCGTCTGATCTGCCAAGTTAAGCAACGTTGGGCTCGGTTAGTACTTGGATCTGAGACGGCCTGGGAATACCGAGTGTCGTAGGCTTTTTGCTTTTCTAATAGTTAGTCGCGTTTCTCATATTTTTCTAGCCTTTGATTAGTAGGCGTAGTTTTTCTTTTAGCAGTTTACCACGCGCTACTTAGTTTCGTTAGAAACAGAAGATCACGAATTCATGATAATGAGCAGGCTTCTTTTTCTAAAAGCGTTTCAATAGAGTCCTCTTGCCTCACACGTTCATCCTTCCATTCCATGCAATCATCTGCCATTGGCTGGATCGTTAGAGTGATGATGAGTGGTCGATGACGATCTGTAGAGTGGGATCAGAGGGTCTCATTCTTCTTTCCTTCTTCTCTTTGGAGGGCAGTGTTTTGACGTGGACGTGCGGGCACTTGAGAGCCGCTTCCGGCCTTGGTCAAGCCATGCTTGCCCTAGTCCTAGTCATCTTTCCCCCCGCTCTTTCTCTCGCCGTTGACCGTGTCTCTTTTGCGGCTCAACCAAAAGGGGAGATGGCCTCCTTTTCTTTTGCGCCCATGTTCCTTTTCCTTCCTTTTTTGGTTGGGCGCGCAGTTGGTTCGTTTGGGTATGGCCCAAACCCGGATGGAGATTCGGAAGATTTTGAAAGACTTCCTTGCAGTTTTTAGATTTTTGGGATTTCGATGACCATAATTTTCGTGCGTCTTTCATCCTATATTAGTGGAAATAGGATCTACTAAAATACAAATTTTCTAAGTATCTTTACGCCAGAACTAAACTCTTTTCTCCGACTAATTAAATTCATGGACAAAACTGAACGCCTAAACCTTGACCGGTCTGCGTAGCTCCTCCCACACCTAACATCCAGTCTATTGGTAGGCAAGTAACATTGAAGGCAGTCTAAATGATGCTAATCGACCGGCAGGTCGGGGCTGAACACCCTCACACTCCGTTCTAGCGTCCCGTTTCTCCTCTAAAGCGCCATTCCCTCTTTATCCCTGCTCACCCCCATCCTGCCATCGTCTACTTCCCTCGTTCCACGATCGTTTGCTTCACTTTTCAGTTCTTCTCAACAGGCTCCGCTCCATTCTTAGCTACCTCCTTTCTCCCTCAATATGATCGAGAGCTTGCTACCTAGGTCGGTAGTCAGAGTATTTCGTCCGTATCTATTGCTCTTTATAACGTCTTATGGTTTTTGATGATTAAAGCGGCGGTTCCGGGCCGTATTTTTACTATTAGGCTTTTTGTCATTCGTTAAAATTTTTTGTGAAGGTTGGAAACCTGATGAATCAGTTTTTCGATACGATTTTGAGCCTCATCTATCCGTATCTATATTTTCACATTGGTTTGAGTCGGGACTTTAATTTATCACGACCTATGTAAATCATTATTACCTGGATTGTTCTTCAAAATTCTCGAACATGTTCGGCCAGTTTGTTTATTTCTTTCGCTAAAGAAACTAAGGTCTATTAAAAATAATCGCATTGCTTGAAGAATTAAGTGTTTATCTAGATAAGAATCATGAATCAAAAACAATCAATTCCTCAAGTATAGGTTCCCAGAATGATCACATCCCCCAATGTATCTGCCGGATTGTACATACCTTTCTTCTAATCCAAACACCCCTTTTGGTGTGATTAAAAAAAATACCACCACCGACGAGCTTTGTAAACTGTAATTAACGTAAATGTAATCTAAAATCTATTCCAAAAATCCGGATAAAATCTGCGACCATGGGTAGCGGCTACTGGATCGGTTGCAGTCAACAGTCCTCCTCTTTTTTCCCTTTTTCCGTTATGGTGTGCTGGTGGTAGAGCCGTTGGCAGATGGTGGCTAGTAGATATGAAGGGATGGAGGAAGGATGTGGGCAGGGAAGGCTCTCCAAGGATGGAAGGCTTCTTCTATCCCATTCCATTCCATCGCCCCTTCCTCCAACCAACACACTACCGACAAAGCACTCACTTCAAAATGTTCTCATTTCTCCACGAAGCTGTGTGTATGCGGGGCCGGCCTTTGCCCATGTTACGCTCTTTTCCACAAGGCCGCACCCAAATTTTTGGGAGGTTGCTGCCCCCCACTCACCGATTTCGAGGATTCTATTTTTCGATTCAGCCGAAACAGTAACCCGCAATGGGAAACCTAGGACCTTGGAAATTCGAAATTCTTTCTAAAATGTCACGTTGGCGTTTAACGTTATTTTCTGCCATTAATGTATGATCTCATACATTCATCCATTCGATCTGGCCACTACTTTGATTATTTAAAAATAATTATTGAAACGTTCTCTCGGTTTTTTTGTTTTTTTGTTACCTTGATCAGGTTCTATTCTGTCTTATCAGTATATTGATTACTAGAAATTCTTGATACAAACCTTGCCATCGATTTTTAGCTTGACGAGAAACGCTATGTCGATTTTCAAATTAAAAAATGGATGATTTTATAATTATTTTCCCTTTCTCTTTATCTTAGAATTGCCACCTGTGGAAAATGCCCATATATTTTGTCAGTAAAAATTAATCTCTATTTTGCTGATTTCCATGCTTTTACAATCCATTTCTTCGATTTCTCTACCTTGCCTTCTATGCAAATTCGTTGTTTCCAGGCAAGAAATGATCACAGTGGTGCGACCGTACGAGCCTCCGCCCGATTATGTAAGTGTTTTCCTTTCCCTGCCGTTAATCGGTGATTTGACGGGAACGGTGCCAACCTTTCTCTGGCGATTTTTTTGGTGCTAAACGTTGTTGTTCCATTCTTACATACAGCTTTAAAAAGGTTGGGCGGTGTTCATGATGTTGAAGGGTTAAGAATTTCAATAAAGACAGTACGGTGCAGCGAAAACTGTTTTGAAAATTGAATATTTTTCGCTAGTGGGCATTTTAAAATTCGGCGGTTTTTTTCTGGACACGCTGCTGCAGTACCCGATATTAACTTACTGTCGCCAACATAAAAATGATGACGATGATTCATGTGATGATTATGTTGGGGGGTATAAAGGGGGTACCTATGGGATGATGGTGGCTGGGGTGGGTGAGGTGTGTGTGTTTGGGTCGTGTGAATAGAATGGGGGTTGAAGCCAGGTTTGCCGCCGGTTGGGGTGGCCCCCTTGTTGGCTGTGTACATATCGAGATGGGAAGGGGCCACACAGTGAGTTCGTAGGCCATCATTCGCATCTGTGCTGATTCGCGAGTCTTTTCGGTATATTGGCTGTAGTGTGAGACATTTGGTTGGAATTAAATTGGCACAAACAAATTATGGAATTTTTTCGGAAGATTGTACCGAATTTGTTTTTGCCATAAGTACTTTATTTTCCATTGTTTTTTACTGAATTTAAAACCCTTGCTACAGTTTTCGTTGCTTTATCAAATGATGTTTTGAAAATAGCAATGGCTAAACATCGAAAAGTAGCTTTCAAGGGTATTTTGAAGGTTGTTAGATGATTTTGCGATCACCTTTGCATTCTTTTGCGCTATAATAAAAATTTTAGTACTTTTTCTGCTTTAAAAAATTACGTAAAAATTCCCAAACAAGGAAAAACCAGAATATTTTGCGGCCTTCGGCCTGCTCTAATTTTCACAATAATTAAATTTAAAATAAAAGAATGCGTTAAACGTCCCTACGATTACTGTCAATTTGTATTTTCATACTCCTAGAAAAAAAAATCTATTTATTTCTCCTCCCCGGTCGCGACAACCGTGCTGCTGTGGACCAACCCCGCCCTCGTAGCCCGTTTGCTAATAATTATCGCCCCCGAGGATCTCTATTCTCTTCACTTTCCAACCAGCCCCATCCCTCATATTCGACACAGACAAGAACCCTCCCGACATTTTCACATATACTCTCCATTCTACCAGCCGCATCGCTTGCTCCCCCTGTCCAAATGGGAAACATCCCATTTTATTGTGGTCTGCTTTTTGGATCGTAAACGAGTCGACTAGTCACCACACACGCATATCCTTTGTTTTCGGTCGGGTAATTGGGACCAATTCTGGCATGGATTTTTGTATATTCTTTAAAAACCAGAAATTTGTGGTTGGCATAAGCTTTGGTTAATTAAAGACGGAATCATAATTCGTAAAGCTGAGTTATTCGAACACGGAAATGCTTATTTCCCTGGATACCGATGCTTAAATTATTTGAAGCTTATGAATACTTAACTAAGAGAATCTCTACCCCATTGCCTTGCCTAAAATGCAGATGAAAATACAGCTCAATCCATCCCAATCCAAAACTATAACTAATATCGAGATTCTTGACAACTATCGTCCGTTCCTCCTTGACAGCCTCTTGCTCCCCTCCTCCTCACCCACCTATTCCCCCGCGGCGGCATCCAATAGAACGGCGATATTATTGTCGTGTCGTCTTTTTTTGCCTACATTCCCCCGTGGTAGCCCTTCTTCTCCTCGTTTTCCTCCTCCTCCTCGCTCCCCGTCACACACAACCTGTCCAATATCCATAACCTCTGCTTGCGCGGCCTCTTCACTGAAATGCTTGTCTGTCGCTGGGGCACGCGCTACGTTCTTATACTTTTGAACTCCACGATATGAATTCTCGGTCACCTGAGACTTTTTTAAATTATTTTTACAAATTTCACCTCGAAACTCTCCAAAACTTTTGTATAATTACGTGAATATTTTATGGCAAGGGATGCCCAACTTTTTTGAATTGCTCGAAATCCCATAATTCTTGATAGCTTTTATAAACTATTTCTTCAAATAGAACTTTGGAATTCCTCAGAATTCCTTATAGCGATTTAAAGTAATTTTCAAGAGGGCCTGGCCATATTTCTTTAGTATCACAAAATTCCACAAGCTTTGACAGAATTCGGCGAAATTATTTATGCAAATTTAGTCCCAAAACTTTTGAGAAATCCGCTTAGAATTATCAACGCCTTTTCGCACGAAATTCCATGAATTGCGGCAGTTTTAATGATTTTATTTATGCAAATTTAACTGTAGAATACCTCATCCAATTCCAAAAAAATTCTCCAGCAGGGTGTGGCCGAACGAGTGTTTTCCCTATTAGGTGAGCAAATTATTTCGTGCTCCAACATTCCTCAACCATCCCCTTCCCCCTTCAAACCATTAAGTGAATAAAAGGAAGAGCAAAACCGACGCTTGCTCACCCCTTAACAACAAAGAGCACAGAATATGTCAGGAAGGGGGGGGTGCAACGCTGAATTGAGGGCGGAAGAAGATGGAGGGAAGCCGGATGGTAGAGGAATGGTAGAGCACGATATAAGAAAAGAGGAAGAGGTGACCGAAGAGCCTTCTCCCCCCCTTCACAATCACCAAGCGCCATCTCGGGGAAGGTGCGCGGCTCGGCGAGCAACAAGGTCACCAAAAGGGCCGTACAAGTAGCCGCACTCTCATTTCCCTCACACAACACCCAACCGCCCTTGTGTTCGAGCAAGCCCTCAAAATTTATGACGTTCACTATCTTGGATACATGATTCAAATTTTGACTAATTTTTTAAAATCAAAATTTACGGAAATTTAAATTTATCGCTTTTACGATCCTTGACTTATATTCAGATTCTTTAATTTATTTTGCGCTTTTTCAACCCTGATGGTTCAGTATAATCCAATGATTACACAAAAAAAATATTTTGGCCGATGATTTTAGCTATACTCTAGTGCCATAGGCAAATTTTCGCGAAATATTTTCCGCCCCTTGAACCTTCCAAATCCCTTTAAAAATCGTTTATATTTCGACATTAGAATAAATAAAATTATTGCTAGCTGCTTTTGTTCTAACCTAAATCTTTGTGACATTTGACAGCATTATTGCGTAATTTAAAGGGGCACGGACGCGCAGTCTCCATTCTCTGGTACCAAAGCCGCAAATTCTTATTTTATTTTAATATCTCAAAAGACATTTCTGAGTACAAATACGCATTCCAGAACATTATAGAGCAACTCTGTAGAACTCGGAAGCCCTAGGGGCCCGATTCGAATAGGATGTTTGCCGGATGGCTGATCGAGACGCGCCATACCTAGCCAAACACCCCCCCACAACCCATCCGTTTGCCTTCCTTCACCCTCTGAACCCATTGTTCCGAGCCCTCTTTTCCCGGACCAATATCATCAACCATCCACTCATATTTCAATCACGGCAATCTCTCAATATCAATCCCGTATTTTTAGCTTGCCGAAACGGGTCAACCTGGTTCAGATTAGCTATCAATATCACAAAAATCAAAATCGCCATATTTTTATCTCAAATCTCAAATACCTCAAATGACATCTAGAATTGAAGAATGGTTGGCTTAAGCCATAGGGGGAATTTCGTTGTATAAATTCAAAAATCAATAAGATTCAAATTTACAAAATTCATCTTGATGTTTTTAAATAGCGTCTTGTTAAAATAGTAATTTTTTCAGCCGCTCGGAGACGAAAGAGAGACCAAAGAAGATATACGATCAGCGTCGGACACACAAGTATAAATCGTCTATTGCATAGTGTTATTTATTTCATAGAGTCGCCAACGGACAAACAGGGGCTACAGGCCAGCCTCGCAAACCGGGGGCATGTTGAGGACCAGGCAATACCCGGAGGTATTCGGATTAAAATATCTACGATGCGCATTTAGCTAACGAATTTAGAGTTTAACCAGGGTTGAAAAGCCGCTACGCGACTTTTCAACCCTGGCCGCATCTGATCCGATGATATTCTTTATTTTGCATATTTCTCGCGGTTTTCGATGACGCAATAATGAGCAACGATAGCTCTTTTCCCTTATATAGGCTACCGCCACTTCCGGCGTATGCTAATTGTTCCCTAACAAAGAGGGTTTTCGATTTTTCAACAAAAACTTAATTTTAACATTGAAACCGCTAATTTTTGAAAATTTTATGAGTGTGCAGTCATCCCTAGGCCATGACGCACCTAATGACGTATCATACGTAGCCTAAAACCCTTCCCTTCTTGAGATACTACTGGAACACGCTGACGGAAGTTGCATGCAAAGTGGCACGGACACACACACACAGACACTATTTTTTTATATATAGTAGGATTACAATTTTGTGTAACGCTGTCTTTTCAGGTTGCCGGTTTATATGGAGGTGAAGATCAAGCACCAGCATTGAGACGTTTCACCAGGTAGCGTAAAATTTTTTAAGAGATATTTAAAACGTTTTAAGGTACAATCAATCGCTGAGCCATCGCGACCACACATTTACACTCAGTGAACAACCATCAACGATTACCGGGAATAGGTATCTATAAAATAAAGGTAAAAAGACGATCCTAATTATAGCAAAAAGTCGCCATTCGCTTTCAATAATTGGACGTTTCGAGAGAAGAAGCCGATCCGTGGCGCAATACCGTTTGCAAAAGCGCCGAAGAGGTAATTTTAAAAGATTGATTCAATAGTAATTTTGGTTGAAGATACTTTTTGTAATCCCCTTTGCAGAGAAGAACGGCCAGCCTCGGTAAACCTAACAGACCTACGCGGCAGCAGAAGCCGAAGTGAAGGTGGCCGATTTCTGGAAGGTTTCCGAGAAAGTGGAGATTCCTCTACTCGCCCTGATATCGGGTGTCGGATACCGATCCGAGTCGACCGCACATTAATGCAAGAGAACGTGCGCCCGGGCTCTAACCGAGTACTATTCCGAAGTCAACCGCCACCACTAGTTAAAAGTATGTCGCAAATATTCTTCGATAAGTTTGATTGTAGATGTCATCCACGATCAAAATGTTCACCCTCCCGCAGTGACTACAGCAACAACAAATAGTCCAGAAAGCAATGAGTAATTGTTTTTTGTAATCCTTGAAAACTCTTTATAGTATTCATCTTCGCAAGAGCTGCCCATCATTAAATGATAGCGTAGCAATAGGAAATTTGGGTCAACATCGTGTGAGCACAAAGAAAAACCGCCGAAAAGAACGCGTCCGGGAAGGGTGGAGGAATAAGCCGCTAAAGGTAAAAGAGAGTAACAACGCCAATTTTTTTTAGGAATGGCATTTAAACGATATATTACTTTGGTTACAAGCTATTGGTCTTGATGATGTAGCGTCGCTGCTTGTCGGTTATGACTTGAAGGGGACCGACCTGGAAACATGGGACCACGCCAGTTTAAGTAATTAATTGGGTTTTAGCAAAAACACGATTTTTGCAGCGCAGCTTGGAATTTCTCAAGAATATGTGAGAAGTAAAATAATGATGGAACTGCGATCATTGGCTTTACCGAACGAACGAACCGAGAGTTCCGATCGACAATCGAGCATGTTTGATTTGGTGCGAAATACGGCATTCGACCAGGTTGGTATTTCCTTAACGTTTTCACTATTTTGATATTTTCAGGTGCTTGCCTTTGAGACATCGCTGACACCACGAGATCTGTCAGCAACAGCCGGCCGGCTTGGCTGTTTACAGGTCACGAAAGTGGACGGTTCGCGGTTGCCTTTGAAGGAAAATGATTGGTATGTAAATTCTCAAATAGCCAGAATTGAATTTAGTTTACTGGAAATCAATGGGTTGCCTGGCGAACATTTTAAATCCGCCTTAATGCTCACAAAATTGATAAGGTTAGTTTTTGGGTTTTAGGTTTCGGATGTAGCAATATTTAGGGTTGTATCATAATTTCGAAATCTAATATCGAGCTTCATAATACCGAAAATTCCCATTGTCCAATTTTGATCTGCCAAATTCAAAATGTCGGAATTTAGAATGCTGTTATGCTTAACGTCGGAATTTCCCTGTTTGCCATCCGAAAACCCGCGAAAAGCTTTTTGCTTATAACCAGCTATATGACAATTATTATAGTGTATCTGACGGGAAACCAATTCGATTCGTGGTGTTGCGAAGGAAAGCTTCGGAGGGTCGGCCATCGGATGAGGTACCTAGTAGCCCTAAAATCCAAATACTTTTCTTGAAGAGTTATTCCTCGTCTGGCGTCTCTTCCTCACCCATCAACTCGGTGACCAGCAAGAACCTCTAGTATTTATCCGCCCTGTATACGTGTCCCCCACGCTTTCTGCTGTATACTATAGCAATGTTTTATATAAAACTTATTTTTCGATATTGCAGAAGATGCACTTTAAGATTTCAATTTATAGCAGCATATTAAGTGCGTTTTTCGCGGCCGAGTCTAGTTTCGTCGGAATCCCTGAAGATCCAGAAAATTCCACTTAATTTAAGAAAGGGAAACCCGCCCGCCCCCTGTTCTTATCTTCTCAAAAGCTTTCCTACTTTATGAAAATCATCACGATTCAAGGTACCTCCAGAGCGCGATAAAGGGTTCTGGGTGGGTTCTGTATGGGTACACTATTGATTATTCCAAACTTCCAAAAACATAAAATCCCGTTGGCATGAAGCCAGCAATTGAACACATTGCCATAATTTCGAGGTGCAACCTCCAAGGAGGGGGACACGATCTCGCATCGGGTCGAGGGATCCATTGGATCAGTGAATGAGAGAGGAGGGTGCGGGCTGTCTGGTAGAGTGTGACTAATGATCCAAAGGAAGGCCACAGAGCGCTAGGCCCCAGGGCCCTGGACTGCCCCAGCAAGAGGGACACGCTGTGTAACACCTTTTGAGATGGCCACAGAGGAGCCCCAGCCTCTGCCTGATGTGGCCTTTCAATCGGGAGCTGCTCTCGGGACAGCCTCGACTCACCACCTCCCCCTACTCTTGCCACCCCTTTCTGCTATCAGGTTCCTCAAACTCGTCTCGGATTTGTTTTTCCTTATTCCCGGCCCTGGACGCGACTTTTTTTGATGGTCTGTCGCGGAATATTGTACCCGGGATGAACTTTTTCACGATATTACGTCGGCTAATTAATTTTACACATTGACTGCGGTTACTGAAGGAACCGGTAGTGCTTAGGCTCGTTGTGAACTAGCTCGAGTCCGCTTGTGAGTCGTGCTACGATTTTTCAATTGGAACATGCATCAGCCAATTAAGAATCTGAAGTTAGTGGAATCATACATAGCCATGATTTGCAAATTGATCAGCAGTTTGATGGGAATTAACGGGTTTCTGAAAAACCGGCAAAGCCGAGACAAATTTTTGCTAGAGGGTCCTCGACAGGGAAATTGAAGGCTCGTGCAGATCGGGCATCCTCTAAGATTCGCAAAAAAACCAACCGGAAACGCCAAAAACGGAGTAGCGAGCGGGCCTAGGCAAAAGGGAACGATTTATATTAATTTACAAACCAAAACCGAACTGATGCTAATTGTTATGGGCGATTCCGACCCTTTTAAACCACTTTCCAGTCAAGATGTAAATTAAGGCAATCAAAAGCCGTTGATCGATTTCTTATGCACTGGCGTCAAGATCGCTTTGAGATTTTCCAATGTGTCTCTAACACGCGAACCGGATACGTCAATTCAGAATGGAACCCTTTATTCCTTCAGCTTTTTGCATACGCAGTATGGACGATCCCTGGCCATCCCTTGAGTCATACGGTCAATGCAGCCGTTCCGGAATGAACAAAAAGTTGAGACACCACCATGCCCCCCTCGATCGGTCCTCCTTCTCCTCCCGCTGCTCTTTTCCTCAATTCCTTGAGACCCCCATCGGGAGGGCCAGCTGCGGGTGCAAATGTTTATAAAACGTCTAGCGCCAGCTTGCCCATCCGCGTACGAGCGCCCTCGCCCGCCCGCGTAAATCTTCCACGTTTCTAAGAGTTTTCTAACCGCCTTCTAGATTGACTAATTCGGCTTGTAAGATGGGCCCGTGATTTGCATAAAAATTTGTCGGAAGTTTGAAATATATGACGCGTGCTATTTTTGGGGATTCCTGAAGATTAGAATCATCGAGCATGACACAAAATTGTTTATGAAATGCTTTTTGTTGTCAGCTAATAAAAATAGATTTTTTTTAAGATAGTCCCCATTTTGATCCTTCAGTATGGCTTCGTAATTCGCCCAATTTGGAAAATTCAACAAAGGCGTGGCCTACTGTAGCTCTAATATCTATTGTTTTGCTCGCGAGGTAAATCTCTAAATCCCATCATTACAATTGCCGTTATTTATGCAAAATTTTATCGTAAGAAAATCTTGGAATGCCGAATTTTTATCGCGTTTTTAGTAGCAACCGTCGCTCAACCGGTCCATTAGCATCAGTTCGTCGTTTTGGAAACTTTGATCTTTCAGTTCAATTATCGATTATATTTAACGAAAATTTTAGAAGGTGTCTTTTCATATTTCTTTTCAGGGAAACAAAACGGAGAGGGCCCGGCTAAACCACCTCACACGAAGGCTTGTGGCGAGACCGCCGAGTAATGCCACGAACATGGCTCAGGCTCGCCCTCGCAGGTATCGTTGATCGACCAACCAAGATTTCAACATCATCTTAACCCTGGGATTATCATCATCAAAATTGCTACAAATTGTTGCTTAACACTTTTTAGAAAATGAGAAGTTGCTTCGCGCTTTTAGCCTCGTCTGTTTGAACCCTCATTTTTCTTCAGGATTTTGCATAGTTCATCCCGAATCCTGCAATAAAGTGAAAAATGAAAATCGCTCCTCTGCATTTGTGTTTGCACTCTATCTCATCTTTGGCAAATACTACTGGTTTTTTGACTGCGCGGGGTTTTCCGGGAATTTCACGAATGCCGAAATTCAATATAAATTGGCATTTTTTAGAAGTTAAAAGAAATTTTGTGTCAAATTTACAAATAGACACTGGAATCGTATTCCGATTTAGAAAAATATGATAAAATATATAAAGAGATGTATATATTAGTGATAAAGTTATGTAATAATATTCCTTCAGGGCTGTGCCTTTTGGCACTGACTCTGCGAGAAGCTGATGCTGCAGCGGCCTGCAAAGGCTGTGCCCCTCCATGTGTGTGCCCCGGGCAAAAGGGTGAACGGGTTAGTTATAGGCGATTTTGTTTTTGCACGGACCGATTGCATTTGTGTTCATTCTAGATAAAACTCTCTTAACTTTAAGCTACCTTGCAAACATTTTTTTCCAAACTATACCCGCACAAACTGTTCTGATCATCAGCCAATTGTGACTCACCTCCAAATTGATTTAAACCCTCCCCAATCCTGGACCACCTCTTACACTAGTAGGCACCGTCGCTTTTAATCAATGGTGGCCCTCAATGCGGCTTTTTGAGGCTGTGCCGGCTGCCACGGTCTCCCACGACCCGATGCAGCTGTGCCCCCATGCTCCTCGTTTGTCGCCACCCATTTCCAAGGAATAGCGCCCGTCACACCAAAATATCGGCAACTTTTGTGCATGGGGATCCGGGGTTAGAAATTGTGGAGAATTGAAAAGTCTGAGAAAAAGATGGCTGCGTGCGGTGTCAGTCGATTAAATGGGTGAACGGATTTAGCGCACCCTATCTTTGGCAATAAGTAAAACTAAGCAACTTGAAGTTGGACTTCTTAGCTGCCAAGGCATCGATGCCGTTTTTAGCGCTCATCATAAATTGTATACTTATTTTGGTCGGGATCGACCGGAATTCTCTCAAGGATACATAGCTTCAAAGTTTGAATTTTTGGTGCCTGACCTCAAAACGGGAAATCAAAAAACAAAAGGGACAAAAAGGCATCGGTAACTTATTAGCAGACCAAAGCCCAACTTCGAGCTGGGTAGGTTCCCTTCCAAAAGCATCCAAGCTAAGCAGGACAATACCATTAATGATTAGGACTCCATTAATGCCCCTAGAATATTGTAGATTCTTTACCTTACTGACCCGTTTTCAGGGCCTCAACGGACACCCAGGACCCGAAGGACATCCCGGAGCCCCCGGTGAAGATGGACCGGAAGGAGGAATCGGTGCCATCGGAATGATGGGGTCTGAAGGAGACTATGGAGACATGGGCCCCAAGGTTGCTTCAAAATCACAAATTCTCATCGTTTTAATAGGGACCTCGTGGAGACCGTGGATTGCCGGGAGCCCCTGGACATCCTGGACTTCAAGGTCTGGACGGATTTATCGGTCTGAAGGGAGAGGAAGGTATCCCCGGCTGTAACGGAACTGACGTGGGTTTTTTTGACATTTTCTACCTGAGGTTGGAAATTACCAAAAATGATGTCGCTCAGTTAAGTAATATAAATCCAAACGCGTGCAAAGTTCTTTCGTAGGATTCGGATTGGGGCTGGATTGCCTGTGCTGACTAAAAATAGCTGGCATTTTTGCGTGTAAACGTTTGCGCTCCATCGAACTTTCTCTCTATCTCTTTCTCTCTCTCTCTCTCTCTCTCGCTCTCTCTGCATGGCTCTCTTTCACTTTCTCTCGCTTCCTTGTTCTCGTGCCACGCTCTGTATTTCTCTGTCTTTCGCATATCTCTTTCATCCATCTGCACTTTTCGACCTCATTTTTTCACGCGAATTTGTGGCTGCATCAATCCCAGAGGGCAGATCAATCCATTGAGGCGGTAGATGAGTCAGTGTGGCTCCCACCGGCCAAGGGCCTTTGGTGGGCTGCCTAAGGGATGGATGTGGCCAATAGAGTGGCCAGCCCGTTCTCATGATTGATCAGGCTGGCAGCCTGGCGGGGGGCTGCTGCAACATTTGGGTCTTGGTCCCCGTCTTTCGCCCCGTCCAGCATCGGGTGTAAAGTTGGCTACACGTCGCTAAAATGCGTACCTTTACGGGGCAACGAATTGCCGTGTGAATCGATGTACTAAAAGTGATAAGGAGGAATTACGGTGGTTTAGCAAAAATCTAAAATAATTTTGCTCTGGTCGCCGTGTCACTGTCTGAAGTCAAACTCGGCTGAAAACACAACGGGGGTTAGAACTTCGGTCGCGACGGTTGTCTGGTTGATCCACAACATAAACGGTTTCAAAAATATCTTTAGGGTATGCCTGGACGGCCTGGACTGCCCGGATTGCCCGGAAGAAATGGAGAGCTGGGACGCGCCGGATACCCCGGTGACCGTGGTATGCCCGGTGAGGGTGGTGTCAACTCCGTCGGTCGGAAGGGAGAGCCCGGAACTTCCGGAACACCCGGTATCCCTGGTTCCCCTGGAAGCAATGGATACCCTGGACACGCTGGAATCAAGGGAGATCCAGGACCGGTATGGAGTCTGGACACGGTCTTTTATCTTTTTTCTAGTGGGGTCTACCGGGTTTCCCAGGTCCATCTGGTGAGAAGGGACGAATGGGAGTGCGAACCCCTGGAACCAAGGGAGAAAAAGGTCTTCCTGGACCGCCTGGACCACCAGGTCAATCCGGTAAGTTGCTTTTGAAACATCGGATATCCAAAGTATAGAGAAGATCGAGAATATTGACCTTAACAAAAATTGTAGGTGTCTGGCCCGAAATCAAGCAGCCTCCAGAGATCGAAGTCCTCCAAGGACCCCAAGGAACGCTAGGTACGAAAATTCATAGTATCCCTCATTACCATCTTTAGGTCCCAAGGGAGAAAAGGGACGCAATGGACCGGTCGGACAGCCCGGTTATCCGGGACGCGAGGGAGAAGGTGGATTCCCCGGCCTAAAGGGCGATAAGGGCGACCATGGAGACTTCGGAGAACGAGTGAGAACAAACTAGTCTTCCTGAAAATAATTTTTTAGGGAAAACGTGGTAAAGACGGCAACACAGGACTTCACGGAGAGAAGGGTTCCCAAGGAGAACAAGGTCAGAAATTACATTAAGGCTTTGCTTATGTAAATTTTTGTAGGTCTCGGTGGACTACCTGGCATGCCTGGACACAAGGGTGAAGCCGGTGAGCCTGGATATGATGGACGACCTGGAGAGGAAGGAGATTGTGGACCGGAAGGACCGATTGGTATTGGAAAGGGATCACCTGGACCTCGTGGATCTCAAGGTTTGATGGTGCAATAGTCAGCGTTAATATTGTTTTAGGATACGATGGTGGCCCGGGAGGAATGGGTTTGCCCGGAAAGGACGGACTCCCCGGAACTGGTGGATGGAGAGGATCGGTTGGCCCGCCTGGACCTGCTGGGCAGCCTGGATTCCCTGGTGCCCCTGGCTATACCGAGAAGGTCAGTACAATTTCTATTTGAATCCGGCATTAGGGGATGCGGGATTATGAGGATTCGGTGTTTTTTTGGCATACGGGGATTTTGATAACTGGTATTTGGCATCCCGAAGTTCGGAATTCTTGTCCCAAAGCCCGAATTCGCAAAAGACGCTTGCATAGACATACTTGTAGGGTGAACGTGGTACCGATGGATACCCCGGTCTCATTGGAGCCCCCGGAATGCCCGGTGAAGATGGTGACTGCGGCCTGCCCGGAGAAGATGGACCCCCTGGTTTTGACATTCAGGTACAGGTTTATTAATGTATATCCAAGTATCTATCCTAGGGCCCACCTGGTAGTGATGGCCAGTCTGGCCGCGATGGATATCCGGGAATCCCCGGTACCGTTGGAGACCCCGGCTACTCTGGAGAAAAGGGTTTCCCCGGCACTGGTGTCAACAAAGTTGGTCCCCCCGGCATGATGGGTCTTCCTGGAGACCCAGGACCTAATGGTAAGGCAAAAATGTATTAATTTAGTTATTGAATTATTTATTCACCAAGGTTTACATGACGGCGAACTGGAAAATGAAAATTTCAGGGCGCATTGGTATTGATGCCGCCCCGGGTGCCCCTGGTGCTGCTGGAGAAAGGGGAGATGACTGTGGCTATTGCCCTGATGGACTCCCTGGGCTTCCGGGAGATTCTGGAGCCCCTGGACATGATGGTTTCGCTGGACCACCCGGTCAATATGGTGATGAGGGTGATTGCGGAGAGCCTGGGCTTCCTGGAAAGAATGGCCAGCCGGGGTCTGATGGATTACCCGTAAGATATTGCGTCTCAGACAAGATCGTTTCCTTTCAGGGACTTGAGGGACCACCTGGATTGCCTGGATACCCTGGACCAAAGGGAGAAATGGGTAAGTTAGCGCCGTATCTAGAACTGTAATACGAATTTGTTTCTGAAGTCAAAAACATTTCTAGGTGACATCATCGGTCCCATCGAGAATCCACCGGGTGTCAGCGGTCTTAAGGGAGAACGAGGTTTGCCTGGACTGCCCGGTATTGCCGGTCTACCTGGAATGGGTGGTCCTCCCGGAGCTCCTGGACCTGATGGCCCGCCCGGTTTCCCTGGCGAGCAAGGTCTGGTCGGCATCGATGGCAAGAAGGGTCGTGATGGAAATGTGAGTTCGGAAAAAAATTGCTTTATAGATTTGCGTATGTTATTTGCTCAAATACGTGAATGGGAACTCAAAACGTATCTAAAATAAACTTTAATCAAAGATTCTTTTAATGACAAATATTTCAGCTCGGTATCCCAGGGCTGCCCGGTCCACCAGGCGACAACTTCCCTGGAACCCCTGGAGGCCCAGGGTACCGCGGTAAACAAAATTAATGCGACGTTCATTCCTAAATTTTCAGGAGCCAAGGGAGAAGCCGGTTTCCCCGGTATGCCTGGACAGCCGGGTCTACGTGGTCTGGATGCCCCTCTTGAGGACCAACAAATTGGAGCCCCCGGCCGTCCTGGCACTGATGGAATCCCTGGAGAAGAAGGAGACTGCGGAGAGGAGGGTCTTCCTGGATACCCGGTATAACAACCACTAGTTTCACTAATTTTTAATCTAGGGTCAACCTGGAACTCCTGGTCAAGCCGGATACCCAGGAGAGCGCGGAGCTGATGGCCTCCCCGGTTTCCCGGGTCTGCACGGAGAGCCTGGTTTCCGTGGACAGCAGGTAAGAGCTCGACGTTTCTGCAGTTTCATCATATTTTAGGGTGATGTTGGGCTTAATGGCCTGGATGGTGACTGCGGTGAGGAAGGCGAAGCCGGTCTGCCGGGACTTCCAGGGGCTGCTGGTGAGTCCTTTGGAATTAATATTCATTTCCTTTACAGGACGACCCGGAGAACCTGGTTACGGTCTTCCCGGCACTGCTGGATACCCTGGAACCGCTGGAGAACGAGGCTTTGACGGACTGCCTGGAATCCCTGGACCTCAAGGCAAAGATGGACAGCCCGGACTCCCAGGTAAGTTTTTAATGAGTCTTAGGTATAAATGAACTTAGGTCACGCTGGAGAGCGAGGACTGGATGGATATCCCGGAGCAACGGGCACTCCTGGTCTCCCTGGAGAGGTACTACAATGGCTTAGTCTTAATTATGTATTGTTTTCAGCTTGGCGTCCCTGGCTTCCCCGGCACTCCCGGACGCCAAGGAGCAATCGGATGTCCTGGTCAACCAGGTCAACCCGGCCTCCGCGGCGAAAGCGGCTTCCCTGGTCAGCCTGGCCTTCCTGGAGAAGAAGGAGAATGCGGCGAAGAAGGCCCAGCTGGACCTCCCGGTCAGCCTGGCTTCCCTGGAGCACCTGGAAATAATGGCGAAGACGGAAGCATTGGATTCCCAGGCCTACGTGGAGAGCATGGCTCGCCTGGACTACCTGGTGCCGATGGATATCCTGGAGAAGAAGGAGAATGCGGCCTCGAGGGAACTCCTGGTTTCCCGGGAGAGCTCGGCTCCGACGGTTTGCCTGGACTTCCTGGAAATGATGGCTACCCTGGTGCTGCTGGTGCATCGGGAGATGGTGGAGAGCCCGGTCTGCCCGGTCTTCCTGGTGACCCCGGAAATTTGGCACAGCCTGGACCTCCTGGGGATATGGGTGTTCCTGGTTACGATGGAACTCCTGGAGAGCCTGGATTGCCTGGCCTTGAGGGCGAATGTGGAGATGAAGGAGAAGTGGGCGCTTCCTACCCTGGTCAACCAGGATTGCCCGGTTTGGAAGGTGATGCCGGTTATGATGGTCGTGATGGACTTCCTGGACCGCCCGGTTACCCGGGTATGACTGGACAGCCTGGAACACGAGGCGAGAATGGAGACGCTGGACTTCCTGGCGGCCCGTAAGTTTTAGCAGAACTTTTGAAGCGTTAGTGTAATTTGGACTTTAGTGAAATAAACTAAAATTTTAGTGGCCGTCCCGGAGCTCCTGGACTCCCCGGAATTGAAGGAGACTGCGGTGATGATGGTATTCCAGGATATCCTGGACCTCGTGGCCCTGATGTAATTTGAGTTTCGACCAACTAAGCGTCAACTTTCAGGGACGAAGTGGACTCCCCGGCGAGCCTGGCTACCGTGGTATTCCTGGCGACAACGGCCAGCCTGGATTCCCTGGACGACCTGGTAACCCATAAATCGAGCCTTGACACTCCTTTCCTAATATTAGGTCTTCCTGGTCTGAAGGGCGAAAACGGCTTGCCTGGGCTGCCTGGTCATCCTGGTGCGCCTGGTTTGCTTGGATATCCGGTAAGAACTCTTATTTTTAGCATGACTTGTTTGTAGGGCGACTCTGGACATGCTGGTGTTGATGGACACCCAGGTGATAACGGACAGCCAGGTCTTCCTGGTATTCCTGGCGAGGAGGGCGAATGTGGTGACGAGGGACATCCTGGACGCGCTGGAATGCCCGGCCCACCTGGTAGCCCAGCTGACGTTCTTTCATGTATTATTCATTTTTTAGGACCGCGTGGATTGGTTGGTGACGCCGGACTTCCCGGGCTTCCTGGCCGTGATGCTACTGGCCCCGCTGGTAGCCCAGGTTCGTGTACACAAACTTCATTTTCAAGTTCAAAATAATCTCGCAAAAGAGAACCTTGAACACACTCATTTTCTAGGCGAGGCCGGTCTCCCCGGTCGCGATGGAAATCCTGGCGTGCCAGGAGAGCCCGGTGAGCGTGGAAATGATGGCATCCCTGGTGCTCCTGGTTTCCCTGGCATGCACGGAGACCCTGGCCTCCCTGGACATCCCGGAGAGAGGGGACTGGTTGGACTAAATGGCAAGGATGGACGGTAGGGCGAACAAATCGATAATTTAATATCACGAACTATAGTGATGGACAGCCCGGCACACCCGGAATTCCCGGCCAAGACGGACTTCCCGGAGAAGAGGGAGACTGTGGTGATGACGGATATGCGGGTACCCCTGGACAGGACGGAACCCCCGGACATTACGGTGAACGCGGAACCCCCGGCAGCCCCGGCGCTCCTGGTCTTCGTGGAGACAATGGATTCCCTGGTACCCCTGGCACGCCAGGAGAAGAAGGTAACCAATGTGTTTTTTGTCAAATTACTTGCTTCCCTAGGTGACTGTGGTGATGACGGTTTGGCGGGACCTGACGGCAAGCCGGGTCTTCCGGGTCGTGATGGAGCTCCTGGTCTGCCTGGGCCTTATCCATTCACCAGGCCTGCACAGAAGGGTCAACCCGGTGAAGATGGATACCCGGGTGAGAAGGGCTATCCTGGAGAAGACGGCATGCCAGGTGAGATTATGCGTGGAATACTAATTTTCCAAATGTAGGACTTCCTGGGCCAAGCGGTCTTGCCGGATATCCAGGAGCGATCGGTCTGCCTGGCAGCCCTGGACTTCCTGGAATTCCCGGAAAGAAGGGAGACACCGGAGACTCTGGTCTCCAAGGTATTACTGGAAGAAATGGTCATCCAGGCCCCCCTGGCCCTCCTGGTTTCCCTGGTGGTCCTGGAGGCATCGCACCCAGCCGTGGTTTCACTTACGCACGTCACTCGCAGTCCACCCAGGTATTTGTTCAAACATTTTGTTACATCGTTTCCTAAAGGTACCAACCTGCCACGATGGCACTGCACCACTCTGGACTGGTTATTCTCTCCTGTATGTGCAAGGAAACGGACGAGCATCTGGCCAAGATCTCGGTGAGTAAAAAAGCAGTCGATTGCTAAAAATTCCATCGTCAGGTCAGCCCGGCTCTTGCATGGCAAAGTTCTCGACGATGCCGTTCATGTTCTGCAACTTGAATAGTGTGTGCCATGTGTCTTCCCGTTCCGACTATTCCTTCTGGTTATCCACTGAAGAGCCGATGACCCAGATGATGAATCCGGTATGTTAATTGGCTAGTTTAATGACATCTGGGTTAAAATGAGCGTTGCTCAATAAAGGAGTAAGCGGGGATACCACAGCTAAATATAATAAATGTTTTAAGGTAACCGGAACCGCTGTGCGTCCGTACATTTCGCGGTGCGCCGTTTGCGAGATCCCAACCCAGATCGTTGCCGTGCATTCGCAAGACGTGCATATTCCTCAATGCCCGCAAGGATGGAGCCCATTGTGGCAAGGATATTCCTTTGTCATGGTAAGTATGATGTATAATTACTATTATTATTTACCCTAATCATTTTTGCAAAAAAAAATAAAAATTCCTTTTTTAGCACACCGCGGCCGGAGCCGAAGGCACCGGACAATCGCTTCAATCGCCTGGTTCGTGCCTGGAAGAGTTCCGCGCCGTACCATTCATTGAGTGCCATGGAAGGTACGAGGGAAAACTTGTAGTATAATCAGTCGCCGCTGTGTTCCTTTTTATGAAAAAATATCTAATCCGTCTTCTTCAGAGGAACCTGCAACTACTACGCTACCAACCACGGCTTCTGGTTAGCCATTGTGGAACAGGTATTACCCCCATTGGTGACCTTAAATCAATTTATTCAGAACCAACAGTTCCGGAAACCAATGTCGCAGACCCTGAAGGCCGGAGGTCTGAAGGATCGCGTTTCACGGTGCCAGGTTTGTCCTTCTTTTCAAATAGCACCATAGAATATTTCCAAACAAATCAATAATTTTTCATTTCAGGTGTGCCAGAAAGATCCACCCCGGTACTAAGAACGACACCGCCTACGGTAGTCTCACTGCCATATGCACGAGTATTTTTCTCATCCACTGCCATTATGCTATCGTTGCCATCATGAATCTGCGTTGTTTTGTTCCAAACCCCCCAAGTGCACTTTCATTTTCTGCGACGCACCTATGCGTCAATTTCTTCACTATTATTCATGCCTTTCCCTATTTTTCGATCAATAAATTATATTATTATTAAAATTTCAGTATTTATTAACGAGCACACTACAAGAACTGGAACCTTTTTTGATGGGTCTAGGTCGAATCGAGACATCATTTATTTGTTTTAGGAAAGATATATTACAACAACTATCATACTTTCTGAGTACGACTTTTCTTGTGCACAATCATTCTTCTTATTTTAGTAGAAGGTACTATTCCAAGGCTATAGATGCTAGTACTACTGGAACACCAATAAACCGGTTAGAGGGCTGATTGCAGAACCACAACCGCAATAAATGGCCTTGGATTCCCTCGAGGTTGCCATCGCCCGAGCATAGATCATACTATAATCTTTATCATTTATGCCTTCTCACAATCGGCCATTTAAACCTTCAAATTGATCCCCACTACCCCCGACCCCCCTGCTCTCCACGATGAAATCCATATTAGCACGGGTAGGTCTTTCAAGAATTAGTTCTTACTTCTATCGATATTTTGCCGCCGCCAGTATCATCCTGTTTTTGCCACCTAATCGGTAGCCGGCGACGAATTTAATTGCCCTTTTTACGAGTGTCTATTCAAATTCATCATAAAGGGTAGGCGCGTTATCTTATCACAAATCGAAGAACATGCCCGACCCCCAATTCCCGAAAAGTTTTTGTGATGTGGGGAGATCGGGAGGGGTGGTTCGAGGGCCAGCGAGCGAACAGATGCGCTTGGCCCGCCCCATCCTGACCTCTCTTTCATAGAAATTTTCCCAATCACTCTCGATCTCTGGGCGAGTCTATGTTCTTAATTTGCCATCATTTCCATAGAAATTCCACGCTCCACCGTTTTTCAGTACGCCTTTCCGGAATGTGGTGAATTTTTGAGCCATTTCGACTTCGCTAAAACGGACTTGTATATTCGTAGTTTGTATCTAAAGCTGCATATTAAAATTGATGTGAAATTTTCGATTCAGGAAATAAAATCATATGGGCAAAACTTAAAAAATTGTTGTTTTTTCAAATTGTACATTGTTTAACCTGTTTCCTTCCATTCGGGTTCTGTTCTAGGTAAGTAAATCTTTGCAGATGTCGTCGTTCAAGTGCCCGTCTGACCTCTCCGGTGGCCTCTATTTCCGCACCGGAAAGCGTATCCAATTCGAGGCGGAACATACCTTCCCCGTCGTCGAGCAGAGGCTTGGTTCGTAATTTCAAACTCTTTTTCCTATACAGTAAAACCCTTCCTTAACGGTATCAGGTATGATATTCTTTTTAGGTGCTGAGGTGGCACGGTGCGCTTGTGCTCCTCCAGCCCTCGTTGACGAGGTCGTGAAGGAGGCCAAGACCGCTCAAAAGGAATGGGCCAACCGAACCCCACTCGAGCGTGGAAAGGTCCTCAGGAAGGCTGCGGAAATTATCCGCGTAGGTTTTTATTTTATTTGCAAATTTCCTCCCTTTCAATGATTTCAAGTAAAGACTCGAAGTTCCTAACGAAAGAACGGGAACTACGGTTTCGTTAGGGACAGCTGTTTGTGGAGATGCACCTTTTGAAAGCCCTTCAATGACCTATCAATGGCGTTTGATCTCAAAAGAGGTCAGGCCATTCGTTACAGCGCTTTGGCAGCCTGGTTTAAACTTTCTTTTCGTTTTGTGTCCAGGTGCCAATCAAGGGGCCCCGCGGGGAGTTTGAAGGCTTCCCGGTGGCTAGAGGGTAATGGAATCATCAAGGGTCAAATGACGATTTTAGAAAGCATTGGCTAAGTCTAATTGTCTCAAAAAAATTATAGGAGCACCACGAAGACATCGCTCGTTGGGAAGTTCGTACAAATGGCAAGCCTCTTGTTGAGGTATATTAAAAAAATTATAACAGTAAGTACATGATTTTAGGCTCGCATTGACATCGACTACAGCGCTGACACGCTCGAGTATTACGGTGGTATTGCACCCGCCGTCTTGAAGGGTATGCGGTTGATCATTGAATCATCTCTATTTTTAGGAGACTACTTGGACATCCCCGGCGGTGGTGCTAGCCGTTTTGCTTACACTCGTCGCGAACCGCTCGGAGTAGTCGGATGCATTGGGGCCTGGAACTACCCATTCCAGACCTGCGTCTGGAAGGTGAGCTAAATTCTCGGAGCCTGAAACCTAAATCAAATTTACAGAGAACTTCCCCTTAAATAGTAATTTCATAGGTCGGCCCTGCGCTAGCTGCTGGTAACGCCGTAGTCTACAAACCATCTCCATTCGCCCCAGCTTCGCCAGTCCTTCTCGGAGAGATTCTGACCGCTGCCGGACTCCCTGATGGAATTTACACTGTTGTTCAGGTAGAACGAGCCAACAATCTTTCACCCGAATAATTTTAGGGTGAAGCCGAGACCGGAGAAGCACTGTGCACCAACGCCGGTGTTAGCAAGCTATCCTTCACCGGCTCGGTCGGAACCGGATTGGCCGTTCAGAGGAATGCTGCTGTTAATACGCTGAAGCCGGTAACCTATTAAGATCGTACGATTCATAGCAACGCCAATCTGCCTGATGTCTAAATCGACTTTTAGTGCACACTCGAACTTGGAGGCAAGAGCGAATTGATCATCTTCGACGATGCCAACCTGGACAATGCAGTCAACTCGGCCATGATGGCAAACTTCTTCAATCAAGGTATTCCTTTAAATGGCAACTTCCCCACTGTCAGGTTTTTAGGCCAGGTGTGCACCAACGCCACTCGCGTTTTCGTCCAGCGCGGAATCTTGGAAAAATTCACTGAGGCCCTGCTGAAGGTATACAAATCCACAAACACAATCCAACGATTAATAGGCTTGCGACGAGAAGCTGAAAGTCGGTGACCCATTGAACGAGGAAACCCGCGTGGGAGCCAACATTAATGAGTTCCACATGAAGAAAATCCTGGGATTCATCGAGAGTGCCCGTGCTGAGGTCGACAAACACGAAATGTTTCTAGAAAAACATTTTTAGGGTGGCCAAGTTCTTCGTGGTGGAGTCCAAGTGCACCCAGAAGGTGTTGAGAATGGCTATTACATTGACCCAGCCGTCGTCACCGGCCTGACCGATGAGGCCAAGGCCGTCAGGTTAGACACTCCACGAAATATTTCAGGCTGTGACCGTTTTTAGGGAAGAGATCTTTGGCGCTTGCATGATTATTCTGCCCTTCGAGACTGAGGAGGAGGCCATTGCTCGCGGCAACAACACTACTTTCGGCTTGGCTGCTGGAGTCGTCACCGGGTAAGCTAGTTCCTACATTTCGCCTTATTTCAAACTTTAGTGATCTTGCCCGCGCACACCGTGTCGCCGCTCTCCTTGAGGCCGGATCCGTCTTCATCAACACCTACAATGACTGCGAGGTATAAATATCAGCTAAAAATAAGTAGTAAAATTTTAGGTGAACGTGGACTTCGGCGGTTTCAAGAACTCCGGCCACGGCCGCGAAAACTGCATCGATGCCCTGAAGGCGCATACCCAGACCAAGGCTGTCTACGTCAACCTTGATGCTTCCTCCACCGCTTATTAGATGAAAATAAATTTTGATTACCGTAGAACTGCAAGGAGATATAAAAAAATCATTAGTTGGTTGCGTTAGACCTGAGGTCGTGGATAAAACGAAAATAATGTGTGTTTTTTGCGAGGTTAAATTTACAAACCTGGCTAAATCCGATGCTTGCAAGGGTCAAGAAATTCGAGACATAAAAATCGGTACCAGCCACCCCGCTTTCCCTGTTCCTAAGAATCGAGACGCGTTGCCAAGAATCCTCAAACGCTCCTGTCACCCACCTCAAAAGCCTCCCTTTCATCGTGCCCCAAATTATCTTGTCTCCCGGAATAATATACATCCTGACCCCCAACCCCCCCCCCACCTAGAGGTGATTTGCGCAAAAAAATGCAAGAATGTGTATGAAAAGAGGCGGATGGTGCCCTTGGGTCCCCTCCGCTTCCAATTCCTATTCAATTCGATTTGGTGAACGGCCCGAGAGGCTGGGCCCCAAAAAGCAACGCGATGGGCGAGGGGGGACCATTGCCGCCCGGGAGTTTCCCAGGACAATCATTTGCTGCTTATTTTTTGCACGAACACCTGGCGTCATTTTTTGTATTTATATAAGTTGCGTTCGTCGCGCGCTTAATATTGGCTAAGCCTTCGCATAGACTCGGCTAACTTTGTGGAACCATGGCTGAAAAACCAAAGACTCGAAGGGTCGTATGAACAATAATGTGCCGTATTTTCGTTGTCTACCCTTCTAATTGGACCATCACAAAAATACGAATTGTCCTCTGATTTCTACCATTTTACCAAAATCAACATTTAAAAATCATAAAATGCTATAAATGCTGCTCTTTGACATTTACCTATGCTCTTGAGTAGTTTCAAATATCTTCGGTGCCAAAAATTGATTAGGTTACATATAAGCGAGAAATTTCACCTCCAAATTCAGGGATTTTGGTCGTTCAAAAAGCTAAACTAGAGCCTTAATAATCTCACGACCACCACGGTTTCGGTGTGAATCATAAAAAACTCTACGTCTGTGATTGTGATATATAAATTGGTAATAAATAATGCAATCACTACAGACTATTTGAATAGGCATTCTTGCCGCAACCAAAGCTTTTACCCACCTTGCCGTGGCAACCTAGTTTAGGTCCAAATCACTTTTTATACCAAAGTCCCAAGATATATTAATTCCTCTCCGTAACATCTTCTACCTACCCCAACCTCAACTGAGCCATCAGGTATTCATCCAGTGGCCCTCCCTTCCCCACTTCCGAATTCACATTTCGGATTCTCATCCCCGGCTTCCCACCGGATTGCGCGGCCACCAACCCGTGCCCCCATCCCAACGCCCGTTTCGGGAGAATTTAGTTCCTTAGAACTGAACTTTTTCTCTAGGTTGACTGCTGAATCAGAAGCCAGTTCCTTAGCTTTCATTTCAAGGATCATTTGAATTGTAGATGTACTGAATCTTGTCAGCTTTCCAAAAAAGACGTTATTGCAAGGTTCACGTCATTTTTTCTTGCGAAACCGCTTAACCCTATTTGTTAAGGAATATTAGCATCCACCATAAGTCTTTCGTTGGCCGTCTAAGAAGCAGCGAAGCTATTTTTCACCCGCGTTATAACCTTTAAGCAACGCATCCATTCACCCCTTTTTTCCGTCAAACTGACTAAACGCCTTCAAGCCGCCCCCTCCCTCAAAATTAGCATCGTTCACTTCTTCTTCCTCACCTCCCCCTCTTTTTATTCATCGCTCCCATAATCAATGTAAATATGACGGGTGGGCAAGCCTCGCTTTAAAACATTCTCTCCCTCTCTTTTTTGGCTTTTCCCCCTCATCCCTAACGGCCGTCATGTAATGTTAGAACACGGCTAATTAGCGTTGCATCGAAAACGGGCATCCCATAGCCCCCCCCCCCTTTTCAAGATGGCGACATTGCACCCCAAAAACGTCTGATCGTTTACGAGAAGTTCTTCGCTGCTTAAACTCATTTTTCATTCGCCTTGACGTCCTGAAAAGCAAATCTGGTCACCTTTGTCTTGGCCCGTAAATTATATATTTCGCTAATTGCTACCCGACGCATCGATTCCAGGTCCGCTCTGTTCAGCCCTCCATTTTGGCACTAGGGGCTATTCTGGCCCTCAAGGAGGGCTCATGTTTGGTCCGCTGCTTTTTCTTGTCACTGAGGGGTTATCGTCAATCGAGGCTCGGACGGAATCCACATATCCATGGAAGTATGACAATATGTTTTTTGAAGGTAAGCTTTTTACCTGTTATCCAGTCAAAATTTTCAAAGCTCAGATTTAAAATTTTAAAGCTTACCATCGTTTTTCATTTAGGTCCGGATTACTGGGGTGTCCATTCCGAATGGGTAATGTGTAGCCGTGGAAAACTTCAATCACCCATCGACATCCGCCCTTCACTACTGCTACACGACCCATCTCTCCGACCAATTCATATCGACAGAATTTCAGTTGGACAAACTCTATTTTACATTCAGCTTAATAGGTACTATCCGAAATGGTAAATGTGGGACAAATGCCTCGAGTACGGATAGGCAACAGTTTGAGACGCCCCACCGCTAACCTAACGGGTGGTCCACTAAATTCATACAGGTTTCACATACATGTCATCTTAGTATTACCCGTTTCAGATATCGAATACAACGGATAGACATCCATTTTGGGGTATTTGGTCACGCAAATGGTAGCGAGCACGCCATTGATGGAAGGAAGTTTCCGATGGAGGTATTAGTCATCAGTTTATGATAAGAATCATTTTAGCTGCAACTACTGGCCTTCAATGCCGATCTCTACACCAATTTTTCGCAAGCCTCGAAAGCGCCCCACGGCATCGCAGCCATTTCAGTTCTTGTGGAGGTATTTTGGAATTGACTGCTTTCCAAAACATTTTTAAGTATGGTGGAGAGACAAATGAAGAACTACTGAAACTTACAATCGCCACGGCCAGCGTACAATACAAAAGTTGGGCCCATAACTTTTTCTAAAGAGATTTCTGTAGGCCAAAGGGTCGAACTGGCCGATTTGTCACCGTGGAAGCTGTTGCCGAGAACGCGCGATTTTCTGACTTATGAGGGGAGCATTACATCGCCGCCATGTGATGAGACCGTGCAGTGGATTGTATTGAATCAGCCAATACATATACATCCGGATGACGTGGGTTTTTGTTAACCTTGTGTCACTGCTTTCCCGGGCTCGTGAAAGTGTAAAAGGTTAAAAACGTAAAAAATGAATTACAGTATGCGGAATGGTCAAAATTATCACAATTATCGCCCACAGACCCGCCAGTACCAATTGCACCAAACTGTCGTACTCTCGCCGAAGCGAACCAACGAACGGTTCGAACAAACATCTTGATGTCCAAAGAAGTAAGCCAAACTCAATTCTCTTCATCCCATTTTTTGCATAGCCTAACCCTTCCAATTTTTACGAATTTCAGGAATCCTCAACATGCTCTGCACCACGAGTCACCTACAAAGTTCTATCCAATCAAAAAGAGCACGGAAGAGCCAAACGGAAGCACCACAGCCCTCCGGTCAAATAGAAAACGCACTTTGCTCAAAATGTCCTTTCACGCTCATATCAGCCGTAATAAATAATTTATCATTGGTCTTTTTGGGGGGTGGTTATTGCTGCAAAATCTTAAAATCACAACCAAGGGAGCTGATGAGGTAATACTAATGTAGACTAGCTAAATGACACAACCTAGCATGCAAACAAACATAAATGAGCTTTTTGGCATCGGGACCAAAAAGGAGGCTAAGGCTAGGCATTTGGGAAGGGACGGCAATCAGGCGGGGGCAGGGAATCAAATAGCCGTGATACAGTAGCGATAAAGTGAATTTCACAAAAACTCGAATTCCATTAAAATATGACCTCTGTTTCTGTACTCGCGCTAATCATTTAGGTGGCTAGGTTTAAAATTAGCTACGCTAAATCCAATCAAAGTTTGATCTCACGAATCACTCAAGCACTATCACGACAAACATTTAGTATGTACTATTAAAAAGGGGATTGATAGAAGTTTGAAATGGAATGTTTCTTAGAAGGTATGATGATTGTCGACCGAATTACTTCTTCCAGTATTTGTTAAGGGCTTCGATGATCGAATCATAGATCATGAAGGTGATAGCCACATCTAAGCAGACACGAGAAAGGCGGGGAACGGTCCCTTTGTAGAACCTAAAAATGCGTTAAATACTAACATCATGATCCGAACGAACCCGAACTTCAAACGATAAATCTGTTCATTACCGCCATTTTCTTTTTCAAAAACTCACGCGAAGAAGCCTTCCTTGCGCCAGATTTGTAGTGCACAGTCGAAGGTATTCTTGTACTTTTGGCGCTCAAGGCCTTGCATTCGAGTCTTCACGACGTCAACCGGGGTATTTCCGTATACCTAAACTTTTGGTACGAGCTTCTAGACGCAGCAAACCGAGGCAGCTCCGGCAATGGCACCCATCAAACCAACGAGAGGCTTAGCAATTGGCTTCGTGTTATCGCCACCGCGATACCAGTCCTGGAAAGAAACGGAGCTCATATTTTCTCGCATCTTTATTTATTACAGATTTTAGTTTATCTAGATTATTCGAAAATTACCTTCAAAGTTTCCATAACGAAAAAGCGAATAGCCTGGTTGGAGCCTTGTTTGATAATAGTAGCCGTGAGACCTTGATAAATTCCCTTCAACCCGTCAGTCTTTATGATCGTCGACACTCCATGGACGAATCCGCGATAACGAGGCTTCTGAAAGGGAATGAGAACTAATTTTCCAACTTTCACTCCCACCTCAAGCGTCTGATCATGGATCAACTTCACCTTGATCGTTTCCATCGGTGTCACGGCCAAAATAGCTTCCGATACTCCTAAATCCATCAATTAAAATGCGCCTACAAAAATTTAACGGTGCAGAAAAAAACAAATGGAAAAGGGCTAAAACCTTTTATTGTAGTCTAGATGCCGAGTAGATCTGCAATAAACTGCCAAGTATTAGCTTGAAAACTTTAGCTTTATATTTAAAGGACTACCTGCACCAAGTCCGCAGAGGAGGCGAGTCATTGGAGTCAGATTGCCACGCTCATCGGCAGCTTTTCCCTTCAGAAACTCGAAAGTTCCGAAACGAGCACCACTTTTCGGGATGGACCCGTAGAGCAGGACTGAGAGTCCACGGTATAGTCCGAAGAATCCATGGCCACGAACGGTTTGTTTGACGCAGTCGATGGGTCCCTGCAAGGGAGATTAATTCTGCGTTTACCACAATGGAACCAATTTCATTAAAAAATGCGAAATTTATTAACGAAAAAAAGATTGAGTCACTTACCTTGTACTTAGGCTGTGCACTCCGCTCATCCAACTGCAGCTGTGTCTTTACGTACTCCGTCGGGAAAGTGATGCAAATCTCAATGGCCCCGGTCAGACCTATTTGCATAGAAAATTAGTGTATAAAGAATCTGGGAAGTTGCCATACCTCCAATAGTGATCCCCCTGACGGTGTTTTCTGAGGGCCCATACTTCTTCCACATCGACAGATTGCCATTGCTACAAATTCCGACTACAGATAATTACAATTTGCACCTACGAAGCAGCCCTGATTGCCTCGGCCATCCCGCGCCAGGAAGCTTGCCGATTTTACCTTAAAAAATTTTTAGAGTACACTCTTGTGACACATATGCAAAAATCGAAAAAATCCGATCAATGAAATTGCCATCTCAGCTTGACATTTTTAGAGCAAAACGCTGGTTCGGATTGATTCGAATGGTCTTTTGTTTTGAAGACGACAAGTGCTCTTAACGCGGAAAAAGCCAGTCAAAATAAAAAGGGTTGAATATGTCGCTCTTCCTAATGTTAATTTTCTAAATTTCACATTTTTTATTCACTGTGGTGTCAAAATATTTGACGGATACGGTAGATGCTCATTACTAAATGCTTAATTACGCGATATTCCGAATTTTTTAAGAATCGGCAATTAGCGAACTATAATTAATTTAAATATAGGATCGTATGTTTGAGCTCATGACAACCGTAAAAAATTTTTTGCTTAAAACCGGAAGGTCGCGAGTGGAAATTTGTTTGAAAAGCCAAAAGCAACGCCTGAATGGATGAGGAGAATTTTTTGAGGAGCACATGGGAGAGCCCGAAGTCTCGTGGGCCCCCAAGAAGAATCGGAGGAGTCGGATGGAGGGAAAAGTGAGGGGGGAAGCCGAGATTCCAAAGTCCCCAGTCGAAACACGCCACCATTTTCCATTGATTTGGGCAACCGAGTGCCGTGTATCGCCACGTAGCCTCGTGCCCCATTCTATGGGTGACCTTTCTTTCCCAGGATGATCACTATCTAGATCCAACCAGCCGACGAGACATCCCAAAGACCATATCAATCAGAAAAATGGCGAAACAAGACGGAAAAGAGAGAAAGAGCAACACTCACCACGCACCACTCTGCACTCTTTTCGATCCCCCAATTCCCGGTGCACTTGCGAGAAAAAGCTTTCCAGATTATCAAACACCTTTATCATGCCGATTCTGCGATTAAGGTTTCAACCTGAGAAGGTAATATAGGTTTTCCATGCATATTCCAAAGTGAAATGTATGTCGACCCAAAGGACATTGACAGCAATATCTCAATTCCGAATATCATCCAAAACGGAGAAATCCAGCGGAATCGGCGCTATTTTTCTCATCCTCATCGAATTATGCGATTCGTGTCGTATCTCAGATGCAACCTAAAATACAAGCTGTGTTGTTTTTAATTTTTGAACTCCCACCTCAAGAGCATACTTCCCCATAATATTGTTAACATCATGTACATCAATTTCAGCAGTAGATTTCACTCTTTTGGGCGTTTTTAGATCCTAGAATTTTTCCATTATTAAGATCGCTAAAGGCGTTTTACCTGCGGCCGCAATTTTGGGGGTTTATTTTCTGCTTCAGTTTCTTGCCGCCGTTTTCGCGTTGCCATCGGAGCTCCTTCGGATCTGGTTTTGGCTACGATCCCCTCAAGGACTTGCATCTAAAACAGCGGGTGAAAATGGTATATGGTATAACTTTTATTGTTTGTATGAGTTAGAGTGTCTCAATCGTACCTTGAATCCAATTTGTTTCCGGAAGTCCACGTACGATTCCACCACCGATGAAGTACGCGTTGTGCTCACATCTTTCAGGACGGCACGTTCCCTTCCGTGTTCCAATCCCTAAATTGAAATGATGCTTGCTTGGATCCAGGAATGACAATTATTAAACAAATTATTTCCCTAAGCAGTTCAGTGGTGAGTATCAGCTATATTGGTCCGAAAGCATACGTCCTTTTGCCAACCTTATAAAGAATATCGCTCTCCGAAACACCACATTCTTCTTGTAGGCGTCTAATAACGGAACGGGAACAACGATGCTCATCAACGAGAAGTTTCGCACCGGCGATCACAGCATTTTCCATATTCAATCCCGTTCGTTCGGCAAGAAACATTTCTTCACGTGCTCCCACGCGCGTCTGAAATTATTCTTCGTTTGGAAAAATCTTTTTTTAGCTACCAACTTTGCATAAAGCCAAACCTGTAGCAGCATTTCCGCTCGTTTCCGTTCGTACTCAACTGTATCGCCCAGAGACATGTCAAAATCGTTCAGTTCAATGTTGTCACTCTAAATGGAAAGAATTAATAGAAAGCAATGATGTTTGGTAGCCAACCATTTTGAAAGATCGTTCTCACCTTGAAAATCTGCTCCTTATACATTTCAAGCCTTTTGACGAGGGCGAGTGGTGTTATCGGGCTGCGGAGATGTTCTCCCTCAGCAAAACTGCCGTTCATTGATGATCCCTGGCTGGCCATGCTGATGTCCAGAAGACTGATGCTTTTCCGCATACGCGGCGCCATGTTCTAAAGTTTTTGTTATTAATTTAAAAATAAAATAATGAATGTTAAATATATCGAATGTTCGATAAGAAGGCCAAGAAAAATAAGCAGATAGCTATATAAAAAAGCAAATAATTGAATAAACTTAGCAGAAATTTCCACAACAATAAAAGGAGGCTACTGATCTCTTGTTGATATTAGGCGATATCTCGAATGCAAATATATACATATATAAATTCAACTGCAAAAAGCAATGCAGAGCGTGAAATAATATTCTATATAGCTAAAAAAGGTATAGCTTGATACAGTAACTGCCGCAAGCATCAAAACAACGACGCATTGAGTTGTAAAAATGATAAATTCTTGGTTGCCCAGACATCATTCCCACAAAACGGCATGTAATTCTTAAATCGATATGCAAAACAGGTGACAAGTCCTTTGAGGTGCTAGGGTAGACAATAGTCGGCTGGGGGGTCGATTTGAATGTCCCGCCGACGCGTCCATGCAGAGGACGCTATGGGGAGCCAGCTGTTTGTGTTGCTCTCTTTCCCCCCGCACGTTCATTTGCATACCCTCCCCCATCATCGAATTGAACGTGAAAATTTCGATGGACCTGTGCTGAAAGCTGAGAAAAATCTGCACAAAATTGACAATAAAAGCTTGGCTATCGTAAGGTATTCAAATTTCGAAATGCGTTATATGGAAAGCATTATAGGGAAAATGAATGAATCGAAGTGGGATCTAATTGTTCTCACCGCGGGCTCTGAGCGGCAGAAACAAACCTTTAACCTTCAATGTGATCATATTAACTGGCAATGCTATGGAAAGAACCTGGAAATAGTGGTTGACTATCCAACTGATTGTAGAATTGGTTAGTCCATTTATACTGGGAATTTCCTACTTTTGGATTTTGGGTTCTGGCGGTGCGACGATGGAAGTATTAGTGAGGCTTCAGAGCTTTTTTGGAAAGACGGAACTTTCGTCACAACGGGTGTTGCTAATCCATTCAGGTGGTCTTTCACAGGTAGGCTGATTACCATATATTATCGTCGATAAATCTAGCGAACACCACAATTCTCTGTACTCGGTAAGGTGTTCGCTCCTCTGCCCGGAGGAAAAACTATTTTTGAAACCAAATTGGACGAATATAAGGTAGAAACGCCTCCTCAATCATATACATAAATCCAGAGACATTTATTGCCAAAACTGCCAGCTGGTCTTTTTATTTGTGCATCGGATGTGGTGGAAGATCTTGCTGGGTGTCATTTCCCGGATGGCCCAATGGATTTTGTCTTATTGGCTCATCACTCAAAGCTCGAAGGTGGGAGGGGCTAAAAATATATGAATAGTGTATTCCTTTTAGTCGCTCAGGGACATGGGGTATTTGTCGTTGACGAAGCGAATACGTTACAAACGGTATTACAAAAACCAACTCCTGCAGAACTTTTGGCTTATCCAGGGGCGAAATTAAAAGTAAGAGATTAATATTTAACTATACTATTGGAATCAGGACGATTGCTACTTAACAGACTCTGCTTACTGGATAAATTGGGATATTGGGAAGAAACTGACTGAAGAGTACGCAGCAAAAAGACCAATTCAATGTGAACTTTGCTGCTATTCCGATTTCATGCGGCCCCTTGGGAAAACACCTGATTTGCGCTACCTAGATGAGGTTTGTTTTGTCAAAAATTGTATTTATTTTGATTGACTACAAGATTTTAAAACACCGATCCCAAAAAAACCGATCATTAAGCGGTTTTGAAGTATTTACCCAGCTAGGTAAACCCTGCTTTAGGCGCCCGGTGAAAAAGGAAGCTGGCAACAATTTTATGCCTCAACGTTCAAGGTACCTGGTTAATCCTACCCAGCGAATTCAGAAATTTGCAGGGATCCCGTGTTGGCCTAATGATACAGGGGACAAATACCTTTTTCCATTTTGGGACGTCTAATGAGTACTTTCAACATTGTGCCCCGGGCTCTGAATTTTATAAAAAGTTTATTAAAGGGTCGAGCACAAGGGAGGTAAGAGTTGCAACTCCTCTTGCGTTCAATATTTTTCAAGCACCTTGAATTCTACTGCTCTATCGATCCAAAAACTGTCATTGGGTATGGAAGTATATTATTTGATGTGGTCATTGAAAGCCCAGTCGAGGTACCAGAAGATATCCTGATTTTTACACTGCCGGTGGATGATGGATATATCACTGGTATGCTCCGGAAGCTACAAATACAAATACATTCAGCGCTTTTCCCTGTGAGTGTGGACATCAAAAACACAACGAGCTGGGGTTTGCACCCATTGCATTCCAATTCTTTATGGAGCGCCCCGTTATTTCCAATGCGTGCGACGCGGTTTGAATCAATACGGTTAGCCTCGATTTATTTTTAATAAGGGTTGCGTTTTTCTAGCTAAAATGTAGCTTATTCAATTCGAAAATTCAATTTTAAATAATTCTCGATTGATGACTTTTGCAAAACCACTATCCCGGAATGGATAAAATACGCAAAAACGGGCGTTTTTCAGAGCCGTTAGTCTTAAAAGCTACTGAGAATCGTTCCTAATTTAATTTGCGGATAACCGGAAAAAGTGCTCGTTAGAGATTTATCTTTTCAGTGCAACCCTACAACTCTGGAATTCCGACGGCCATCAGGACATCCCAGAAAAGCTGTATTCTATCTCCGAGGCGATATCCGCATGCGAAGTCGCAAAACTGGTCAAACATCGCTTAGAATTCGAGGGCCAATAAATCGTAATTACCTTTTGCTAGTTTTTATTCGGTCAAATACGTGCATGCATGCAGTTCGAGCACTTGACTTTTTTGCTGGCCGCGTATTGAGGGACACCCCGAATGAGGACATCGTCCACTCGAGCCCTTCACATCTCGATCAAAGATCCCGCAATCTTTTTTTTTTTGCAAAATTTGCTTCACATCGAGGATCGGTATGTACCAGGCCATTACTATTTAATCTCGGTATTCTAACCGATTTCTCAACTTGTGCTAAAAGGTGTCCATAGGTAGAAAAGTAGTCACGCAGCTGAAGAACAGCATGCTGAACGAGGTGCAATGGCTATATACGCTTCATAAACGCCTACACCCCGGGCTGCTTTTATTAACCTCTGATCCACTACGCAGCATATTTTGGGCCCCAAAAAAGTGCATGTTGATGCTAAGGGCCCTGGGGGCATATTGTGGGTGGACCTTTGCACGTAGAGTCACGGCTAGTGGCGGTATTTAGGTTAAGTGTTGGGAGCCAGATAATTGCGCAGTTTTCATTTGGCTATTTCAGGGGACGAGGCTGGTGTTTTGTTAGCAGTCACGTTGATCATTTATATCTTTCCTTTTTCATTAAGGCATGGGCTATAAAGTCCCTTATCGCTTTTATAAATCTTGCTAAAGTTGCTAAAGTTGAAGAATGTTTCCCTTAGAAGCATCTGTACGCTTTATGCAAATGTTGCTGGGTAGTCAGTTTCGAGTTTTCGAGGTAAGGAAGTTTTTAATAAATTCCCGGCGCTCTCTAGCAGCCAAAATTTTTTACGATTTATTTTTTCATAGCCGCTCCCTTGCTTCCAGCGCGCAGGTGCAGCTTCAGTTTCCGTTATCGAGATTGCGGCGCAGGGATAGGCCCGTTTCGATTTTCACCGAAAATGTTCCCCCAATACGTCGCGCGCCTGTGCTTCTCAAATTCCCGACGGCACGAAATGGCAGTCCAGGGACCACTGGATGTGGCGGGGTGGTGTGGTCTTTGAGCTGTATGTGCGCAGAAGGAAGGCTAGAGGGCGGGTGTTGAACATTTCGAGCCCGTGGGCCGGGCGGGAACCTCGGGAAGGGGGCATTGTGTGTGGGAACACGGCGAGGACTCCTGAAATGGGGGGAATATGGAAGAGAAGGAATATAGAGTGGAGAAATGCACAGAGGATAGGCACTCGTCTGCACTCTCTTCCAAACCCACTGTATATATTTCGATCGATCCGAATACCCCCCCTACCCCCGTGTCGCAGAGGAATGAAACATGTCTTTGCACTTACCTCGCCCCCCCTCCTTCAAACCCGCAAGGTGCTCCCCTTCCTCGAAATGGACCGTGTCTTGCACAACGCCTATTTTCAAAGGTGTCCACTTTCCACTTTGCCGCTCCTTGCAGCGCTGTTGTAAAACAAAGATCCCTTCTCCTGAGGTCAATTGACTCAAACGTCCCAATTTATATCTTAACAAATACCATCCCACTTTTCCTGTCTCGCTGTTCTCCCAATGTATATTTTCCATAATCAAAATTCAATACTATGCTTTGTAACGATTTAAATAAAACCTATTCGGTAAATGGGCAGAATATTTTTGTTTATTTTTTATTTCCCGGATGAATGGTGTAAGAACTATTTTTATTTACCAATAGTATGCTTAAAATACTGGAAATACGTGAGCGTTGAATTTTTTCTGCTTTGCGGCTGCTCCAAGCATTAAAGTTAAATTCAGGAAAAAGGCGGGAAACCTCCGCATCTGCTTTACTCCCCTAGTCCATCCATTTTTTCAAAAATTGCCCGAGGCACCGATTCTATGGCCTGCCTCCTGCCTGCCTGCCTCCCTCCCCTTCCTCAAATCTTCGATGGTAGCATCATACTTCAAATTCAAAATCTGCCGGGGAAACAGAGCGCGGGGTGCGGGGCCTAATTGCTCTCAAAATTCGTATTGTTCATTGGAATGTGTGCCTTTCTGTGCATCGACTCGCTTCCCGCCTGAAGGGCTGGCGTCGAGGAGTGTTTTCCGGTCAGCTAATGTACGGGGCGGGCCGTGTTGTGGGCCTGATGTTGGCCCAAGCTAAGCCCTCCAACCCTTCCTCTCAACTCCGAACAACCTACCAATTAGGGTCCCAAATTAATGGGTTCAATGCAAACCAACCCGTGAAAATGAAATGTTATACCGTCTCATTTAAATAACTGCTGTGGGGCCAGCTCGCTGGACCACATTAGACTCCGCCTATCTACTGTTCCTCTTGTCCCAAATTCTCCTAAGCATTGTACTTTAATTTTGTACAAGGGGATGCGCTGTGGTGTCAGCCTGCTGGACCCCAATAGATCCTCTTTACTCACGGCTATCCCTCCTATCTGCTGGATAAGCGAACGTAGGCGGCCGCGTTGCGGTCACGTCGCGTGTCCCGGATTTCCCCCGAGACTAGAATGTATTTTTTTAGTGGGCACAGACTTGATCGGTCGCCTATCTTCCTGCCACCATTATGTAGAATAAACAGTTGTTCGACAACTGTTGTCCGAGCGCGCACTTCTATAGTCTTCGGGGATCACAATCACAGACTTCCCAAACCATAACCTCAAAACTTTCTTTGAAATTTATACCTATGCCTATAGAAACCATTTAAATATTTTGCTTCTTTTTTGAAGCTCCCTTTTTTGGACCATTTTGTGAGCAGATCCATCGATAACATCTGCTCAACATTGATTCAGCAGCCCTCTCCCCTTTTTTTATCTTATCACTTCAGATTCTCATTATCAGCATTTTTGGCGGCAGCCTAAATGTTCCAGATCCCTCCATTCTAGTTTCCATCTGCTTCTTCCCCCTAGACTTCCAAGCCATTAAAAAAACCATATTTTAGGAAAGTGGCTTCGTCAGCAGGATAGCCCATTCGCTTACTTAATGTCCCACTTCAACACCGTAACATCTCATGACCAATCGAGGTCGTCAGAGAAAAGTTGGTTTTCAATATTTACTACTATTAGCACCCAATAACTTCGTATTCCTCTAGCTTTTGTTAACCCTAAACAGTTTCAGATACGGATGTCTGCCATGTTTGTGCATCACCCCAGGCCGCCTCGCCCCATTTTGGTATGCAAATTGGTAAATAAAACAAAATCCAAAAATCAGGAGCTATCTCGTGTCTGGCGTGTGCGGCTTTCTTCCGGCGAACCGTCTCACTTAACATCACATTTATATGCAAAGCCGAAAAGAAATGCCGAATCTACTATGGTTAGTCCCATGGAAAAAATACAAAGGTGCCTGGCTTTTTAGAGCTTCGCATGATCTGCCGTGCTTGTCGATATGATAAATGTCTGCGAGCTGGGATGAGGAGAGAATGTTAGTGATTTTTGTCTCGCGTATAGATGGCGTGCGTTTTAGGCGTGCAGAAAAAGCGTCCACCAAAGCCAGGAAAGAGGATAAAGCCGGAGATGGACGATGATGAACTATATGAACAACAGTAAGTACACTTTTTGAGGAAAACTGAGTCCGCTCTAGATTCCCACGAGTCGTCGACGATGCGCCAGGTCCCTATATCAAAAAGGAGGTTTTAAGCCCGATGAGCGCCGTGGATGAGCCAAAAACGGTCGAATATTCACAAGGTAGGATTAAAATAACGTTTTTTTAAATTTTGTAGAAATTCGTTTTGAATGCCCGGCATCTGCATCTTCTTCACTCGACTCATATGAAGAACGCTCACTTCATTCGTCGCCTTCTGCGTCCTTTGAGCGAGCGGTAAAGCTTCCAGTAAATGAAATAATATCAACTATTTTTAGTCTCAACCTTCGACTTCTCGGCCAACCGACCGAACGTACGAGGGGCGACTTAGAGCTCGAAATTTGCGTGACTGGACGGGGCGAAAGTTGCTTGCGCATTATCTTGAAGAGGTGAGTGTCTTTATGAATTGGTTGATAGAAGCCTTGTTTTCCGATAGTCTGATATTGTTTTTGAACAGAATTCCGAAATAGTAACTATTCACACCGATTTTCCCGCTTTAAGGTACATAGTTAATTTATAAAATTAAGTTTGTAAAGAGTGTATTAAAAAGCGTGGTATGTTAGAGGTGTCTATAGTAGAAAAAGACGGTTATCGGATCCATGGATATTAGGATTCAGTATCGATCAAAACGTAAACTGTTTAGGAGCAACACGCAATGGATGCGCGACGCGTCATGTACAGCGAAGCCCCGTTGGTGGCTATGGTCCAAACCACTGGAGATATCGTAAGTACCACTCGACATCCCATTTAATTACCCATTTTTTAGCCATTCTCGCGCAACACCTTGGCCGCCCACACTCTATCTCGTCAACGCTACACTATCCAATTTGAGCATTTCCTCTCCTTCCAATATGCGCGTCGACTTCCCGGCTTTCACTTGCTGAGCAAGGATGAGAAGGTTGGTACTTCGGAGATTCTAAAGCTCATTTTCGTGTTTAGGCTCATCTTTATAAATCCTGCGCTTTGGGATTCAGTGTATTGGATATGGCATGGATGACCGTCAAGCTCAGGTAGGAATTCTGGATATATACTGAAACACAGTCTTACAAAGAGTGTTTTTTTATATCTTCACCACAACCCAAAATTTTAGAGAACCCACGGATCGAATGCTAATTTTTACCGATGGCACATATTCCGATTTGAGCAATTACGTGGTAGGATGGGAAGACGAACCCGGATTAATCACTGGAGACGCCAAAAAACAGTAGGTTTTGTCCAGATTTTCAAAATGTTACATTCTTTCAGACTGTTCCTCGAATTCAACGAGCGAATCTTTACCGAACTGATCATGCCGATGTCAGAACTGGATCTACGAGATTTCGAATATGCTTCGCTAAAAGCTCTAACCGCCTGGAGAGTTTGTGCGTTTCTTAAACGCCGCCTTCTAGTCGTTCCATGGAAGCAATTTGTATAATTTAAATGATTTAGGGTATCTACAATTTACGAATACACTCCAAGACTTGGCGAAGGAGCATGAGAAGTTGATTCTCGATGGATTAATCGAAATGTATAGGGTACGTCGCAATATTCTGAACTTATTTTTTTGTTCAAATGAATCAGTGGGATGTGGATACAAAAGGCAAATTTTTATATAAACGTTTTTAGGAGCGCAATGAGCAGGATTTTGCGACCAGAATGGGCTCCATTCTCCTCCTGATAGGAACAATTTCGGTAAGCAACAATCAAGCGTTCTGAGCCCAATTTTTTAGGACTTGTACCGCTGCGTGACCGAAACTTTCACCAAAATTCAGTTTTTTAATCTGCTCGACATTGACCATATTTCCAAAAATTTAATTAAATTTTAAATCTTGAACCTTTCTCGAAAACTTTTTCTCAGGATAGGTACCCTATTACCCTCATCCCTTGAAACCCAGAATCCTATTGCCCATAAGATATTTAACATTTTTTTTGTTGTTGCATTTATCTCTCATTTGGGCAACACCCAGGTATGGACCAAGCAATTTGTGTTTGTACCCTACACGATGGCCTTTATTCAAATCTTTCGCGAACATCAGTACTGTTTTGTGGCAATTATTCTCTACTGTCAAATGATTCGATCTTGAGCCAACCGGACACCCTGTATATTCGGTTACGTAAATACCTCTGTGATAATTTACCTGGAGATCCCAGACACCAAACCCTATCTAGTCACTTCCTAGAGGCATATTAGGAAATAAATGTTGACATTACCATGGTTACGTAGACACGCCAAGCCTATGCGGAAATTGGTCACATGTGGATCCTATGACAAGCTATTGAGAAAAACGTTGATGCGGATTTTGGCACCTTTCAGCAACACTTAAAATGCGAAATCGGAATAAATAATATCAAGTTGTTTTATTAAAGCTCCCGGAACTGGGTGTGAATCTTTGTTCCGAACTTCTGGTCGTCAAAAAACTATGCAAAACTATAAAAAAAGCTATCCAGGAACCTTGTCAACTTTTAAAATATTGAAAATCCTTAGCTAATACACAAGAAGTCCTTTCTTTCTTCTTTCTTACTTAATGAGAATCTTTCTTAATGAGAACCCGGAATTGGCGGTGAATTTTCTATCCGAATTTTCTGCCCGTTGAATTGAGTTCCGAGTCTGCATCGGCGTTCCGCGGAATTCTGAAGCACCCAGGAGAGCGAGAAGAGGCCACGTCTGTGCTCCCTAAAGGGCCGGTCCTTTCCTTTCTTTCACTCGTTCTCTCTCTCTCTCTCTCTCTCTCTCTCTCTCTCCCCAGCCAATCTGCCCTCGACCTCGTCGGCCCCGGTGAGCTCCGCCGCAGAGCTCATCGGATAACCTTTCTTCCAGATCAGACATTTACTTTTTTTGGACAAATCTTTCTGGTAACCTATTAGACAACTTGGGCTCTTTATTTCTTCTTCAAAGCTGTTTATTACAGTATTTTTATTAGTTTAGTAAATCTCCACGCTGCCGTCCTTTCTGTGTTGTTCGTCGTTCGACGAAGACGAGGTGAGTTTTTAACCGTTGGTTACATAATTTTGTAGGGCCAAATTAACAATACTGTATTCCCTCTATTATGCTTTTAACCCCACCCCAATCCAAAAAACTTCCAAAAGTTCATTCAAAGCTTTTGAATTTTTACGTTTCCAAACCCTGCTATAGAGACAAGGGTGTGCCTCCAAACCCTCCCCCAGTTCCATGCTTTTCGCATTCGAATTCTCGCTAAACAAGGCGGAAGTAAAAATCCACGAAAGCAGATTTGCACTTAGGAGCTGGGTTTTTTTGGGAATGGAAGTCTACCTGCCCTGGTTGTGTCGCCTGGTCAGTTCTGTTCTCTAGAGCAGAACACGTGGTCTGTCTGCACTTAACGGCCTGATCCCGGTCACCCGGCTCCAAGTTGACCACCCGAACGAAGAGGGGTGGATGGATAGAGCTTTTAAGTATACACCCTCAGGGCCCTTTCCCATCATTTTCCCAAACATCCCATTATGAACAACCAAGTCGATGACGATGGTGCGACTTTCCTTTTAATTATGGCCAAAAGGCCAGAGGCTGAGGAATGCGTACTTTGGCTTGTCGGGGGACCATCCGAGCCGGTCGACGATGAATTTTGTGAACTCGAAATCATGCTGCCGACTATTCCAAAAAACATCTTTACTCCGCCCTTATTTATTCGTCTAATCAGTTACCCGCTACGCATCTTACTACAGGTAATTTTGAGAGAAGGAAACCGGTTTTTGGCTAGAAACTATCGTGTTATTTTCCGAGGATGATTTTTGGGCCGCATCCTTTGGGGAATACGTTTTTTGGCGATTGTTTTCCGGGGGTGATTGGATTATTTTGTCTGGGTGTTGTGTGTGGGGGAGAATTGGGAAAGGGGTTAAGAAAAAGGGGCTTACGTTACTGGTTGGTTCAAAGATCTGATTTACGTTTTTGGGATAGACGGTAGTGGTGATAGGTTGATAATTTTTGGTCATCTGGTTAGGCTTGCGAGCTTTTTCTTTAAAAAAAATAGTAGAATAGAGTTTTATAGTTTTATAATTTACCAGGATGCAAACGATCACAATCTTATGGGTTTACTCTTTGGTTTTTCTCAAGTGATTCAAGAAAACCCGGAAGCGGCACGTGCTTATTTTTCCATTCTACCGAACTTTTATTGTTTTTCATTCTAACTACTGATGGATCGCTTTGTGGGACGTTGTTTAGATGTTGGCTAGTTTATCAAAATCATGCGCTTGTTTTCCGGGGGTGGTGGGTCATTTGACCAGTGGGACGCGATGGGGGGCCAGGCCAACATTTTAGGAAGGGGGGCAGCCAGAATGGAACGGATGGGAGGACGCACGTGAGATTGAAAAAGAGGCTGAAGGCGAGAGAATAGATTGTGTTGAAGCCCTAGAGAGAGAATATAGACATGCGATGAGACAAGGCTCAGCTGACTGGCCGCCTTCCCCCCCCGATGTCCTGCTGCACCACCAGCCCTCCTCCTCCGCCTCCATTCGGCCAATATCTAAAAGACGATTCCATCTCAACATTCACAATTCCACCCAATACCCACTTAATTATCCCGATTATTTTACCCTTTATGACGGTGGCCCTGCTCTTCCGGCGGCAGATCTGGAACATCTGGAAGGTGGTTATTTTTATCTGCTCCTACTTTATACAAAAAAATAATGTATGGGTGGGCAGGCTTGCGTTTAAATTTTCACTAGGTTTTTCCACGCTTAAAGATCGAGGGAAGCCATTTTCTGGCACGAAGGTGCGTTATTAGGTGTAGAATGGGCCGGATGCGACTCCCGTAGCATCGGAATGTCACAAAAATGTAACTATTAGAGTCGGATTATTTGAAATTCGGTGACCCACTTTGTTAGGAAGCAGATTAGTATGCGCCCAAAGTCGAGTGGGGAGGGTAGTCTATATAAAAAAGCCTGGTTTCCATATTTTTCTCTGCAGGATTAAGGAAGCACCATGCAAAGTGAAGTCATTCAAGCCTGATTTAAAAATAAGAAGTTTATTTTGCAAACCATTGTTGCACTCCCTTTAAAACCTCTTAAATCTTGACGAACTCAATGCCCACATTGATCTCAATCTGTGAAGCACTAGCAGCGTCCAGAGTTTGAACGCGGAAAGTGCAAGGAGACGGGCAACTTGTTGATGGAGGTGCGGGGCGATGGTCACGAGTGCATAAAACGTGGAAAGGGTAAAGGGGAAGGGGGGAGGCTAGGCTGCTGCAGGGCGATACGAACAGGTCCGTCCCAGGACACACCAACCGCATCCACACCGCAACAACATTGTTTAGAGCTGCGTTTTTATTTGTTGTTGCTGCAGCTATGACCATTAATTTAAAAATTAAAAATTTTTTTGTGGAAATCATTTAAATGAACTAGGGAAGACAAGAGATGTATGTAGCTTTTGTATGCCACCCATCCGAGATTCTCAAAATTTTTCACAACGAATATCTGGTACAAAAGCGGAACTATATACGTATAATTACAATTCTCTCTTGTAGTTCATCTAGGTTTTTCATGGCTTTGGCAAGCCATCTGTATCTTACTACTATGATCCTGGTGCTCAATAACGCCGGCCAGTTGATTGATGCTACCGTAGTCAGAGAGCTACTCATAAATCGTGTGCCCCGAATTGCAGGGCGGAGGGAGCTATTGTCCAATCGCCCATCGTTTGCCCCTTTTTTGTACTATAAGGCAGCAAAATTCTGACAGCGTGCAATCCCCGGCCATTCCCCGTCCCCCAACCCTCGTGATCCGGGGGGTGAGGAAGAAGAGCAGGAAGAAGAAGAGGTGAAAGGGGGAGCAGAAGGCCTTCAGGGCACCACTACTGGCACATACACACACACACGACGCGGGGTGCTGACCGGGCCCACGACGTCGGCATTCTCTTGCTCTGACCCGCTCTCTGCTATCGAACCTCTTGCCGGCCCCGTGTGCCCAGGGCCCCGGATGTCCTTTCCTCGGCGCCTCCTTTTCAGAATCACCCCCCCCCCACCAGTGGCTCGACGTCTTCTGCGCATTCCATTTTTGGAACTGGTCTTCGTGTTCATAAACAGATATCCCGGGAATAGTCATAATCGGCTTGAAAGTGCATAAGATTTATAGATCTCACTTCTGGACTTGGATTTCCGGTACTTTTAGTTCTTGAACAGGCGTTCAAGGAGGTTGGTATGCATATATGAACAACTGAGTCAAGTTCTAAAATCTATGAACGCTAGCGATGTGCAAAAAAATATTTTTGAAAGTTTCATTTTTGTTAAGCGGGGTCTAATAATGAACAAAATCAATGATTTAAGACAAATTTATTTTACAAAACGGTTATCATTTAGCAGTTTTCAAAACTTCTGACTTGTTGAGTATTTAAACCTCCATCTAATCAGCTTTCTCACCACGCAAAACGCCAGCTCACTTAAAAACTGCGCTCTCTAAGTAAATACCTCTTTTCTTCCTTTCTGAGCTTCAATGATCCTCCCCAAACCCTAGCACACCCACCTAAGATGTTGTTTACAAAACGATCTCTTATCTTCCCGGAGCAGCTGGTTATCAGATGTTCCCGAAACAACCGGTCAAACCGGGTTCGTCCCCCCTAGCAACGCCCATCAGCTGTTATTTTCGCCCCTCTCGGTGCCAACCGACCTGCTTATGCAAAGGGGTATACAGTTTTCGACCCGTGACCCTATCGTTGTCATTCTGATGAAAGTTGTAAATTTTGCTGTTGATTAGTATAGTTACTTAACATTTTTAGCCCAGCCCATCCGTTTTCGAGAGCTTCCGGTTGGCTTTTTGTGAATTTCAGACCAAGCATGCTACACACGAGCTTTCGTTGTCCCTTTAAAGCTATTAGTGCATCGATTTCATTGATTTTCCTACTTTCTTACCTCCTCCTCCTCTTTTTTGATGATTGAAGTGGCGCCTACCCCTTAAGTAGAGTCGAGCCACTCGAGACACAGCCTTCTAAATTGCAGAACTTTTTCGGGTAGGGTTTTCCTGCTTCAGCCATTAGGCGGCAAACGCGCTTGAAAGGAGGAGGAGGGGAACGGGGGAAAGAGGAGGATCAAATCCCCTTTTTTGGACAAAGGGACAGCTGCGAGGGGTCATGCGGGTAGTGGGCCGGCACGAGTCGCCGCCTCTCCGGTCGGCCATCCTTATTCGCCCCGAAACTACTTCAATTCTCGCTTTGTAGGATACTTTTTAGTAGATTTTTGTGTATAATTCAAAGCACAAAAGAAAAAATTTAGCTTGTTCATAAATTTTTTCTTAAATTGATCAGGAAGGCCCGATCTCAATTAGTGTAAAACCTGTTCGAACTTTAATATCATATAGCATAAATCGGCTCTACTCCTGAACCTACTTTCTCGCCCGTTTTTAATGCCGCTTCTGGTTGACTTTTGCAACACGAGGCCGAACCTTATCTACAAAAGCCTTCCTTTCTTTTCAAAGCAAATTTCCATCCGAACTAGTTATTTATTTTGACGTCGCACCTATATGCGTAAAATCGTCGTTTTAAGGGCGTTCGGACTTCAGGCTGACCATGTCAATCCTGCGCTCTATCGATCAGGAATCAACTTTTTGTTCCCCCACTGTTTATCAGTTGTCTACCACGAAGAGCTCCGGCGAATTTTCGGAAACTTTCGAATTTCTGGGAGATAGTAAACCCTATTTACTGTAAACTTGGTAATTTCGATTTCCTAACCAACGAAGGGGGTGTAGTTAAGGTTTTTAACGCCTTTTTAACCTGGGTATTACGTTGACCGAAAACTTTCTTATCCCGCCCCGATAGAGCCGTACTTAAATGAATGACCCGTACAGCCAGGGAAATTTTACAAAAATCACATAATTCGTTCACTATAACGTGCAGGCCCCCTTTTTTGGGCATAACACGAGACCGGGTTATATGGGGTGGGAGATTTTGTTGTGCACGGAATGGGGGGACCTGTGAGGGAATCGGGGGGAGGAGAAGGCTGTTTTGCACAACAGCCCCCCTGCTCTGGCCCTACTCTGCTGGCCGGGGGCCTCCCTGGGACTCCGTGTGTACGATTGTTGGCCCTTTTGCTCTCCCATTCCATCTTCTTCCTCTCGATTCCTTCAACTCCCCCTTCATCCATTGATTTAATGAATGGCCGCTGCCGGAGGTCCATGTGACCTGAGTGTTGGATCTAGGTTTTTGGGAAAGTTTCCAGGTTTTTTTGGAGGAAATCTAGTCATTAGGGATCTTACGCATATAGACGTAAATTTGTGATAACATGCTAATTAGGGCGCAAGGATGATCTTAAGAAAAATGACTTGTAAACTAGATATATAGACGCAAGATCGACATAAAAGGTTAATCAAGACGCAAAGCACTAAAGAAAGATTGCTTTTGCATCCTAATTAGCTTATTATTCGACTGAAATTTATTTCCGTATTATCACTACTTTAAACACCTTACGAAGAGTTGCATAAACTGGCTATTTGTTAAAACACCAAGTTGATTTTTAACGGTTAATTTATTGTTCTATACTTTGCAAGATAACCTTAGCTTTCAAAAACTCACCCAGACACAATTGTACCAAAAATCTACAGAATCTGGCTCCTCGACAACGGTGGTTGATGTCACGGTCACGGGTCCTGGAGAATTCAACGCGAGACAATGCCCAACCTGAACAGCCACTCACCAAGAAGAGCAAAACATTCCAGGTAGCTACTACCAACACCTTTACAACCTAACTTTTTCCATTAGGAATACCTCCCCGAGGGCGACCGAACGTACAGCTGCGTACACTGCCGTGCCCAGCTTGCCCACCATAATGAGCTCATTTCAAAGGTACCTCAAGCCTTCGGTTTACGAGGACCGGCTGATTTTTAGTCATTCCAAGGGAGCCAGGGCAAAGCGTACCTCTTCAACAATGTGTAAGTTAATTGTTATACAAATGTATGGTTTCGAGCAAGTACCTCCCCGTGGAGAATTGGTTGAGGAACCTTGCGTTATCATGTATTATCCACTTTCTAATCCTTATTTTTAGTGTGAATGTTGGTTGTGGGCCAGCTGAGGAGCGGATGCTGCTCACCGGACTGCATGCCGTCGCCGACATCTACTGTGAATGCTGCCGAACGACGTTAGGCTGGAAATATGTAAGTATACAGCGATCCTTCGATTCTTAAGTCAGAATAAAAAAGAATAAAGCGCGTCATTTTTAAAATGTTTACGATTTTTACGATTTTTCCGATATTTACGAATTGCATATCTATCAAAAGCTCTTGTTTTTTTTGGTTTAAATTTCGGTATTTATCATTTAAAAGTGAGACGTTCTTGTTCCTAACCACTATTTAATCAGGTCCAACGGCATCCAAACGGTGTTTGCTTAAACGGCTTCAAATTGCCGCCAGAAAAAGCCAGAAATAAAGGCTAGAAACCTCTAATCCGAAATCATGGGAATCGCCGTTTCGCAGGGTCGTAAAAGTAAAGCAAAAATCGGGAATTAAAAAAAGAACAAATCTCCTTGACTCATCGAGAGCTGTCGTTATATACCTAAATCCTGAAAACCGGAAAGCTCTACGAACCTCCAGAGGAACCTCTTACGCGCTCCCATTTAGGAACACGCCTACGAAGCCACGCAAAAATACAAAGAAGGCAAATATATCATTGAGCTGGCCCACATGGTCAAGAACAACGGATGGCGCGACCCGGAGAAGCGCCGCTCAATCCACTAATTCTCCACTTATTTACCCCAACCCGGTCTCTCCACACCGTGTATCTGCAAATTTTTGTTTTGCACATTTTCGTTTGTTTTCCGTGCGTTCTCACCTATCCCCCGCAATCTTCATGCATCTCTCCGGGGTATTTCCCCTGTATTCCTTGTATGTCTCCTTCAATAACACATTCCCACGCTAACATTTCTGTACAAAAAATTGTATATAGACCTGCTCGTTGATTCTCTCCCCACTCCCCTCCGACACAAGAAACGACCTTTCTGAATTGCCGGTGTTCTTTCAATGGTACTTCTCCCCCCGTATTAATTTGGATTTTGTCGCTGGTACGTGCCGGTTTTCGTTTGTTGGTTCCGGCTATACATAATTGTCAACAACTCTTTTCTTGCTTGGTCACTTGTTTGCTGATAAATTGTCAAATTGAGTGCAACTTGGAAACTTATAAGATACAATAAATGCAGAAAAACCGAGCCACGTCTTCTACAAGCCTTTTAAGTACTTATTTTCAAAAAATAGGTGCAAATTACAAAAATGGAGAAAAATGGGTTAATCCGAATCTATACTATAGTGCTTGTGTGTGGTGAGCAATCACATGCAATTCCATAAGTGTGTTCCTTGCCCAGAACTTCATGGTGAGGATTGATATATTAGCAATTTTCGCTATTTTCAGTTATTTTCAGTTTTTGTAAATAAATTCGTCTAGACGCTTCGCATGAGCCGGAAGTGGTGGTAGCCTATAAAAACGGGGAGGGGTGAGCTTTAGGTTTTTTGAAATGAAGATTCGAGAGAAACTATGCAAAGTGAAGACCATCATAGTTCCCATATTAATTTCTTGTTTTTCGCTTGCATCCCAACTCGCATGTTAATTCGACATCGGAATTATGTCTATTTTTTATAAATCAGACCAGGGTTGAAAAGCCGCTTCGCGACTTTTCAACCCTGGCCCCGTCTGAGCCCATGATATCCTGCACATTGCATAATTCGACCGAATTTTGGATGAGAAATAATGAAAAATGCACCCTCTCCGCCGTAATATAGGCTGCTGCCACTTCCGTCTTATGCTAATTAATGCCTAACAAAGAGGCTGCCCGATTTTTTAACAAAAATGATTTTTAATGTCGAAAATGGCATAATGTGCAAAATCTGATATGTGTGCAGTCATCTCCAGACCATTACGCTCCTAATTACGTATCATATGTAGCCTAATACCCTTCCCCCCTTGAGATATCCTCAGGACACCCTGACGGAAGTTGCATGCAAAGTGTCACACACACACAAACACTATTTTTTTATATATAGTAGGATAAGCGTGGGGGTCATAATCCAGATAAACGACAATTCACACGCCTAGAAAATAATCTAGGCTTTTGCCAGACAGTCAGTTTCTGGTTATGGCCGTGGTAGGAGGTGTGCTCCTAGTCCTTCTTTGCACATAAAAAACGGGGCACATGTTTGACCATCGTTGGCTGGGGGGTACTCTGGTGAGGGTTCTTTTCTTGCGCTACCAGGGCACTGTCGCACCGACACAGTATTTGACGACGTAATATCCCAAACCTAACATCCTACGTGCCGTAGGAGATCTACGTTCATCGCAACGGGTCCTGGTAGGTTATTCGTGGTTTAAGTTTTTAGCAATCTGGAAAGGAAACCGTATCCTCGCTATGATTCGGTAAATTTAGTTTTAGAGAGGCCAATCTCCAAAAAAAACCTGATTTGAAGGGGGAACTGAGGGTGGCGTTTTTATGTTTCCTAAGTTTTTGGTCAACAGGCTTCTCTCGTTACGTTGTTTGTGTTTTCATACTACTCCATTATTTAAATCCCCTTTGCGGTTCCACCTACTTCAGCCTTTTAGATTTGAAGTTAATAGAGACATCAAAATCTGAATTTATGGTTTACAACGTTATACCGGATTTTTGCGTTGGGTACGATATCATTTACATTAAATTGACGTACTTAAATTCAGGTATAATGTTAAACGGCCCCAATTTATCATTTCTTCACTTCAGCATATCACCATCTTTTTTTAAATAATTTTTACCAGTGGAGCCTTAATTAGCAAACTAAAATCAAGCAAACCACCTTCCACCTGAAGATTGCCATTTTTATTTGTGTAAAGCGTCTTTTTGACTTTTTTAGAATATTTCTCATCGTCCGGCAAAATCGTAATTAGATTCCAGGACAGGGTCAGAATTCCAAGGGCTTCCCATCCTGCGCGTTTTTGTGTTGTCGCATACAGACGCCGAAATGCACTTGAATTCCTTTTGCGGGTTCGGAACGGTGGTTGTGGATGTGTGAGGGGGGACTGGGACGGCGGGTCCAGCTGGATGGGGCCAAAAGCGTGGTGGTGTGTGGCTGTGAAAATGGATGAACGAAGAAGAAGCTAAGGAAGAGTAGGGGGGATCTGGAGCCTTGTGGGTAACCAGATCCTCAGGAAGAGACTCACTCCTCAGGAGTGAGAGCCTCCGGGGGTATGTCAGTCCGATGATCCGTCCGTCTTGGGGGCACACCACCTCTAGCATGTGTCTATCGGCCTCTGGCTCTTTCTGCGCCCTTTTTTCTTTCAGTTGTTCCCCGTTATGAAGTAATATGTGTGTGGCAGACGACTGCCGCCTTGTCACTATTTTACCCATCAATCTCGCAAAACCGTTCCTCCCCATCCATCCTAACACCAGTCAGCCTTTTGCGTCAGCCTTTTCCTTGCCTTTACTATATTTTTCGTTGTAAATTATGAAGATCACTCACAGTTTTTAATGGAAAATTATGACAGGTGGCTCGATTAAAACGGCAGTTTGGGTGGGCAGGTAATTTTTGTAAAATTGTAGCTCTTTACCCCTTTCTCTTTTTTCTATAAAATAAAAACTCAAACAGGTTTCGGAAGCGAGGTTCAAATTTCGTTTTTAATGTTTTAAATTTCAGGCTGCCTACCTTACCGCCATTGACTGTCGGGCGTTTTTAGGAACTTAATGCGCTATCTAACAAGCTTTGTATCAAGTCGTTTTCCGTATGACTCGGGAAAGGAACTCCTTATTTATAAGTAACCAAGCTTCATCCTAGATTTGCCTCCTAGTCTGGCCTCATCTCTCATATATATATATATATATATATATATCGTAATTGTTGTGCCAACAAATTTCTTCCCTTACACCCAGTTTGCTGCAATCCAACCATCTATTTTCAAATCAAGAGCTTTGCTTTCCCCATTCCAGGTCTGCTTTTCTGTCACATGTGGTTGTGGTTGACATTCGATCCGTCCGCCCCAACGGCACACTTTTTTCCTTTTTTTTAGTTAAACAGTTTGGATATGTGACTGAGTTTATGCCTGACTTCGCTATTGGTTCATTCCAAGCGAACGTCTTTGTGAAGGTTTTATTTAGGAGTCGGCTGACGATTACTACGATATTTGCTGCACGATGGGACGCCGTAGAAGTAGGTGTTTCCGCTTACGTTTTTTTGTGAACTTTTTGTCATAGAGTTTATGAACATGCTTATGAACACTGAGAAGAGGCATAGAAAACTTTTCTGTTTCGAATAATAGATATTAGGTTTCGAAACGCGCAGTTTTGTCAAAAAGGGACTTACACTCAAATTGCCTTTTTGCCATGGCCAGTTTCGTAAAAGTAAACAATAACGCCTCAGTCTTATCGTCAATTCTCTAACAATTGATCTTGGTTACATTTGAATTTTGAGCTACGGTTGGCTTACCTCTCCCCCCAGCCCGTGGATCCCAAAAATTTCAATAGTTTCGCTATTTTTCGGGCTTTTTTTTGCCGCCATTTGATAGAGCGTAAAAATATACTAGGGATTTTAATCACAGTTCAAACAATGAGTATGTGAAAAAATTACAACACAAACAAATCACCTTTAAAAACGGGGCAAAAATCTGTCTTTCGATATTTCCAATAAACCAATCGATAGGGCTTCAAAAAATACAAAGCTGTGTTATGTCCTACCAAATTTTGCAGCTTTCTTAAAAAGAATTCCGTTGTAAGATACCGTCAACCCCCGACCCCCTAAACGTTAACTATGTAACACAGGGGTCGAGAGGGGGGAGATGATGGGGCCAACCAGGGTGCCCCCATCGGCCCCCTGGATGAGTTCGATTACAAGCCCGAAGCTCCGTGTTGACACATAGCTTTTGACGCGGCCCGGCAGCCGAACAATCTGGTTGGCGTGGAGGGCCCCCCTACCCTCAACCCCCCTAGGTGGTCTCCACCACGGTTCAACACTATCCATCCATTCACGCGACCAAACACCAGCCTCAACTATTTCGTTGTCAGCTGGATTTTGGGTCAAAAATGCTGTTTGCATTGATTGGAACTAACACATACAATTTATAGCCTCTCCCGGGTGCCTTAGCGCTAAAATGTGACCTTTAGGGCTTTTAAGCTGAAACGGGAGTCTGCTGCTGATAGTTTGCCATAGCCACTTAAACTCAAATCATCGCCCTATCAAACCCAACAACGCGAACAAAAAGTGCTGAATTGTGCGATGCGCCACCGAAATCGTGGGCCAGGGGGATTGGACGAAGTTGAACATCAGGCCAAAGAAGACACATTAGACGCCAGCGTCTCGGCGATGGGATCGCCCGGGTGATCAGCTGAAAGGACAGTGGCTCATCAAACAATACAGACCGGGACACGGTCGGATTGTCGCTAAAGACTCTAGACCCAGACGGCAGCTAATTCTGCAAAAACAGGCCGCTAGGCGCTGTTCGTCAACAGTTTTACTTAAAAACCTCGGATAGATTGGGTGAGAACAATCTCTTTTTGAACGAGAACCAAGAAAAGTCGATACATAAGGCATCCAGACACTTCTGCTCTGAAATTTTTGACCGAAGCGTTCCATTCCACGATTTTCAAGCAGTTACAAGTCGTTTTTAATTAAAAAAAACACATGCAAAACCACCTTGTTTAGGATCCAGCAAAAATGTTGTGCTGAAAATAATGAATGCACGTTGCTCAGAAAAATAACGTTTTCTCCCAAAATAAACGGTAACTTTTTAAAAATAGCAATGAGATGAATTTTGTGAACAGTTTCGGAATCGTCATAAAATTCTGCACAAGATCGATATTTTTTGAAGTCTACTGTATACTCGATACCTTGCTCGTGAAAATTCACGGCTTACAAACCGCCATCGTGTACCTTAAGACGCTTTTTCAACATCCGTTCGCTTATTCATCCTGACCAAAAACAGACAATAATGGCCAATCCCTGCCCGTTATTCATCCCCCCGATAAGTGCAAACGTGAAGTGCCTCCCCCCCATGGGCCCAACAATTTCTCCCCCATCGGCAACTCCAGCCTCCGCTATTTGGGGATTTCCCATTCCCTGCTTGCTTAAACAGAACGAAGGAATGCAAAGAAGTGCAGGCTTGTTTTGACCTGTTCGCGCAGTGATCGTCGTTTTTTGTGTGCGAAACAAAAAGGCAAAAGAGCGCGTGAGCGATGTTTGCACGGCTCTCGGCCCCTCAGGGGGAAAGTCTTCAGCGTCCTCCGGATGCACTGAGGCGGGGGCCTGGGCGCTTCGGACCCTAAGCCATACCCTCCATCTTTGAGCTTTTCGCCCATCTCCAAATTCGCCTGTATGAGGGCCACGACGGAATGCCAAGATGTAGGTCATTGTTGTTGTTGGTGGTTTTGAATGGATACGGTATTGCACGATTTAGTTTTATTTTTGGTTATCGAAAGATAATAGGTGGTGCAGGAGGATAGCTTGAAACGCGCGTTCGGGGAGTTGTACGGGTACACCTATGAACAACTGTGTGTATCTCTTTGCATCGTACTCTCGGGATACCATGGGGATATTTGTGCTTGCCCCTTTCTAAGGTACTAAAAATTAATATCGAACATAACCTAGTTTGAAAAATCTGGGCGGTATTTAATCACGTTGGGACGACCGTTAGATGCTTTCCCTACCCAGGCATCAACAGATGCAAATTGTCACATGATACGTACGGTCTTTTTTATATAGTGCAATCTATTAATTGTACCCCAGGGTGTAAGATATATATATCAGAGTGCTCAAGCATGCCCGAGCTAATCATGACCTCTGCCAGGTACCCCTCTCATTCTTTCTGCCTCTCTCTCTCCATTCCATCTCTTTCCGCGCGTACAATGGGACCTGTCCGCGCGGCATAGGGCCAACCCCGCCAGACCCCCCGATCATTCGCGTCATCCGGCAGCCTATCCACCTCCTCCCCCTCCCCCCTTGACAGCCAGACATGCCATTCCAGTACCACTTTCAAATTCCGGCCAGCCTACCCGGCTGGCGGCTGTACGGGGGGTTGACCTCAGAATAAGGGCCCTTCCGAATTTTTACCACCTTTCCTCCGCCTACAGTAGCCCGGGGGACCCAAATAGACATTTTTTTGCGGCGCGTGTTCTCTTTTTTTGCCTTCTCCCTGATACAGGATTTGCATTACCTTTACATGGTGATAATACCATTTAACCGCGAAACGACATTGCTGAAAGTGAGTGCACATCCAGCAGTTCGACGTGTAGCCGATTTACATATGCGTCTCTGCATGTTTATTTGCGCATCATCCATAATTAGATGTATACGTACGTATAGCCGCGTAATCATTAACTTTAAGCTCCAAAGCTCAAGACTATCGTGATAATTCATTACGGATCACCAATACAAATACAGTTTTTCTAAGGCTAGGTTATAAATTTAGCCTAATAACTGGGGGTACAGATCGACGAGAAGACGGTAGCCAGCAATAAAAACTTTTTGTTTAAGATGTTGCTAAAGTTAAGCCTGGTGAAAATGTCGTGTTTTAGATATGTTGACGAACTGCACGTCAGCAGCAGCATTATGTATTCAATTTGTGGCCGGCCTTTCTAACGCCGTCGTCGATCGGACGGCAGCTTCACATTATGCGCAACCGTTTTATCAGGTAAGGTTAAAACAAGTTCAGGGTCAGGATCCTCGCAAAACCGGAATTTCACACCACCACAAGATATTTCCGATTTAGTCATTATAGTAAAACTTTAGAATCAAAACTATTCCGCCATTCCGGACCATCATCCAGCCATTGTGCCATCCCCAAACCGATACCACAGCTACGGAATCGCCGGCTCGAATATCAAGGGTCTCAATTCCCTCACTCTACATCCAGGTACCCCATCCATTTCCCCATACAAAAGCTTCCACCCCTTTTTCCTTTAGGATCCTATGAACCACCCCTTGCCGCCCACTCATTCCGCTTGTATTCGATGCGTTTCTGTCCGTTCGCCCAACGTGTCGTCATCTACTTGGCGAAGAAAAACATTCCGTTCGTTTTCGGTTGATACATAATGCTCGGATTAGGCCATGAGCTCGAGACCTAGAGGGCGATCGGGTACCCACGATCTCTAATATTTTTGGATTACTCTGCGACTACATAGTTTTAACTCGACAGAGCATTAAAAAATATTTTAAAATAGACTTCCGCCCAAAGAATTCTAATTTTAGGTTCGCCTTAAAAATCGAGTAAAAATTTTGCAAGGCAAATGGGAAGTTAATTTTTTAATATTGTCTATGTTTTGTTAATACCGGTCGTTGGGGCGTAAAAATATATTTAGGTCATCAATGGCAAATCGGGAGTTTGAAATTAAGTTTTATTTTTGCGAAGACCGGATAGTATAACCAGGGTGGATGTGTTTCGCATGCTCAATGAATTCAAGGTTTTTAAAATATCACTGGATAGAGGGTTGATTTTTCAGCCCTAAAAAGATAACATAAGCCTATTTGTATTATAAGAGAGCTTTTGTTGCGCCCCTCCTTGCTAACTCTACTTATCATCCATTGTTTAGGGTTGAGATCGTGAACGTGAATCCGGATAAGGGACCGAATTGGTTCCTTGCAAAGAGTCCGTTGGGTCGAGTGCCAGCTTTGGAAATCAATGGAAAGGTGTGAGATACGGAACGATTTAATTACATGAGTTCGCCTAGATTCTCTGGGAATCAAACGTGATTTGCGAGTATTTGGATGATCTGTTCCCGTCTACCTCCATCCTTCCAAAGGTTTGTGGTTGATTCGAAGTATTTTTTTATGCAAACTAATTTCAGGACCCGTATGAGAAAGCCCAGCAGAAGATTGTCCTGGAGCGCCTTTCGCCGGTCTCAGCTGTGAATGCGTAAATAATTTTAATTTTAGCTGATGAACGCGCTATTCGAATTCTTCCGCGGAACTACCCCTCAGCAGATGCGTCAAGTTGATAACACTCTGCATTCGGCTCTCCGTAACGCCGAAGCTTTGCTGACGGACTCATTTTATGGAGGTGTGTAAATTTTGAACGGTTGTATCGGATGTACTAAAAAGTAGTATCGAAGGTTTCCAAAAAAGACTAGAAAACAGATAATTTTGGTTTCTAAACTTTCTAAAATTTTCTCAGTCCTAGAATTGTATGCCAAAAATTTGAGTATGGGCTTCACGCGAGCGCAGTTTGCATGTTTCTAAGGACCGATTTAATTACCTTTATGAGAAATTCAGTAATTTGCATATTACAGGTCGCACCGTTGGGTATTCTGATATCCTCCTTTGGCCGTTCCTCGAGCGGTTGGAGCTGGTGACGCTGAACCCACACACCCAGTTCCACTATTTCCCTGGTCTTCATTACCCCAAAATCGGTGCTTATATCGCCAGGATGCAACGGCAGCCAGAGGTATGTAATTGAGCTTCTGAAAATTTATTTATTTCTTAAGAATAAGTGTTATTTGCTTGTAGACAATCGAGTTAATTAAATCTTATTAAAAAAAATCATTTTCAGATCAAATTTGCCACTCGACCACTTGCCCATCACAAAGCATACGTTGACAGCTATTCAGCAGGTCGCCCCAATTACGATTACGGTATCTTTAACTAAACCCACACGCCAACCACTTCATCTAATTTATATATTTATATGTACTTGCTTTAATATAATAATGGAAGCAACCGATTTCCGCCCAACCCTCACAAACTGCACCCAAAAATATTTGCTTTCAAAAAGGGGATCCCCGCAATGATCCCACTGTCAATATTCTTACCAATTAAACGACGGGAACCAATAGTCGTGTATAGGTGAATTGTGTAAAGATTCGAATTTTGTCCGCGTTGTATGGTGCTACGCATTGGCTATTTCTGTTTTTGATGGTGCTATTTGGGAATACAATCCTGATAAATATTTGATCCAGTTGTACACATTTTATCGCAAATGCAAGAAGAGGCCGCCAAAAAAAACGGGGGCCAAAATTGGGGAAATCAATAGACCAGAAAGTGTTCGTCGATTGGAGGAAAGGTGCAAACGGCTAGAATGGAATCGTATCCAGGGCGACAAGAGCAAATATATGCAAAAATAATACAGCAATCTGGGAAGGGAATATTGTACAGGGCTGTGTGCATTTTCATAGTATGTACTGCCTGACTGACCAGGAAATAGTGCTCAAAGCTTACAAATGCAATTTTTGGGCCTGGGCGTCGAATCGCTTAGCGGAATTGTATCTTGAAGCGATGATAAAGCTTGGCTTGACTTTTTAAACTAAGGATTGACAAGACTGACTCTTCAAATTCAAATAATTCAAAAAAATCGATGTAAAGCTTGGCGGCGGCGTACACCGTGTTATGGCTAGAGGTATGGAAAACACCAAACAAAACAGCAACATCAAAGGTTAGATACGAATTTGGAGGGGATTGATGGGCTGCTGGCTTGGGAAATTAATTGGTTGTCGAGGGAAATAGACTTGTCATATATGTAAAATGTCAACACGCACAGAGTAATGGAATAGTGGGGAGAAAAAGGCAAGAAGTGCGCTGCTAATGAGCTCGCCGAAAGAACGCGCTCAGTCCGGCACCAGCAATGGCAATTTGGGGATGTAGTCAAGGAGCAGGACGTATTCGCTTAATCTGAAATTATCCGTTTAGATAATGATCAGCCGCAGCTCAAACGTCAAAGGCTTCATAACAAAATGTCAAAACATGTGATTATCAAATAGCATACCTCGAATCGACATTTCGGCGGCCAAGACTCCAATGCATGCCCAGCTTGTGATACAAATGATGATTTTCATAATCCAATGTTTTTTCGAGAGCAGCCACGGCCTAAAAATATCTGAATTGAAATCAGGATAATTTATACAAACCCGACGACTCAAACAAATCACCGGCCACATTGAACAGCCAAGGGAACAGCAGCAAAGTAATAAACCTCCGATCAGCCACCTGAAAGTTTAGGAATAATTGGATCAACCAAGTAATGGCCTCAAAAGGAAGAACCATTATTTTACGGCATAAATACTGGCTCACGCGTTAGAGAAAAATCCTTTAAACGCGACGGAAAAATTTGTACTACCAAATCAATCAAGACGGGCAAAATATTCAGGTTGAAAGATCCCAATTTCTCTAAAATACTTTTTACATCATAAATAAGATTACCAATGCAATTCCTTAAAAATTAATATGTGTCAAAATTTATCTTTATTTCAATTATTAACTTTATTATTAACTTAATAAATTATTAATAAATATCAACAACTAAAAATTTCACCAACCGGCCAGAAACCTCGACATGACGCTTCAAGACGAGATTTATCCGTCTTAACGTTGCCGTCAACTCTTCAGGGGCTACCCTATAATTTTTAGTTTCTATTTTAGCACTTCAAACAACCTTCCAACCAGTGCTGCAGGAAAATCCGTATCAAATCGCGAATTCAGGCCAAATCTAAACGGATCGTGATGAGATCAGAAAAGGGCCATACAGTGTGATATGCCCAACTCCTTTGATGATGATCGGTTCTTTCTTCAGCGTCAATGGCACATCTTCCGTGCTGGTCTAAAATACATAATCAAAATATAATTACAAAAGCTTCGATTATGTATATATAAGGCTTTTGCCGACTATCCAAACTTTTTTATACCTGTTAAATCCATTTTAAACATAAATTCGATGCAACCAGAAAATACAACCTATGCAGCCCTCAAACAAGGTGTATGACATACCGATGACATCTGCTCGATCTCATCGGACTCGAAAGAGGCGCGGAAGGCCATTCGGGCCAACCACTAACTGTTTAGAATGGCTCGACTAATCGGGGCATTACAGCCTTTTGCCCGGGCTCCCGGTCATATTGATCTCCTGGCATCGTGCCAAAGCGCTCGCCCACGGCTCTATGGGGCACCACATAGCCGTCGGAGGGGCCATTTACCCCGCGTAATCCATTGCTCATGCATTCATTCATGCTCAGCAAGCAAAGCAAATGCAAGTAACGGAAATTATCTGTGGTCTGGGATGCGATTTCATGGAGGACACAAGATTAAATTAAAAATTTATTGATGACCTCGTAAACATGGATGGGAATATTAAAAATATATAGAATTATTAAACTCGTTTAAGAGGTAGGTACTAGGGCACTATTCTGCATGGCAATCAAATAGAGAATAATTTCAGCAGTTTGGCTCCTTCCGCAGATAATCGATCAACGACCCCGGCTCAACCACTCCACTACAAATTTCATGCACCGCCGTCAATAAAGGAAATCTGGAATAAAATATTTGTGTGCATTAGAGTTATATCAACTCACTGTCTTGGGAGCTCATCTCCGGTTGCCGCCATTAATCGGAAAATTTCTTTGGCAATCTGTGGCCCCGGGGCGCTTTCTCCATCGAGAAGCGTTTTCTCCACTTCACCCAAGGGCTGGATATCACATAGTTTTCTAATATACCTTGCAATCCCCCACCTTCTTTTGTTTGACCAGCGCGTCACAAACTTTCCGACTTGTTCCTGTATTACATGTGGCTATCAGATCTGCGAGACCACAAGATTCCAAAAATGTCGATGGGCTCGAGTTTGGATAGAAGTGCTTCGCAAACTAAAAACGGCAGTTATTACTAAAGACCCTATTACCACATACCCTAATAATTTCCATCAGTCCTAGTCTTAATATCGCAGCTTTCGTGTTATCCCCATAACCCAAACCATCCGAAAATCCAGCAGCGCAAGCGACAATTTCCTTAAGAATTTCTATTAAATTCTGGGCAAAGATACCTTCAATGCTCCACAAATTTCCACAGTCTGTGCATCTTCCAAAACATTAACTCGGAAATTTCTGGTCTCAAATAATTTCTTTAACATCCTTCCCGACTTCTTTTTGTCCTTGCAACCTGGGCACCTTTATATAGTTTACAATATTCCCTACCAACGGTGGCTTCGCAGAAAGTATTCGAATCCAGGTCTGATGCGCGATTTGCTCCCATTAACACAGAGCAAGGAATATGTAGTATATGCTAATGAAAGTTAATTGTATTCCATGGAATACCCACCTCAATTTCCTCCGAAACGAGCTTTATCCGTGACCCATTTTGAATTGGAATACCCTAAAAAGCACGGTTGAAGGTTAAAGTATTTTAATACGGACCCTAATAAATGATATTGCTTCTGTGTGGCCGTTCAGGTTCAAGGTTTTTGCGAGCTCTTTACAAATTCCGGTAATATCTTCACGGGCAACAGCGAAAATCAAGATTTCCGCGTCCTTGCATGCATCCACAAGATTCTCCGCTACTATCTAAACAATTTAAAAGATCTTACCACCTGTGCCTACTCTTACCATATTTTTTGGCAAAGTGCTGTCGGTAACACCGTTCCCAGTTGAATTTCGGGCCATCCAGTATCTAGAACAACCGGTGTATGACACTTTCTTCGATTTACCTAACATTTCCAGCGAAGATATCTGGGTTTTGAGATGTAGTTTCACCAATGATTCTAGCAAGTGAAGATACCCTAAATCACATCTTGTCCGTGAGGTTGGGTACACAATCTCAAAATGTTCCAATAATAGTTTACCATGAATTCGTCCCGACAATAGTTATCCGTAATGGAGTCATGCTCAGTTGGATCTGAGTAGTTTTGTCTGTATTTTGTCTGGGTCAATCGTTTTGTGATTAAATCAGAAAATACGTCCACGATTTGAAAACAAAAGCCTCCAATTTATTGTGAAGCCTGAAAATAGGAAATCCTTAGTGTAACACGGATGCTAGGTGCAGAAAAGCCGGGCTTTATTGATCTGAAACCGCCGGCCGATCAGTGAAACACGCAAACAACAGACAGATGCAGCCGAGGCGCCAAAAAGAAAAGGTGGGACCACCTGGGTCGGGAATAACGTTTGTCGTAACTGACAAGAACAATTAGTATCAATCTCCCTTCCATGATCGGGCGTAAATGAAGAAACATGATGAGAGTAGTGTTGAGGAAACACGCAAAGATATCAACATTTATTGGTGCTTTATTGCCAATATCGAGGCACAATATTTGTTTATTACTTCTCCATATTGCTTTTCATAATTTCCAGCATCCTTCGAACCGTTCCAGAGTCAGTTCGCTTCATTTCCTTAAAATCATTCGTTTATCACGTTTTCTGGATGACCTGGCTATCCGAAACACCCATTGAAATTGATGACGCTTTCGCGCGGCTTGGCCAAGCGATTGAGGCTAAATCACGTAGTTACGTAACGTCACGTAACCGCGCTTAATTACCAGAAGCATGAAAAGAGCGTGCACCCGTTGCAGAAATCAATTCACACAGTGTCGCTGGACTGACTCCAGAACCTTAATACCAGCTTAAAGTGGGTTTTTTTTACATAGCCTAACCTATCAAAATCTCGATTCTTTCCGATGCTTCATTCACAATTTGTTTTAATTTTTTTATTCCTTGCAGCGCCACTGGAGCCTGGCCACTATAAAAATTCCGTTAGCAAGCAAAATGTTCGCAACTACCTTGTCAGGATCGTGGTGAAGCCTAGTCGCACAGCCGAATTGAGAGTTTCTTTCCAATCTGCCGTCAGGTCAAATGCGCGATGAAGAGTACAAGGCATTCCATCGGCCGTTTTTATCATCCGACTACATTGTGACGCATCCAGGAAATTGCTTCTAAAATTCTGAAAATCACGAATATTTTACTTCAACACAGGCGTTAAATTAAAAATACAATATTTAGACCAACTCATCCAAAAATCCAAAAACAAATCCCGATGCGTATGGCTTCAATTGTTCAATATCATTTTCCATCGTGTCCATCTAAATTTTGAGCTAATGATAAATCTATAAATCATAATTATGCGTTAAAAATTCTAAATGGATATTCGTTGTCTCATGCATTACATAGAATACCTCCATCTCATCGTAGACAAAATCCCCGCCTCTGCATCTGATCATCGCCATCAAGCAGGCATTCGGATAAGCATGACGAATCTGCGCGATCAAACCAACAGAAGGTGTCAAGCCACCCAGTGCTAATGCTGAGCAGACTTCAAGTTGTTTCGCACCTAAATAAATTATATGCTTAAAGCAACCGCTGGCAAGGTTATATAGTTTTCTCCGGGGCATTAGTGGCTTACCTCCTTCGATGGCCGCTTTTGCCGACGCAAACGAATCGATGCATATTTCCAATTTCCAACTTTTCACCATAATCCAGCTGTCCAAAATTAGCACATTGCGCAAATTGTTCTTGAAATATTCCAATGGTAGATGAGAACAAAATAATATTTGACAAAATCAAAAATGCTGAATTTAATCTGACTTGATACAAGCTTTAACTGCAAGAACAATAATTCGAGCATCATCAGTCCAGATCAGCTATATAATCACGCAAAATTGAATGGATAAGGCAGTACACTTGTCCTTTTTTCTCGACCCTGTTTGCTTGCCTTGTCTGCGCCATATTTCATTGCGTGTACGATTAGTGGTGTCTCCAGTGAATCAAAATTGTTTATGCTTGTTTTGCATCCACTTCGAGGAATTTAGCTCGGCGTTGCACAGGGGATCGAGCCAGAAAACGTCTAGAGCCCAATGAAGTTTCGCTTCTGAAGTTTTATTGTAAATTTAGATAAATTTTATTCAAATTTTATGATCCATTTAATGGCTATCTAAACGGCGGGAGCCGTTTTTGACGATTGTTGATGCTGCGTTACGACATACCGTATTCGAGAGAGATTAAATTTAGAAAAATTTTATCTTGCAAAAACTACCAAAAGATACGGTCGTCAAAAAATTTCTCCTGAAAAAGGCTTATTTGTCCAGTTTTTGACTCAACAAAAGATAAAATGGAAAGACTATTTAACAAAATTTTAACCTGAGTAGACTTTTTCTAGAATTTCTTCGTTATGTTAGGCATCTTCGATAATAATTGAAAGCCCTATATAATGAACTATAATACATTCCAAAATGGTATTATCACCAAAAACCGATACGTAGTGAGTTGTAAGTAATTACATGTAACTCGTAAAAACGCACTCTCCCTTCGAACCATTTCGTGATCTTCGTGGTTGCGGTGATAGTGTAGCAGCACTTGGGGCCAATGATTGGGCCCTGGATCTCCATTCTCTTACTCTTTCCGTCGCTTCCACCAGAGACAATGATTTTCCCATCGCCTGTATTGAACATTAAAATGGATATTTTTTGGAAAAGCATACCATACTTATGACCCCGCACCATCCGTTTGGATCGGCTTTTCGTAGGGCGCCTCTCAGGTGATGACAATAGATATATTCAAAGAAGAGGGCCACCATCGACACAAGCTAGATCCATTTTAATAAGGGGTTTTGGTGCTAATGCATTAGGGGGGCATTAGGAGTCCGGAATTGATAAGAAAAGGCTACAGGGTGTCCAAAAAAATTGTTCCGGACTTTGGGCTCGAATAACTTTTGATAGAAGAATATTTCACCGTGCGTTACCATGCCAGAATGCTTAAAAGTGTCTGGAACTCCGATTTAGATCAACTTGATTTTTTCGATTTTTGAGTACACAACTGTACTATTGACGCTGGTTACGACCGAAAATTGTGCGTTCTTGAACGGGTGGTGGGAAAATTCTGAATTTTGGCCTAATAGTAGCTGATGGCTATTATTTACAGCTGTTAACTTAATCCCCAAATCTTAGAATTTTTGAAGCACTAGTTCTTTTTTCACAAGCAAAACAAATTTCACTATTTTGCAGCTTTTTGCCTTTTAATTCGCAACTCCTTCAAATACGCTGCCCATGGCTGATCCTTTGCAGATGGTGTCTCCAAATGATAATCCTTAGCCCAACACCAAATTTTACCTGATTCTATGGTATTTTAATATTGCTTGCTAAAACGTGCCCCAGAGGGATACTGTAATTTTTGTTTTTCGCGTTTTTCTTTTTATCGTAAGCTGCGATTTCGCTTAAAATTTTATCATTGGTAAACATTAGTAAGGGTCACCAATGGGCCAACGATTGCGAAGTGCTAGCCACACACCTTCCCAAAATATGCAAAAAACTTATTTTTCATTTAGTCAGGAAATGTCTAATATTTTGTTGCATGGGACCAAAAACTACTATTTTTGTTTTCCCGAAAGGTCGAAACGTTTTTATGGTGAAAAGAACGAGAAAACGACGATTTTCTGTTTTCTACCGTAACCCGTCTGGAGCACGTTTTAGCACGCCAAGACAAAATGCCATAAAATGCAGATTTTTCTATTCTAGAATGTTCTCTGAGTAATTATAAGAAAGCAGGCGAAAAATTACTTACTTTCTGTGGTAAATGAAAAAGTTATAAGGGAAAGAGGAAAACCCTCCTCGGGGCCCGATTTTGGACCCGTGGCCCCGGGCCGAAAATCGAATTTTTGAAAATGAAAAAAAGCAACGAGGTTTGGTGGATACAATTAAAGCACGCATCGAACTGTGTATGAGAGCAAAATTCTGGAATGATCTGACTAAAGTTAATGGTTGATTTTGATTTAAAACCCGAAAATAACGTTTTTGAAAAGTCGAGTTGGGGGCGCTCTTCTAAATTCGTTTGCCATGAAATGGTTTTGTATTCGCATGGGTTCTAGTTAACTAACCAAGCTTGATCTATGCCAGAAAATTCGGGGCTACTAAACCCTCGAGAATTTTTTTACGTCGCCTCAAAGTCGGGTATATTTTGACTCTTCATGAATTTATTTTGAAAGATCGGATGGCCCAATAAATTTGTAAATATAATCTTAGAATGCGCCCATTAAGCAGTATTAAATAAAATTATGACAATAATTTTAGCCGCGCAATTGGATTTTATAGACTGGCACGAAGGTCTGCGAAATAGCACGAACCAACCGTTTTGGCGGCGCTAAAAGGCAACCTTCCAAAGGGGTACGGTAGCTAGAAATTGTTTACACGATAGATGGACCCTAGTCCTACACAACGAAGTAAAGAAAACACCTAGGTTCTATTCGGAGCTTTAGAAATATTTTTTCAAAGTTCGGTTTTGTCACGTCGAAAAAATCCATGACCAGGGGGTCGTTGAAAAACTCGAAAAATCATCGATCTCAAAAAATGCTTTAATATTTTTATGTGATAGTATAGCGTCTGTCGGCAATCCACAACGACTTAGTTTGGGATTTTCGCCATAGGTTTTTTAATACTCGAAATTTACGAAATTTCTCCATACTAAACTTCAGTCCGCAATAACTTTTCAGCCAGACCTTAGAAAAATCCTAAATTTTGCATGTATCTATTTAATGCCTACAAGAATCTACGCAGCAAAAACTAGAAACTCCCCACCACAGGCGGCTAAAAAAAATACAAATTAAACTTCCCCCAACGCACAGTTTTCGGGTGTCATTTGTATTGATACGTCGCCAAAAATCGAAAAAATCAAGTTGATCTAAATCGGAGTTCCAGACACTTTTAAGCATTCTGGCATGGTAACGCACGGTGAAATATTCTTCTATCAAAAGTTATGCGAGCCCAAAGTCCGGAACAATTTTTTTGGACACCCTGTACAAGTCTGCGCTTAAGCTACTTGGTTTTTAGCTTAAGCCTAAGCTTAACTATGCTTTGCTTAGAATTAGGTTTGCGCTTAAACGCAGGCTAAGCTGGTGCAAAGGCCTTATTTTTAAAAACGTCGTTAGGAGCCCCTTGTAGTCAAAACCCGAACCGCCCCAAGTGCATTATCAGCGAATTTTTTCCTCAACTTTTAAGAAGAATTCCTAACAACCACTATGAATTTTATGTTCATAGAAAATAGAAGCGCAAAGCTGTACCATTCCTCCACCAAGCATTAAAAATGCCGACATAAAATTCTCAACACCGAGTGGAGCGCTTTGTGTCTGCGAATGGCCATCCCGTGAACAAGCACCGGTTAGCCAAAAATTCTGAAGTCGTTCCAGGTCTCCTTAATATGTCATAGCTTCATTTGACTTTCAAAACCAACCGTTTTGCTGATACTGCAACATCCACTGATTAACCAGCTGCACATGCGGCGAATTCTTCGGGAATCCAATGCCATATCCAGTCATGCTCGACCATTTTCCAACCATTTGCAGCTCACAATTTGGATCTTTGCCCGCCATATAATCGATGACCACGGCATCGTAGATAAATGCATCCAAATGCCTTGAAAGCAAAAGATTCGGGATTAAAAGGATTCTTCTAATTACCCGCTGCGCACCGCTTCCACCCCAGCCGTCACGTTTTGCACAAAAAATTTGTTACGCAGTACATATTCATTCATTCGAAACCAATTCCTGAATAGAACCATCAATTTCAAAATTCGGGATTTTCGGAAATTGCTTATAAGGGAATCGTATGTCTCAATGTGCAGCAACAAAATTCCTTACCGTTTCATCGTCTCGTGGGTATTCCCACCATCCACTGTACCAAACCGGAAGGGCGGTTTTTGGTCTTCAGGATAGGCGAGCTACAAATAAAACGTATGTATTGTTTTTTATGATTTTGCGCATTTGCCTACCAAAGGATCGTGAATCCCGCTGAGGTCATAATACTGAACACGGGTGATCATAAACGCTGCCAGATTTGCTGTATAGACCGCGAGAAAGGTTAAACCGAATGCTGCCCATACTAAAGCCATACAACGAGACACCGCCGAGCGCGGCACATCGAAACAGATTTTTTACAGAAATATTCATATCGTTTTACCAGTAGAAACACTTGCGCTAAATAGCGTTGCCCATACCAACCAGTAGGAACGACAAAGTGAAAACTTGTGATCTGAAAGGCAGAAACTTTTCCAAAACCAAGATCTGCAAGTGTACATCTAATAAGCAACAACTATCATACCTGGTGGTGGATACTTCTGCATATTAAATGAATATGGCGATAACCATTCAAAAACAAATATCGCCAACGCAGCTCCTTGTATTGAGACGCATAATATAATCACCCATGTTGAATACTCGAAAGGCTCTGAATTAACGCAAGAATACTAATCGATATTGAATTTTCTACCCAAAAACGCGGTCGGACTGAGCACACCACTACGTATCTTCACAATAATAGCGATTCCTGTTTCCAAAAACGGAATCGAAAAATCAATATCTTTTGCGCGTTCCGAGTTTAACTATAACCAAGAAGATTATCGAACTATAAGATCCTACCTTAAGAGACGTGACGCACATGTCGGCTTTATGATCTATTAGATCGGAAATTAGACCGTTCCAGCCCTTTTCCTAAATTCCTGCCCTTTCGTGTTTATGAACAACGTTACCGTTTTGAGACCCCACTTCTCATCGCGAACCTTGTATAGCGTATACGTAAATCCAATATCATTGGCCAGCTTATTCAGCAAATCAACACAATATCCGGAGCAGCATTTACTGACCGTTCGATTGCTAAAGAAACCTGTTTGCTTGACTTAGGCTAATTCACCTTCGAACTCCCGATTCGTCAATGCGCTCCTCGCTTCCCCAATCGCAAATTGACCCCTGGAATCCGAAAGGTCTATAGCATGCTATGCCATAATTACCTGATTTCCGGGACACATTCCAGTGTCTGGATCCACATCTGATACCGTTATAAATGGTGGCTCGTGGAGGGTGACCACCTGTGTAAGATATTTAGACAATCAAACCTCACAATCTATATACTTTCACGTGAAATTTATCAGTAGAACCATGTGGCGGATTTGCCTTTTGTCCAGGCCATTGGACATCCTGCATTCGAAGTTCGCCATTTGAAAATTCTCCAACCCAAAACAACACTACTGTCTTTACGAATAACTATTATTATTACCTTTTCCCAGTAATATATAGGTCTGTCCTTAGCCTTTAAACGTAAATTCGATATTGTCAGTAGCGATTCTTTCAATTTTCCCGTCTTATCAAATTTATAGATGAATGGTGACTGGGTGTCCTTCTGTGGGTATGGCGAGCCTTTCATTGAAACGTTCTTCAACGCGCTACAAATAGAAGTTCATAAAATTAACACAACTGCCTTACTTGTATAGATGTACTCCCTTTGTCCACGTTGAGCCAACTACTCCAGCCGTACATAGTCCATCCGGATTTAAACTCGCGGTTTCGTTCAGTGCCCCCACCGCATTCGCAATTAGCGAAAACACCGTTGTATTTTTATAGCAATTTCAATTACCATGGGTGCCAAGCCAATATTGATTGCCACGACATCATCAACATTAGCCAGGAGATCAGCTTTTGTGTAAAAATTGACACTAAGCATTCCCGGCTGGACGGGCGCGGCAAATGTGTCAAACATTCCTAATTATAAACGCATCTGCCGGCCTATTTTCAGAACGATACCTTTCACAGATTGCGTACCAATCCATAGATATTTATCTGAAGTGAGCCCCAAAGCTTCCGCCATCTGAAGAGAGCTTTAGGACCCGTTTGATCAACTTATACCCGAAATATCACACGCGCTTGGGCTCCAGTACTATAGAGAAGTATGATTTTGCCTTGCGATTTTTTCAAGTCTCTCATCCCCTGCTCGACATGTGTTAGATTGGTTGTATCAACGATAGTGTCAAAAATTATTTCAAGCCTAAAACATTCAATTTTTTAGCGACGTCACTGATTTACCGTAACCCCTGTCGGCCCTGGTTTTCTTTAGCGACTTCCCGGTAGACACTATCGACAAATCCTTTGCTGCCTAAAAAAACAAGCAACTTGTGTTATTTAATTATCCTTAAAATTGGTACTATTTTAATCATTCACCTGCCATGTTGCTTGAAACAACCCCAAATTTGCTCCAGTTATATCGATTGAGGAGGGCGAGCATTGCTTGAATTTGGTGTTCAATAGGTGGGGCCAGTTGTATGATACGGTATGGTGATAAATCCTGGAAGACATGTTAAAGGGATAGTCCAACCTTCGAGCTTGGGCAGTACCTTCGGTGACTATCGACGCAGGGCGGCCTGCTGGCCTCTGTCGCCCCTGCGTCGATAGTCAGCCAAGGTACTACCCAAACCAAGGCTGAACTATCCCTTTAATAAACGTATTGCCTAACCTTTCCGAATGTAAAGCCCGAGTTATCAGCATTGAATGCAATGATGGGAATGCCCGTATGTGACGCCATGGTTAGAAAGTACTAATTACAAAATATAGAGGAATCCGCACTGGCAAACCTGAGCAGCAGCTGTTGATCGATCATATTCTTCCATTGAAGTAAGGAGAATAATTGCCGATACCTAAGATAATCCAGCCTGTGTTTAATTTTCCGCTCAAACCCGTTCTTTCAAAAACACATCACAAAGGCAGTGTAGCACATGTGATGCATAGAATAAGCCTCTTGGTACTGTACAGTCTACTGGAGCGAATATATAATCTTTTGCCACGGCACGCAAGGCCCTAAATGCTGAGGTCTATGCAAAACAAACTAAAGGCTACGGGCTTTTTGTTCCATCGCTGATCTGTTGCAGCACGGTCCGGAATGTTTTATCATAGGATTTTGAGCGTGGGTAGCCCTAAAAAGTGTGTTATGGTTTTGCTAATATGCAGGAAATCACCTGGTAGACTAGACCTATTTTGACAATGCCCTTTTCCGTCTCGACTTCAGCAAGGAGTAAGATGAAGCCGAGTAGCGCCAATCGACATAGTGTGATAGAATCGCACATTGACGGAGTACATTGGCCAATCTATGCGGTATGCTGTTTTAGGCCTGTCAGCCGCGAGACGGTTTTGGAACCTTAGGTTATCAATAATATGGGTCTTAGCGAGACCCCAGAATACTTTTGGGTTGGATGATGACGGACAGTGGTGTAGGATGGACAACGAAGAAATAGACCCCCTACTGGGTTGCCCCAGGGCAATTACGTGAAGAGGTCCCGTACCCACAACCCATTTCCTTCAGCTGTTCTCCCCGGAGGCTTCGCCGCAGCTCATCTCTAAAATTTCGGCTCCTCAAGCTGTACTGGAACTCATTCACAAAAATGCATGTTGTACCGGGATTTATTGAGGGGCGTTAGGTCTGAAATTCAATGCGCGTGGTGTACTATCATCTATAGTGTTAAAAGGCCTTGAAAGAAGCATTTGCTGAATTCTGACGGTTTTTAGACGCTTTTTTATCCGTGCAAAATGGCGTGTTTTCAGCGCAACATTTATTAAGAACACTATGTACATACAATAACAAATAGCCATTCTAAAAGAGCACTCGAGTATTGACCCGTATTTCAGTAGAATCCTAAAATAGCATTGTTTTTTCTGCCTGCCGGATGCTCGAATCAATATTTCCGGTGATCAAAGAGTCGCGGGTCTTTTTCAGTTTCACAAAAGTCCGCCTCGCGTCGTCTGATGCAGTGCTAGATAGGTATCTTGATCGGTGCGCTTGGAAAATTGGTACCTCAAAATATTCGTGCACTGGGTGAGCATATTTCGAATTCCAATTGCGAAAGAAGATTGAGGAAAGTTGTTGGATCTAAAGCAAGTATCCGACATAAATTATCGAAGTGCCATGACATTCCCCCATCTTCTTCATAGCCTTAAAATACACGAAAACCAACCAATGGCCTTTGATCTCCACGTTGGCGAATGACGATGGCGGTGCCTGTTGTCCCTCCTTCGAAATAGTCACCCGACCAATTGGATGTACCTGAAAGCCAGGTTATTTTCGATTGGCAGCCATTATCTCGTTTCCGGTGTTGGCTTTCACCGTCCAGGTTGTTATTATTTATTACTACCCCTCCTGATCGTTCATTTGAAATTTCAACTCCTTCCCACACGCTCCATACCATCACATGGTTGCCTCCGTATGCCACCGATAAGCCAATGACGCAGGAAAGTCCAGGAATACACGCAAAAGTGCTGGGAAAGTGCGATAGCGAAGGGGGCCAAAGTTGAATGGCTGACTCTGTTCCGGTCAGCTTTTGATCCCGTGTGATCAAGGAAAAAAAGATACCCGTTTTGCGGAATTTTGGCGAATTCAGGAAGAAAACGAACCAACAGCGGCAGCTTCTTCGGTTACTACCACCTTGTTATGTGTGCGTCGATCACGTATAATGACTGACGAGGTGGCGGCTGGTGGGGGAGGCACTTTGAAGATTTTCTGAAAAACCGTTTAGTTGAGTGCTTGGTACTGGGCTGTTAGCCGGGGGGTATGCGGGTGGGAGCACTAATTTGACATCTCCAAAACCACAGGGTTCTAAACTAAGATGAACACCAGTTATATAGCTCCTTACCACGTTTTTAGGTATAGAAAGGTACTTCAAAAATATTACATTTAGGCAAAACACGTCTAAATGTCCAAAAACTGTGATTTTTAAGAGCTCCTTTAGATCCTTTTAGCAGTCAAAACCTACTAAAGATAATTTAAAAGGCCAAAAATTTTACTAGGATAATTATTTCCTCCTTAACATTTCCTTCCACTCGGCTAACAGTTCAGGATCTTGTTTAAAGAAAAATCAAAATCTAAAATACCCACCACTTGTACACTACCATTTCGATTAATACCGTCAAGGTCCTGAAGCGATTTCAAAAACCTTATGCCAATCTAAAACCATCCAAATTAAACTTTTGCGGGGTTCTACCTCCGGATGATGGATTGCCGCGGACAGTACCCTGACATGTACACCTCTAGCCACAGCTCTTCTCAATGCATCATCAAGTGTTGGCCATAATCTAAAACATTGCCCTACCATCATACCGATTTTTCGCCTACTCTTTTCCCCTTCCATAGACAAAAATCGGGTGATAATCCATAACGTGTACATGGACGAACTCACGGGCTGAGTCGAGCATATCGACTAAAGCCTCAAGATCCCAAGTCCGTTGACCTGCATTCAGTATCTGCGGAGATGCCTTCAATGATTTGTTAAAGATAAAATTGATTTTTGTCTACCGCAATAAATGCTTCGGTCTCGGCCCCATCTATAGACATATGCAGCGGCTTCTCTTTATTATACCTGCAACACCATAAATAATTTTTCGATTAGCAAATTACCTAGCTGCAGCCGAGACTGAATCTCCTACTGATAATCGCCAGTAAGTATCAAAAATTGAGCGAAGGTCTTTGCCCAAACAAGGACAATCTTCCACAACGAACCCCAGCTCCATCTTCTGAAATATCTTAGAATCGGGTCAACCCCGAAACTACGGTACCTGATTCAATGACCTCCAATCGAGGTTAGCTGACCCCATATAAAAATGTTTATCGTCAGCCATCAAAAACTTTGAGTGCATTTTTCCGTCTCGTTTTAATGCCCGCTTCATTTCCAACTTCCGCCGATTCAACAAACCTAAAATAAGCATCGGTTTCGTGTCACATTTCCGATTGTCTCACCAAGACGCTCAAGAATATTTCCATCCTCATTGTCGCCACGATCCTTTGGCGGAAAACTTTCAATCATTTGAATATCGATTTCAGCCCCACGCTCCTTCAGTTGTTGAAATATGGTATCGCCCTGGATAAGTGCTAATGCTATAAAATTGCAAAATGACTGTAACCTCTATCGAAAAATGGAGATCAATGGGATCGAGTACATGGTGTCCCTGTAGACTTGACTTGTAAGCAGCAATCACTAATCCATTTTCAGCGCTAAAAATGTTTAGAAAAAATGACTTGTAAAACACGCACTGAGAAATGAGCCTCATCCATGCCTCGAAAGTCGTTTCTGGCATCATAGCTCCCGGGAAAGAAATATTAACGGGGATGCTTTCGGCAACCCGTAAGCTAAAACAAATCAAATTCCAGTGTCTTCGAGGCTTTTAACTTACCGGCAGGTATTATAACATTGGATGTCCTCAGCCGCTCTTTTTAAGCCGTCAGCACGACCAGATATCCCGTAAACCACGGCCAAGCATGGTATTAACATAGTGGCCATCTATTGAGGCACCGTTTACTATCTACTGATCTACTGACTCACCCAGATTCCAATGTTTTGGATGCTCATCACCGCCAAAGACTGTGTTTGTTTCTCTTCCGATTTTTTCTTGGATTTTTGAGGACTATTTTCGTTGCTATCGTGAAGTATCCATGAAGAACCAATCAGCCACGCAAGTTGCTTCATTTTCTAGAAAGCGCTGTTGAGCTGTTTTCTGAGTATCGAAATGAATTCTAGTAAGGGATAACGCCAGATTTAAGGTAGTTATAGAACCACTAGATTGCTAGCTCATGGCATGGTTAGCGGTCTAGAAATCCAAGAGATGTTTTTCGATTTTCCACAAACATGCCATATGGCGGTAATGAAATGGAGAACAATAACAACAAGTAAGAAGCGTGAGGCTCCGCCGGGTGTCCAGCAGCTCTGCCAATGAAGCACACTGATAAGACGGATAGTCTCGAAGCTATTGCTATCAATCGGCGCGCCTCCCCCGACTAAGCCACGTACTTCAAGAATCATCGTCCCGATTCTACGAAGTCCATGTCCCTATCCGATTTGAGCATTCCCATAACCATTCATTTTATCGGGTTCTGGTTCGTTAGCGGGGGTGGTACACTTTTTGTCACTAGTTTCGCATAACTCAACTTACATTATTTTGCAAATTTGAGCTGTGTGGAAAACTCTTAGTATATTCCTTTGATGCTCCATCGAACAGCGTTACCAGAATGTCGAAAAACATAGACAATCCCAAAAATAACTTACCAACCCTATCCTCAGGGTTATTGGTTTTGCTAAAACTTTCTTAAATCATTGTGTATTGATCCAGAACTAAAATTATTAGTATTTTTTTTTGTTCTCTAACGGGTGGCGATGATGTGGGCCCCAAAAATTAAAGAAATATGGAAAAATCTACGCCCATTGAACTCCCCCCAATCGATAACCCACACCCCCCCCCGCTAACGAACCAGAACCCTTTATCGGTTGGGGGGCCACAATGGCGAGTGAATTGAAAATAGCTTTGAGGTTTAAATATTAGTATGTGCATAAATGGGAGAATTAAGTTTGCGGAGCTTCCCTCTTTAAAAACTTATTTCGGTCTGCAAGCTTATTTTTAACAAATCGGCTCATTATCGGACGCAAATCTAGGATTCAGAAGGTTTATCAATTTACGGAAGGTTATTGCTTTCGTTTGCCGATAATCAATCAAATTTTCACTGATTTTACCGCACGTCGCGGAGTATGTATTCAGGGACGTAGCGTAATACCGGCCCCGGGGGCCCGGGGCCCCCCCCGAAATCGGCCGGGGCCCGAAAATTTCATAAGGAGGGACCCTTATGAATTTTATTTTCTCAAAAATGTTGCTGCCTGCGGCGCTATTTTTTCACGTTTTTACTGCTATTTGTAGAGCTATATAGCCTTTTTTCCAACATTTTTTGCCTGCGGCGCTGATGTTTCGTTAATTTTCTGAGTTTTTCGAAAAAATTTTTTCGGGGCCCCCGAAATTTTTTTCTGGCTACGCCCCTGTATGTATTCCAGAAGCGGCGGCTACTGCCTCAATCAATACCTGAATAAAGCTAGCTATGGCGATCGAGGCACATGAGTGAAAATTCAATACGAGACCCAACAAGTTCAATATTTGTTTATATTCTGAAATGGAAGGATCACCTTAATGCTTAGAAACTCCTTATCCATCATCTCGATTTGTGGCTTAGGCTTAGGCTTAGGCTTAGGCTTAGGCTTAGGCTTAGGCTTAGGCTTAGGCTTAGGCTTAGGCTTAGGCTTAGGCTTAGGCTTAGGCTTAGGCTTAGGCCTTAGGCTTA